CCCTACCACTAGTCTGACCCCCTGTTTCCCCGTCCGCTCCATCCCTCCTTCTTTGACAATGCACAAAGTGCATCTCAGCAGGACTAGCCCTGCTACCTCCGCTCAACTCCGCTCCACTTCTCCGACACTATGTCCCATACCTCCAGATCCGGAAGTCTGGATTCTCCCCTACAGAAGTCCGGGTTTCCATCCTGTTGTCCGCCCGGCACTCCGCTTTCATCTCCGGACTCACACCTTTCCACTTTGCTTACTGATCTGTCTGTCTGCACTTCATTTCCGACTTCACTGCTTTGATCTGTTATGCACTTACTAATAGAATAGACTTTCCACATGCTTTGTACATAGCTTCTACTTTGCTGACTGATTTACTTACATGATATCTACAGTATATAAACTCCTGTAAAACTCCAGAACTCCTCAGTTCAAATATCATCTTAGTTCTGCTCATTCCTGCTTCTCTGGACTTGAGTCTCATCTCTTGTCTACCTCCGAGTCTTAGGGTTAAACCTCAGAACTAAATCTCCGGCTCTACCTTAGGGTAGTCTAAACTCTGTTCTGTTTCTACTCCAGACTTGTCCGTAGTAGCCTTACACTGTTCCCTCATAGCCTTCCGGAGTTCCGCTGAACTCCCCCGACGTCTGACCTCCAAACTTCCCCAGACTTCCTCTCTGCCCCTCGGAATTTAAGGGCACATACTCAGGTAAGGGGTGCAGTGCATGAGCTGAAGCCGAAGCCCTTTGAGTTGTCTTTCCCTTGAGCACAACCTTAACAGTGGCTCAAGTTCATGCTATATTTTCCCTTCCTCATCAGTTTGGCACATACTCCAGAGTCCTCACTTACATCAAGTGGTTCACACCTTTCAGACCACCAGACCCTTCCTCTCAATTGTGACAAGTCTCTCACTCGACACGCCAACTCCACTGCCATGCTGCTGTGATCCATGTCAATGAAATTGTACAACTGTGTCATCTGGTACTGAAGATAGGACAATCAGTAGATATGAAGTTGAGAAGTGGGAACACATATGAGGTAGCAAAGTGATTTCTATTTTAATGAGTTCATTGATGGTGAATTGTTTGGTGTGTCTGTCATAAATAGTTTGTAGATAGTAGTGTCATGTGGGTGCAACCTGTAGCTGCCAGTTGTTACCTGTAGCATGTAGTGAAGCTTTGGGTTATATAGCACTACATGGCTCAATATAGTGTAGTGTGTGCCTATATAGCACTACAGTGTTTATGAGTGCCTACACCGTGCTATATAGCTGCCACCAGGGCTATGGCAATATAGGGTTTTTCCTGATGCAACCAGTCCTAGAAACACCCCCAGTCCCTGAAACACTTTCTCTGTTACACTCAAACCCCTCATATTTCTGCCTCAAAATATGCATTATTGTCATATCCCGTACCTCCGGAACCGGAATTCCGGATCTACTTCATTAAAGTCCAGTCCTCTGTCTTACTATTCCGCCCGGCGCTCCGCCTTCATCTCCACACTCACCCCTAACTCCTTTTAGATTAGCTATTGCTCCGGTTACCAGTTATGTTCTTTCCACTATGCTTATTGATCCGTCCATTCCTACTTCATTTCCGACTTCACTGCTTTGATCCACTACACTTAGTAATAGACTTTCCACATGCTTTGTACATAGCCCTTACCTTTGCTGACTGATTTACTTACATGTTACCTACAGTATATAAACCCCTGTAATACTCCGGAACTCCTCAGTTTGAATATCATCTTAGTTCTGCTCATTCCTGCAATCTCCGGACTTGAGTCTCACCTCTTGTCCACCTCCAAGTCTTAGGGGTTAAACCTTAGGACTATTTCTCCAGCTCTACCTTAGGGTAGTCTAACCTCTGTTCAGTTTCTACTTCGGACTTCCGTAGTAGCCTTACTTTGTCCCCCGTATAAACCTTCCAGAGTTCCACCGAACTCCACCGACACTAAGTCCTCCAGAACTCCCCGGACTTCCGTCAGACTTCCCCTCTGTCCCCCGGAAATTAAAGGGCACATACTTGGGTAAGGGGCGCAGTGCACAAGCTGAAGCTGAAGCCCTTTGAGTAACCTCTCCCTTGAGCACGACCTTGTTAGGTACCATGCCGGCTCAAGAGGCAGAGGGGTCGGGGCTTGGCTTCAGCTCTTGCGCTGCGCCCTTAGCCAAGTACGTGCCCTGAATTTGGAGCAGATCCAATGTTGTCCGACGATAGGACAAGTGTACCGCTTAGGTCCGCTTTGAGGGTCGGGAAGTAAGAGTTGCTAGCGGCAGACCATCTAGGAGCGGAGCGGAGAAGGCGGGGAACGATGCAGAGGGTGGGTAGAAACCAGGGGGATGTTTGATAGGAGTGGAGATGGCAGAGGATAATGTAGAGGATAGGAAAAGGGGTGATAGGAGGATATTGATAGGGGCGGGGTAATAAGGGAAAGACTTAGAGCATGGCTCTAAGTCAAAGCGGAGGGTCGGAGGGTCAGAGGTGACAACAAGTTGAAACTTGTGTCCAGAGGAGGCAAGGTCCTACTGAGAATTCCCACAAGTAGTAACTGCGAGAAGACAAGTAATATTAAGACTAAGGAAAAATATCTAAGTACAGGATATGTTATATACTTCTATGTGAGGCAGTGATCAGGATAACTATGTAGTAAAGCTATGTACCAAGGATATAGTTTGTAAGTACTTTACATAGGTGAAGACATAAGTCAGAGCGGATATCAATATGTACGCGTCGGATCAGCGATCGGGCGGTAATAGGAATTACCGGTGATCCGGAAGTAAGAGTCTATGTACCGAAGGGGAAAGCATATATCTAAAAGGGGAAAGAGGTCCAGTTGAATGGAGAGGTTTTATGGAAGGGGACCGGTTGAGCGGTTGAGCGGAAGCATAGGGCGGAATGCGGGTTTTGTGATAGAGCGGAGTGGAGGATGGATGGGGCAGAGGGGGTCGGAAAGCGGAGCAGATATCAGTATCGGAGCAGTCGGATCTGGTATATGACAGACCTTAACAATTATGTATATACATGGCATTCTACCTTTCTGCAGCCCTAAGTCTGTGTGCAATTGGACATGAGGTTGTTTTATAATTCACAAGGTTTTGCAATTGAGAAGGAGCTTGTAAAATATAAATGACAAAATTATCACAAATATACATATGTGCATCCCTAGACATATTATCTGATTTAGAGGTAAGGTCCAAGTTTCTATTGCATATGTCTGCTTGCTAACAGAGTGTGTCCCTCGCATAAAATCATCAAGTTTATGCTGTTTCAAGTGGGAAGACGAGAACATAATATGTAACCCTAGATTAGGACTTCCTAATATGTTTCATCGAGTGGAGTTGCATGAAAAAGAGACCTCATGAATGTTGGCAGGCTAGCAATTGAATCACAACCTCTGTCTTTCTGAAACTTTGGTGGAGCATTTATGAGATGTATTTCAATCTAGGGAAATTATCATAATATCTAATTAATGTGTTGTGAGGGAGTGGTGAACAAAATACTGATTTTGTGTTTCAGGGACCGGTTGAAGACTGTATTCCTACGACTGTTGTGGGAATCACTGAACACCCTGCGGGCGTTGCCAACCCAATAAGAACGACTATATTTGTCTATATCTGGGAAAATTAAATTTCAGTAGACTTAGCATTGTCAGCAACACTGATCACAATGTTAATACCCGCAATGCCGGTATTCATTATTATTATATAGCATTGTTGGCAGAAGGCTGCCATTCTGCCAATGGTAGTAGGCTGCAGTAGGTTCGGAGGCCATTGGCAGAAGTCGGCAAAAGTCACCGTGAATCATTGACGAAAAATACAAAACACAACAGTCTAATCATCACCTAAACCTCATCAGATCTCAGTCAGCATGTAGCTTTTTACAAACTCTCCTCCTCGGTCCCTGACAGCGGATTCGAGCTGACATTGACCTTGCTTCACAAGGTGATAAGCATATTGTTTCACGCCAAATTGCCAATAGCCTTGCTTCACAAGGTAACGAAGTTATGGTTGGGCCGTCTGTATGAGCAAAGTTCTCAAAATATTAGGTGGCAATCTGCTGGCATTGTAGGATATAATCTGTTCGAAAGGGGTTTTCAGGTAGATGGATTCTTCCTACATCGCCACGAAGAACAACACTCAGCACATAAAAGCAAGCCGTCTTCCTACTGTCCCCTTCAGGTTTATTTGATCCCATACCACATCCTCACAAACAATGCATTTGTCATTTGTCCTCGCCGTCACTGCTTTGACAGTATCAATATCTGCCAGTGATGCTACCAGTGACGCTGCCAGTGATAAATGTCCTTACATTTGCCACCATGATCACGAATGCGAATTCTGCGGCAACAAGCACTATGGATGCGTCATCAGGAAAAAACCCTTTGACTACACGGAGCTACATAGTATGTGTATTAGCTGTAGCTCAATGTGTCAAGTCCTTACTACACACAGCTACATATTCACACGGCTAGCTACATAGTGCTACATATTCACACGGCTAGCTACATAGTGCTACATATTCACACGGCTAGCTACATAGCGCTACAGCCACTACTGTAGCAACCAGCTACAGGCACTATACCCTACTACAGACTAATACAGGTGCTATATAGTACAACAGGAGTAGCATATACAAGCTACAGCTAGCTACACAGTCCTACTACTATAGATCTATACATGCTACAGCTAGCTACACAGTCCTACTACTATAAATCACACTCGAACCAAAAACAAATGAAATCAATTATATTCAAGGTGCACAACCATGCATACACTCGCAAGAATCCAGCAGCCTCGTAAAACATTAACATTGACCATCACCGACTTGTCCATCTTCACTATCATCCCCTCACGCTTCCCGAGTCTCAAGTTCATACTCTCGTATTGCATCATCGAAAACCTCGTCTGCGAACCTATCAACATTCTCTCCTGTGCTGATCGGATTGACACCAGCATGGAACCTACCAATCAATATTAATTAGAATCACGATCCACACAAGTACCTAGACACTCACCGGGCGACGTCGAGAAGATTGTCAGTAATTCTACCCAGTAGTTTGTAGGCAGCCGTCCGCTCATCAAAAAGTCGCAAGGACTCGAGGTGCACCAGGTAGATGGGAGAATAAGTGATGGATGCGAATTTAATGTCTTCCCTCACTCCTGTGATCCACTCATCAATACAACATTCTATCTGTTAGAATTCAGCTGCCACGCCTAATATCAGATGGCTCGATGATACTGACCACTGTGAGTACAAGCGCCATCATCTTCACAGGCAAAGGCTCGAAGTATTCAGCATAGACTATGCCTTCGTCAACACGGTTCGCAAACCACATGTCATTTATCCCTGACTGGATTAAATCAGATTTGTATACGCCGGATTTCATTTCCCAATCCTATAACTTGCCTGGTCAGACAACAACTAACAAAGATCAAGCAGACATACCTTAAAAACAAAGGACGCCCCTTCCTTGAGTCGCTCGGCCAAGTTACGGTTTGCTTGAATCGCCCCGATAGACCGGCTTGCGCGGAAGCCGTAAAAGGTGGCTGTGAGACCCCAGCATTTTCGTCTTGAGTTCCCCGCGTACATGTGAGGTACGTCTCGTCATCTACACAGCAAACATAACATCAACCGGGGACACACAACGTGCTGATTGCTCACCATTTTCACTAATGAAGGCGTTAGTTGGACTGTAACTCCAGCCACAGCAGAACCCTCACGCCACGCACGCCTGGCTAGCTTAGTCTCGATGATGAGTGACTCGGGAAAAGGCGTTTGAGTGACGATTAGACACCGGTAAATGGATGTGGCCGTGGTGAGGACATCCTTAGTTATCTCGTCATAATCCCCGGCCCTCAATCGTCCGTTCGAACCTTTGATGATCTTGGGTATGGTTTCCTCAACGGTGTCCTCCTGTTTGAATCTGGGGACCTCCCAGATAGACATGGTACTTTCCTTATGGGTTTGGCTGCCATCGCTATCTTTGTCGTTGTCGTTGTCTTTGTTGTTGTTGTTGTTGTTGTTGTTGTTGTCACTGTCGCTGTCTTTGTCGCTGTCGTTGTCGCTGTTGTCGTCGTTGTCGCTGTTGTTGGCACTGTTGTTGGCGCTGGATGGGTGAACACGTAGAGAAGCTGCGTAAAGATAGTCAGTACAATTCCACCCCAGCTAAGATTGAGTACCTTTGTTCGAGTTGGTAATGGCCTTACTCGACTTTGTTGGTCCTAAGACGACAGGAGGTGTTTTGCTGGCACTAAATGTGAGAGCCCGCGGTGTCGGAGCTACCCTGCAATGCGAGAACTATTGTGTAATTGTGAGCACTTGAGTACGTGGAAGAATATGAACCTGACCATGGTGTCTTCGTCCTGGTCAATGTCGCTCAGCAGATCAGTGGGCTCAACTTCAAAGTCTTGAGGATTCGTCCGGTATTTAGTACGCAGCGCCTTTACTTTGTGCCTCTTCGCCTTGGCTTCTTCGGCTTTCTTACGGTCTGGACCTCGACGAGATTTTAAAACAGTTGAGTAGAGATAAGCCCAACATGCGTTAAGAAAAGACACAGAGTTGCTTACTTCGATAAGTTTCTTTTTCGGTTGGGCGACGGTGACGAACGCTTGCGGTGCGTCCAGCGGTGGATACCATCTCCGGCATAGGTCATGCTGGGCTTGCAAGATTGCCTGTTCCCTTCGAGAGGCGATATTTCCTGCCATGATTGAGGGTAGGAAGCAACAAAATCAAAACTGGAAAAAGTACCTTTTAAATACCCTTGCCACGGTGTGTGATCAACAGACCACATTGACTTCTGTTGATTTCGAAGTTAGAGTTTGCATCTGACCAAGCAAAGTCAACGCAACAGCATAAAAAGAGCGAGAAAACAATCGAAAACGAACACCCACACCAGACACTACCAAACGCACCAAAATGCCCCAATAGTAAGTGGCCAGCTCGTCAGAGACTCACCATGCATTGACCAAGGTCCCAGTTCGGTCTTCTCGGCACTCAGCGAAGATAAAGAAAATGTTCTTGAAGTCACCCAAAAGTGGGTTGCTCCGAGAAATGTCATGACCCGCGCTGACCATTGAGTAGGCTCGTACCTCCTCCAAGTCGGCCGTTCCATGTGGTCAAGGCTCCAGCGCGGGCTAAGGAGGTACCACGTCCTCCTGGTACACCAGAGCTTCATTTTCCATTGCAACCATTTCGTCAGACTCCAGGACCCATCATGGCTTCTCAGACTTACCTGCGAACCCTTGTCTTAGAACGCTGGGATGCGGAGATCAGGCGTTGTGATGACGCGTGCAAAGCACAACTCGCCGAACGCATCACAGGGCCAGTGACCTACCAGTCACTTATCCGAGAGTTGATAATTGGGCGCTGGTGCGCTGAGAAGCAGCGGTGCCAGGAGGCACGAAAAGTTCAACTATTGGAACTCCTCCTTGCAGCTCATGGTATTCACTACCCTGGTTTAGTCTGTAGCAGTTAGTCGGGGTTGAAAAGTGGTGTTAGTCAGGGTTAGTAACCTAGGCCAACAGGTATTTGAAATGAGAAAAAGTCCAACAGAAAAGCTATGCGAGGTGTTAGCACAAGAAGAATAAGTTAAAGACAGCGAAGGACGTCAACACCAGAAGGATAAGTTAAAGACAGCGAAGGTGGAGCAATAGAAAAGCCATGCGAAGCGTGAACAAGGTGGCGCAAGGCATTTGAAATGAGAAAAAGAGCAAAAGATAAGTCATGCGAGGCGTGAACTCAAGCAGAATATGCAAATGACAGCGAAGGACAAGAAAAAGATAAGCCATGCAAAGCATGAATGTAAGGAGGACGAGCAAAAGAAAAGCCATGCGAATCATGAACGAGCAAAAGATAAGCCATGCGAAGCGTGAATGAAAGGACGAGCAAAAGAAAAGCCATGCGAAGCGTGAATGTAAGAATGAGCAAAAGATAAGCCATGCGATGCGTGAACGAGGGGGCAAGGCGAACAAGAGCAATTGGGACCAGCGAGGCGAACAAGAGCAATTGGGACCTAACAAATGGAGTTGTGAGACAGCGAGGCGAACAAGGGCAATTGGGACTAACCAATGAAGGGTTAAGGCCTAGCAGAGTAGATGAGGGGAACAATCTAAAGGAAGAGGTCAAAAGGAAGTTGGATGGGGATTAATGATGACGCACAGTTATATCCGTGATTGCAGTCGGTGTTTGTAGTTGGTCATTACGTGCTGGTAAACAGGGTATTAGGATCTACATGGTGAAGTTTGCAACGACGAACCAATAATGTCTCACTGTACGTTTTGTGGTAAGGTAACATCTACGGCTGGGGGGCTCAAGAGGCATATCGTGGGGCATCCTGCATGCCGAAGGGAGTGGTTATCAATGATTGAAGACGCAGATGTGGAGGACTTCGACGCACCAGACACAGCACCAGGCGATGTTCACATGCGCTCGTCACCAGATGTGGACCACAACCCTACAGTTAGGAAAAATCGTCGGGTTACTGTCGAAGAAGTCGATGACGTGGACACAACATCACTCACCAATAATGGCCGGTATTTCGAAAACACAGCCAGGCGCGGGCTGGGCGCAGCACCAAGGGGAGACCGTGTTTGAAAGGTATAGGAAAGAGCAACACAAAGTGGGCGAAGAACCGTGGGCACCTTTTGAGAATGCGTGAGTGTTCAATCAGTGTGGCCAAGCATATACTGAAAAGACGACTCGCCAGAGAAGAGTGGAGTCTAGCCCAATGGCTAGTCAAAAATCTTGGCCAAACTCAGACCGATGAATTCCTGAAACTACCCATAGTATGTTCCAAGCGTTGATCAAAGATTTGAACTCACCATGTTGATATGTGTACTAGACTCAAAACCGCTCAAAACTTCCCTTTCACAACAATCGTTCGTTCTTGCAAAGGATTGATGAACTCCCGCATGGTCCAGCGTGGAGTTGTAATATGGTTACCGTGCGCGGTAATCGTGAGGACGAGAATGGAGAGTTATTGGAAGAACAAGTCGAACTATGGAGTCAAGATCCAGTTGAATGTGTGAAGGAGTTGATTGGGAACCCTTCTTTCCAGGCGGATATGGCCTATAACCCAGCCAGAGCTTTTTCAGATCCTGTGGGGGAGCATAGAGTTATTGATGAAATGTGGACGGCAGATTGGTGGGCGGAGAAACAGGTAAGCTTGTGCCATCGAGGAATAAAATGAACTGACCGGACTGACCTTTTGCTGTCATGGCGCAGAAAGCTTTACCTGATGGTGCCACAATAGCTCCCATCATTCTAGCATCTGACAAAACCTCGTTGTCCCAATTTCGAGGGGACAAGACTTCGTGGCCGGTGTATATGTCTATCGGCAACATTGCCAAAGCAAAAAGGCGTCAGGCGTCTGCACGAGCAACTGTGCTCATTGGGTACTTACCCGCAGGTAAACTCGACTGCTTTACTCCTGATGCACGCTCCTTAGCTGGGCATAGACTCTTCCATCATTGCATGAGTCTGCTTCTTCATCCTCTCATCGCCGCTGGAAATGATGGTGTGGATATGGTATGCGCAGACTCATGGATTCGACGTGTCTATCCGATTCTGGCCGCATATGTCGCAGATTTCCCGGAGCAGTGTTTGGTGTCCTGTTGTAAGGAGAATCGATGTCCGAAGTGCCTCATGGGAGCGAAGGAGCGAGGAGAGGTATTGGACTCAGAGATGCGTGATCCTGAGTCCACAAAAATTATATTGGAAAGGCGCAAGAACGGTCAGCACCCACCAGAATTCGAGGAGAATGGGCTATGCGCCATTTACAAACCGTTCTGGGCTGACATGCCTCACTCCGACATTTTCCTCGCATTCACACCGGATCTGTTGCACCAAATTCATAAAGGCGTGTTCAAGGATCACCTAGTTAAATGGTGTGTTGAGATTATCGGGGAGGAAGAAATGGACGCACGATTCAAGGCTATCCCTGACTATCCCGGACTTCGCCACTTCAAAAAGGGTATATCAACTGTGAAGCAATGGACGGGAAGTGAGCATAAAGAAATGCAAAGAGTTTTTATAGGCTTACTTGCTGGAGCAGTGCCTAGGTATGTGTGAGACGAGTCTTGATGATGCTTGTTGCTGAGCGCTGAGCCATGGCTGGCAGTCGGGTATTGGTGGTGGCGCGTTCAATTCTCGATTTCTCGTATTACGCTCAGCTGCAAATTCACACGGCCGATTCGCTTGAGGCTCTACAGGCTGCGTTGTCAGGATTTCACGCAAATAAGGATGTCCTCAAGGAACTCGCGATACGTGATCATTTCAATATACCCAAATTACACCAACTCACCCATTATGCCCAGTCCATTTCATTGTTTGGTGCAGCTGACAGGTTTAACACAGAACTCCCTGAGCGTTTGCATATAGATTTTGCAAAAGAGGCTTACCGTGCTAGCAATAAACGAGATTACAAGCAACAGATGGTTTTGTGGCTTCAACGCCAGGAAGCCGTCTTCTCACGCGGCAAATACATTGATTGGCTATTGCAAGAGCCTGCAGGTGGGACGGACTCGCGCTCGCACTCCGTTTCGGATTCAGATTCAGAATCGGACTCAAGGTTAGAAGAAGCAGAGGCTGCCATTACTCGTGCGACACCCGCAAATAAATTTGCAGCGACTCACATCCTCGCCAAGATACCTTCGCATCCACACCAATCCGTTCAAAATCTGGTCCACGCACATGGTGCAACAGATTTTCTCCCAGCTCTCCAATCATTCCTTGACACAAATCTCCCGAATAACACCATCGTTCCAGGCGTTCACGACCGTTTCGATATCTATAGTCAAGTCGTCATCGTGACACCACCTGCTTTTCAAGTTAGCGAGTTTTCAATGTCCAGCCGGGTTAGAGCAACACCAGAGAAACTTGCTTCAGGACGAAAACCTGGTATTCCTCCTCGATTCGACATGGCGTTGATATCGAATGGTCCTCACACTTCACACCTGCGTACTCTTGATGGTAAGCTTCATTCTGTGTTGGTTTGACGGCAACCTGATTATAGTCTGCTGCAGGTTTGCGAGTGGGTCAAGTCCGTGCTATATTCTCTCTCCCTCGTCAATTTGGCGAATACCGAAGAGCCCTAGCTTATGTAGAATGGTTCACACCTTTCCGAGCTCGTGACCCTTCATCTCGGATGCGACAAGTGTCGCGCTCGACACGCCAATTTCGCCGCAATGCGGCAGTCATTCATGTTGATGATATCGTGCGACCGTGCCATCTCATACCGAAGATGGGAGTGTCTGTGGCCCAGAGGTTGATAGGTGGGAATGCATATGAAGCAGCTAATGATTTTTATCTTAATGATTTTATCGACGGTGAAATGTTTTGTGCATCTGTTACAATTATTTAGAAATAACGATGTCATTGTATATTCAGTAGACCTGCAAATACTCGATGGTTGCGCTTGTAGGAACCCGGTAGCGCGGTGGTAAATTATGTAGTATCCTGTAGCTACATGTAGCACAGTATCAACTCTCGTAGCTACCTGTAGCTACCTGTAGCATAGTATTAACTCTCGTAGCTACCTGTAGCTCACTCGTAACTCCTGTAGCTACCTGTAGCTCACTCGTAACTCCTGTAGCTACCTGTAGCTACCTGTAGCACACTTATAACTCCGGTAGCTGTATGTAGCGTGGGTGTAGGATATATAGCGCTATATACCTCTATGTAGTCTAAATGGGGCCTATGTACCACTACAGTACGTATATAACTACCACCTTGACTACGACGATCTTGGTTTCTTCCTGATGGTGAGTATGAGTAGATTGCGTCCTGGATTTAACCACATGACTCACCGGCTTGGTAGTTCCTCTTTTTTTGCGTCGGCTACTAGTGTGGCAGTGAGTCGTGTTTCTGCTTTCACATCGGTGCGGTTGTTGATGGCACGACACGTGAGTTACTAGTAGTTTGTTGCGTAGTTGATCAACGTGCTTGCTTCTGAACGAATCTGACTCCCGCTCGAGTAATGAAGATCTTGGAATAGAGGAAATCTCAAGCACTTGAATGCTTAGGATATGACCAAAGTACTTACGACACAGTTTTGTAGTCTCGTTATCAGCACCCTATTGAATAGTGGTATATATGGAAAATCGTCGTTATCGATTTGCGAAAGCTCAAGATCCAGAAATGGCACTTGTGGGAGTAGTAGGTCATGAAAGTCGATGTGAGTTACAAGGGAGGATTCGGATCCGCTAGCTTCGATGTCCTCGGGCCTCGAGAGCATCCAGGCGCGAAAGAAGTGTATACATATAGCAGAGACTTATTGTGTGTCTCTGAGACAGAATGGAGAGAGAAAATGACTGCTCAACACCGACGATGCAAGCGTTAAGAACGTGGGGTGACACGAAATAAAAACGTTGAAGAATATTTGTGAGTATGAGTAGTTTGCTTTGCATCCTGGATTCATTGCTCAATTACTCACCCCTTGCGCCCTGTAATATTAATAGCCTGCCGGTACAAATTTCTGCAATACTCCTAGTCCTTCAATAGAGATGAGGTGGCGGACGATAGCCCGGAGAAAGAGTTGTGGCTAGTTATTTTCGAAACGGGTAGATAGGCCCCTATAGTAGGAGCGCCACTATTGAAGTTATCATTCATTAATCGCAATGATCTCTTGACATCGATGGTGGAGATGCGGGCGAGACATATTATTCAACAATAAATGTATCTAATGGGCTCCCGAACGAGACTCCGAGCTGTAAGAGCAAAAGATAATTGCGTCAAATTCCCTTTCCGGGAGCTTGACGGGAGCCCCTTTCTCTTGCGCCTTATAATGCGGTATTGGATTGGATGACGCACCTTCAACCACAACCACAACCACTACTCATAGAAACAGTAGACTCGAACAAACGCTTACATCCCTAACAAGCATTGTTGATATCTTCGCCAAGCAACATGCCTGGTCAGATAATCGCTCAGCCAAACCCTCCCCCGGACCCCTCTCATCTCCCCGACTCGGTTCGCGAGTATGCTGTTCAAATCAAAACGAGCAACGTCCTTACGGAGTCTGAACTCCGTGCGATTGAGAAGTTCAGGCGAGCAGTTAACTACATTGCTGCTGGTATGCAAATACCCTCAGAGCGTTGAAAACTTTTAAATGACGTCGATAGCGATGATTTTCTTGGAGAATAATGTCCTGCTTGAACGCCAGTTGACTTTTGATGATATCAAACCTAGACTTCTTGGCCATTGGGGTACTTGCCCTGGCTTAGTCTTAGTGTATGCGCACCTTAACAGGATCATTAAGAAGACCAATCTTGACTCTTTGCTGGTAGTCGGCCCAGGCGAGTTAAATTTCATTACCTTCGGTCACGGCCGTAATGCACCCCATTAGGCGCCCATAATCATGTTCCATACATGCCAATCACGTGATTGTGATGCATGCTCAGACATTTACTAACACCTTCTTTCAGGCCATGGAGCACCTGCCATCCTGGCGTCCTTATGGCTCGAAGACTCATTATCTCCCTTCTGGGAGCCTTACACACGTGATCGTGCTGGCTTGACAAGGCTCATCACAAAGTTTAGTGCGCCTGGAGGTTTCCCAAGGTTCGTCACATTCTGATTCCAGAGTCCTGACGCGTTGGCTTGGTCTTAGTATTATCTCACCATTTACCCTAGTCATATCAATGCCGAAACCCCTGGATCTATTCATGAAGGTGGTGAACTCGGTTATGCTCTCAGTGTCGCGTTTGGCGCTGTTATGGATAATCCTCATCTTGTCGTTACCTGCATTGTTGGTGACGGCGAGGCTGAGACCGGACCGACCGCCACTGCCTGGCATGGGTACAAGTTCATCGATCCCGCTGAATCTGGTGCCGTTCTCCCTATCGTGCACTTGAATGGGTTCAAGATTTCCGAACGTACCATTTACGGATGCATGGATGATAAAGAGCTCATAGCCTTGTTCAGGTCTGGGGTGAACTGTGATATGAATTCTTCAAGTCTAACTTGCTATTCAATTTAGTGGCTATGGTTATCAGGTCCGAATTGTCAGTGACTTGAAAAATATTGATCAAGATCTGGCCGCGTCTATGGAGTGGGCTCTGGCCGAAATATCCCGTATTCAGAAGGCAGCTCGCTCAGGGAAACCCATTGTGAAGCCGCGCTGGCCTGTTTTGATCCTTCGCACTCCCAAGGGCTGGTCATGTCCCAAGATGATGCATGGCGAGTTTATCGAGGGGTCGTTCCACTCACACCAAGTGCCGCTGCCGGAGGCGAAAACGTCACAGGAAGAGCTTCAAGCCCTTCAGGATTGGCTTCAGAGCTATGGTCCTCATGAGCTTTTTGCTACCCAAGGCGGGAGAGGCGTGGTGGATGGCGCTCCTATTGAAGAGGTGCTAAGCATCGTCCCTGACAAGAAAGATAAAAAGCTTGGTTGCAGGAAGGAAGCATATGCCGCCTTCCAGCCCATCCATGTTCCAGAATGGATCCATCTCGGGGTTCAAAAGGGGTCGCAGGCAAGTTGCATGAAGGTAGTTGGGACGCTGTTGAGGGATACGATTAAGGAGTATGTTTTTCAGCTACATGTCTAGCTCTTATTAATCATCCTCTAGGAATCCTACCACCTTCCGGATCTTCTCTCCTGACGAACTCGTGTCTAACAAGCTAGACGCTGTGTTTGATGTTACTGGACGCAATCTCCAGTGGGACGTTGCTTCCCGCGCTCAGGGCGGGCGCGTTATTGAAATTTTGTCTGAGCATACCTGCCAAGGCATGTTGCAAGGGTACACACTTACTGGCAGGACTGCGCTCTTCCCGAGCTATGAAGCCTTCCTTGGCATCGTACACACCATGATGGTGCAGTATAGCAAGTTCACGAAGATGGTCTGTTGATGTTCTAGATGGCTAACTAACACAGCTCATACATTCCCTCCCAGGCCCACGAGACTGATTGGAGACACGATGTTGGTTCCGTGAATTATCTCGAGACATCTACGTGGGCACGTCAGGAGCACAACGGCTTCTCTCATCAGAACCCGTCATTTATTGGTGCCGTACTCAATTTGAAGCCGGCGCTGGCGCGCGTGTACCTGCCGCCTGATGCAAATTGCTTCTTGTCCACGGTGGCCCATTGCTTGAGGGCGAAGAACTACGTGAACTTGATGGTTGGTAGCAAACAACCCACGCCCGTCTGGTTGAGCCCTAAGGAGGCGAACATGGTGAGGTGATCGCTCCTAATTCTTGCCCACATCTTGCTTATTGTCTGACAGCACTGCGTTGCGGGCGCGTCTATATGGAAGTTTGCAAGCGTCGACGATGGTGTAAACCCGGACGTGTAAGTATTTTACCTGCGGTGGTGCAACTTGGACTGATTTGACGTAACCAGCGTCCTTGTTGGCATCGGTGTCGAAGTGACATTCGAAGTTATAGCAGCTGCTGCGCTCCTTCGCAAGATGGCTCCCGCTCTGCGAGTGCGTGTCGTCAACGTAACTGACCTCATGATTCTCGGACCCCATGGCAGCCACCCGCATGCCCTGAACAACGATGATTTCGACACGCTTTTCACCAAGGACAAGAGTATCATCGTGAACTACCACGGATACCCCATCGAAGTGAAAGGTTTGATATTTGGTAGGCCAGCTGTGGACAGGATCACCATCGAGGGGTATCGTGAAGAGGGAACAACAACCTCTCCATTCGATGTGCGTCTCGTAGCAATCAGTTATTCCCATTTTTGACATAGCTTCGCCGCAGATGATGCTGTGCAATCAAACGTCTAGGTATCACATCGCCGCGGCCGCCATCCGGGCTGGTGCTCTTGTCAATCCGAAAGTTTCAACGGAGGCTCATGCGAAGGCAGCCTACATCATGCATATGGCCGCAAAGGACAAAGAGTACATCTTTGCTCACGGAACGGGTGAGTAATCGGCATCATTTTTCTTGCTCTCATTCCTGACACTGGATTCAGATCCTGAAGGCACCTTTGACACTCCCAAATTTAACTGAACACAACGCTTGACATGAATTTTCACCGGTCACCCGTGTATTATAGCTATGAGTTTGATTAATGTATCACTATCTGTATTTTCGCATCCTGTATTACTCGACGCCATGCATAAAATGCTTTCGGGCTCGCCGTGAACGCTCGATCGCTCGAATGTTCGAATAAGCAAAAAGCGACAGGCCTGGGACTCGAACCCAGAATCTCTAGCGATCACTAACCGGAAACTAGCGCGTTACCATTACGCCAACCCGCCATGCTTTCATCAACGACCTTGACGTTCATCACAGCCATCACGCTTTAAATTACCACGCCACCTCCGCCAGACTCATGCTCTTGGCTTAAACTGAATTGATCCTCGAACTGTACCTTTGCAATCTTCGCAGTTCCAATCGTTTTGAGACGTCATGTCATTCTTTGGGGCCAACACGGCAACGACGACAGCCGCGGCGCCCGCAGAAAAAGATATCGAAGTCCCGGAGCCGCCGTCTGACTCCATCTCTTCCCTAGCGTTCTCCCCTGCAGCTGACTATCTAGCTGTAGGAAGCTGGGACAATAATGTAAGTGGTTTAATATGTCTTTTGGACTAGGTTCGACGCGTAATCTATGTATCGATAGGTGCGTTTGTATGAAGTAGGCGCTGGAGGGCAAACTCAAGGCAAAGCAATGTATGGGCACCAAGGACCTGTGTTGAGTGTCTGCTGGAACAAGGTATGCCCGTACTCTTTTGATATCCACCTCACATGGCTGAATCGCCTCCAGGAGGGTAACAAAGTGATTTCGGGGGGTGCGGACAATGCCGCACGTATGTTTGATATCACGAATGGACAATCACAGCAGGTGGCACAGCACGATGCCCCTGTAAAGGTCGTGAAGTGGATCGAGACACCACAGGGTGGCATTCTGGCCACTGGCAGTTGGGATAAGACCGTCAAAGTGAGCCTCGTGCAGTTTTTGAGCCACGTGCATGTAACTCATGACGCTCGCCACCATAGTACTGGGATATGCGGTCGCCAACTCCTGTAGCCACCGTTCAACTTCCTGAGCGCTGCTACAGCATGGATGTACAATATCCGCTCATGGTAGTTGCCACGGCAGAGCGTCATATTCAAATTTTCAATCTCACAAACCCCAACACAGCATACAAAGTATGTTCACGAAGATGTACTTGGTGTCTACACGTGACTTATATCTGCCATTTAGACCATCATCTCTCCACTAAAGTGGCAAACACGTGTCGTTTCATGCTTCACCAGCTCCGCCAGCAGTGGGTTTGCTGTGGGCAGTGTGGAAGGTCGTGTTGCCATCCAGTACGTAATTCTCTCAGATAACTAGTTTTCAGACGCTCATAATTTCATAGATATGTCGAAGAGAAAGACAGCTCGTATGAGTAGTTCATGGTTCCCCTCATACCTCCACTCACGTGTTATACAGGAACAACTTCTCGTTCAAGTGCCATCGAAAAGACCAGACACCTAACGCCAAGGACCAGTCCCTCGTGTACGCCGTCAATGACATATCGTTCCATCCTGTGCATGGGACGTTCTCGACTTGTGGTAAGTCTTGAGTTCCATGTGGCTGGTCTCCAATAGTCTAATTCGGATAACCTAGGCTCTGATGGGACCATCCACTTCTGGGACAAAGATGCCCGCACACGACTAAAGAGTACTGCTATTCTGATTGCCGCCTTTTGGATGTACTAATCATACTTTCTTAGCTTTCGAAGCAGCCCCTGGGCCGATCAGTGCTACTACATTCAATCGCAATGGTACCATCTTCGCATACGCTGTTTCGTACGACTGGTCCAAGGGCCACAGCGGCATGACGCCAGGACACCCCAACAAACTCATGCTACATGCTTGCAAGGACGACGAGGTCAAGAGGCGACCAAAGAAGTAGTTGAGGCGACGGGATAGTTTTTGAGTTGACCTTTTGAGTAGTACGCTATCTACATCCATATGTCGATGTGTCGCATTAATAGCACAGCAGTTATGAGTTTTTGAGTATCTTCGTTGGCTTTCGAATTTATGGAACTTTGTCATGCGCTGGTAGCTGACTGCCGTACGAGCGCAAGCTTTAGCATCGTGGGATATGCACGCCACGTTATACGTACCCGAAGTTCCTCAGGACTGGTCTGCACGACCATGTACATCTGGTGTTCAGCTCGAAATCGTGGTGACTGACATACCCCCGAAGCCTACGGAGCACCGCATCAACATTATTTGACGATGACCTCTGAGACAACGACATAAGCACTGCTCCCCTGCACTGGACCAACGCAGTTGCGAGTTGAGAGTAGATGTCGACAGGGTCTTTAAGATGGAGGAAGTGGACTTGGCCCATGAATTCATGGAAGTTAATAAAGCTCTGAAGTTGAGGATCGGGCAAAATAACTCTTTACAAAATATTCCATTGATAGTCCAAGTGGTTTCAACGAAAAGGCAAGTATGTATGTAATGCAAAGACGACAGGTTATATGAAACGCATTAGCTTCAGCGAGTAGATGATCCATATGCAGCAGGCAAGGGATGCGTGACAGTCTATATTTGGATCATAAAATAGGTTGGCCGCGATCATCGTCTTCATGACTGCTTTTTGATCTCGAGCATAGGATCAAGGGACGACTCGGGCTGACGGTACGAACCACCGACACGATCTGCCCACGTAAAGTACTGGGTGGGGGTAAAAGGCGTTAGGAGATGATTATGAAAAAAGCATAAACGGTAATGCGTACCTGACCATAGTTCACCGTAAAATAGAGATGATGAAGTGTGTGATGGGCGGGTCCGTTTATCACCTTTTCGAGGGCGTGTCCGGTAACCATATCGGAGTCGTGAATCTAGTATTATTGACGTCAGAATGGTCCGATGAATCTGGTAATGCGAGGTACATACTAGAATGCTCCAACAATTGACAAAAACGAAGAGGCCGAGATATAAGCATCGATGAAGAGGAAATACGAATATGAAGACGTGATATGGGACAGATTGGAGGTACCCATCCACCGGGTGGAAAGCATGAGAGGCGAAGGGAGTTGGTACTATAAAAATAGTTAGGCGCACGAAGGTGGATATATGAGGCAGGGCAACATACTTATCCACTTGTGGTGAGGCTTGTGGAAAGTTTTATATATGCTAGGGTGATGCAATAGTCGATGCACCCAGTAAATTCCGTAGTCGGTGAAAAACAAGAAGCTAACAACACGTAATGAGTGGATATCGCAGTCGACACAAAAAACACTGACAAGGGTACTGATAGGCCAAGGTAGAGCCAACCATAGTCCTCTACACTGTCGTAGAGTCTGGAGTAACCCATGACCTCTGCTTGGAACCAAGGCAGGGTAAGAATGATCATCATGGGGAAGGCTCGTAGACTGCATTGTATCTCCTGCTTGACCTGGTTATCTAGAAAGCGTGGATGGCGCATCATGTCATGGTTGAAAATATATCTGTATGAAAGCCACGCGAACAAGAAATAGAGGCAGTGAATGCCAATGAAGGTGATTACGCTGAGAGAGATAATTTGTCTAGGAATGTAATCACGAGGCCAAGCAGACTGCGAAAAATACGGAACCGACGTGAAGTTTGCGGAAGTGGAAAGGTGTGCATATGGTGGGAGGCCTAGATGATCATTGAGAGGAAGTAGACGCGCCCATACTTTGTCGAGAAGATAGTCGTCTGCGAGGTGCAGAACAAGATCCATGGCGTCTAAAAAATAAAGAACAAACGGTCTTCTGCGCCTAAAATGCCACTTGACCTAATCAGCATGTACCGAGAACAAACCAAACTGTAGTTTGCTCAAACTTGTTATATACTACCTTGGCATCGAACCACTTTTTTACTACCACTGACCGACGGAATGACAAATCATCTAGAAATGGCTAATTTTAATTCATTCAAATTCTAACTCAGCGGCAACCGGAACCTAAATGCTGGCACTCTCTTCCAATGGATAGTAAGTATAACACTATTTGACAACAAGGGCGCTTAGCGCAGTGGTAGCGCGTATGCTTTGCACCAAGCATCCAATTTGTATAAGGTCCAGGGTTCAATCCCCTGAGCGTCCATTTTTTTTCTCTGGGTATTTTTGGCCACTTTTCACTTCCCTTTGCCCTTCCGTCTAGATTTCTGCTTCCAGAATCCAACCGATTGATCTAGACTACTGCACAACACAGCAACATTACATATGATCATACATGCATGGTAGTGGCGCGACTTCGAGACAGATTGGTACTACCATGAGCTGGCATGAGTATGCCAGCTCGTCCCGGTCGTGGTGACTGTGGGATCATTCCCGGAAATGCGGCGGGTGAGTCCCAGCTAACTATGGCACGTTTGGTGAGAAGGGGCTCACACCCTCTTGATAAGTAAGATTTCAAGAACCCGCGAAGCAAAACCACACGCATAGCAGTGCACGGAAGTCCGCAAACCCACACACGTTCCGCCGACGCTGGCTGTGTATACAAATACACGCGGCGATCCATTACTGTGGATTTGACGCGGCCACGTCCACGAGGAACCACCAAGGGTCGGCGGGGAACTACCGCATTCAGCATGTATTGTTCTTCTTGCGAGGTGCCATGGAACGTTGCCGCGTAATTCCCTCATGGCAGCGCCGTAGCAGCGATTCCTTCTTGTCGCCCACCCTAAATGCACGATCATGTGTTCAAGGTTCATCCGTACTCGTAGGACATTGACCATGCGTTTCATCTGAGTATCGTGTCTGGGTCATGCATGGGCACCGCCCTGCTGCGGCATGTCCATACTTAGTGCCACCTCGCTGCACTATCACGATCACAGTGCTGGAATGAAATGATCATTCTAGGCTGAGACCGATGAGCATGGCCTCCTCCTTGCGCCTTGACAATGCGACGAACACGTGTTGAACTGTAGGCTTCGTTGGTTCACGCAAACAATGCCTTTACTCCACTACACGATCTACAAAACCACGCATATCCAGCGTAGCACACGAAAACTACAGACACAGACATCAACTTCGACATCGGCATGGGTGGATGTCTCAGCTGCTTTAGTTCTTCCAGTCGTGGGTTGAAGAAACTCAGGGATCCCGAAGTAGCCCAGGTTGGTGCTGACCCGCAAACACGGGTTTCAGTGCCAGAGCTACGCCCAGTGTCGGAGCCACAGCCACAACCAGAGCCCAAGACCATTTACATAGCGTGCGTAGTCATCATCGAGATGTCGGGTGGTGATTAACCCATGGCCCACAGCGTAATGGGTGCGACGGGTAGTGGCAAAACAACGGTTTGGCAGTTCCCTGTACTCCAGTCGTCAATACTGATAAAGATAATAGTTTATCAACGTTGCATCTGGCTCAGGAATTGAGAGTCGGCATGGGGCTCGAGAGTTGTACGAATGAAGTACAGATGTCCCAACCGTTCCGGTTGGACGGAAAGCGCGTCGTTCTCGTCGATACACCTGGCTTCGATGACACGACGAAGAGCGACACCGACGTGCTAAAGATGATTGCTGCTTACTTGCAGACGATGTTCGTACTTGTCATTAACATTTTGGGTGGCCTAGTGCGCTGACGAATTGGCATTTAGGCACAAGCAAGAAAAACTTCTTTCTGGTGTCATCTATATGCACCGAATCTCTGACGTCAGAGTCGGAGGCACATCAAGACGTGATTTCACCATGTTCCAAGAGCTGTGCGGTAAAGAGGCATACAAGAACGTCCTCTTGGTCACAAACATGTGGGGCGAAGTAAACGAGGACCTCCTAGCGCGGGAACAAGAGCTGCGCGAAAAGGACATATTCTTCAAACCTATCCTCGACAACGGCGCTCTTCTCCTCCGCCACATGAACGATCAAGAAAGTGCGCACAAGCTCATTCGGAATCTGACTAAGATGGACCCCGTGGTGTTACGCATTCCAAAGCGAACTTGCAGCTGGGAACGACATCACTCAAACGGGTGCCTTTGCGCAGCTGAACCGCGAGCTCATGGAGCAAGCGGAGAGGAATCGTCAAGAACTGGAGAAGCTGCGAGTTGAACTGGAGGAGGCCGCTCAGGCGCAAGATGAGGAGACGCGCCTGGAGCTCCAGGAGGAGTCGGAGAAGATGGAGGCGGAACTTTTACGCATGCAAAACGAGGCTACCAGGTTAGCGTCCGAATATCAAGCAGAACTTCGGAGAATAGAAGAGGAGCTTCGTGTGCGTGCTGGGTAATTGGCGCAATTTAGTTGTCTTGGCGATCATTTGTCTGACGGATATTCCTGACCCCTTGCCCGTAGCATAGACTACAATTATGTTAGGAAAGTTACTTACCTATATCCATTGTTGTGTGACCGACAAAAACCCAGAAAATCAGATGTTCCTGAAGCTGTATTTTTTCAAACTATTTGCAATGTTTAAGGGCAGCCACCCAGCTTCACGGAGGCGCAACTCAAGAATGGAGTAACATTACGCTCAGCGAGGACGAAGCGAGGCCTGCTCCAGGTCCGATCAACATGCTCCCGGAGATCCATTCAGGTGATCTCGTCAAAGTAAGCTCCAAGCAACGAGGTAGGGCACGACATTCACTAGGCACCTTAGGGGCTGAGTCTTGAGGGTGGAAAAAAGTGGGTGCGCGATACGCCCGCAGGCGTATATAAACCATCGCGTTTCTCGCGTCATCCAAAGTGCCTGCACAACATATTGACTGTCCCATTATACAACTTTACACCCTCTTACATCGATCGAACATCTACTAATTACTGAGCTACAATGGCGAACCCAAACAGGGAAATAAGGATTGCGTGCGTACTTTCTGCGTCTTCGCGTTAACGCATTGACGCTCCTTCTAGCGTGATGGGTGCGACCGGCAGTGGTAAATCCACGGTATGTACAGTCTCTTTGCCCGGACCATGTGTTAATTATTCTCGTCGGACGCAGTTTATCAATAAGGCTAGCGGGTCGAGCCTTCCCGTCGGTCGTGGCCTCGAGAGTTGCACCAGCGAGGTGCGAACTTCACGGCCGTTCGTCGTCAGCGGACGTCTCGTCACTCTGATCGATACACCTGGGTTTGATGATACGTCCCGCAGCGACACGGACATTCTGACTATGATCGCCGCATATCTCTCCAAGACGTACGTGATTCCTGTGCAATGGATTTCCTCAGGCTAAGCGTTCCTCCAGGTACGAGCACGGCGCCAGGCTCGCAGGCGTCATCTACATGCACCGCATTTCCGACTTCAGGATGGGCGGGACGTCCAAGCGCAACTTCAAGATCTTCCGCGAGCTGTGCGGAGAGAGCTCCCTCAAAAACGTTCTCATCGTCACCAACATGTGGTCCGAGGTGAAACGCGAGATCGGCGAGGCCAGAGAGTCCGAGCTTGCGAGCAAGGACAAATTCTTTAAGCCTGTGCTCGAGAAGGGAGCTCGATTGCTCCGTCACGAGGGGTCCCTCGAGTCCGCACATACCATCCTCCGTTATCTGATCAACAGCCAACCGGCTACGCTCCGCATTCAACAAGAACTCGTCAACGAGCATAAGCCCATCGAGAAAACTGCAGCGGGCTCTGAGCTCAGACGCGCTCTCGACGAGCAAGCGGAAAACCACAAAGAGGAGATCCGTAATCTCCGAGTGGAGATGGAAACCGCCATGCGCGCCAAAGACGATGAGACGAGGGGCGAACTTCAAGAAGAGCTCGAGAAGAAGCAGCGGGAATGCTTGCGCATCGAGCAAACGGCTCAGCGTATGGCGGCTGAATTCGCTGCCGAACGCGCACGCCTTGAGGCTCGAATCCTGCAGATGGAAGACGTGCACCAGAAGCACCTCCAGACGCTGGAGGGACTTCAAGGTGAGGTAGCCAGAGTCCTGACTGAGAAGGAGCAGCAAGAATCCCTGCACATTCAAAAGCAGAACGAGATTCTTGCTGCCAAGCAGGCAGAGGATGAGCGACGAGCTCGCGAGTTGGAAGAAGAACGTAAGGCAAGAGCGCTAGCGGAAGAGAGTCACCAAATGCACCTCCAAAGTCTCCTGGAGGATATGGAGAAGACGCGCACCGCGAAAGAGATCGCCGACATTGCTCACGCCGAAGAAGTCCAACGGGAGCGCGAGAGGCTAGCAGCGCTAGAGGCTGAGCGACAGCGACAAAACTCTGCCATTGAAGCTGCGGAAAAAGAACGTGCTCGGGAGGAGAGGGAACGAGTGCGGCTACAAGAAGAGTTTGCACAGAGAGAGAGGGAATTAGAGGAAGTCAAGGCGTCTCACGCACAAAAGGAGGCCGAGAGTGCCGCAGCGAAGCAAGCTGAAGAGAGCGCACGAATCCTTCTCCTTGAACAGCAAGAGCTAGCACGACGACGTGAGGAAGAGTTGGCTCGAGTGCAACGGGAGACGGAAGAGGCGCACGCCACCCGAGAGCGCGAAGCTGCATTAGCTAGGAAGGCCGAAGAAGATGCACGCGCACGACTGCTCGCAGAGCAGCATGAAGCTAAACTACGCGAAGAAGAAGCTCACAGACAACAGCTTCAAGACGAGCTCCTGCGAGCTCAGCGAAAGATAGAGGAGGTCGCAATAGCCGAAGAGAAACGCAAGCAGGAGGAGGCAGCCGCCGCCAAGAAAGCCGAAGAAGACGCGAATTCACGTCTCGCGGAGCAACAAAAGTTGGCGAAGCAGCGCGAGGAGGAACAACAGAAGGCAGCGGAAGAACAAGTCGCACAAGCACGCAGAGAACTAGAGGAGTCGCAGGCAAGGGCAGAACGTGAAGCCGCTGCTGCTAGAGAGGTACAAGACTTAGAGCGTGCAAGACTCCTTGACGATTACCGAAGGCGAATGGAGGAAGAACTTTCTCGACTGAGACAGGCAGTTGCTCAATCGGAAGAGCAGAGCGCAACCCTAGCAGAACAAGCGCGTCAGCAAGAAGCAGCGGAAAGGAAGAAGAGCCAGCAGCTCGAGGAAGAACTGACAAAGGCGCGAGAGCGAGCTCAGGCGGCGAAGATAGACTACGAACGAAGATTGTCTGACGTTGAGGAGCGAAGCTCGCTCGAACACATCTCGCCCCAGCCAGCTGTTCTATTGCCGACTTTGCCATTCGTAGTATGGAAGGCAGCCGTGACGTGGTGGGGACTGACAAGGAAGTGAGTCTTGATCATGTCGCCCTGAGCTCTGCGATTAACCAGGTGCCGGCTCATTAACCTATTGAACTAACATGCATCATGTACGACACGTACTATTTTGTTACCTTACCTTCTGTATATATTTACCGTACACACTAGATTATCTTGGAATGGTTAGTATCTGGCCTATCGTGACGATGATGAGCTGCAGATGGCAAGTACATACTGTGTGCTACCGCCATGTCATTCAGGGTTCTGCCAGTGGAATGAGGCCTCGACGCCGCCCCGTAGTCAGCGAAAGTCAGGCGAAAAGATAATGGAATGCGAATGGAACTCCAGGAGATACGACTGCACACTGCAAAACGAGGCAACGAAATTAACATCCGAATATCAAGCAGAAAAGAAGAGGAACTCCATGCGCGTGCTGGCCCCTTGCCCAAAATTAGTATTATTGGACTACAATGATGCTAGGATTCTTACGAAAGGCACCCGTATATATATCCTACAATGGTGTATGACCGACAGAATCCCAGGTGATCAGCATCAGATTCCTGAAGCTGCGTTGTTCAGTTAAAGGACAGCCACCAAGCATCACGGAGACACAGCTCAAGAATGGACTGAGATTGCGCTCAGTGAGGACGAAGCGATGCTGCATCAAATTCTATCAACACACTCCCTAAGATCCCTTCAACGGTGATCTCGTCAAAATAAGCTCCAAGCAACGAGGTGGGGTGCAACATTCGTTAGGAACCTTAGGGCTGGGCCTCGAGGGTAAAAATCGTGCTGTTGCAAGAAGTGTCCCAAAGGCGTATTTAACCCCCATCTTCCTCGCATCATGCAAAGTGTCTGCACAATATATTAACCTGTACAACTGTACCTCCTCAGGTATCGATCAACACTTGCAAATTACTCGGCTACAATGGCGAACCCCAACATGAAATTCAGGATTGCGTACATACCTTCCATGTCTTCATGTTAACACATTTACACTCCTTCTAGCGTCATGGGTGCAACCGGCAGTGGCAAATCCACGGTATGCACATTCTCTTTGACCTGAACCATTAAGTTGATTATTCTCGTCAGACACAGTTTATCAATAAGGCTAGCGGATCGGACCTTCCCGTTGGTGATGAACTCGTCAACGAGCACAAGCCCATCGAGAAAACCGTTGCGGGCTCTGAGCTCAGACGCGCCCTCGATGAGCAAGTGGAAAACCACAAAGAGGATATCCGTAATCTCCGAGTGGAGATGGAAGCAGCTATGCGCGCCAAAGACGATGAGACAAGGGGCGAACTTCAAGAAGAGCTCGAGAAGAAGAAGCAGCAGGAATGCATGCGCATCGAGCAAATCTCTCAGCGTATGACAGCTGAATTCGCTTCCGAACGCGCACGCCTTGAGGCTCGAATCCTGCAGATGGAAGACGTGCACCAGAAGCACCTCCAGACACTGGAGGGCGTTCAAGGCGAGGTAGCTAGAGTCCTGGCTGAGAAGGAGCATCACATTCGCGAGTTGGAGGAAGAACGCAAGGCAAGAGCACTGGCGGAAGAGAGTCATCAGAGGCACCTCCAAAGTCTCCTAGAAGATGTGGAGAAGACACGCACCGCGAAAGAGATCGCCGACATTGCTCACGCCGAAGAAGTCCAGCAAGGGCGAGAGAGGGTAGCGGCACTAGAGACTTCGCAGCAGCGACAGAGCTCCACCATGGAAGCAGCGGAAAGGGAATGTCGAGGTCAAGAGCGGGTCAAAGTACTTGATGCAATTATGTCATCAATCCTAGCGGTGCTTTACCCCAACGGGAACGAGACTAGTACTCCCGTAGGGCCACACCTGATTTACCACGAAACCATGTCCCTTGATTCATGACAACAATATTATTGAGCGTTTCGATCAAGTTTCGATTCTCATCTTTGTCCGCAGCTCTTCGAGGGGTGGAACGGTTACCCACCCGCTGTACACCTTATAGACTCGACAGGCTATTCGACCATACAAACAGATGGCAGCTTCCATGGATAGGATCGCCCTTGGACATTTTAAAGATGTATTCGTGGGTAGTGAGTACTTATTCGTCTCCAGCTCTGACATTCTTGGTGCCTTGTAAGTCCTCACATTGATGGCGAGTCAAATGAATAGCTTACCAACTTTTACAGCGTCGACCTAAGATGAGCTAACTGCGCCCCGCTTGGTCGAGAAGCTGAAGATCCAATCACAGAAGAATGTCAGACAAGTGGCAGAGATTTGCGTACGTGTTGGTGGGCGAGTTCAAGGGTCTGTCCGTTCAAGAGGCAAAGCCCATTGCCTCGCCAACATTCACTTGGCCGGAGTATCAGTGTACTTCCCGTAAGAATAGAGAGCCCTCGCTTCTGACCGCTATTCGTTAGGATACTTTGCCTTTTCAACAGTGGCTCTGCCCTCTCCGCAAACTTGTGTGCAACCCTGGCGTACATTATTACCAATCTTGCGGCCAGCGTTGGCAGTTTTACTTATCGCCTTGGTCTACATCCTCGACAAAACGCTGCCCAAATATTGCAGCGTTCATCTTTCGCTCATCGGCGTCTTTACGAAGACGCTGCTTCTCTTCTTATGCCTATTGAGAGCCCAACCAGGTCAGGTGTCCTTGTACCTCGAATACTTACGCTTGTTGACTTGCTCGTGCAGGAAAACACGCTAGTAACTACGACATCTCCCGCTCTACTGGACAGACATCTTCTATGCCTAGAACCAACGGGACGCATGAAATTGCTGGACGAGCAAGTAAGGACGGCCTCATTTCCCCATATTTCTCCCATTCAATTTGATTCATCTTTAGTTCTGATGACCCCCAGAAACACTCCATTCCCATCTACCCTTGTCCATGCATCACCCTCGCTCATTTGTAGCACAATCAGACTCACAACTTCCCGCACGTACACACTCCAGCAACTGGATCTATTTCACAACTTTACAAGCTTCTTCTCTCTGTTGCAGTGTCCCCACTTTGTGGTTTTGTTGTAGATTCACGCACCACAGCTGGCGGACGGACCCTTGGCAAATTCGATTTGTTAATCTTATCGCTTGTGGAACCCGAAGTCACGTGACGACAACACGTGACTGAAACGGCGTTCGACAGTCTGTTTTATCAAAAGAGGAACTCCGTGTGCGTGGGTGAATGAGGCAATTCAATTGTCTTGGCGATCGTTTGCACACGGATATTCCTGACCCCTTGCCCATAGCATATCAGCATGATTGGACTACAATCATCTAGGATTCTTAGGAAAGGTAACCCGTATATACATCCTGCATCAGTGTGTAGCCGACAAAGCCCATGCATCAGCATCACATTCCTGAAGCTGTGTTGTTCAGTGAAAGGACAGCCACCAAACATCACGGAGACGCAGCTCAAGAATGGACTAAGATTGCGCTCAGTGAGGACGAAGCGATGCTGCATCAGGTTCTATCAACACGCTCCCTAAGATCCATTCAATGGTGATCTCGTCGAAATAAGCTCCAAGCAACGAGGTAGGGTGCAACATTCGCTAGGCACCTTGTGCCTCGAGGGGGAAAAAACGTGCTGTTGCAAGAAGTGTCCCGAAGGTGTATTTAACCCCCGTCCTCCTCGCATCATGCAAGGTGTCTGCACAACTTATCGACAGTGTCAGTATACGACTGCACCTCCTCTTGCTGCGGTCGACACCTGCTAAATTACTCAGCGACAATGGTGAACCTGAATATGGAAATAAGGATTGCGTACGTACCTTCAATGTCTTCAGGTTAACGCATTGACACTCCTTCTAGCGTGATGGGTGCAACTGGGAGTGGTAAATCCACGGTATGCACATTCTCTTTGCCATAAACCTCTATGTTAATTATTCTCGTCGGTCACAGTTTATCAATAAGGCTAGCGGATCGGACCTTCCCGTTGGTGATGGCCTCGAGAGTTGCACCAGCGAGGTGCGAACTTCACGACCGTTCGTCGTCGGCGGAAGTGTCGTGACCCTGATCGATACGCCTGGGTTTGATGATACATCCCGCACTGATACGGACATCTTGTCCATGATCGCCGCATATCTCTCCAAGACGTACGTGATTCCAGTGCTATGATTTCTTCTGGTTAAGTGTTTCTTCAGGTATGAGCACGGTGCCAGGCTCGCAGGCGTTATATATATGCACCGCATTTCCGACTTCAAGATGGGCGGGACGTCTAAGCGTAACTTTAAGATCTTCCGCGAGCTCTGCGGAGAGAGCTCCCTCAAAAACGTTCTCATCGTCACCAACATGTGGTCCGAGGTGAAACGCGAGATCGGCGAGGCCAGAGAGTCCGAGCTTGCGAGCAAGGACAAATTCTTTAAGCCTGTGCTCGAGAAGGGAGCTCGATTGCTCCGTCACGAGGGGTCCCTCGAGTCCGCACATACCATCCTCCGTTATCTGATCAACAGCCAACCGGCTACGCTCCGCATTCAACAAGAACTCGTCGACGAGCGTAAGTCCATCGAGAAAACTGCTGCGGGCTCTGAGCTCAGACGCGCCCTCGACGAACAAGCGGAAAACCACAAAGAGGAGATCCGTAATCTCCGAGTGGAGATGGAAGCCGCCATGCGCGCCAAAGACGATGAGACGAGGGGCGAACTTCAAGAAGAGCTCGAGAAGAAGAAGCAGGAATGTTTGCGCATCGAGCAAACGGCTCAGCGCATGGCAGCTGAATTCGCTGCCGAACGCGCACGCCTTGAGGCTCGAATCCTGCAGATGGAAGGCGAGCACCAGCAGCAACTCCAGACGCTGGAGAACCTTCAAGATGAGGTAGCCGCCAAACTACGCGAGGAAGAAACTCGCAGACAACAGCTTCAAGACGAGCTCCTATATGCTCGGCAAGAGATAGAGGAGGCTGCAAGATCTGAAGAGAGACGCAAGCAGGAGGAGGCAGCCGCCGCCAAGACAGCCGAAGAAGAGGCCAATTCACGTCTCGCGGAACAACAAAAGTTGGCGAAGCAGCGCGAGGAGGAGCAATGGAAGGCAACGGAGCAAGAGGTCGCACGAGCACGCAAAGAATTGGAGGAGGCGCAGGCACACGAGGGAGAACAACGGAAGGCAGCAGAGCAAGAAGTCGCACGAGCACGCGAAGAACTGAAGGAGGCGCATGCAAGGGCGGAACGCGAAGCCGCTGCTGCGAAGGAGGTACATGAATTAGAGCGCGCAAGACTCCTTGAAGAACTGAAGAAACGGGAAGAGGAGAACCGAAGGCGGATGGAGGAAGAACTCGCTCAGCTGAAACAGCTCGTCGCTCAATCGGAAGAGCAGAGCGCAAATCTAGCAGAACAAGCGCGTCAGAAAGAAGCAGCGGAAAAAAATAAGAGCCAGCAACTTGAGGAAGAATTGATGAAGGCGCGAGCTCAGGCGGCGAAGACTGACGATGAGGAGCGAAGCTCGCTGGAACGCGTCTCGCCCAAGCCAGATGTTCTATTGCCAACTTTGCCATTCGTAGTATGGAAGGCAGCCGTGAGGTGGTGGGGACTGACAAGGAAGTGAGTCTCGATCACGTCATCCTGGACTCTGCGATTAATCAGGTACTGCTCCATTAACTTACTATTGAGCTGACATTCGTCATGTACGACACGTACTAGTTCGTCTCCTTACCTTCTGTATATATTTACAGTACACATTAGATTGTCTAGTAGCTGGCCACTGTGACGATGACGAGGAGGAAACGCGAATGAAACTTGAGGAGATATCGGAGAAGATGTAGGCGGAACTTTTACGAGTGCACGCTGCAAAACGAGGTAACGAAGGTAGCATCCAAATATGTTGACCTGTGCGTTTACAACTTCAGCACACGATCTACCAAAACCACACATGATATCCAGTATAGCACACGAGAACCACAGAAGCCAACTTCGACGTCGGCATGGGTGGATGTATCAACTGCTTTGGTTCTTCTAGATGCACATCGAAGAAGCTCCAAAATACAGAGGTAGGCCAGGTTGATACTGAGCCACGGAGACGAGTTCCAGAGTCTGAGCCACAACTAGAGCCAGAAGTTGACATACCGTGCGTAGCCATCATTGAGATGTCGGGCGGTGATTAACCCATTGCCGTAGCGTAATGGGTGCCACGGGCAGCGGAAAAACAACGGCCTGTCAATTCCCTGTGCTGGTGGTCAACGGCCGCCAGTTAGTGTAAGTAACCTGCTTCCAGTGTTACCATGGGGCTTGGGGCGCGGGGCTTTCAAGCCTGAGACCTAGAGCGTCGAAGCTTCAAGTCGGCGTTAGACGCAGTTAAGTATAGGAAGACGAACGATCAAATGGCTTGGTCTTGCAGGATGTTAGAATATTGGGAGAACGTTCAGCTACAAACGTTCAGCCTGAAGTTCCACTTTTGAGATAAGTCCTGTTTGTAATTATGCCAATGTATTATACAGCTAATCATAAACAAATACTACCGTTTCTAAACCCAGAATTCTTTCGTGAGAGAACACTCTCTCGCCATCTCGAACTGCTCGTCGGTATGACAAACTAGCATCCTCATTCCTCCGTCACCCTTCCCGATATCCACAACAATATCATCGTCATCTTTGACTTGGGTATTCTTCGTCTCGTCAATTGCCGCAAACCCGAGGCACGCGACAGCTTCCCCGACAGCTCGTCTCAATTCAACGCTTCGTTCTCCCACACCCCCTGCAAAAACCAGCGCATCCACATCTCCACGGAGAGCCAGAAAGTAGGCCCCGGCAAAATGGAGGATGCGGTCTAACATGATGCGGAATGCCAGCGCATTTGGGTCTGCTGTGCGAGACATAGGATCAGAGAGTGCACTCATATCCGCCTTCTCCGTGATCGCCTTGAAGTCGGTTGTACCGGTGAGTGCCTTCCAGCCCGACTTGAAGTTGAGGATGTCCTCGGCCTGTCAAGAATGAGTTTCCAATCTTGCAAAAGAAAGGAGAGAATCGAACTTCTGTCACTTTAGTTTCCTTTGATAGGCTAGGGTCGTGGCTCATACAGGCTGGAGAACGACTGGTGTAGTGGAAAATTAGGCTCGCGTCTATGTCCCCAGCACGCGTGGCTCCAGGTAGCCCGCTGAGTGGGGTCAACCCCATAGTTGTGTCGATGGATTGGCCATTGCGGATGGCGCACATGGATGCCCCTGAACCAATGTGAAGAGTAATTATGTTTAGGGTATCGGGAGCCTGGGGACGTCAGCGTGTCACAATTGGACAACAAAATACCAGTTACCTTGCTGATCTGCGCAGCTACTGCCCGCAAGATGAACGCGTCTAGGAAGATATAGTTTCAGCGACCTTCAGCAATGACAGATGAGTGCATACAACTCAAACCATGAAAACCGTATTTCTTCAATCCTCTCTCTTTCGCTACTTGCTGATTGATCGCATAGGTAGCTACATGAGTCGGAAGATCCTTATGGAATGCACTGTCAAAAAATGCGATGGATTCCGCGTGCGGAAGGGCCCTAATGGCTGACTTAATGACGGAAAGAGCAGATCCATTGTGCCTACAGGCTTCGTAACGCAGTACTGAATGCAAGACGGGAGAGGACATACAAAGGAGCAAGGTCGGTCAGCCTTTCAATGTGGTGATAGGATTCTTCGGATATTATGACGGGGTTTGTGTAGTCACCACCATGCACTACACGATGTGCAATGTGCTTAATGTCAGTTGAGTCGACGCTCCCTTCTTCCCTGAGGCGATCCAGGAAATGCGTAAACGCCGATGCATGGTCACGGATGGAATCGACTTCTTCATTCAAAGACCTGTGTTGAAGTGCGACAGGACTAAACTTGAACTTGGCTGGAGGGGCAAATATGGATGATATGGATGAGGATAGGAGTAAAACTGGATTTGCAGCATTATTAGCAGAGCGGCGGAAAAGTGAAATCTTGAGCGACGACGAGCCAGCATTCACAGCTAACACGAGCGTCATGGTACTAGGTAACTGATTGTAAGTAACTCCAACCGACCTGCAGACTGCACGTTCAGAACGACGTCAGAACATGACCTAATACACGTGACCGCGTTTCCCCTTCTGCTGCTACTGGTAGTGATGCAGGATCGATCAATGGTAGTAGGATTGTAAGCGCCCATGTCGAACCATCGACGAAGATCCACAAAAACATTATTCAGACTCAAATACTGGAGAACTACAAATCTTGACGAGGTTATTTCTTCAGATGAATTATTTCCCCTCTACCACCGTCACCGGAGCTGCGCCCTTTTTGCCAAATCGCGAACAAGACCACCGATAGAACGCATTTTCATACCGGACCTTACGCGTGCGGTTCTAATCGTCCTAGCTCCAAGCTCTCATACGAAAAACAATTTTAAGCACCGGTTAGGAGCCTGCCCTGACTGCCCTCCAATGAGATGTTTGCGAAAGTCAAATCTGACGGGCCGCGTTTCGCATAGCATATCACACCATGTTGTACAGCCGTCGAACTCACTCAGCGACGCCCGAGGGGTTAGGCGGTTTTTCAGAGGTCGATTCACAGTCTACAAGGGTGCTGCAAACGCCTACGTCTACCGGTCGACTGCTGAGCCAACACATCTGATTATTGCAGCTCCTTCAGCCTACATTCAAACGTTGGAGTCAAGTATGTGTCTACTTACATACTTAGTATCATGTTCTTACGTTCGGTTTAAAGCTCGGGGCTAAACGCTCGTCCGAGGCGCCGCAGTGTCTATTGACAATTACTGTCTTCTTCTAGCCGCTCAAGCGTCATCATCCCCCAAGAGAGCGCCGACCGGTGTTCTAACACTTCATGTCTTTCACTCAAAAGTAATTCACTGAGAATTCGATATCCTTTTGCAGCCTTGCATGCACCTGATTTCCCTTCCGTTGCTTCTCCGAGGAACAATATCCTTATACACTTCTCCCGGTGCCGTGAAACACAGATTTGCTTCTCAGATCTTGTTCCCCTGACCAAGCTGCTACGGGTACAAACGAAATTCCAATATAGTGCGGCACGGAACTGATTGATATCTTCTTGCCAAGTGATAACGCAAAATTAGCTGCATGGCTTGATAGTCCTTATTTGTGACGCCATCAACCCGTGATCGATCATACACGAGGAGGATTGAATGTAATACTGTTTTATGCTACTGTCGGTGCCCGTCAATATCGTCTTCTTAGTCATTGGTGGATATCTCGAAGCTCCCGTGTGTTTTCAGTTATTTTTATTTTGATGGATGATCTACTGATTTGTGAGGGTTACTGAGATGCGGAGATAGAATTGTTTGTCTCGGTGGTTCCTCATCCGGTGCTATGGTTTTTATATTGGGACACTTGGATGCAACCGGTGGCCCTGACGAGTTTGGTGCATGATGCTACATGACGCCCTGAACATCACTTAGATTACTGATGTAAATATACAAGATAACCCCAAGAGAAAACTCGTCACTGCATAGAAATATCCGTGATAACGAGATGAGATGAATACATGATCAATAACTAGGCGGTGTAAGATAATCTGTCCAACTCTCAGGCATTCAAGTAGTTGGATTCCGTGGAGATAAGACGACCCGCAGGCTCCCTTTCGTGGCAACAAAATAATCCTTCAAGTCGCGTTCCCAGGAGTCTCGGTCGTATCCCTCAGCAAAGCTAAAGTTCAGTCGTTGCATCATCATACAAACTACCGTGCGCATTTCTTGACATGCGAGCTGCTTGCCAACGCAATTTGCGGGGCCAAATGAAAATGGGATAAAAGCCTTGGTATCGTGGACGATTGGGAATTTTTCGAGGCCTTTTGAATCAAATGATGAGAGCGCTGCTCGCTCTTCAGGTTTGAGCCACCGCTCCGGCCAGAAGGTGTCGGGTGAAGGAGAGAAGTTGCGAGGATCACGGTGAAGGGAATAAAAATGAACGAATGCGCTGGTACCATCGGGTAAGAAGCTACACCATGGAGTTAGATTCGCAAGGGTTGGTATATAAGTGATGGGCTTACTAAGGGCCGACAAACTTGCCGTCACCGCCTATCGGTACTCCGCGCTGACTTCCACCAAGAACGGGTGGGAAGAGCCGCAGAGTTTCGTTACTGGAAACCAGTATCAGCTGTCAGGAAGGTATTAAAAAAGAATCAAGCACGTGCATTACGGCATTCAGGTAACTCATTTGAGGGTGATGCACAGTAGAAAGTGAATCTTCGCCAGGAGGGAAAAATCTGTCGACCTCAGCTTGCAGCCGGAGGTATGTTTCTGGATTGCTCAGGAGCGACCAGAACAGAGAGCTTAGCGTGGTTGCTGTGGTATCAGACCCAGCTACTATAGCAAGGACCCCATCAGACGCCACTTCAGCAAAAGTTGGAGGAGAACTGTGACGTTCAAGCCCCGCCTCGTCAATCTGAGAACTGTCAATAAGGCTGGAAACCACGAGAAAATTTGAAATGATTACCAGATAGTGGAAGAGGTCTTTAGACTGAGAGCCTTGGGTACGCCTAAGCATAGCACGTTCTTGACAGAACATCCGGAATTTCTTGAGGTCCTCCCCAATTCCTGGCAGCTTGACATAGTATTTTCCGAGCCAAGGTAAGTGAGACAGAACCAAGGCAGTTCTTCAAGTAAAAATGTTTTAGTTTTCCATGTGGCAATACTGTCCTTCTCTTGTACTCACGGAAGTCCGCTTTCAAGCAAATGCCAAGTATTGTCCTTATCACCGTCGCGCAACATTTCTGATCCTCCGCCAAATCTGGGGAAATCGTTTAGTTCGATGAGAAACATCCAGACATAGTGGTACTCACGCCATGTCGCTCATGAAGTCAAACCTATGTCATTTGAGTCAGGAACAAAAAAGTAGAGAAGGGGGAATGCGCACGTGAAATGACTTATACACTGGGCAAGATTGACTGGCTTTGTCTGCTGCTCAAGCATCGTTACGAATTGTTGGACGCGCTTCCCAAGAATCTCTTCGTAGCCTTTCAGTGCGGCACAACTGAAAGCCCTGCCCCAAGGTTTTCTCCGCCGCGAGTGCTCTACAGGATCCCTCACCGAGATGAGTGCCCTGATTGCTGATTGCTCAGCCATGCGTCCGTCCCAGTCTGTGATTGTAAATTAAGCCCGGGCGCTACCTAATAGAGGCATCAAACCACTGACGAGGTCCTTTAGGCAACCCATTTGGGCCCATCAACGGAGCTATAGCATTGACGTCTCGTATTGATAGCTCATTAGGACCTAGTTTATAAAAGAAAAGGTTAGTGAGAAACAACCAATGATCATCGAGTTAATTGTCAACGCACCGATCCTGACAACGTCACCATACGTTTGGTGCAGCCTTGAGTAGTATTGGTGCTGCTTCCCATCGCGAGAGACCCATGCCATCCAGAATTTGGAGATACGGCATGGGATGGGGCCAGGATATCTCGCAAGTGGATGCCAGGGAGATAGACGGTACACTACCACGGAAACGATGATAGTAGAGTAATACAATAGACACACACAACCGAATGCGCGCATAAATATTGATGCGCTCGGCAAAAGCAGGGTCGTGAGCACAGCTGGAACTACGACAAGCAGCCCCAGATGTGAGAGCGGGCTGTCTGGTTCGTAACGTTTGAATACAAAATGACAGAGCTATCAACGACCCAGGGTCAGGGCGTGATATAGAATAGCGCGGGGTAGATTGGCCACTCACCAGGCCGGCGGCCACCACAACGGGAAGGGCAGCTTGCAGTGATAGGGCAGACATACTCGGGTTAATAGAGTATGTGGGCATTTGGACACATCTTATGAGCCGATATGTAACCTGTATTTAAGAGGCTGGCGAAATGTCGGAAATCGGGATCAAAAGAAGATTCGACATAATCTAGTGCACATATTGGCCAAGCATTAGATGGAGATTTTGACTCGCAGAAATCAACATCTAAACAGAGATGGCATGTCCGATGGAAATAGATAGCAAACACCCGGTAAGTCATCGGATATAGGTAGCATTTGGCCCCACAAGGTGCGGGTGGGAGTTCGATACTTAGTAGAACGGGTCGATCAAATGAAGATGGAGTAAGCTAACCTGTACGACAGGCAACATTATGGAACGTACGGGCAAAAATCGGTTAGGTTGAACGGTATTAGGCAAGCAAAGCCGCGGTAACGGAAAGCCACAAGTGCCGAGAAGATTGTAAGCTCACCTGAGTGATGTCCGTGGACTTAAGTTAATGTGCAGGGTTTCCAGGTCCTCGCGTGCCTGTGCCACCTTCCTACTAGGTTGGCTCTTCCGGGGGATCGCCATGAGCTGTGAGCTCATTTTGGTCCGGAACGATCACCTCTGCTGCAGAACAGGTGGAAACGATTGTTGCAGCCTCCTGCCTGTGGTAGGTCATTTAGTAATACGGATACCATTTTTCTACTGAGCGATACCTTTTTAGGTCTGGCACGGAATATGCCGCAACTCGGCTATTTTATGTACAAATGGTGTTTATCTTAAAACTTAGAGGCGGGGATGAAAGAGACGTATGTATGGGTACTTTGAACTAATGGGCGTTGCTATTGGAATTCAATCCGATATAATATCGTCAACCTGGGCTGCCAGGGTTCGGACCCTAGATATGGATCCTGTATTTCTAGATCTCAAGAGCCTATCAGCCTGAGGGATAGGCCGCCGAGCGACCAAGAGCCAAGAAACCGATTTTAACTAGTGACCTTCTGCCATTAATCATCGCAGTGACTGGCAAGCAGTGACGTCATTCTATAACGGGTGACCTCCCGCATGTGGATTGAGGGTAAAACCCGTCATCAAGACGTGTAATATGGCGAATATGGCGGCGGATAACAATGTGATAAATATTGCAGTGTTCCCTTCGCCGAATATGCGCTGGTACACCAGACGTGAGTACCGAACCGCATGAGATCATGAACGCTTATGCAACATTGTGGCAGTGGCAGAGTTACTGTTGTACGAATTGGAAGGGTAACAGAACAGAAGATTTCCCCTCGGCTCCGACAATATGCCTCGATCTTTGAAGGCCTCGAACATGCGGCCTGCGTGGGGGGGCCTGGAACTAGAATGACCCTGTGTGACTAAGTATGGAATTTATCGGATACCATTTCGGCTTATTGACGAGACAGTCAGGATGGGAAGCCTAACATATGAGACAAACTGCACCGCCCCAGATAGCCAAAATTGACTAGCCACGGTTTTGTGCCCTGATCTCTCCTGGGCTATAAACGCAAGCTCCGGAGGTGTCACCATCATAAACAGGCATCCCAGAAGCGTAGCATTGACGCAAGACCATGATGCCTGAAATTAAGAACAGACGCTCGACGGAATTTGGTCAGTTTTTCCATACAGAAGAGGAAACTCCTACTAACCAAGATTGACGGCAATATGTCTTCCTCAACCGCCCTGATAGTGCATCGTGGCATGCGGCGACAGGAACATAATACTAATCAGCGTAATCATATCTGCTGGTCGAGGTCCATCTGATAAGTGATAAGTCAGAATAATGAACTACACGAAGCGCTTACCAGACGCGAATAACGGTCAATGAAAGGGGGATTCCATGAAGGATGATCGCTCCATATCACATCATTCCATCGGATCAGGTTCTACCCCGTTTCCTGGATCGTCTCCGCTTCAATATTCATAAGTGGTACCCTGGACATGGTGTATCCTATATGGACCGTGGGCTTATCCGCTGAGTTGGCAGAGGAAGAAATCCGTGCAAAGCGCAGGGAAGAGCCTAGGGGGTTTCAGATCCGGGAAATAAAGCAACCAATGAATTTCCAACGGCGTTGTGATGTACCACCGAACTTTCCGAGGAGCAATAGTCATGATAAGCGGACGATTCTCGTAAGTGGGCTCCGGCATAATAATCAAATCATTCCTTTAGAGGGAGCGCCAGGGATCTTGAAGGTTCGCCACATTTCCATTTTTAAGGGGGAAAATGCGGTCGCAACGACGCAATACGCTGAACCCAATGTGACGCCGGAAAAAAGGTTCGTGTTTCAGTGAGGGAGCTGAACGTTCGGGGCCGCGGAGGACCCTGGAAAAGCTTACTGGATGTTGCGATGTGATCCAGTGGATATTGAACAATCAAACATTGGTTAGTAGACGCATTTTGTCTATCAAACTTAAAGCATAAAGATACGTATTTGATGCAGCGGGTCTGCGCGACTAGGTTCTCCTCGTGCGTGCCAAGGATGGCCCAACGAATCCAATTGGTAAAGAATGACAGTATGATTGTGGAACGTGATATGGCTGACCAACAGGCCAGAACGGTGAACCCTAAAGCAACGGATATAAAGAAACGAAGATCGTTGCCCGTTGGGGAAATGACAGGATATTATGATCTAGTCAGGGTTAATTCGGGGGACACTCCGAATGGAATAAGATGCCTACTTCCTGACAGCATAGATGTTTCTCCAGTAAGCAAGGAAATAATTCAGTTAAAGGCCTGGTCACACGTCCCGACCTGGAACATCTTGCAGACTTGACCCGCTCGATTTGACCAGAAAATACCCAGGGGGACAAGCGATGTCTCGGACATGGTGCGCAGCCAACGTTTTGGGTGACCGATCCATAATACAGTTTAACGATATGGTGTTTGCTGACTGCATGGATTGATTGAGCCCGGGTAGTGCTGTTGACAGCATCAGTACTAGCCTTTTTTCCTCTGAATTAAGTATACGACCATACACGATGTCGCGCCAACTCTATTCCACGCCAACCTGCGTTGATGGTGCGGAGACGTCTTGGAAGGCGAGGAGAAGACGAAATGAAGGGAGAGTGGGGATAACTAAAAGTTTAGCCAGTTTGTTCCAGCGAATCGCCGCGGTTTGCCAGCGAAGTCCGTATTATGCTTTGTAGTTGCGAATGTCTTCTGTTCATGCTCGCGCGACTTGTGAAAGCCTGTGAAAAGTAGTAGTACCAGGTACTACTGGACTATATGTAACAAAACTGCCGCGGAAGCAAAAGTCCGCGCGTTACGTCACAAGTCCCCGATATTCTCACGAGGTAACACTTTGGTTACAGGTCATACGCTGTTCAAACCACGTCTTGACGACCAAGTACTACGATTCACAAAAATGACCAACATTCTCCGTTTATTTTCAAAACATGCACGCTCATTGTCTAAAATTCCTACTCTAGCACTCAGGCGTTCTTTTCACTCGCCTTTCGTAGCGCTCAACTCCCCATTAACATCACCCGCTCCAAATGCGTCGCCAATGTCCGCATCATCCTACGAGAAACAGCATGACCATTCTCCTGAACCCCAAGTCTCGTCTGCTGGCACGCGCACTTACGTGGTCTCAGAGCCTGACCCAGCCAATACCCCTTATGCCGTGCCATCTGGTGCATATCCCACTACAGCACCTTATGTCAATTTCAAACCCACAGACCCACCCAACCCCGAGGGGAAATATAGCTCTAGTAGCGCGAGCCTTCCCCATTCTTTTACAACTCGCGCAGTTCCCAAAAATGCAGCTGGCGTTGGTGAGAGTGCCGCAGTGAGATATGGAGAATCACCCGGTGAAATGGGTCGCAGAGGGGGAAGCTATGGAGGGCTAGATTTGATGGATGAATCCAGCACACACAAGGGCCCCGCAGAACTTCCTGACAGAAATCCGTCCCCTGATTCGGACGTCGCCTTGCGTTGGTCTAAGTTAGGCGTTCAGGAGGCTTGGAAGGAGCGGAAATAGAATGTGGGGGCGTGCGGAGGAATGTCGCCATTCAGTCAGGCGATCGAACACGGTATCCAACTGCATTGACTTTTAATAATCTTGGAAGCTGTACGATAGTGTTATATATGGTTCTGCTGCAATGCGTTGTCTTGGAATTTGTTTTGAATGTATATTATTGCGTTGTTGTCGGGCTCCGGAATATGAATAGCTTGCGGATTCCTTCGCTTCGAGGAGATCTATACTGTCGGGTTATCAGATATCAGATTTCGAACGTGCTTTATTATATTAAAAAAATATTCCAGAAGAGCTACTCATAGCGCAGGATCGCCTTGTCCAGTCTCATCATACGGCAAACACCTGAATTGTCATCGACAATATGAACAACGATCATCCAACGCGGTATTTGATTCGTGCGCTCGAAAGCAACCAATATGTATTATTTCCCTCAACTTGGCCTGGCGATAGAAAGCTATCCCGCGGCGGAGTAGTTGGGCTAATGAATAACCTAAAAGAGTCTGTAGATAATACACATGGAAGCAATAAACAGGGAAATATCCGTCACCCAAGACCAGCCACAGGATCAGGCGGAAACTTGATGATGATGACTGTGACGAAATGAATATTTGAAACGATCGTGAGGGGTATGATGGCGGTGTGACGTGTTCGACCTGCGGAAACGGGAAAGCAACACGGAATCCCGAGGAGAAGCTTGCAAGATAGATAAGTATGTATGATAGCCATGATTGATAGATCGTGCACGTTGTCGTCAGAGTATCTACGTCCAATATACCTACAACCGGAGGATCAGATTAGTTGGAAATCAGCAGAACTTGTCTGGACAACTTGCCATTAAGCCGAAGAACCGCGGATAGCGACCAGCGCAGCACCATCCAGTGGTGGTTACTATGCCCGACAGCAAAACAGGCCGGATAAGAAGCCCTTCCGCTTAGGGTGCCTGTCATCATCCATGTCATCAACACCATGCCTTTGAGTCTCAAATGCAGTCATTCCACGCATCTGCCCAGCATCGCGGGTCAGGGTACCTGCAGTTGTATCCTCTCGCGAATTGGTCGGGTTTTTGGCGGCGTGAACCTGCGTGCCATAGAGGAACGAGTCTGAAGTGTCATTGCGCCCAGCGAAATTATTGCCATTGGTCACATTCGCAGCATGGGTGCCAGCAACAGGAGAATGCCTTCCATAACCGTTACTTGCCCGGTATCCCGAGGAAGTAGGCGCGGTGGCGTAAGGATGAGGAGGTGCGAGTCCCGAGGTCTCTCGGGGCGTCTGACTCGCGCGCCTGCTGGGAGCGATGGGCTGTACGCTGATATCAGCACGAGCGCTGGGGTCTCGGGTGCCGTGGCCTTCTCGGGTACCTGGACGTCTCGTGCTATTTTTAATGTGAGCAGGAGTAGGCGCGAGGACGAGAGGAGTAGAAGGCGCTGAGCCATCCGTAAGTTGCGCCCGTGGGCGGCGGGTTTCACGATGACGAGGTGTATGAGGTACGTTAGCAGTTGCGTGAGCCTGCGCTAGTAATGATGCAGGCGTCTGGAAAATATTGTGTTACGCTACACTTTGATAATAGGAATGAATTGCATACATTGCCGGCCTCCCAACCTTTACCGTTGTTGATTAACATCCAGTCAAAGATGCCATCATCCTGGTCGCCAATATTCTTCAACACTTTGGTGAAAAGTTCTCGGAGAAAGTCATAGTCAGGAGTTTCCTCAAAGCCGAGTTTGCGGACGTAGTTCATGTAAATTGCGAACTCCTCTGAATCAGTAAAGACAGATCAGTAAATCATGTTCTCTGGAGCGCATCTCAAAACGAAGCAAGCAAGCGCCACAACCACAACCCAGGCACTGGAGGATGATGAACTAGATGATGAACTAGACGAGAACTTACCGGGGAAACCCTCGCACAACTCTGCAATAGGTGTGGTCTGCTTCTTTTCACCGATCTTCTCATACTTCTGCTTGTTGGTTGCGGCCCGGAGGCCTTGCCAGGGAAGGCCGCCACGCAAGAAGTACATGAATACATGACCTAGTGATTCCAGGTCATCCCGGCGTGACTGCTCCCGGCCAAGATGCGTGTTGATCGACATGTACCGGGCAGTGCCTGAGAGGGACTTGCGTTCACGATAAGGAATGTGGACTTTCGTCTTGGGATCTCGGTAGTGCTTTGCCATACCAAAATCTACCAATGAAAGTTAGTGCGTTGCAACACAATTAACTGACGGAGATCTCCGCAAATTCAGGGACACGTGAATGCGATCGGAGGAGTAGAAGGACGTAAACTAGGAACAGGAGCGACGTGGAAAAAAACATACCAATGATGTGAATAGTGTTAGAGGTTTTCGTTCCAGGGACTCCGACAAGGAAATTGTCAGGCTTGATATCACGGTAAATGAGCGACTTGTCGTGGACGGACTGGATGCGAGATATCTAAAAAGGAGAGATGAACCACTGCAAAAGACCACGGAATGAATGAAGAAACAAAGAAAAAATTAACTACAAAAAATAACAATACTTGCCCGATGCATTTGAACAAACTTACCATCTGCTTGGCGGACATACATACAGTCTTAATGGTAAACTTCCGGCCACACATGTCAAAGAGATCCTCTAAATTTGGCCCTAGAAGGTCAATTACTAGGACATTGTGGAGTCCCTCCTGCCCAAAGTGGTGCACCTGGGGAACGCCGACTGATATGATAGATTAAGGTCGGGCGACGGAAATCACTGGCCATAGCACGTACCTGTACCATTCAGTGTTCGGTATGATCGAAATTCATCCCGTAATTGAGGAGCATCGGACTTTCGAGGTTCCTGTGTAATACGTCAAAATCAAGCCACGATCAGAAGCACCTCACTGCGAACGTACAAATTTGATGGCGACGGGTTGACTGGAAAGAAGCTTTGTGCCTGCAAGGAGCGGTGGTGAGTCAAAAGAACAAATGGCAAAGAACACCGGTAGTAAAATTTTGGTTTAAGGCAGCAAGTAAATAATTTCCGTTCTGACGCGATGCGCGGAGCTAAGTTGTTCTAGTTCCACTGGTACTAAGTAACCATGGTCATGATGATCGCCCACCGGCGAACTATGGACCGAAAAGCACCCTTCTACATGACATTGGCTGGTCGTAAGACGGGCGCTTAGAAGGTGGAGTGGCTTTTGGTATTAGACCATGCGACTCCAAATTTCTGGAAAAGTAGGAATAATTCCGGTGTACGATATACTGACCTTCAAATACAACACCGAATGAACCTTCACCAATCTTCTTCCCAACACGAAAGTGGTTTCCGACTATACCATTCGAAGTGGCAGTTTGAGAGTGGTGCCCCGAGGATGAGGCTATAACATGAGGGGTCGTCATCTGGATTTAAAGATTTTGAGGAAACACCAGTCCAGAAACGCAGAGGGAAGGGTCTAAGTGGGATGGACTGGCGTGCTTGTAAGGGACAAGGAGCGGATGCGAAAGAAAGCACCAACTAGCGGACTTTGAATTGCCTTATTTGTACTCGGCCGACACGTTCCTACCTTAACAGCGCCGGCGCGCGCTTCCAGCCTTGCTCCCTCTGCTACGACCGCAGTCGTTTACACGTTGCCTTACACGATGCAAGTTCTAAGTTGACAGTTTGCAGACCTTGCAAAATTCAATCGTATACTGAGAAGTGGGCATTTGTTTCGCGTTCTCCACTACTAAGCGCCAGCTCGAGCTCCGATATCAGACAGCAGGCAAATTTATTAGTTGAATCTCATGCAATCCTGCCTGTCGGTGGCCATATTTATCAGTGCCATGCACCACTTTCCAAGAAAAGGCTCGCAATGCGGTAGCCGGTCCATGACAGCATGTCTGATCATCGAAGTCAAGTGCGTTGTCGATGCCCGTGTTTCGACCATCGGCGTAAGGATCCGGGTCACGAACGCATGAACCACGGTATATTTTCCCCTGCATGCTGTTTTTACTCACCTTAGGAACACTTTCAAAGACGGGACCTGACGGCAGGCCCTTCATGGACGGAGCGTCACACGGAATGCAGTGGCCTACCATCTCGACTTTTCCGCAATGGGGGGAGCCTTATGAGCATTGAATCACATCAGGATCTAGCCGCAACATGTACTATCAGCTTCGCGGGAGCGTTCCAGATGCACTGGAGATGCTCCACGTATCATCAACTTCGCCGATCGAACATCTTCAACCTTCGAATCACGTGTCGGCCCCGTGCCCTCCTTTGATTATGATATATGCTCCCGCGAAGCATCCAGGACTCGTACACGTTTTTAATCTATCCAGTCTATCCACTCGGGTTCCCGGCGCCGCTGGTCAGTTCCCTCGGTCGATATACCAGATCATGTCTAGGCGACTATCCCGTCGCCCTTTGAGGCTGGTCGTTCGTTAAGGTTCATGTATTACAGCTAATGTCAAAACCCGAGGGAGATGGCACAAATATCTGATCTCCTTGATGAGCCAGGCCTGGGTGCATGGATGTTCTGCGCAGGCCATATTCAGTGACTTCTTGATACACAACGAACGTGACGACTACTTTACGTGCCGATATTTGTAGACCCACCCACATGCACAATCTCTCAATCGCAATCAAGGATATTTGTTTTCGCGGCCACGTCTAAGATCAGAAATCATCTTGGCATGCTGTGGCATGTCACCGAAGTCCCCGGGCGGCCATATTTTGGGATAATCATATGCGCTATGGTCACCCGGTGGACTAACATTTTCCATGGTTGTGAAAGTTGGATGCAAATAGATTAGCCATGTCAGTACTGGTAAGTCTGCAAACTGTCCTTCAGTGTCAAACTCAAAAGTCCTCTTCTTAACGTCATTGTCGATTCATTGTCGAAGACGTACTTCATTTGACAGCTACTAGGTAATCAGATATGCAGAACTGCCAAAGTAATCGTGATCTTTATCCGAGCTAACGTCACTCGCATTCTCCGAGGACTCTAGCACCAGAATCAATATGCTGAGTAGTACGAGCCCCACAAGAGCCGACAATCATACCCACACAGCTGTGTCATGGTCTAATCAAAGACTCGGATACTTACAGTTTATCATTTATCTCTAACCATGACCAGGAATATGCTAGTACACAATCAAGCACTGATAGAAGATGAGCTATATCTACTGGCCACTGAATATCATCATCTGATGTGCCACAGCAACTAGCGGCCACACGCCGTCAGCCCTCGCGTCTTCTTCGTATGCCTCCTTATGGCGCAGAATAAAGCTGTGTGTCACCGGCCACTTCGACGAGTCCCCATGATGGACGCCCCCACAAATAACGAACATTCCAACGGGGGCGCCAAGCCACATAATGTCATAGTCGATATGAGCTTCAGAGCCACTCAAAGGTAAGAGTTGCAAAGGGGGTAGGGAAAGGAGGGTTGCGGTTATGTCGAGCCGAGTACGCTTGATCGTGTCAAATGCTTAGGTACGAATATTTGGGCGTGATTGAGGGTACGATGGATGTCCGGAACGAACAACTTACGAGGTAATGGAGGGTGTAATTGAGGCAACTCGGGAGAGAAGCATTTTACTTCTCGATACGAGAAGCACGCATTACTAGAATACGCAGAAGCAAGACTTGCACGGTCCGAATCGAACGTCTGGAAATATCTTCGGAATCGAGTAGCGGCCCACGATAAGATTAAGATAATTCCGGTTGCAAATCCCAGGAACATAAGTTGGAAACACACCTTTCGAGATATTCCATCGTCATTTTGGAAATCTTTTCTTCTTCATCGGGTATTATCTCGATCATCGGAAAGGGGTTTGGAGGCTTGGACTGAGCGGGAACCTCTGCAGTCGGAGGATCGGGCTTAGGTGGTGCCTGAGGTTTAGAGCCTCCCGCAGGCGAGGATGATACAGATGGAGATGCTACATTCCTCCGTGGCCGTGGTGGGATAGGTAGTTTCTGTACATATGTGGATTGAGATACAACACCATCATCAGGACCAGTGACCGGAAGCGATACATGCGACTGCGAGCGGGAAGGTGTGTGGTGAAGAGAAACATGGCGCTGTTGGGCATTTGTTTGATGTGCGAGTGTAATTGTAGCAGCAAGATCGAGTTCTGGTTGCAAAGTGTCTGACCAAACTGGGACAACACTCTTCCTATCGGAATATGTTAAATGTTAACCACTTCATATCACATATGGAACTCACCAATCTACTATTATGCCATCATCTCTGCTAGGAATCAGTGTACGGTCCATCCAATGCAGTTCGACGTACCTGATAAGCAACTTTTCCGTTTGAAGTTTCAGACCCTCCATTTCACTTTGACACTTCTTAGCCCATGTCCTTCGATTCTGCTTGTGCCCAGGGTTCGAAGGCAAACAATTCAAAGGAAAGGGGGCAAAGCGCTTTGTCCCGGACACGACCAACTTTCGTTGGGGAGGCGGAGGGGATGGACTTTGTTCGCACTTCACCCTTACATCGTTATGATGGGCATCAGAATTCGAAGGCCTGCCAGCTGGTATGGATTGATCATCATAACGGGGGCGTTTCGGTGCCCTGTGACCTTCGGATGTCCACATCTTCGAGTCTAAAGAATATGTGGCAATCACCCAGGCTGACGCACAATATTTTCCTGGAAGACTACAGTGGCTACGTTGCAAGCTCCTTCAAATGTGGAGGGGCGGACTGAGAGGAGTTAGTTCTTCGGTACTGAAGAGATCGGACTTTACTCGGAAAATCCCGGGCACTGCTTTTAGCCTTTGTGCCAGTTCTCCTGACCTTTGCGATGCTGACTCCTTTATTCAAACTAGTAAAACCTAAAAGTTGGGGGCCTGAATGACGCTGCCACTGTAAACTATCCAACGTGCAGGTGTGTATTGAACTACGAGTGTTTTTTTTTAAGACAGGAAAGGAAATTTTGCTTACGTGCCTGCAAGTTGATTGGTCGAGGGTTTTGACACCTTCCTTTATTTTCATGGCGCCACGCACGGGAACAGTAACTGAATTCAATACCTGTAACGGGCACCTTGGGCAGTAGAGCACAAACTCGCCTAGGTTGTAACTTGTGCGAGGTAGAAGCGGCACACGTTTGCTGGTATCCCACCAATCACGCAATGGCAGCATGAGCGAAAATGGCATGAAAAATGCTCCAAGTTGGAGACCGTATGCCGCGTGCGTCTCCAGGGCCCGGATCACCAGCCAGGTCATAGTATTAATAGGTGGAATTAATATGAAAGATTCTCTAACTTCTCTTCATCGACATCGTCTACCAGCGTCTTCGTCAACGCCATGGCTGCAAAGAAGGTCCCCTTGAGTAGTGTCTCCCTCATCTTTGCGTACGTGATCTTGTTGATTGTTTTTCACCTTTAAATTGATAAGATCTTTCTCACAGTTGTGGAACTGCTCTGTTTTCTGACGGTATGAAAGTACAACGCATCTCTCTTCTATCATGAACTTGATTATTGTTCGCAGGTTATGCCAACAATGTCATTGGTGCTGGTAGGTGATGAATTCATGACTTGATGTGTCCATTTAATCAAGAATTCGACTGTCGTGCAGTCAATACTCGTGAGCGTTTATTGCCAAGAATTTCATTTCATTGAAGACTGAAGGCAAAATACAGTTTTAAAACGTATATACACCACTGGCATCACAACGAACTACAGCACCACACTCAGTAGTGTGGCCTTCGCAGGTGCGTTCCTGAGTCTTCTTCGTCGATTTGCAATTTATGCGTCACAGGCACCGTGGTGGGTATGCTCACCTTTGGCTACCTCTCAGATAAAGTTGGGCGCAAATTCGGTATGGTAAGTAGTTTTCGACTCTAATCAAGCAATCCACAGTTCTTACTCCCTGAACAGATGTACCGCAACTGGGATTGTTGCATTATTTTCTGGTCTCTCAGCGGCTTCGTCTGGTGCTAATCACAGTCTCGATGGCATGCTCGCTATGCTTATCGCATGCCGGTAAGTATGCCGGTCCGGTGATATATGCCACTCATTTTATTCATAATAGCTTCCTTCTTGGGATTGGCGTCGGCGCTGAATACCCCTGTGGTTCCGTATCTGCGTCTGAACAGTCCGAGGAAGATGGCATCGCAAAGAACACGCATCACCGATGGCTCGTGCTCGCAACGAGTGAGCTGATGTTCTGAAATGTCTTTATCACCAATAATCTGAAACACGCTCTGCTCAGACACCATGATCGATGTTGGATTCGTTGTTGGAGCATTCGTACCACTGGTACTTTTTTGGATGTCCGTACCGCCATTCACTTCCATATCTTGCAATCCATGACTAACAGTCACTACCAGATTCGGGGACAACCACCTCCGTGCCGTTTGGCGTCTCTCACTTGGGCTTGGTGTTATCCCTGCCGCCGCTGTCTTCATTTGGCGGCTGCGCATGGAAGAACCCACTCGTTACAAGCGCGATTCAATGAAGAATGTTCGTATCCCATACGGACTAGTCCTCAAAAGATACTGGCGTGGCTTGCTTGGCGTTTCACTCGCATGGTTCATCTATGACTTCATCACGTATGTCAACAACCGCGCACATGCATCCTAGCTAGTTCAAGTTGCTCACATATCTCCAGATACCCAGTACGCTGTCAGGCGCTCACGCAGTGCATTATTACTGATCATTTCTGTAGTTCGGACTTTACTCATCCACAATCACCAATACGTATGCATTTACAATTATTCTTTCTTGACACGAGTAGAATTTGACCATTTTGGCAGCGTTACCGGCGGCAACTCCTCCCTCTCCGTCGTCTTTGGTTGGTCTGTTGTGATCAAGTAAGCTTCCATTGCTCGTGATTCATGCTCTCTACTCACATGTGTCTTACAGCTTGTTCTACATCCCAGGTTAGTCTACTAGAAAACGATGAACTTGCAGAGCTCACATTCTGTCCGCAGGCACCGTTTTGGGCGCCTTCTTCGTTGATTATATGGGTCCCAAGACTACCATGGTGAGTAATATTAAGCACCTGTGAAGTCCTTTTCCAAAACACCCGTCAGATCACTGGTCTCATCGGACAAGCGATCATCGGCTTCATCATGAGTGGCCTTTATACTCAGCTGTCAAGCCATGTCGCTGCCTTTGCGGTATGTATATCTCTAGCACGAAGATAATCGATGCTGAACAGCGCATTAGGTGGTGTACGGCATCTTCCTGAGCTTCGGGGAGTTTGGTGCGTCGGGTTGCACACACACTCTTCGTCTTTTGACCTCATTTTACCTAGGTCCCGGAAACTGTGTTGGTGTATTGGCTGCAAAGTCCGGGCCAACTGCTGTGCGTGGCCAGTACTATGGTTTTGCTGCTGCTGTTGGAAAAGTCGGCGCGTTCGTCGGAACTTGGGGTATGGAACAATCCATACATTTTTCTTCGACGAGTGTACTGAGCGTTTCTCCTTATCAGTCTTCCCTGTCATCGTCGACGATTTCGGTGGCTCGAGTTCAGATAAAGGCAACACTGGCCCCTTCTGGATTGGCAGTGGTCTCGCCATTCTAAGCGCAATCATCGTGTTCTTCCTTGTAAAGCCCCTAGACCCCGACGGTATAAAGGAGGAGGATGCTAAGGTGCGCGATTGTCCCTCCTGTTGCCCGTGAAGTTTACACATCCCACGTAGTTCCGAGAATACCTCGAAGCGCACGGTTTCGACGTCTCACTCATGGGCCTTCCCGAAACTGAAACTGTATCATATTCTGATGAGAAAAAATCAGATTCAGTGGCCAAGGATTCGGATTCAGCAGTTAAGGTCACGGTTTAATTGTGGAACGGGCAATCTTGATGATATTTTACGTTTACGTTTGCGTACCATGATACTTTCTTACTCAGGACTTCTTGTACGAATACTTGCTGAATAACCTAAGATACATGGTCTTCAGAGATTCACACTGATATAATGATACGAGGAACACAATTCTTCCTGCTGAAAATGACGCGAATATGTTCTTTTCCAATTTTCATCAATGCCACTAGGTGATTGCTCAAGGGCATTTAGATTTATCATTAGCTTGGAGTTTCCTTGAGCAGCACGGTACAATCTGAAAATTCAACACTTCTGAAGAGCTCGAATCTAATTTACAGTAACTAGACGAGCGCATGATATCTGGCAAAGACGCAGATACGATGACATTACTGTATGTATGTATATTCATTTCAGAATTAGATCAGTCAAGATCAGTCGTGAATCATTCACGTCTCACCTTGACTGATCTAATTGACCTTGGATTCCTGATAGCCTTTGGCATAATTTTCTTGCATTTTCTTGCAGATTTAATGTTTTGCTCCTCTTCACGTTGACATTCTCTTTGTGCGTTGGACCTTCAACAGCATTTAGGATCCAGCGCACGAAGCGGTCGCCAAACGTTCATCATAGATGAGCGGCACTACATCGTATGGGCGGGATGTGAACTGCCCAGAATCAGCAACGACGGGCTATAGGCCACCAGCCTCGCGCTCGCGAGAGGGAAGGATGACATGCAATGAACAGATGGAATGGACAGATCTAATGGAACGAAACAGACATAACGGTATATTATATATGCTCACCTCTAGGACCTCTGCCACCTGCTGACTGTAACCTCCTCCTGCTCCACTACTCCCTACCCTTGCCCTACTGAGATGCAAAGGATGGACTCTAAAGGGGCGCTGTGCTCCGACTACCCATAGGAAGTGCGGCATGGATACCGGACTTCTTGCAGCATTAAGATGTCACTTTCATGACGGGGACGAAAATTGACGAGAAGGCGAGAGGAGTGCAAATTTTAATTAATTCTGAAAATAGCTGGGTGAGATGGAGGTCATCGAGTCATCGGCCCCATGAGCTAGGATAGTGCACACCGACTGGTGTACGATCCGGAGTGTTGTAAAATACAGGCCGTGACGGAGATAGAGAGATAGGAGAATATATTATAAAGTCTAGAGATGAACGTCGTCTTCGACGTAAGGGATAGGGTCTAAAGAGAGTGCCATGTATAGGCTGGCCCACAACGAGAGCGTAGATGTTGGCCGTCTCGACAAGATGGAGATTTGAGTTGAGCTGTGCCACAGTACATGCATGCTCTGTTTGATGATAGACTTGATTTTTGATGGTTTTGAAATTGTGTTGAGGTAGTGCACACCGATGCACGAAAGGACATCCAGTGTCTTAGTGTGCAAGTTGCAAAGTGATAGAAGGGAGAGAGGAGATGTAGGATAAATTCGTCATCGACGAGATGAGACTAAAGACAGGGCCATGTTTCAAACGCCTGCCGCAAGAGCGAAGGTGATGGTCATCATAAGTATGGAAATTTGAGGATGTGAGGGTTGCGAAGGAAGACAGCATTTAGTAGGATCATGATCAGCGTCGAAGGGATGATTGAAAGAAGGAACATAAGAGCTGTTCCCTTTGAGGGTAGACTTATTTTGGAGGGAACTCGGCAGTTCTGCCAGGACACCGGTATTCGTTGTGATAGTGTTGTTGGCAGAAGATCGTCACCTAAACCTCGTCGATCTCGTCAACGTAGCTTTTGATGCACTTTCCTCGTCGGCCCCTGACAACGGGTTCGAGTTAGTATTGACCTTGCTTCGTAAGGTGATGTTTTGTTCCACGCCAAGTAGACTTTGAAGTAATTAAGTTATGATCGGACCCGTCTGTATGAACCAAGTTCTCAAGGTCTTAATTAGGTGGAAATTGACCTGCTGGCATTGTAGATATCATCAGTTCGAAAGGGGATTTCAGGTGAATAGGTTCCCTACGTCACCATGAAGAACAATATTCAGCATATAAAAGCAAGTCGTCTTCCTACTGTCCCCTTCAGATTTATTTGATCCCATACCGAGTCACCCCCCACAAACAATGCGTTTCTCCATTGTTCTCGCTGTTGTTGCTGCTTTGACAGCATCAATATCTGCCAGTGATGCTGCCAGTGAGAGCTGTCCTTTCTTTTGCGTGCATAAGAGCTCGTGCAAAGGCTGTGACCCGGACTATTCATGCGTGAGTATTAGTTTGCGTCCTGGATTTAACCACATGACTCACTGGTGTGGTAGTTCTTCTTTATGTGCTACGGCAACCCATCTTCTTGAGTGAGTCGTGCTTCTGCTTTCACATCGGTGCAGCGGTTGATGGCACAACGCGCGAGTTACTAGTAGTTTCAACTTTCAACGTGCTTGCTTCTGAAAATTTTCACTGCCACTCACGCAATGGAGATATTGGAATAGAGAAAATCTCTATATTAAAAATATGTTATGTACGACCAATGAACGTTTGAACGATGCAGTTTTGTAGTCTCGTTGTAAGCTTACATAAACGTAGAAGCCCTCGATGACACCACGAAGGAAAATCTTAAATACTAAAAATGGTAAGTATTGATATGACGTAGTACTTGATAACTTAATGTGCGACTATTGGTGCCGGTTCGTGCCGCTGTCGTTTGAACACTTCTATGGTCTGTGATACGTGGGCTGAACACAGGGAAATGCGTAGTCTCCCGTAGCCAGACCAATAGAAGGAAGACAATCGTTCCGTCGTATTGGAAATGCGTGGACTGAATATGGGGAAGGAAACACAGGCCCCGCAGATACGTGACGAGTTCTGTGTCTGCCACTGCCTCGCGACGGGCGATATGCTTCGCGGCAAACGTTTTTATTTTTTAGGGCACAACTATCACCCTGACCACCAAAACTGCTCGACGGTATGAGGGTGTCATAGCATCTACCGCTGGTGTTACCCTCAAAGACATCGACAATTTGCAGTCTGATCCCGCTGACGCTAAGATACCGGTTCCCAATGGCGACTGCGAGTGCATCATATTAGCTTCCTTTCCCCAACAGGAAGCTGATTCCACCAAATCTTTGATGCTGATCTCGATACTTCCTGTGCGCTAGCTTTTCGAACAGATGCGGATATCAGCAAGAACAAGTTAGTCTGCGAACGGGACCTATACAAGCTTTGCAGTCATCGCTGCCGCAACCTCTCCGCCTCTAACAACGACGCATCGTGAGAGTGCCGGCGATGAGATTACCTTGACCCGGGCTCGAGCGCTAACACATCTTAGGATTAATTCGCGGCTGATGAGCAAATGTTCTGCGTCACTACTTCTTATGATGAGGTATACACCACTAAGTTGGATCGGACGGCTGCTGACTATAAGGAGATGGAGCGTAAGGCTCAGCGTATCTCTAGCGAAATATTGAGTGTATGTCTGAGACGCCGTAGGTTTGTTTTAATTTGATTCTTTCAACACGGCGCTATAAACTATCCTCATATGAACGAACGTTGATGATAGCGATGTGAACGGGGGAGACAAGTGCGTCCATCGAGTGTCCGGTCCGGTTTTGGTCTTCTAGATATGGTACTGCGGTCCGAGGACAAAATGTTTACATCCCACCGGGCGCTCACAAACACCAGGGTGCTGCGCCAGCCTTGGGAACAAGCCTTCTGCGCCATTAACATCATCGGCTTTCAATAATGTATGTAACCATCATAAAACAGAGCCAAGGCTTGGCGTCATTTAGGTTGCAAGCGTGAAAGAAGCCGTTAAATTGGTGTTCGCTGAGGTTGGCTGAGGCCTGCTTATAAGTACCTTAAGTCGGAATAAGCAAAGCAAAAAATGTCGAATGCGTACCGAGCTATCATTAATTGATGATGCGGACCGACAACTGAGTACTTAAGTCAGAGTATGTATACAGAAACGTGAACGAACAGCTAAACTATGAACATACGAATCATGGGTAAAGTAAGTAAGATGCTACCGAGTGTATACTGAAAGCTCGATCTTTTTTAATAGCCCCTTGAGCGTGTTGCTACTCCGATTGCAATGGTGCTGCAACCAACCCTTCATTTCATGTCTGATATCAACAAGCTCCTCGCACAGGGGCAACTTGCCATCCGGACGCACGAGGCAAGGATTAAGCAAGAGATCGAATAGCTTCATCCATAAGTTATTCCGCCAGTAGCGCTTAAACGGCGTCGTGATATTGTAAGGGGGTTGGGGCGTGATGGATGACGTTTCGATGTATTTGCCGAACAGCATGCAGTAGATGATGCCAACGAGACCAAAGTAGTCGGTCTGATATGTCCAAGGGCGATGCTCTCTTAGCTCAAAGCAATCTCGTGCGTCTGTTGGCCAATCACCCGTAGGCTGTTTGTTGTGAGGAAAGAGGGACATGTCGAGTGTTCGCCCGAAATTGATGACTTAAATGCCCTTGTATTTTCAGCCACCATCACCAGAGGGCTGGTATAGGGTTGAGAGGGCAGATGCTCCGCCTGGGACGTCTTCGAGACGTAGAAGGCAGTTGTCGATCTTGAGATGACCGTGGATGAAGCCTGCGCTGTGCATTCCTTCGAGGAAGCGCATAATCTCGATAGTGAAAAACATGACAAACAGCTCATCAAAACATACCCCTTGCTGCGAGATACCAGTAGTGCCAACACGGTTGACAATGTCGAGCAAGGTGCCTTGTGGGCATAGCTGCATAAGCAGGTGGTTTTCATCGCGATACGCGTAGAGGGCATACGGTAGGACGAGAACCCCCCCAGTGGATATTTTTCCGAGATTTCTATACCCTCTGACGAGTCTGATCTGGATTCAGAGTTTGAGGCCAAGAATCGTAGGACCACTTTCCGGATCATTTCGCCTTCTACTTTACAGGATGCTCACATGAGATCTAGCTCCTCGAACGAGATGGTAACAGGTGTGTGGTGTGTGGTGTGTGGATTTTGGGATTTCTATACAATGCTGGGGGAACCACGTGGTCATAGAAAGCCCCTCGAAGCAACCCATATTCTTCGAGGGTTGATTTTGCAAGATGCACCCACAGGCGAGGTCGGTTCTTCACCTGTCAAGTTGATATATCTGTTAGCTTATTTTTCTCTAGCATGGCCTACTTGCGATGGTGGACATTATAAAACAATATGCTAAGTTCTCTTCAGAGCTTGTCGACAAGCTAGCCACTGAGATCGATGCTTCTAGGAATGGGATAATGCATAACGGCGGGCTACAGGACATATTTGATTGGTTCGCGTGGTGCCTACATGCCATGGTAAACTCGGGACGACGTGTATTTTTCGGGTACTGATGCCCGAGTCAAGGATGACAAGCACAAGTATATTTTGCATTGGTTCGGCGATTGCTATGTGAAAGTCGCGTCAGGCACGGAAGTGTCCTTCCAGGATCGCTCCCAAGGTGGTATGGAGCTTCTGGACCTACGATTCATTGCATTGCATGCTGCGATAGCTCATGTCTTGCATATCAGTAGTGTGGCAGAAGTTCTGGACAGGATTATGACACATCCTTTGATAAATATTTTGATGCAGGTGATTTAGTGCTGTCTGGCAAAGCATTGTGGCTTCGAAGAGACCGCTGTCAGGCTTGCCTTGGCACAGCTCACAACAAATTATCATCAATCACCAACAAACCCTCAGCATGTTGGTGTAGCTGGACAGAAATTGGCGGATGAGTGCTTTGAAAATACGCAGCGGAAGAGAGGCGTTATACCTCTGTCATAAGCCTGCTAGGAACCGAGAATCAGTTGACGGAAGTCAACCGGAACAGAATTGAGGCTAGGGAACGTGTCCTTAGTTTCCTCGCCTCCCAGGACAGTGTCGAATCCAAGGGAGAAGGTCCCTCCATGAAGGACAAGGTCAAAAACCCGAGGTAATACCAATCCTGAGTATGAAGAAGTCGACCTTGACTCGTAGCGTTCCAGTTGGCAAAGGAGCAGGATGTTGATATCAAATCTCACCAAGCCGCCCTGCAAATGTTCACTGAGAACCGTGCTCAAGCGGATAGCTCGAGTGATGAACGAGAGCAAGGGGAAACTCACTGTGAAACTTCGGGCATAAGCGAAGGAGGGTGTGTCTCGCGTAGAAAAGTCGAAGCGGCTGGTAAGGGCTCGCATCCGCGAGTTGGAGAAGGGGCTCTCCAGTCCTAACCTATCTAAGTAGGCTAACCACATTGGATATAATATTGGATTGCGCTCAGAGGTGCCTAAGAAGAGGCCTGACAAATGGGTGGTGCAGTAGTCAAGTCTCGTCGAGAGCTCGGTGTGGATTATTTGACAGACGCGTCAAACGCTTTTAAGTCGGGATTGATGAGGTATTATGTATGAAATGCGATGATATTATTGGGAGGAGTCTAGATGATGACCACGACGGTGTATGCGCCGTCCGATATGTCTAGGATAAGCATTGAATATTGATGTATTCGAATTGTTTGATGAATCACATTCTGTCTATATTTCGACAGTCGTGTCGGCAAGCGCCGAGCGCGGTCAAGTATATTGATGTGTGATGTGATGAGCCGTACTATGCAATCTCGAGGGTCGAGAATTGCAAATTGGCGCAAGTGATGAATTGAACTTGAAGGAATCCGATAAGTACAGATAAAAATCGGGATGGTTACAACGCGAAGATACGGGCCATCAGCGAACTGATGAGCCGCAGATAAAGTCTTATATGACGATATATCGTCATATATAGAACTTCTTTCCTTTATATTGGAATATAAAGTCATATAAAGTCATGTAAAACACCGTAATCGACGTAAAGTACCCTGGGTAGACTCACGAGTTCTCTGATGGCCCCTGGTACGATTGTTATCGTGCCTTCAAACGATTTGAATCATGCCTTTCCGATCTGCGTCACATAACGGATGATATATCTGACGATGTGGGTTGTGCACGAGTCCTGCGGAAGGAGAGAAGAAATAAAACACGATCTGGAATATATGTCCCGGCTCAGATATAAACATCATGGATGAGATCCCGGCACTCCTTGCCACCTTGCCTGATGCGAGTATGTTAAATCTTGTTTCACGGCTGAGACTTGCCGATTTTGGGTTGCAGATTGACTCCGAAGAGGCAGCGCTCCGAGAGGTAGCTCGTCTTCTAATCCTAGTGGCAGTCTGGAAACATTGTCTCAAGGCTGAGTGAAATCAGGAAAGTGACCAAGATATGGTAGAGGAAGAACGTGCGACGGCGAAGAGGCTGCGTAAAAAGGAATGGTGGTGACATTTCCACCACCATGTTTTACGCGTTCTCCTTGCCTATTAATATTTGAAGATGATGGCTCAAGGGAATTGCGATCTCTCAGAGACTTTTCTAGGGAGACTACAATATCCTTGAGCAATCCAGTGCAATCTGAAAAATTCAATAGGAAGGAAACGTGCGAATAATGAAGCCTCTGAAGAGTTCAGGTGTATTGAGTATTTTACTGTAACTGGACGAGTCAATTGACAAAGATGCGCGCGGGTACGACGCCATTATTGCTGCATCGGATCTCCAGATGCTTTCCCTGACTTCGCAAGTTCATTCCTAGCCAAGCTATGCGTTGAGCACAAGTATCATCAAGACGAGGAGAACATCGCATACCGTAGCTGCACGCTGAACTCATCCTCGATGTCGTCATCGTCCCAATTATCCTCCCAAAGTTTATCCCCCGCTGACTTTGCGACGCCAGGCGCTGCGCCCTTCAAGTGCGCTATATCCGTACTGCGATCCTCCCAGTCTAGCAGACAACCACGATCAACATGCATCAATGACATGGATGATGAGACTGGATGGTCACCTGCAACTTGAAACTCTTCGAACTCGTCATCTTCTTCGAGGACCCCCAGGTGCGGTTGACTGTCCTCTTCCTTGGGTTTCTCTGGTACTTTGTCTACGGGTTTTGATGAGGATGCGGACGAAGACATGCTGGTACGTTGACGGACTCTGGGTAAGACGCGTTGTAGGCCGCGTCAGTACTTGTCACGACCGTGGGAAAGGAATGTGATTTCGTGAATATCCAAAGTTAACGAGGCGTACGGTCCATAAATACAATAAAGATAGTATACAAGACAGCTGGCTATATTATCACCCTCCTGTGGGAGGAAGTCCATATTGTGTAGTCCGTATGACAGGTCTAGGAAGTTCGCCCGCCACCTCATCACCAGACAACTCGGAAAGATCGCTTTCGTCATGTCCTATTTCCGTGGCGTCTGAAGGTGGGTAGTCCGAATGAGACAACAAAGGTGTCATCCGATGTTTGATGTGAGTAGTAGGGGGAGTGCAAGGAAATTGGATTGTCTTGATACCCCGCGGTGCAGGAGTGGTGATACATACCTCGGGGATGTAACGGCCTTTCAGGGGTGGAATTCGGATTGTAAGTTTCGAGCTGCCCAGCGTTATCTTCGGAGCAGATGAGGTGCTGATGTCCATGTTTTCCCGATGCTTGCTCTTGGGTTTCCGAGGACGAACAGACGGCGTGTCTAAGGCTTTGGGTTTCCGCTTTGAAGGGGGCTTTCCGGAGTTCTGGTTTTCTGTCTTTGGTTTCTTCTTCTTTGAAAGACCTGCATCTTCTGAGCTCTCTAAGTGAGCAACGTCCTCCTCACGTTTCCGCTTTTTCTCTAATGCGGCTTCCTTGTCGGCAGCTTCTTTTGTGATCTCTTCCATCAAGAGCTCCGCAAAACTTTGAGCATCTCCTTGTACCCACGCATCAAAGACACCATCCCATTCCCGTGTCGGCCCTGGAAAATCAAAGTTCAAATAGATGGATTTGATAGGAGAGTCGTCCGCCGATGTGGCTGATCCTTTGCCAGGGGAAGGTGACGGTGTCGCAAGACCTGTAGACGCAGATACTGTATCCTTCGACGAAGTGCATCCTCGGGCGCGTACCGCTTTCGAGAATTCACGCACCATGCGTTTGGTGCCTGGAACCTTTAAGCTCGTGCCAACCACAAGCAGAGCATCCGCGCCGCTCCGTCCCTTGCCTTTGGAGCTTCCAATAAGATCTCTCCTCGCGACTTCACCCACGCCCTCCCCATCTTTATGCAGCTCATTGTAAAGAACCACACTGGGTCGCAACTTTCCTACACCTCGAGCACGCTTTCCGACAAGTTGACGCGTCTCCTCCATTTGCGTGCATTCGGGGCAGTTTGGGGGTGTTCCTGACGTCAGCGAAGACACGTAATTCTCGAGTGGGAAGGTGTGCATGCAGGTTTGACAATGCAACGTTTGCAGCGTTCCATGCAGGGGGATGCAACGAGGGACTTCAACACCAGGAGACGTGTATCTCGATCCCGGAGTTAGTGGTGGGCTATCTTGCGGACAAGGGGCGCTGATAGAAGTCGCAGGTTGATCAATGGTGGGAGGCCCAATTGATTTTGGCTTGGATCTCGGTCTTGCTCGCCTCTTATCAAACTCCGGGACACCAAAGGAAAGACCAGATTTCAGCTCGATCGCATCGATGTTTTGGGTATAGACACGCAGAAGCCTGCCCCTGTCATCAAGTGATCGGAGTGCTTGATGAAAAGGCGTGGGGCTGGCTGCTTGCGAGAGCTCGGATAATTGAGCTATCATTTGGCAAAACATCGATGTCGTGTGTTCATTCTATTGAACGTGTGAGCCCGTCATCCATGAGTACAAAGCACGCGTAGTGGTTGAGGCAATAGAGTCTCTAGGTTTTCGCATGCGAAATCCAAAAAATCGAAGCTGAATAGAAGATGGTATATTTCACTCACGTTAAACACCGATGCATCGAACAAGTCTTTTCCCGAAGTCAATGATTCTTTCGGGTTGTCTCGTTTCAATGTTTGAAAGAGACCCGACTCTGAGCGAAAATCTGGAATTCCAGCGGAAACAGATATACCAGCACCTAGTACAAGGTTAGACGATGGTATCTTAAATTTCTGACGGTTGGAAAACGAACCACAAACGACAACCAACCGTTTGGCCTTTAAGATGGCCTTGATAGCTTTTCGCAGGTGCAAGTTTGGTGTTTCTGAGGGCACCAAAAAAGATGGGATTGGAGGAAGAGGAGCACTTGCCTCTAATGGAACAAAGAGGGTCATAATCCTACTGCCGATGTGATGGTGAGGAGCAGAGGAGGTGATGCGATTGAAAAACCAAGGGGGACGTTCCCAACCAGGTCATTTCACTAGCCAAGCGGTGGCGCGGGAACCTGATGCGTTATCGTAATTCTACAACGTAATGTACTTACTTTCATCTAACTTGCACCTTGTCTCGGTTTTTGTCTCAAATCCCTACTATCATATCATGGACGAAGACAGCGTTCTTTCTGAGCAAAGAACTCTGTGCGTCGCCCAATATTGGCGCGGTTACGACTCAAATGGTCAGCGGATGCCACTTCATTGGGCACTCTTCGCGATCTCCAATGCAAGTCCCGATTCACTCAGAGCTACCAGCTCAGGAAAAGAGCAGGCAGATCAAGTAGACCACTGGGGCACTTGTTACCAAGCAGTTGGTAACATCGACACCTTTACCTATTCTTGCATGGAAGACGAGTGCATGGAAATTCTTGCCGAAGGCTATCGTGGTTGCCTGGTAGTTGGAAAGATCGATTCTTTCTCAGCGGAGGAGATAAACACGTTGCTTCAGCAAGTGACTGTTTATCGAGGTAGAGAAAATTGGAATTGTCAGAATTGGGTGCTTGCCGCACTTGAGAGGCTCAAATCCTGCAACTATGTTGCGAGCTGCGTATCACGCGATGCTGTTCGCAGCGAGCTGGAAGATATCCTGCACGATTGGATAGAATGATCGAGATGCTACATCGCGATCCCCTACATGTGTACATGGTACGTTTCATTGTGCATTTTTCGCGCTACAGTAGCTCATGATATTTTAAAGATCAAGCAATTGTTGTCCGCTTGATTGAATAAGTATTAGGTGTATTGTCACATATGTACGTTACTGAACATACAAAGGGAACCCAAGGCTGCTTCTGTGCAGCTCTACATATCGTTTATATACCTCTTAAATTGTATCGAATACGGCTTCTCGAGAATCTCTCGGATATTCTGCCAAGATGACTGTGCCCGTGTATTCATGTCACATTGGATTGTATTCGAGTACGCCCTCGGGTCTTCCATTACTGTGTCACTGATTCGCAATTCAGTACGGTCAAATAGTTCTGGTGAGTCCAACTTTGTATACATTCTAAACAGTCTGGGATGCTTAACCGACCTAGGTTCCTGACCAGCCTGGCGTATACCACCGCCCATTACGAGTCTATAACTGACCAGCTTGGCAACTTTTCTCAGGTTCACAAAGACTGCTCACGCGGTCTCTTTACTTCTACCCAGACTCTAGCAGATCGCCAAGCTTTCGAATCATTTCAATGGGTCTTGTTAAGACGACTGCTAATGCGACCTGCAAGCCAGGCCCGACTGCAGATTTATGCGGAGCCACAATTTCAAGAAGCATGGTATGGCCATCGCAAAGCTGGCCGCCGTGTCCGGGTGAATATTCAACTTTCCAAGCCCTCAGCTGGCACACTTTGGCAAACCTACTTGGGTACATACCTGACAGTGGCCGATATAGTCCATGGACGAGATTTCTGTGGAACCACAGGAGTGTGGTAAGGCCATCGCAAAGCTAACCACCGCGCCCGAGTGGGACATTCAACTTTCTAAGTCATCAGCCGGTGCATTTGAGCAAACCCGAGGTGCTTCCCTGACACTAGCGCCTAGATAACGTTAGGTTAGGTCGTCAAACAGCATGGAGCAATAATAGCCTCCACGATGTGGCGATGGGGGGCCGATGGGTCAGTCAACAGTTAGGTTAGTGTAGTGTGGTATCGAGTTGCTCATACCATATGTACCTCTAATAGACTGAAACCCGGTTGACATGCACTGATAAACGTAGGATTAAAATTGTTTCCAATGAAGTTCGGTGGTTATGTAAATGCACTGAACTTCCAAACCCCTGAAGTTCAGTGGTCAAATCCACTGAAGAAATGTTATTCAATGCATTATGCACCGCAGTTCAGGGGATTTACTAGCCACAGTGTAACGGAACCGATGAATTTTGGGTAGTACTTCGATGCGTGATCATAGTTAACGGATCAAACGAAGTCTCAGATCTCATCACCTGAAACAGCCTGAAACCTACAGCTACCCATAATTGAAACAGATGCCTTTCGGAGAAAAAGGATTCCCATTCGCGCTTAAATCGACCGGTCAGATCTCTCAAAGGAGAAGCCTGTCGACTTGACCGATATCTCCGTTATGCACGGATACCTGCGTAGTGGTCAATTCTGTTGACGTATTGTACTAAGTCTAATTGGTAAGAGTTGGTAAGGGGGAATGAAGAGTTGGGCCAGGTCGGTGAATGACTGTCGAACTTCACGAGATAGGGCCGTTCACAACGGCAAACACGGCATGAGACGAAGGAGGTTAGGCCCGTGTAGATTGAAACAAAGGAATATTATGGATGTCAAACTCTATATAACCCGACCAGCGATGACGCCTACCTCTCGCTCATGGGCGGACGAGATAAAAGGAGTAGATACCACAGAGAAAACATACAAACACACGCTCACTGATACTTAAAGACAGCGATACGACATACAACGCGCAGAAAATGTGTACAGAGAGCAAAGGAAAGAAGTAAAAAAAAATGCAATAGGCCCTTCCAGCCGCGACAAACGTTAAAACTCCTACGTGAGATTGCGTGAATAGTCCTTGTATAATTAATTCAAGGGAAGACGGCCTGAACGCAGGAATTGAGGTGATGAAGCACGGTATAGGCGGTGAAGAGTGAAAGGAGTCGGTGTAAAATCCGTCATGATTCCACTGAGACGATTGACGCGCAGTCTGTCATTGGAGGTGTTGACGGGGCTTGAGCAATTTTCCGCAAGATCTACAAGCACCAAAAAATCAGCGAAACCGCACCCGCACGAGTTGATTAATGGACGGATGGCCAGAGACAATGACTCTTGCTCACCTGAAGGTAACACTCTGTGGATTGTACGCCTTTCAATGCCCATTTTCCGTCGATAATGATGGAGGGCACGCCGTTGACACCGCTCGCCCGAGCAGCGTCAATCATTTGATTGACGCAGTTCTTGCAATCGGTATCTTGCAAGAAAGTGGTAGCCTACACCGCGCAGCAATTTCTGTGTCATCATAACTGGTAGTTGAATTTGACATGGAACCACACCTCTGCCTTATTCATCAAATCAATTTTCTCCGCTGCATCGGCCAGCAACTCGACGTCACTGATATCCTGGCAGTCGACGAACACGGCTTGAAATATAATGTCGTTGAGTTTTCCTTGCATTTCTTGCCCGCCGACTTTATAAGCTTTTACAGATAGTCTGTGTGCTTGGGTGGACCGGGCCACAATCCCGTCTTCCGCCCTATTTCACATGGAGTCAGATCAAAACACTGACCGGGTGCTAAAGATGCTTACAGTGGTAAACCAGCTTTCTGTGCCAATTCTTCGACCATTTTCCACTTGGCTTCCGCTTGCTCTTTACCAAACTTCCGAACGAGGTAATCCCAGCGATTTGGCACCTTTTTCCCGTTCACCTCGGGTACCTCGGGCACTGATGATTGGCAAAGGAGTGTAAATGGCCGAAATTCCACGTCGAATCGTACATCCAAGTCATGGCATCCGGCGATGGCGTCTTGCAGAGCCTTGTTCCCGATGTAGCAAAAACTACAGACCTGTCAAAGCGCCGTAGAACGATGAGTCATGGGAAAATGGAATATGCAAGGAGAATAGGAAGACAGACGTACATAATCCGAGATGAATATTATTTTAATAGTGCGCTGAGGCTCTGGGGATAGCGTAGAGTCTGAATCGGACATCCTTGCGATATACGAGTTGATGGTCCGCTCTTTGACTTGAAGCGAACACGATCACTAGGAAGGGGGAGATAGACGGGAGGGCGGAGTAGATATTGCAGGTGAAGATAGAGGTCCACTGCCAGAATCAAACAGTTAGAATAAAAGGGCAGAAGGCAAGGCGAGTTGGCTGAGAAACCCGGAGGGCTCGGACAGCACCGAGGCTGAAAAGTGTGTAAGCTGAGGAGAATACAACCAGCCACATTTCATTGGACCCGGGAAATCTAATCCATTAGCAATACCAGCGTGACATTGATGGGTAAGCATCTCCCTGTGACATGGCGTGACAACATCCAATTGCAAATTCACCCCTCACACGTCACGACTGCTCCCAGTCTGACATTACAACAACTTGTGTAAGTAGGTTCGGCTACTAACCAGTCGTCCTTATGAACTGCATCTGGCGTCGACATAGCTGGCTCTTCTGTCTCAGGGAGGCCAAATTCTGCTTTTCTTTTCTCAGCCCTCCAAAACTCCTTCGTTCCTGAAGTCGTGTCACTTTTTATTAGTCATTTAGTACTCGTAGTTTCACAGACACCGGCCTGCGGCCGTGGATCTGGATCCAAGCCTTACTGTGCATAATTGAATTTCAAAGGGATCAAAAGCCTAAAAGCGGAGTGCTCTTCTCAGAAAAAATAGGCGCTTCACCTATACCAGTAAAGGCGTGGAAATATAAATCTGCTCCGTGAGCGAGGTTGGAGCCTCAACCTCAGGCTCCTATCAGGCGATTACACCACAATAATCAGCATGGTCGCATGACAAAGCTCGGCCGACGTACCGCTGCTCGCCTCGCGCACCCACTCGCTTCAGTATTCCACTCCTTTTTCAATAGGTAGAACTGCACTCTAACCCCCTTTGCCTCCCATTTTTCAATTTCCTTCAGTAACATTTCCCACAGGTCGCGGTTCTTGACCGCCTCCCCGCGACTTGTCTTCCACCCTCGCTGTTTCCACGAGGGTACCCACTCGCACACCCCGTTGACTAGGTACTCTGCATGAGTACCGATGACGACGCGCATGAACCCTTCACCAGGCCACATTCGTAACTGAAGAGCAACGATCGCAGCCCTCAGCTCAGCCCGATTTCTTGTGCGCGCATGACCAGGAATATTTTCAAGTTGCATGGAAAAACCCTTCGTCCCAGGCTCGAAGTACAAGCCGCACCCTGCCCTCGCGTCTGGAGTGTTTTCGTTCACAGCTGCACCGTCTACGAAAATCAGCACGGAGGCCAGGTGAGTGACGTCGGTGTGAATGAACCGTGGCGCCCGGATGGTGCACGCGTTGATGGCGGGTACGAATACATCTAACGGATGTGTGCCCTCATGCACGACGAACCGTCGCTGCGCAAGAGTCGCTTTTATCGGTGGCCCACTGAATCTAAAAACTTCAGGCATGGGCATAACCGGAAGTGACCGTATGTCAAACCTGTCGCCACCAAACTTCAGTCGCTGCAAATATATTATTTCTCTCAAACTTACCCATCTTCGTCATCTGATTCAAGTTCGTCGTCAAGGTTTTCACCGTCACCAGCGGCTCGTCGGACGAGGCGAAGATGCTTCAAAAACTCTTCGGTTTTATTGAACTCTTCGGCAGGAGGTTGTACAGCAGGATTGAAGGCCCGGCCAAACGGCGAAATTTGATAAGCCCAACGTTTCCGATCACGCATATCGTCATTTGGGTTCGTGGATGCAAAGGCTCGCTTGAGTTCATCCCAGCCGGATATGCCACCAGCGTCCTCGAGCGGGGCACAACCAACAGCTTCGAGGACTTTTAGTTCCTTGACGCCAGACGCGGACGTCTCCGCAGAAATCAGTGTTACCACATGATCCCAGTTGTCCTTGAACAAGGTGAGAGGTGGATCATCTTAAAGCTGGCAAATACATACCCCGAAATCATACAAGTAGTAGCATTTCCCCATAACCCCATCTTTCACGGCCATCTTGTGATACCTCCCGGTCTCCTCAAAGAAATTGTTCAATTTAACATCTTTCTCACTGAAGCTCGAGCGTGCAGATTCCGCCCAGTCGTCATCTTCCTCTTCCGCTGTTCCCATATGAATAGCAACAAGTTTTTCCCTATGATCCAGCGAGATGAAACGGCGCTCCTCGCGCCGTAGAGGGCGACGCGCGGGTTCAAACGTGAAATGATGCAGGTGGCATTCTTGCCAACCAAATGCCCACTGGATTGCTGCATGCAGCCGCTGGAAGGTCCAAGAAGCAGGAATCGAAAAAGTTCGAGAAATAACGGGGTTACGAGAACCGATGAGCTCGACTTTGAAAGTGTAGGTACGAACAGGCATTCTGAATGCGTTGCAAGACAGTTCTAGCTTCTGGTTGTCCACAGTCTTAAGCACGAAATCAGCGTTGTGCTGTAATTAACGTAAAGATAATATTGTGTACGTAAATGCGACTGATGCCGCGGAGTTGAAATTCCAACTGACAATCAAAACAACCCTGAACCAATGTAGCATGCTCGTCCTCGAGTCTAGCCAAGCAAGTGGATGTGGGTATGTAAACTTAGTAACGCACGAAGAGAGTAAAAGTCTAGAAGATCGAGTTCACGATGTCACCACCGATAGCGGCACCTGAATACAAATGGTTAGGATCATCGAGCAATTGTAAATAAAGGTCTCAGACGAACCAGCGCCGAAACCAAGGCCACCAGCAGCTGACTGTGCCATCTAAAGAAAAATTATGTTGAGGATCATTTTATCAACAAATTCTGCATAATTGGTAGACCTACAGTAGAGCCGAGATTACCGAAACGACCCTTCTTTGGAGGTTGCTGAGGAACTGGCTGAACCACTGGAGGATTTCCCGTATACGAATTATAAGGGGGTCCGGGAGGCGGATAACCACCGGTTGGAGGAGGGCCGAGTGGCGGGGGATACTGCTGCTGCACAGGCTGTGGGACAGAATACGGCGGGGAAGAATACTGTGGAGGGCCCAAAGGGCCTGAAGACGGGTACTTGGGCTCCGAGTTCAAACCATACTTCGAATCCACCGATGTCCTTGTCTTTGGAAATTCAGGGAAAGACGGTGGAGAGACGGATCTCGGCGCCAGTTTCTCCACATACGTCGACGGAAAAAGACCCTGCTTCCCCACCTTGTTTCTGCCTGTCCACCAATCCGCGTTTGTCTCTTTCACAATCTCTATGATCTCTCCGGTATGGAATGATAGATCATTTGGATCCTGTCATGGCTTAAGTAAATCCGCAGCACATACGTGCAGATGGGATATACCTCGCTCGCCCAATCCCAGATCGCACGAGCTTCCGCTTTGGGCGCCACATGCAAGCTAGCGTTGTTGCTAATCACGCTCTGATGGGGCGCTGGAGATATTGAAAGCCGCTGCGTATGCTGCGTAAGCGATACTATCGATCCCGCGACCCCAGCGCTAGGAAGCTTGAGCAAGATATCGCGGCCATCTGATGTAGATATCCTGTTATGAGACATCAACAGCTCGACATTCTGCCTGGTCTGTGAAATTATGTGGTCCAGAAGAATATGATCAGACATCTTGAGAGTAGAATACTTGCAAGTAATATCTGGCGGTGATCATGAATAAATGTGAATTTAGGCTGTGGCCAAGGTTCTTGGTTGTTCTTGCCTAATGCGGTACAGCTGACCAGGCGTACCAAGGACCCGACTCGGACCTTTGCGGCCAGGGTCCAGCTGCATCGTGCAGGTTTCCAGCGCTCACCACCACGTCTCAGCTCACCGCTTTGAGTCTCTTCTACTCGCTGGCTATTATATGATCCGATCCGTTATGTGAACATTCAATGGCCTGCACGAGCTCTGGGATCTAAAGACTACAATCAAGGATTGGGTATCCTTCTAGTACTACATAGCAGCAGCAAATACGCTGTACTGCTCTAGGTATTTTACAGTGGCTTTCAAAGTAAGTAAGTACGTCCTAATTAACGATGGTGAGTACTATCCTCATATTATACATAAAGCCGTAGTGACTGTGCAGCGCACGATCTGATAATTATAACCCAAGGCGGCCGCGCCACAATGGCACAAATCATAGAAGGCCCTTGCGGATCTCTCTGAACCGTCGGTCAAATAGCCCAGGTATATTGAGCTGCTGTGTAGTCGGGGCGATAGAAGGGTGGAATGCGCCCCCGAGAGGCGAAACTAGCCATGATAACCTCCTTGCTTCGAGGGACACGTCATTTGGGTTAGGATCTGCGAAGGCTCTTTTGAGGCCCTCCCATCCCATTACTCCGTGGCTGTTCTCGAGAGGTGCACAACCAGATACCTCGAGGACTGAAACTTCTTTGGCATTAGACATGACGGTAGATAGCAAGGTGATTTCGTGCTCCCAAGCATCCTGTCAAATCGTTTTAATCAACTGCCGAACGCCACAAAATGACATCACTTACACCAAAGTCGTATTCATAGAAGCAGCCCCCTAGGGTTCTGTTGTTGGTAACATGCTTGCGATACCTCCCGCTCTCTTCCCACACGTCCTTGAGCTTGACTGTTTTCTCATCAAGGACGATATCGTCTCCTTCATCATCCCGCCCCATCATGTCCGTATCTTGTATCGATACGACCTGGTTTCTACCCCCTCCAATTGGAATTTGGAACGTAAATACGTGGAGGTGCTCGTTCTGCCACATGAAGACATGCTGAATGGCAGCGTGAAGCTTTTGAAACGTCCATGATGCGGGTATGGAAAAGGTCCTCGAGATTTGTGGGTCTCGAGATTCAAGAAGATCAACTTTGAAGATGTAGGTTCGGGTGGGCATGTTGTGAATGGGTCTCGTTAGCGGTCAGACGACCATATATCTAAGCGTTTGAGAAGCACTGGGGTACTTAAACGCATATGAACTGGGCTTTTACGTCCTCGAACCCATCAGTATTGATCCTCGGGTACAGGACACGCCCATTACATCCGTAGAAGCTCCACCTCAGAATGGGGACAGTGCTCAGCAACGATCTTTATTGGCTAGTAACATTTCCTCGTTCACTGCTTCGCTAATCTACGGCGGTCCGGGGGTCGTGCGGTGAAGGTGTGGTATTGGAGTACACTGCCTGAGTCTACTGTATTAGATCTTCATCCCAATGTTAATGAGCACCGCTTTGACGTTGGTATAGCTGTCGGCTGGTAAGATCACGGGGTGTCGATCAGATCAAAAATTAACTTACTTCTCAAGAGCATATTCGCCCAGGTCTTTGCCTACGCCTGACTGCTTGAATCCACCAAATGGCAGTCCAAGGTCCGGCCAGTTAGTGAAGTTTACCTACGCACACGGAATCGGTGTGATCAGCTGATGAACATTTGCGGGAAATATCCCACACTTACCCACGCGGTGCCTGCCTCGATGTTACTTGCAACACGCATTGCTCTATCGATGTCCTTCGTGAAAACCGAGCAGGCGAGTCCATAAGTGGTGTTGTTTGCTTGTTCAATCACCTCTTTGACGCCGTGAAGTGACAGTTATTAACGGCAATGTGAAAGATAAGCGAACCTTCCTCCGTGGCAAACTTCATAACCGCTGCTACAGGACCAAATATTTCCTCCTTCACAATCTTCATATTGGGCTTGCAGCCCGTGAAAATAGTAGGCTGGATGAAATAACCTTCTGTTCCATGCCGCTTGCCACCAAGGTGAAGAGTTGCGCCTTCTGCTTGGCCAGATTTGATGTAATCCATAACGCGCTTACGTCGGAGTATCGGTGTCTATTAGAGACCGATATGTTCAGCTGCATGGCACTCACCTCAAATTGTCTCTCAGATATCTGAGGGCCCTGGAACGTGTCCGGGGAAAATGGATCACCCAAACGAAGATGCTGAGCGCTATGTGTGAACTTTTGTAGAAAGTCATCATAGATGCCGGCTTGCACGTAAATCCGAGACCCCGCAACACATATCTCTCCTTGGTTTGCGCTTCATGACCTTCAGGAACCATATAGAGAGGAATTCTGGAGACAGAAAACGCACAAAATACCACTAATAGCCCATTTGACAGCCTGTTCGACGTCTGCGTCGTCGAAAATTATGTTCGGACTCTTTCCGCCGAGCTCGAGGCTGATTTTCTTCAGGTTGCTTCTCGCGGCTGCTTCCATAATCTTCCTGCCTGTGAGAGTACTCCCAGTAAATGCGACCTTGTCGATGATCATATTTTCACAGATCGCTTGCCCCGCGGTGTCTCCATAGCCCGGCACGATGTTGATTACCCCAGGTGGGAAACCAGCTTCTTGGATCAGCGTGCACAAAAACAATGCGGAGAGGGGTGTGAACTCAGAGGGTTTCGCCACAGCGGCGTTTCCGCAAGCGAGTGCGGGGGCGAGTTTCATAACAAGCATGCTCACTAGCCGAAATGGGGTAAGCGCAGAATCGCGTTGTAAGCGTAAATACAAACGGGGAAAGTTCCATGGAACGATTGCGCCCTGGTCAGACGCTGGTGAGGACCTACTTAATTTACCACAAATTCACGACATTTACTCACAACAACTCCAATAGGCTCGTGGCGAGTAAAACCAATCTTGTCAAGGGTTGTCTAGAACTGGTCAAGAAGGATTTGTTGCAATTACCGATAGACATGCCTGGATGCTTTTGCCCTGTATCTTGTCAGCCCATCCCGCATAGTACCGTAGCAAAGAGACTGCAGTCGGTATATCCACCGCCTTTGCCGCGCAGAACGTCTTGCCTAGCAGAAGCAAATCAGTGGAATCCGATCAATAAGGAGTGTCTTACTGACCGACATTAAGGGCCTCGAGAGCAGCAAGATGTTCAATGTTGGCTTCGACAAGATCAGCGAGCTTATGAAGGAGTTTGCTTCTATCTGGTCCAGACACCTTCAAACCCCAGTGCTGTTTGTATGCTGTTCGTGCCGCTTGTACTGCAACCTCGATATCTTTACGGCATCCAACTGAAACTCGGGCGATAACCTTGCAAGTCGCTAGCGCACACTTTATCAACTTGATGAAAGCTATACGCTCAGGGAGTCATACCCGGATTGATCACACTGAATGAATCTCTGTCAGAAACATTGACCACTTATATTAACCACGAAGATACACACTCGATCGTCCCTTTATCAAGAGGGTCGACAAACTCACCATTGATGAACAGTTGTGTCGGGAAGGTGACTGCGCCCTTGTAAACGGGAGTATCGAACTGGTGCGTGAGAGTGGACGCCATCATTGTCACAAGAGGAAGTTGAAAACGAGGAAACCGGTCATCGCATACCTGGTTTATATGCACTCAAAACATAACGTATGGTGTCAAATGCAGAAAGGCTCCGAGATGTGATTGAAACATCCGATTACCATTTGAGTCCCCCGATGTGCTGCTCGGGTGGGCTTATGCATCGCTCGAGTCGCTTGTAAAATGGAGAATGAGTATACAACAGGGTATAACAAGGTGCTTGGGGTTAATATTGAGAATCTTGAGTTTGTATCTGCTGCACCGCGTGTGATGGCTGCATCTTTGTTGGTTTTTGTAGTTGGACTTGAAGCAATGGAGCCGAGCGGGATAACAGATGCATACCCAACTTGGTTAAACGCGAGAACGTAAGATTACGTTTCGAATGCTTGTCCCCAACGGCAGACAAACAAGCAAACACCATTGGCCAGCTGCAGCTGGGCTGAGGGTCAGTGAATATCCACGTGAATGAGACTTACCAATGCCAACCTTCGAAATAAGGCACCCATTCAATGCATATGGTGAATTCAAGCCTCTAGACGTGCAAAAAGAGTGCTGAAAACGCGACAAGGCAAGTGACTTCATTGAGGCGAGGAAGACGTTCTCAGTGCATGATTCAGCAACTATGACACTTCAAGGTGTTAGTGATCCGCCACGGTGCGAAAAGCATCCGAAAGTCATACTGATCTCGTGTACAGAGCGGTTCCGGTTCACGTGACGCATCGATGAATTTGTATACCTTGTCATATTGCATGACGGTAAGAGACAACGTCCCACTAGGTTGCATCGTATCATGATCATTTCGGAAATTCCATTCTACTCAGTGTTCTTTGGGTGAGTATGCAAAGTTTATTAGTCTCAGATTTAGGATGTCTCAGAACAACAAGGACTGTGTTTGTACTTGGCATACGAGTCAATAAACTTAGGTTTTCGTCATGTCACTGCGGCAGCTTACTGGAGCTCGTGTAGTCAGAGTTATCTAATATCGCCGTATGCTCTGGCTGCCTGGCGGTTGCCCCAAAATTTCAAGCAACTAAAGGCTGCTCTTTGAAGTTCCGACCTTTTTGGAACAGTGCAAGCAACGTGCCATTTCTAGCCCCTTACACCAATCAAAGGGCTAGCAGTGTCGGGAATCCTTCAAGCGCCAACGCGAAAGCCCACTCGTGCAGAAGTTCCTTGACGATGTTAGCGTGTGGCATAAAATTTGAAAGGCGCGTCTTTCCCTGGCAGCCGCTTCAAGGACCAACAAAGGCGCCGAGTGAAATCGCTGTCTTATGCACAGGTCAGTTGAAGATTCCTCGGAGGGCCTTGGAAACAGTGCATGCAGGCTGTATTATGCCGAGGCTGATTCATGCACGTATTAATCGCTTTCGCATTTAGAAGCTCCTTGCATAATTTAGGATAGTGCATAGGGTTGCTGTGCTTTGATTGCAGACATTTTTTGCTGATAAGGATGTGAGGTCGATGAGTAGGATATACCATGTGCTGCAGAGGGCTAATAGATCTATGAAAGATCCACAGGCAGTGAGTCGAAAGAACAGCATCAAAGACAGACCTTCCCATGATGCGGCGTGTTCACTCGAGATCGATGATAAGTAAAAGCGTTCCTGGGAACCTAGACCTGTACGATGAAGTTGCTGTAGGAGGGCACTGCACCAGAATTATCGTATCCTCAGGGGTCGAAGCTCTCCCAAAATAGATAGAACTAGAACGATCATACCGCGAGTAACGCTAATACGGGCACGAAGCCGGGCCCGGGGTAATTGCAGTACAATGAAAGATGCGACTACGAACGTAAATATTAGATCAACAAGTTGCAATTGCAGGCCCTAACCTTCACAATATCCACGACGATGGAAATAACTGAGAAAGGTTGAATCTGGGAGTTGGCAACCTGCTTTCCTGCGAAGACACAGGCCAAGAAAGATCATACCGATATCATGTGGATTCACAGCATAAAGATGCGCCACAATCCAGAATAAGAGTTTGGTCTTGTTTGGTTCTCGCGTGGCGTACATCAGCGTTATAATTGCTCGTGTGGAAGTTACGCTCATCATTCCCTCAGGTATCACCAAACTATCCTCTGCTTCCTTCCTTCCGGTTAGGCAAGTTCTTCCAAGTCTTAAATCTTTCTTGTTTACTTGATAAGCTATGTCGAGGGTAAGTGCTAAACTAACCATATTTGCGATCACCTACAAGAACTTACAACATGGCTGTGTTTATAGGCTCAGTTCTTGAGGGAGTATAAGCTGGTTGTTGTCGGTGGGGGTGGTGAGCGCCAAGCAGAAAATGCGACGAACTGCGTCTCATAACACTTGTTCCAACCAGGTGTCGGTAAATCTGCCCTCACCATTCAATTCATTCAAAGTCACTTCGTCGACGAATACGACCCCACAATCGAGGGTGCGGTGAATTTCTCTTTCATTCGAGTCCTTCACTAAATAGTGGCATAGACTCGTACCGCAAGCAATGCGTCATCGACGACGAGGTCGCATTGCTCGACGTCCTTGACACGGCTGGTCAGGAGGAATACGGGTAAATTATATTCCGCTGTTGGTAGTCCTTAACGCTCACACCCAACAGAGCTATGCGCGAGCAGTACATGCGCACTGGTGAAGGCTTCCTCCTCGTTTACTCTATCACCTCTCGCGATTCTTTCGAGGAAATTAGCACTTTCCATCAGCAGATTCTTCGTGTCAAGGATCAAGATTCGTTCCCTGTCATCGTCGTGGCCAACAAGTGTGATCTTGAGTATGAGCGACAAGTTGGAATGAATGGTAAGCCACGACTAATTTTTGGAATCACTCTTTTCCTAATAGTGAACAGAGGGTCGTGACCTTGCAAAGCACTTCGGCTGCAAGTTCATTGAAACATCAGCTAAGCAACGCATCAACGTTGATGAGGCGTTCAGCAACCTCGTTCGTGAGATAAGGAAGTACAACAAGGTATGAATATCCTCTCATTCTGACAAGTTTTATTCATGCGCTCTATCTTCGCAGGAGCAACAAACAGGCAGACCCGTGATGGCCAACTCCGGTGGCGGCGGACCTGGTGTCTACAGTGGTAAAGGCGATGCTAATGAGGGTGACCATGGCGGATGCTGCGGTGGTTGTGTGGTCGTATGAGAGCATCTATATACCTGCCTTTCCTTTTGCTTCCGGACACACTTCTACACCTCGCGCTCCCTACTGGCTGACATTTGGTATGCCTGTCACTTGTATGTCTTCTGCGGTTTTATCAATTCTCGGTAGGCCTATCAGTTACGATAAGTTGTATGGGCCGTTGTATATGTAATTTTATGATTATGGATAACAATTCTTTAGATGCTCATGCAAATTGTTTGTCTGAGTCCATTGTGGAATATACGTAGCATTCAAATGCCATGGGATGGATCCTTTTCTATCACTAATTTCATGGAGTCTTTAGCTCTCAATGCATCAATTCGAGTGAGAACCACTTACACGGAGGTCGCGTCACGTCTTCCTCATTCACTGCCCGAATGGAGTCAATGCCAAGGTCATAAGAACCTGAAACACCACTATTTCCCCCAAGTAGCGATATTCCAACAGTCCGTATCCGTTCGCGCATCATCGCAATCTGATACTGTACCATTTCACCCGTATTCGTCAGTATAAAGTTCTCAAACGGTATCTTAAAACATTGCGATCAGTTTGTGCAAATATCAGAGTATGAATTGGACACACGAATACATCTTCCCAACCACCATCATTCCGTTGGAAGTAGAGTCTATGCTGCCACAGGTCCGTCGTGATCGGCCCGTCGGTCTGTAAGTTCACAAAGTACGAGTTGCGCAACCGGGGATCACCGCCGAGGCGTAGCCTCAGGGCAAGGAATTGGTGATTCGAGACGTCGTCGACCATCTCACCAAAGAGTGTCGGGCGGGGCTAGCATAGACGCCAAGTAAAGTGGGTGCGATAGTATAGCTCGGAATAGCGTTTACCTGGGACCGGAAACCAGCATATCCACCTCTAATTCTCCCTTGCAGCTCCGGCTTGACATTAAGTCTCATCTCACCCCAAAAACGACCCGTAGCTGTGCTCCCGCTGCCCTTGTTACGTTCCGGGGATTCATCAAGCTCCAAATGAACCTTGGACGTGCCACCAATATCTGCGTCGCACCCAGTCGCGAACTGTTCGATATCCTGTTTAGAGTTCATCCTGAAGAGCGTTAAAGGTGCTCTTGAAGGCCCGTCTGCGCCCTCCATACGAAGTACTGTGTAAATAGCATTGTCAGTTTTGTGGTCATGATGTAACATTAAAAGACGCGTGCTTTTGATGCTGCTGTCTCTGATCAGCTTCGTTGACCTGTTCAGATATGTTGCCCAGTTGGATAGCGCCATGGTTGGTGCAGAGTTGGTGGCTTGTGCCGGGATATGAGAGCAAGAGAAGAGCAGGACTTTTAATACGTCATGTCTACCATCTTGGGTAAGTCCAATATTATTATTGTCGATCGAAGCAAGTCCGTTAAAAGTCGTTCAATTGCAAGAAGGGTCAAAAGAATGCTTAATAGTGAAAGGCGATTGTAATTAATTAGTATGTAAATCGTATCTAAAGCAGAGTCCAGAACGTTCAGTATCGTGAATCCATCCCTCATGTCCGCAACCAAGGCGGAAGACCCGACAGCTTTCCCGCCAAATTGCCTGGTAGAAGTGTAGGCGGTATCTGAACGCGACGTAGAGGAGGAACTTCCTGCCTCTTTGGAACATTCTCTACGCTTGCCTGATCACCCTTGACCGCGCTTGCGCCAAGAACAAGCGATGCATATGTAGACATGGCCTCTATGGCCGGAGGTTGACTTGTGGTAACAGCACTCTCCTGCGACCAGACTGTCGTCCATGTCGCTCTCCCACTTTGCAGAGCCTGCCTGCGGGTGCCGAAAGAAAGGGAAGAAGAGGATTCGGAATCGATGCTGTCCTCCCCTTCAATAGTATTGTCACGTGTCGGTGGAAGGCTCGGCAGGGCCTTCCCACTTCCTTCCTCGAATGTGTTGCTCGAATATGCGCTTTCAGGGCTGCTCAGAGAGGAAGATGTAGAAGATATGGATGAGAGCGAAGAGAGTGAAACATGTCGTTCATAGGAGACAGTGGGTGCAACAGGATCAGGGAGGCGGCTACGTTCACTTGAAGATGAAGATCCTACACTGTTGTGAGGGAATTGAGGTAACGGTCGGAGGACGGCGCGGGAACGAGATGTGGCATCCTTTTCCACTGGAGGAGGCAAAGCTCTGCGTTTCCCTTTATCGACCTTCTGAGAAGCCTTAACCTCTGTGGTGATAGCAGGTAGAGGTCGAACAGCAGGCACAATAGGAGTGATATCAGTGAGATCCAATGGGGAGGGTCTGCGTCTTCCAGCAGCGGTTATAGAAGGTACGCGGAATCGCGAGACAGATTTGTCTGTTGGACTCTTACCAGACGGGGACGCAGCAACGGGTGAAAGCGACTGCCCAATAGGAAGAGCGGAAGTCAATTTATCGCTACCTTTCGACCGTGGCCCAAATACGGACTTGCGTCTCGGGCTCCCAAAGGCCGCAGTGAACTGCCTCATGATGGGAGGAGGGTTCGTGGATTGGACAGGCGCAGATGTGATTGGAGAGGCGGTGAGCATTGATGCAACAGCAGAACGAGGCGCAGGCGATAGGCTGACAGTCACAAGGGTCGTTTTGGCTGTGTGGACCTCAGCCATAGGCAAGTCGAGGCGAAGGTTGCGACCCATGAGACTCCCTTCAGATGCGGCGCCGAGTTGACGGTTGAGCTCGGCAGCAGGGAGAATGGTACGAGGCAGAGACAGCATCGACTCGCCCTGCCTGACCCTCATATGGTGATACCTCGAGGGTTTCCTCTTGGTGCTCAGCAGTTGGGTCGTAGAATCAAGACTTGCGCTGGACGAGTTACGGGAGTGCTGTCTAACTACCGGAAAATCTGACAGCGAGACTGGGGATATTGTCTTAGAGTCATCATTATACAGGGGCAAAAGCGGTCCTTTGGGCATGTGAGCAGCCGGGGGAAGAATAGGCGATTCGTCGAAAGCGTCATTTCCAAAAGTCTTCTCTGTGTCGACCTGGATCTTTGGGACTGCCAGACCGTGGAAAACTGGACTGAGCACGCGGAAGGTGTTGTACAAGAGACCGACGTTAACAAGCCCTAAAAACCGATCAGTAATCACGACGCACTCAGAATTCCGTACCACCAACCAAGCATAAAGGAGCATACATGCGCAAAAATATCTGCTCCAAATGAAATAGTACGACCGGAGACTTGCGTCAGGTTTGCAACCGTGAACGGCAACAAGAGGAAGACAAATGCTAGACAAGAAGTCACAATGAAAGAACTCATACAGACGCGAGGTCACGAACCAATAGGGTACCTGCATTACACAGATGAATGATGTGGATAAGCAGTAATGCACAGGAACTCACCAAAACATCGACTTCGCGATAGCTCCTATGAAGCGTTGGTATTCCTTGGAGTCGTTCACAGCACACCATTGGGACTTGCACGTGATCTTCGTGCTCCCTTTGACATGTAGAATGCCCCGAAGATCAAGGAAGATCAAGGCGTAAAGAATGACCGAAAGTACAGACCCGAGGATGACCTGTTCACAATTTTTAGACCCTGAGAGCTCAGACTGAAATAAACCGTACTGGAAAAGCTTCGAGCCCAAATATCTTGCCGGGATGTGCCATCGTAACACCACAAGAGACGGTGATTGGGCCATAGACACCAGCCTCGCTGAGAGGTGCCAGTGCTACAGATATAAACATGAGACAAATCAATTGTTGACGTCGTACGCCGCTTACCAATCACAAGCGATATAATCCATCCAAAGGCGATGACCGCGACGCTCAGCCAGTTAATTTGATAGATGCGAAACACCAGAGAGTTGCATGTGTGGAGACCAATAGCAACAGAGAAGAAACAAGTGGACCAGTTACCGATCTGCATGAGGACAGCTGATCACAAGACCACTTAGTGTTTGATCACAGTATCGTTCGTTGGGATTACCTTGAGAAGAGCACATGAAACCTGATAGTTGTCAGTACAATGCATGTAGGTGGTGTGAAGACCGAAAACACTACCTTGATGAATCCCAGACTGTCTGACCCAGTAAAACTCCATGAGCCCAGCTGCGGTGAGGAAAACATTGCTCAAAACAAGGGAGGCAGCATAGTGGCCCAGTTGAGTACGGAAGAACAAGTTCTCCGGGGCTCTGCATATCGTCGCGTTACGCCGGAATGAGGGGATAACCACAAAACGGATACTCCTGAAAACTATGAAAGCGAGCGCTAAAGCAGATAGCAAGGCAAATACGGGAACAACCTAATTATGAGAATTAGACGCTATTCGCGATAAGGAATGCGGACAACTCACAATTAGTCCTTTTGCCTGAGCACCAGAGAAGGGCGTGAAAAGTGATACATTCGAAGGCATGATAATGAATGACGTCGTGTCCCTCAAGGACTCTTGAAATGAAAAAGGTCAAGTAAACGGCCTGCTGTCCCGGACAGAGGAGAATGAACGAAAGATGACGGACTAGCCGCGGAAATGTGCCTCTCAGAGGACGAAAGGTGGGACACAGTCCGCAGGAAGAGATTCGAAGATGAAACGATGACGAACAAACGAACGAACGAACGAACGACAGCGTCTTCGAAAGTTCATTTCTCCCTTCATATGACTGTGCCGGCAAGGGATTGATCGCGCAAGATAGCACGCTTGTTGCTTTGAATAACTGGCCAATGATAGTGACGATCAATCAAAACTGCCACAGACCACACCGCTTTCAAAAACAGATTACACACCTGTGCAAAAACCTGTGCACACGCTACCGATCCAACTCATTTGCTCGCAGAGGCGTGATTATCGTACATACATCATTATGGCTTTCTCCGACAGAACCAATCACTAAGGTGCCTACTTCTTGATGAAAAACTTTGCAATTCCCTTTGGTTCCACTTTCTTCCGTTTCGAGGATAAACCGCGAGATACAGGCACAGACCCGACATCGCTCTTTGCCAGATCCTGTGCGAAATGAAAGTCATCATGCTCCGATCGTAACGCTGCCAATCGCTGTGATACTTCGATGGGACCACCTGTCGCTTGGCCTCCTCGAAGCGCGATCGTCTTACTACATCGTGGACATTTGAATGAAACAGCCTCAACATCGCTCACCCCAGGTGGATCCTGGCTGGAGTCCTCGGCCGAGCCCAGATGCTCATCTTCCTCGCGTGGACGTTTAAGGGATGGTTGCTGTTGGGTGTCTCGAGTTGTGAAGAACCCTTCAATGCTTTTCTGGCCTATCTCAGCCTTCTCTAGGCCAGCAAATGCCAGCTGAACCGATGTAACATTGACGGTCTTGGTATCACCAGTAAGCTCTTTCCAGAGCTTATCCGCAGCGGTCGCAATCACGTCCACTGTCACGTTCCGGACGAAAGGAAATGTAGCTTGTTTGGATCGTGATGTTTCATATCCTAACATGTGCCTAGTTCAACGAGAAACATTCGGTTCTGTAAGATCAAATCACCTTTGCGAGTATGGAGCACAATAGTCTTCGGCCAGAGTGTCGGCATCGACTCCCTTGCATCATTGAGTCGCAACGCTAGCTCTGCGGCAAGGACTCGGATCCATTGGTGTCCATCCGAGGGTCGGGTTATTGGTTTCGGAAGGTTTTTGGACGCCAACATGCTCTTGAACAGCGCAGACTTTTCTTTGACTGCAACCTGTTTGTAAATGTGAAAGGGTAGCTAGGTTACATTGAAATACCTTCAGTGCGATCAATGCCACTAGTGTCGCATCATAGATAAACGTTCGCCAGCGATAGAAAACGGATATCTTACCGAAGAAATTCGTATACCCACAGCGCATTTTCACCGAACTTGCTTTGGATTTCGTCTGCCATATATAAGAAAACAGAAATGGATGGAAGTCGGTATTTCTTTTTCTCACCTAGTGACACTGTTCTGTCGTGGGGTCAGTAATGGGGAGAAATTGAGAAGAATCACACATTGCTTACAGCAAGTCACCCACAGTTGAAACATCATACTCTTTCGCTAGGGCGTCGCCGAGCTTTCCACCAAGGAAGCGAATCTGGCGTGTCTTGCGTCAAGACAGTCGACATCCCTCAAGCTTACAGACATACCTTTTGGAAGGCTAGAGGACGAAGATAATTTGGAATGGCATCATTCCGGAGGATAGTCTATGCATCTATATTTACTTATCGGTGCCAACACGGAAAGTAGAAAACTGACTTGACTGTTGGGCTTCTTGTAAGAGGCACAGAGCTGTGAAAGCAGACTGAGTGCAATCGACTGAAGCACGAGAAGCACAGACCTTCGCAAGGAACTTATTTCGAGCAATCCCCTGCATCATTCATTGCGCGTGAGATTGTCACGAGCTGACTGACAAGGACGAAAATCCGCCTACAGCAGAAGTTGTATAGCCTAGCTTTGAATGTATGTCTTCGCGAATCTTTTGCATCAGCTCTGCGGCAATTGATAACGCCACATCGTGCCATGTCGTGCTACTATCAGTTTCAAAATTAGAATGTTCACTAGCAGTATCAGTGCCTTCTGACGGCGTGACCGGGATGACACTTCCAAGACCATCCCAATTTACCGGAGGCGGTGGTGGTAGTGGGCTGTCTGACCCGTCCAGGGCATCGGCAGGAACTTGGGCAAGGTACGGATATCGTTCAAGTAACCTTTCTCTCACAGGACGGGTAAAGTCTATGAATGCTTCGTCAATGGAAGCTTTCTCTTGCTTTGGCGTTAGTCAACCATAATAAATAAACTTCATGCGCATCTCACCAACTTCACCGGTTGGAAGAGCCTCTTTAAACATGGTAATAATCTTGTTACTTTCACGTCGATATAGATCCAAGGAAACCTTTTGAAATATACAACACCCAATGGTCAACTTCTGGTCGCGTCCGTGGCGTTAGAGGATGCAAAACACACCTTGTGAGTACGCGTATCAACATCCTCCCAGTAGCCGGGCTCCTTTTCGCCCTCCTTGTAAGTCGCGACATGCACAGCAAGTAGATTGGGACATTTCTTCTTGGCATCTTTGATTTTATCCATGCGGGATATGCCAAATTCGCGCGCAGGGTAGCTCACTGCTATGAGACTCTCCCATTGTTGTACGACGATGGGTACGCTCGGGTCGAGCCCAAGTCGGACGCGTTCGCAGGCAGCATAGAATGCATCACTATCGCATAGGGCAACGACGCGAAGCGGATCTCTGACACCGAGGTTATTAGATAGAATGTGTCTGTAAGTTATGGTTGGTCGCAAGTCGTCGTAATCTTGGTTTGTGGCCTTTGCTTTGCCTTTCCAGGGAGAGTTCATGTTGGGCCTTGGTTAACGAAGCTGGCAAAACCAGGAAAAGATGTGCCACACAGAGGCCAAATCGGGAGGACCCCTTTTCTATAATACCACGCGAGCCGCTTGACCACCGTGATAGCGTTACTTGACCGCCTTCTTTTTGTGCGTCGTCTTCAAAGCCTTGTCAACTTCTTGCGATGGCCTTAAAGTATAACAAAGGAATTACTTCAGCGTTCGTGATTTCCTTTCTGCGATTTTCTGTCCTCCCATGAAAGTTTCCTACAGATGTCCCCAGCCTGTTCACCTCGGGTGACTGTTGGAATGACGTGGCAACATGAAGGATATTAAGCCTCTCGCCCAGCCATCTTTCCTCGCAATGTCTGCCAGAATGTATGTATAGTCTGCAAATGCAACTCTAGCAAACATCACGAATTTTTTCTCCTTCATTTTCGTCATCGGGGTCCCTCAGAACCTGCGATCACAATCCTAGTTTAGACCGCACACAAGTTACCAATTCTGCACAAAACAATATCAATATGTCTCATCAGAAGAGGCGACGCAGTGACCAGTCATCATCCATAATTACATCTTCAGCTTCTCGAACCTAGTATGCTTACATTTGCACTACCTCGAACAGAGGTTCTGCCATTCGATTCTGCCTATCTTACTTGAAGCAAATACCGGGTCCAGGGGTGCCCGTACTACGTAGGGTCATTGCGCATGCTAGAAATGTGAGATTGCTGGAGTACTATTCTAACGAGTCACCAAATCACATGTTCGATTGTACTGAACGTCAATTATTTTCTTTTTTTCGTCTTCTTTACATCAATTGAACCCTTGAACAGTTCTAGTGCACCCTCGTCTCGTGCGCTCTTGCATGTGCCGACCCTTGTGCACGTTATTGCACTGCACACCCGCGCTTCCCTCCCTCACCATATTACCCGATATAACTTCGAAGTTGTCACGTCACCTTCTTGACGTCTGCCTCGTCGGTGTTGAGCAGTTATTTTCTCTCTCCATTCTGTCTCAGATACACAAATAAGTCTCTGCTATACGTATCCACTTCTTTCACGCCTAGATGCTCTCGAGGACATCGAAGCTAGCCGATCCGATTCAAAGTCCTCCCCTATAACTAGCTAGCAACTCACGCGTCGTACCATCAACCATACTGCACCGATGCGAAAGCAGAAACACGACTCACTGTAGTTCACTGTCGCAACATGCCACTCACGCATTCACACATACCCAGAAGATCTACCATGCCGGTGAGTCATGTGGTTAGATCCAGGACGCAAATTACTCATACTCACCCCAAATGGGCCCTCTGGCCCGCAATCCGATCCAGGGCAGCACTTTGAAAAGTAGCACAACCAAGGACAATTTTCACTGCCACTGCTAGGTATTGATGCTGCAGATGTTGATGCTGTCAAAGCAGCAACAACTGCGAGGACAAAGGAGAAACGCATTGTTTGTGAGAATGTGATATAGAATCAAATAAATCTGAAGGAGACAGGGAAGACGGCTTGCTTTTATATGCTGAATATTGTTCTTCGTGGCGATGTAGGAAGAACCGATCTACCCTTTTGAACAGATGATATCTGCAATGCCAGCAGATTGCCACCTAAGATCTGTCTTGTGACACAAGGTCTATTGGCAATTTGGCACGGAACAAAATATCATGTTTGCGAAGCAAGGTCAATGCCAGCTCGGATCCGCTATCGGGAACAAACCAATGTTTCCTTTCATAGCTTTTTCATGTCATCTTGATTTTTTAGCTACAAACTTACGCATCAACTTGTCATCAGAATACTCCCTAACATCTCGTATCGCCTTTCCGCACCTCTCTGCACGCTGTCAAGTTCAAATTGTTGAGGCCCCACCACACCAAGCTGCGGTATCTCAGGCACGATATTGTTGACCGTGACGAACAGAACAATATTTTAGCTTTGAAGTTCTGCTCTAATTATTTTTACGTGGGTTTTGGTTAGCTTAACATGTTGTTTATCGACGACCATCCACCACATCGCTGGCTCCCTGTTTTGACGACAACGATTTACATTTCACTCACGGTCACCGTCATCGACCCCTGTCATTTTGCACCCATCGTCTGCAGTGGTCAGGGCACACGCGAATTTTGCAATTGCCGTTAATTTCGCCCACGCTGTAAATCAAATGTAGGGATCTCACTTTGGGTAGCTGCTAATAACCATTTGTGAGGATATTTAACAGTCTCCGCGGTCACTAGTATGAAGAGCCAATACTTACTATCGGGAGGTATGATAAGGTCGGATGTGTTGAACTTGAATCGAGCAAACGAGAGTTAAACGTCTTTAGCAAGCCTCAGCGCGACTGGGGTACATAGCATGTCGACGACGTAGTAGTTTATGTATCGAGGTTATTGGATAGAACGTGTCTGTCATTTATGGTCGGTCGCAAGTCGTCATAATCTGATGCCTTTCCAGCAAGAGTTCATCGAAGCTGGCAAAACCAGGACCACCCATAGGCCAAATCGGGAGGACCCCTTTTAGTACCAGGCGAGCCGGCGTTGCTTGAGCGCCTTGAAGTTTTCGCGCGTCGTCTTCCAAACCTTGTCAATTTGCGACGGCCTTCAAGTATGACCAAAGGAACTATTTCAGCATTCGTGGTTTCCTTTCTGCGATTTTCTGTCCTCCCATGCCAAAGTTTCCTACGTACTGATGTCCCCGACCTGTTCATGTCAGGTTAAGGCTGTCAGTTTGATGTGATAGAATGAAGGATGATCCTCTCGGCCGGCCGTCTTCCCTCACAATGTCTGCTCGGACGTATGGTGTATTGCAAATGCAACTCCAGCAAAAAACGCGAATTTTTGCTCCTCTATTTTCGTCATTGGAGTCCCTCAGAGCCTGCGATCACAATCATAGTTATAGACCGCCGCACCCCCGACACGGATTCTGCACAGAACAATGCCTCATCAGAAGAGGTGATGCAGTTATCATCCACAATTCCCTCCTGTTCCTCGAGCCTATGATTGCATTTGTATCACCCCGAATACAGGTTCTGCCATTCGATTCCACCTGTCTACAACATATGGCTCGTACAAGGAACTTTGCACCCTCGATTTTCCCATTTCTGGGTCCCCTTCGGCCATTTAAACACCTGTTCTCTTATCAGTTGTACGCCAGCACACTCCCAATTACCATCCGTACCAAGACCCATCCCATTGGTATGCTCATACTATCTGGGAGGTTGTAAAACAGCTCTTCCCAGATTGTTAGGGTGCTCTCATTACGTTTCCAAGGCAGAGAAGGTGGACAGCGTGGAGGTGATATGCGAGGAATATCGCATGGAGTGTGCGCGCATTGAAGACGAAGCGGAACAGAAGAGGAAGGCAGTGAGCTCTTCCTGAAATTAGTCTCAATATATTTACTTACTAGTTCTTCTAGATTTGGATGGAAGGCCGGGCCCAAGCTCAAGCAGAAGTTCAAGCACTGGTAGCAGAACTTCGAGCAGAAAGGGATCGATTGCAAGCGAAACTAGCCGAGTTGGAGAGCCGTTGAGCCCCGCGACAAGTACTCGATGGTATGGGCTCAGTCGTTGCCTATCTATTCCGTGTTTTGCCTTATAATCGATACCTCGTTGCCCTCGCCATCTTGTTTTCAACAGTGTAATGTACCCTGTGCTCTTTCGAGAATCGACTCCGATGGAATGTTCTTTGGACACGCCAATAACCATAAAAGAGTTTGTCGTTCGAGGATGGTATACACTGTTCCCGAGTAAGAATACGGTAGACCACCGCGCTGTATTGGTTTTGCCAGAATAGATGAACAGAACGTTGGCAGTGAGAACAAACAGTGGTCGGATGATATCTTCAAGCGTGAATACTTATAGGTATGGTCTGTGCAATCACAGGCAGCCGGATAGACTCTGTGAAGCCTAGGCGTTTAATTGCTGCAAAAAAAGGACTTAGCTCATCATGGGTTCGCAGTACTCGAACCAGACGTATGAAGGAAGTGATATCACGGCTGTCTCCGTTTGTCTATGGAAGTGTGACCAACACTTGACCTGACGACCTCCATCGACCGGCCACAGCAGGCGATGCAGTCGGAAAACTATCGTCCATTACTGGCGGTAGCATGTAGATTCGGTGCGTGTCTAAGAACTGCTGATATTGAATCAATCTCCTACAAATCTCACACTAATACATAATATAGTACCTTATGACCAATGGTTCATAACGCACTTGGACGATAACCAGAAGGTCAAGCAGGTCAAGCATTGGATACTTTCAAAATGTAATATCATCCAAACACCGCATCTCCCCGCTCAGCGCCCCGTTTCTCCTATCACATTTGCTTCCAGCATCAGGACTCGTACGTCAGTTGATAGTACGGACGACGGGTATAATGAGGATGACGAGTATGAGGAGGACTCGGATGACCCGGACGTTTCATATCGCCACCCAGAGCTTAGGCGTCAAACTATTTATTCTCGTCGACCTGGAAAGCTATTCGGTATCCCTGTTCCTTCATCACAGACCATTCAGCCTGGCAGTAGCCCAATCGTCGACCAGTATACACTAATTTCCTTTTCCACTGGAACAATTCTCGAGGATGACTATGCACTATCTTGGTACAACCTTCGACCTGGCGAACTTTTGGAGATGCACCGCTCAGGAAAGGTAGTTCAATTACCAAGAGAAGTCATGACAGAGTATGTCCAACCCTACTTCGAGTGTAAAGTCAGGGCTCTTCGCGCAGTATGGAGCCCGAAGGCAGGCCGATTCGAATCCCCTGTAGCCAAACGGAACAGCTTAAGCGCAAAAAGCAAAGACAAGATGTCTATCCCCACTCCCTTGCAACCCGAAAAGAAGAGAAAGAAGGCTAAAGTCGAATGGAAAGATCGATGGATAGTTATAAATCAGGGGACGCTGTCACTCTGCAAGGATTCATCCGTGTGTCCTTTGAATCTGCAGTTATCGTATTGCATGCTCACCCCGTAGCTGCCAGGTTGGCACCCCTTTGCATCATTTTCCGCTATCAGCATTACGCGCGCTTCGTGGCGCAGAGTCTCTTGCAAGCGCTTGTTCCATCATCGCAGAGCAACGCGTCGTTTGTCTCAAGTTTCGCAGCAAGGAGCCCGTCTCCGCCTCTTCACCGCCCATGTCTCTCCCCTCATCTCCGATTGCCGAAGACTGGAAGACTGACGTGCAAATTGAAGCAAGAGACATCGCCCCTCTACCGGAGAAGACCACTTTAACCCCAAAAGAACCTCCAGACATTCGAGATCACCATAGGAATTCCCCATCTTCCGACTATAGTCCGGAAGATATTTGCCGCGGGGAAGGCGAATGGCTCGTCCTCGATTTGCTTGATGATCATGGTACTCGATTTCATTCGCAACGTCCGTTCTCTCTGACTATTCACTCGCGCAGCTTTCTCAAACATTCTCCGCATCCTCCACCGCTACACTTCTCATCCAATATCATCTTCATTTCTCCCCACTTCCTCAATCATCACAGTCGCGAACTATTGGAACAACGTCCCTTCTCCCGCTCTCACGCCTTTTATCTATTCCTCCCCATATGACTCTCTTCCATACCCAGAATGGCGCACCAAGACCGTTGCGACCGCCCGTAAGGCTGGCATGGGAGATGTTGGAAAACCCCTTGCACTCGTGCTATGGTCCGAAAGTACCCGCAGAGACCCCTCGTTGCACGATATCCACAATCAGCGATTCGTCTTCTCGCAAGGCATAAGCTCCAAATCTTACACGAGTTCTTATGCACCATATTCAAGTTCAGTGGCGGGCGAAACCGATGGAGAGAGTGAGATGGAATGGGAGGGGTGGATGAGGGATCTGGAGAGGCAAGGAAGGGTGAAGCAATATCATCCTCAGACAACCATGCATTCTCCCAGCAACTCCGAGCACCAACCGCCTAGCCCTCTACCGCTATCCTCACCACCACTTTCAGACGCATCTTCTCAGGGCTCCCCGAGGGGCCACTCACCCCCGCACTCACCCTCCGCATACCCCACAATCAATAACGTTATCCAGAACGGGGACCCTTTTTCCCGTCCTTCTCTCGAATCACGTGTGCCTGGGAGGATTAAGACTACGACGGTTAGCACCGTGAGCGTGGGCACCGTGCCCTCGCCTCCGCGGAGACGGTCTTCGACACTCACTCCAGGAGGCCTGTCCAGGCTGATGAGAGACAAGGAAAGGGGAGATCCCGCTCGCTCATGGACTGCTGTCAATGGCTCGCGCCTGAACACGAACGCAGGAGCGTCATCGTCGTCATTGCGAGGCACCCATATCCGACACGCGCATTCAGGATCCAACCTTCGTTTGACCCCTACAGAGCACATTGCTTCTCAACCACATCGCGCCCAGGATGCGGAAGGTTCGAACGGTGGGAAGAGAAGGGTTGGCATTGTCAGGAGTATGTCGAAAACAGCGGAAAAACTTGTCAGGGGGCTGGACGCTGCGATAGACTTTGTTGATAACCATCCTTAGTATCGGGTGTCTGTTTGTCTTCTCTCTCTTTTATTTTTCTTTATAGGTTATTGATCCTAGTATTTAAACTTACCTTCTGTACTGTATATTAGTATGTATTCGCTCGTGCTGCAATTATCATATTGGTCTTTGCTGCCCACCGGCACAACCGATGTTAGATTATACTGGGGTTCGGCGTTGCCGACGGGACCTCGAAATGCTTCCCGATCTTCTTAAGAGATGATGTTCAATACAGTAGCATCGCACCAGCCAGATCTAAGTACGGACATACTCTGATGTCCAAGATTGCCACCTGAATGATGATATCGTACACTAAGAATCGGACTTGAATCAGACCCATCAATCCGACATTTCTTCCGTACTAGTTGCCCCGGCCATAGTCTGGTTGATTTCCCTCTCCTACCCAGTATATGTGGCCATCATGCTGCAGTGTCCACCTTCTTGATACTTTATGTGGTCTTTTGTGTTATATGGACAGCGGTGTGATATAACAACAGACAGCTTGGCAAGTTACTTACCTAGATATTTGTATTATCACTAACTAACTCATATCTGCCAAAGCTTCTGTCACAGTATGGGGGGGCATCGAATGTCTCGGTCTCATGACCTACTGGGCAGGGCTTTAGACCCAGCGGCCTGGGACTCAGTGATAGCTGGGGCGCCGTTGGCAGGGCAGTCGTGAGATGGATTAGCAATATCTGCAATGGGGGGCTTGTAAGTCCAGAGTACTCTCTTCTTGTGTAGTAATCCCATTCCTGGTTAACGACCCGATCTGAATAACATGCATTCAAGCCACAGAAGGATATTTACAGTTTGCCTGAAATCGAACTGCAGCCCCCAGGGGCGAATAGTAGCGCACTACAGCAAGGAGTGACCATACATAGAACATCAAATATACTATGATACGCATTGTAGAGTATCAGACATCATTATAGAACATCGGACATACACATTGCAGAATTGCTCATATTCCATCCACCATCTCGAGAGCCCATACTACGCACTAGTTGTTGTTGTATTGTCTTTATACTTATCACAGGTCCGGACCATTGTCATCGTCGAAACCAGCATCAAGTCAGACTATATTTTAGAGCTGTGCACAATATTACCTGTAGTATCATCTAATTATCGGCACACGGAGTAACCTGTGATTTGACGCAAGGTAACATAAGTATATGAAATCAAGATATCAATCACAAAGCAAGAGCAACAACGTGGGGGCAGATACAAGTTTAACAACGGATTGCATAGACAGACCTAGCAGAATGATATCAGCAAACAGACATTCCAGATGATCCAAAGAATTGAGAACTGGGATATCATGAGTATTTTACAACTGTAACTGACTCGCTCAGAAGAATGGGAAAGATGGAATCGGGGAAGTCATGGTTTCAACGTTCTGGTCTTCCTCTTCGTCATCATGGTCGAGGATCTTGTCTTCCTCTTCATCATCACAATCGAGGTCCTCGTCTTTTTCCTCTTCGTCATCACGGTTGAGGTCCTTGTCCTCTACCTCTTTGTCGTCCCAGAGCTTGGACAAAAATTCATCGTCCAATTTTCGCAGGCGCTCCATTCGGAAGCTACTAGGCTTGGTAGACGCAGGAGGTGGGCCGGACAACGATGATGGCGCCGGTCGGTAGGCCAGTTTGCGCTTCTTGGCCACATTGGCATGGTCATCTTCGGACTCCGATGACCAGACGTCGCGCTGATGAAGAATCGGTGTACCCGAGGGCGAGATGACAGTCTTGTCTGATGTAGTTACGGAGGCGGGAGATGGCCCACGGCCAGCACCCCGACCCGGACGGCAGGGCAAGGGTGGTTGGCCTGGAACCCTCTGTTGACACTGGTCAGTTTGATCAAAACACGATCATGAGAGGACTTGCCTCCAGCCTGTAGAGACAGATATCAAGACCGTCGGCATTCTTATCTTTCCATGCCTTTAAAAGATAAAGTATCAGTGCTCACATACGTTTTTAGATATGGGAAATGACGTCACCTTCTTAACGGTGTACAAGCCATCATACCGAAGCCCCTCCGCGGGTGCAAACTTGGACAGTCCTTTGTGACTCCGGATGACGCGCACGGGCTTGCCTGTATGACGAGATGTCTGTTGTACTGTCATTTCCCGATCTCACATTCAGAGATACAGAAACTCACACGAAGTGCTGCATTTCCCCGACCGCTCCAATCCTGGTCATGAATCTGCTGGCCTTGCACCTTGGGGATTTTGATGGATGGACATGCTATAGGAGCAAGAAAAGACAACTTACAGACCTGCCGCCTTTAACGATGATCTCGCGACCCCCTAACGATGCTACGTCGGCATACAATCTTGTAGCCCAGGTCGCGAATACACACCTGAACCTGCATAGTCGCTATATACGTAGGTCAGAATGCCGATCGCACTCTAAAATGAGCGCCCGTGCTAGATGCTTACATCGTGTCACCGAGATCCTTGTTATGTGCGTAGTAATTTGAAAGGACAACGGAGAATGCGCCCTCTCCCTTATTACCACATATGCCACCCTGAGTTAGGCGGTGCACGCCAGCAATAGAACACCCTTTGCTGCGAACGCATGGATAGATCAAGTAACGGATGCTTATCAAACGAGAATGAAGAATACGCACCGATTCTCCCACTTTGCCCCGACCTTTACTCCGGGGATCTCCCCGAAGCGCTGCCTGCAAATAAAGTACGTGAGTGTTGTAGTTGAGGGAGAAACACTGAGAAGCATCACTAACGCCGGCCTGCTACTACTTACCCGGACCTCCTGGCCCTCTTTTCTGGCTATTTCTTCTGGGCCAATCTCCATCTCCTCGTCCGAGCTACTGCTGATGTATTCGACTCCTTCTAGTGGGCTCAAGAGGTCCATCGTGTCGTTGGTGACTGTCAGGGTGATACCCAATGCCCATAGGGCGTGTTATGATCAGTGACTGCAATCGGAGTTCGAAAGACATGATCTTCGAAAGGTCAAACTTGGGCTGGGTCACATCTTCTAAGGTTTGATTCCGTCGACGACAACTCGACGACTAAACAAGGCTGCTAAAAAAAAATCAGGCCCCTGAACTCTGTAGGACTACATCCCTGGGTTCATGGCACGTCGACAGCGCCGTTGGTCTCAGCCAACATCAACACGCACCTGCTCCCGCGGGACGTGAAGTTGCGCACCATTTTAGCTCATTCTCAAGTGGGCTTTGGCCTAGTCCTGCGTCTATTTCTGAATCGCGAAAGCACAGAGATCTATAAATACACGTATTGACCTAGCAGAGCAGTATCAGCGAACAGACAGGATGACCCTCAAAGCAGGAAAGCAGAGCTGCGTGACTGACCCGTTCTGTTCGAAGGGCAAGGAGTATGAGAAAGGTGAAATCGGAGAAGCCGTATTTCGAGGTCCTCAAGTATCACGGATGCATTTGGACAAGAAATGAAAGAGTATAGCTGACTTCAGCCCAGTGGTAGCCGCAGCGGAGCTTGGACTGACTCATCCCCTGCCAATCTCCTGCGTTGAAAAACTTCAAGTACTAATACTTCCACCATCACTGGCACCATCCACATATTTACATCAACGCAAGGGCAATCAACCGAGAATCAGGCAAGAGCGATTAGTCGTGTATTTTCTAATGTCGTTGTTGTGGTGACAAGCTTCTGTTATTTATCTTAAGCTCGAGCAGCTGGGCTTCCAGCTGTAGCTTCACGCGGTGTTCTGTCACTAAATGAGGTTTGGATGGACTACATAGTATCCCCAGCCTCATTTGGTGAGTGCGATGGTAGATTATTGTCCTCTGAGTTGCGTTCCGTTATTCATGTAGATTGAATACCGTATTGATAACTCATCCATCAGTCATCCCATGGGTAGCTGGCGGTGCACGCCGCTCCGATACATAGCTGTCTATATCGAATTCCACACTTCCTCCAAAACACACAACTGTCTCATCTTTGGAATTTGGTCTCTACATTTTCGCACCTTTCTCTCCCTCCCGCATACCCTCTTCGTCTATCCAGTATCATGCGCCTGCACATTATTGCAATGCATATGGAACTCCGGCCCCATCATGTTGCTCGCTTGTACTATTGTCAAGCTACACTATGGACGTAGGTTCCCATTACATCTATATTTTGGACGTTTTTCATATGATTGTAAGCACATAGAAACTCGAATCTCAAAAGAAGCCCTGGTTCTCAGACTGTTACTCCTCCAGCATGAATATCTATACCCAGACTTTCACCGCCAGAGATATCACCGCCCCACCACCGATTAGTCTGCCTTCCCGCATCTTACGATCCAGAGCTTATACTGACATCAAAGTCGCTTATGAGTGGCTCATTACTTACTTTCTTTCATAGGCAACATTTGCAGACCAGAGGACCGACCCACCTCAGGTGCGTTGCTCGATCGTGATGTTGTTTTGTGACTCTGGTGTGCGAGTTTTTCTGGTGTACTTTGAATGCCACAGAGTGATGCTATTTCTTTGATCTCCGATCACATTCCCTTTGTTCGGGACAAAGGAAAATGGGAATGGAGGTCAAGGACATCATATCCAGGCAAGCGAAGGCATTGGTTAGTTTGGGGTACTCAGAAAAAATCGCAGCAGACCTGGTACATGAATATTTTTCGCTTGATCCGCTCATGGTGTTGATTCTGTCGAATGAGCAGGATCGCTTCTTTGTTGGGTTGAGCAACGCCAGCAAACCAGCCGTCCGTCTCTCACGAAACAGTACATCGGCAGCTCAAGTCGAATCGTGACGATGACAATATTATGGGCCAGGTCCAGGGTCCAGCCCGTTCCCTCTGATTAGGCGTCGAACTCCCAATGATAGCTAGGACTGCGACCAGCTCCCATTGAAGGCCCTAACCGAACGACCCGCTGACCTGGAGGTGAGCGAAATTTTACATTCATCCGAGGTCCGTCCTGTGAACACTTTGCTTGCATGAGAATGATTGAACCTCTGTGTGGATGATTCCGACGAAAATATATGTCAGTGCCAGTGTATTCCAACACCCACATTCTCTAGTGGTACTGAAACAACACGAGTGATATGTACACAAGCCATGATAGCCCCGTATCCACTTCATAGTCGTTAGAGCGCGACAGAAATAATAGAGAAGACGAATACTTCTCCCGATCCCCTTCCTCATAGAAGTAAGGATTTGAAATGTACGACGGGGCGCAGTTAAGGTGACCAGTCGTCGTTCATAAAGACCCATGAAATTGGGATTTCCCCGGTGTTGAGCGTGCTCAGTTGTTCAAAAAGGCCAGGAGACATGTCTGCGAACCGGATGTGACGAGTGAACGATCTCGGCCCTGAAAAAACAGCGTACCTAGGATTGTTGAGCTACAACTCTCGCATTTATCACGCGTTTTCCCGTACGCACTATTTCCGTTGTCGGTATTAGGTATTAGTGATATGAATCCGCTATGAGCGATATATCGATAAACATCCAACGGCCGCATTGCGGAAATAGGAGATAGCCTACCTGACTGCAGTGCCCTCCGGTGCCAAAAATCCCGGAAGAAATGGCGATTATAAGTTTGCTATCCTCATCCGTATATCCGCAGGCGCCGTAGCCAAATTCAAACTAGATACCCTTTGTTAAGAAATTAACAAGTAGCAAACAACTGTCTCTCATCAACACACCTCGCCTGTATATGTGGCGGCAGCCAAAAGGATGAAGACAATCGAGCATAGCGCAATTGCCGCTCTATACATGTTGGTGGTTGGTGATGGAACAAGATGACAAGCACGAAGACAGGGACGTTAGGGGGATGTCTACAGACCCATATATACACAGAGACAGGTTTTTACCAGACACCAGACATGCTCTTCAGGATATTCAATTTTTCTGTGCCAGTTTTAGACTGTCAGCTTCAGGCAAAGTTTTAGATTTTCTCCACTTCTACGAGTCGGAAACATCTTACCCTAAGAATAGACTATATTCATTCGTCTATGGTCTGTCCAGGGGAGACTGACCTTACCCCTAATGGGGGAGGGTTTTGTCGGATCGAAACGTTCTGACACCTGTCCGATTCTTGCTCGTGAGTTTGGCGCTTATTGCAGAAAAAATTCACAGAAAGCGGAAAGGGCTAGCGAAGGTAAGAGCTGCCATACGGACTAAGGGTCTATTCCAGAAGCTGTCATCGTGGAAGGCACGACGTGCACTGATTGATGTGCTCGCAGCATGACAGAGGCTCTATTGATGTCCAGCTGAGGTTTAATTAGCGATTTTGTCTACGACGCGCACGAGATACTGACGTGTCACAGAGTGAGCGAGTGTAACATGATGCTAAAGAAGGTAGTACAATCGCAGGTGCCACGTCGCACTGTGGCAGGTAATTGGTTTGAAGATCGAATCTGTCTCCAGGAAATTCTATAGCCTACTATGCGCTCGATTGTTGCCAGGACAGAGTTCAGACCCTCCTGGAGAATCTCTTGGATACCAATATCCTTCAGATACATCACCTTGTAGTTGAGAATGTTACACCCCCAACTTACAAGAGGCTAGCCATCCGATCGGATACTCAGTGAGATGCTAGAAGACAATGATCAATTGCGCAGTCTGCGTCCGACTCGGAGTCGAGCCTAGAGTCAGTAAAATATCACGAGCGTAGATAATACGGACAACTGTGTCAGTACTATACTGCGGTCGCGACTCGCAGGAACCAGTGGAGGAACATCATGGTGATGTACACGATAGCTGACTCACGCTGAGGCCTGAAGAGCCCACCAGTAGCCTACTAATGACTTGAATGTAGTATGTCACAGAGATCCCTGCGAAAAGCATGACGCGGTAACGTAGCTGGTGGACGCGAGCCTTCTTTCCCAGTCCTCATCCTCATCCTTACTATCCACTTACCTCCCTTTCTCACCAGACTAGCCTTGACCTTCCTGCCCTTGTTGCTGGCTATTTCTTCTGGGCTTTCCTCCATCAACTCATCCGAGCTACTGTGGATGACTTCGACTAGTGGGTTGAAGAGGTCAATTCTGTCGTTGGTGACTGTCAAGATGATATCGATAAGTACACGGGGCCCGTATTGGCTGCTACTGCGCCGGAGTTCGAAAGACAAGATCCACTTCGAAAGGTCAGAGTGGGGCCGGTCCCAAGCCGGACCGCCTGTTCATAGACGATTATGCAAGGCTGGTGATGAAAGCAGACCCTTTGATTCTGGAGGATGTCATCTCTGGATCTATGACGCGACGCGAAGTTGCACGCCTGGTCATCATTTTAGCTTACTTCCGTGCAAGATCCGGCAGTTCTGTGATTGTCCATTTCTGAATTCCGAAAGCATGGGGATCTACAAATACAAGTTTAACGACACATTGACCTAGCAGAGCAGTATCAGCGGACATAGATGATCCTCAAAGCAAGAAAGTAGAAAACCAGGGTATAAGGGGTATTTTACAACTGTGACGGGGGCAAGGGTGATACAAATGAAATCGGAGAAGCCGTAGTTTCGAGGTCCTCAGGAGTCAGGCATCGCAGGAGATCACATCTCTCTCATCATCTTCTTCTTCCTCTTCATAGTCACGGAACGTGTTTGCATCTTCGTCGTCCTCAGGATGATAGGAGGCATTTCGCACAGGGGAGCTATTGGGCTGTGCCTTAGTAGACGCAGGAGGTGGGCCGGACCGCATGCTCAGTGGCTGCCTTTTTACAGACGCTAGCTTCACGAGAGAACTCGTTTTTTGCTGCATGTCCTGCACCCGCTGCTTGTGTTTTTGCAGGATAGTTGGACCAGTCGCCGGGGAGGGCGCTAAACCAGCTTGCGGTTGCGTGGCAGGTGATGATGATGACGACGACGCGCATGGCAGCGGAGGCGGTCGGTCGGCGAGTTTTTTGCGTTTCTTGAGTGGGACATCAGCATGACTCGCGGGCGCAAATGGCCGGGTCTTGCGTTTACGAGCAGTCGAAATCCCCGGAGGCGAGACGACCGTGTCTGATGTAGCCACAGAGGCGGGAGATGACTCATGGTCGGCATCCTGACGCGAACGACAGGGCAAGGGAGGTTGACCTGGAACCCTCTGTCGACACTGGTCAGTCTCATCAAAGTTACAAGATGAGGGAGCCAACTTACCTCCAGCTTGTAGCGACAAATATCAAGACCTTGGGGATTCTTCTCTTTCCATGCCTTTGAAGATAAGTGTCAGTGCTGACACATTCTCTATAAATATGGGAAATAACATTACACTTTCGACGGTATACAAACCATCATACCGATACCCTTCCGCGGGTGCAAAATCGGAAAGTACTTTGTAGCTCCGGACGACGCGCACGGGATTGCCTGTGTCACGAGATGTCTGTTCTGCAGTCATTTGCTGATCCCACGCTCAGAGAAAGAGAAACTCACGACAAGCGCCTCGTTTCCCGAATCCGTCCACTGTTGGTCATAAATCTGCGGGCCTAGACGGAGCTTGGGAATTTTAGATGGATAGCTACAGGAATAAGAAAGCGACTCACACGCTTCCGAGGAAAGCCATCAGTGAAGCGTTTGCGACCCCCTAACGATACTACGTCGGCAAACAATATTGTAGCCCGGAATGTGGATACACACCTGCACCTGTATAGTAGCTATATACAAATATCAGAATGCCGATCGAACTTGAAAATGAACGCCTGTGCCAGATACTCACATTGTGTCACCTAAATCCTTGTCATCTTTGTAGTGACACGAAACGACAATTGAGAAGGCGCCCTTTGTCTTGTTGCCGTATATACCAGCCATGGGAGGGCGGTGCACGCCGGCATTGGAACATTCTTGGCTGCGAACACATAGATAATTGACGTAACTGATGTTATCAAACGAGAATCAAGGATACGTACCGAGACTTCCATCTGGCCCCAATCTGTACTCCAGGAATCCCCCCGAAGCGCTGCCTGCAAAGAATGTGTGTGAGTACTGCGGTTGAGGGAGAAACGCTGAGAAACATTACTAACGCCAACTTCTTGGTAAGACTGGCCCTGACCTCCCTGCCCTCATTGCTGGTTATTTCTTCTGGACCTTTCTCCATCTCCTGGTACAAACTACTGTGGATGTCTTCGACTTGCTCTAGAGCATCACCGTGGTCCATTGCGTCGTTGGTGACTGTCAAGGTAACACCAATCAGTAAATGAGGTTCGTATGTCAACTTGCTACTGCGTCGGAGTTCAAAAGACGTGATAAGGAGTTTGATTCCAATCGACGACTAGGCAAGGCGGCTGCCATTGGCTGATGACGAGACCACTAAGCCTCTGAACTCCGGAGGATGTCATCCATGGATCCATGACACATCTACAGCGTAGTTGATAACAGGCGACATCTACTCCCGCGGAACATGAAACTGCACGCCCAGTCTGATCATACACGTCAGCCCACTCTCATGAGAGCTCTGGCAGTCCTGCATTAAGGACCTGCATCTATTTCTGAATTCTGATTTGTTGTCGTACTTCGTGGGCAACAGATATTGGACGGCGTTATCTTTCGACGACACAAACCAGGAGAATGTATCATACGTAGGATAACGCTGGAGTCTCTGGCAGATCTGTATTCGTTGGACGCGTTCTTGATCGCGGATATTTACAATGAGTTATTCTGGCAGGTTACAGGCCCCTGTGAAATGGAAACACGAAGGAAATTATTCCCCGGCATCTTCGATCTCATCGCTTGTAACCGCTTGTTTCGGTAAAAATAACATATATTCCAGGCCGCAAATATTCACAGTCGCATATTTTTTCTGGGTGTATCTCACCATATCATAGCGTTCTCATCAATTCTTGTTCTCATCTCGTTCTTCCTTTGTACCACCATGTCGACCCGCCCCTTTAAACCGCCCCCACTGGCCAGGGATACCACTGGATTTCGATGCAACTCACTCTCCGCCTATGCATGGAAGCAATGGACAATGTTTGAGGCCACTTTCGCCATATGTGGTCTGGAGCCTTGGGAGAAGCTTGTCTTCGGTGAGTACTGAACCCTCAACCTCCCACCACTACTGACGGACATACTTGGATATCCAGTGATTGTTATGTCTTTACTCACTTTCCTGTTCTTCACTGGCTTGTCTCGGGTGATACCCCAATTGACCTCGCTGCTACCTCGCACTGCATACTATCTCTGGGGCGACGAGCGGGTATTGAATCACTGGATGGACCATGCGGCAGCCAGTGTGAGGGAGTTGTAGTGATTGGCGGCATGGACGTGGGTATCCTTTACGTTGTCTGGACTGAGGCACAAGGGCAGCATGACCTTGGCCTGTCAAGTACGTCTGTCCGCATCATGGTGTCCTTACAACACTCACGGTAATATTAATTAGGTCCTCCTCAAGATTCGTTGTTCAACTTTTGTCCAATTGTATTATGTCTCTCGTACATACTTTATTTCTCTTACCGCTTTCTTATGGATCTGATCCTCCGCTCACGTACTTTATTTTCTTGACACGCTGGAATACTTGTACAATGCCAAATCGACGACGCACCTTCCACTGGTCCGCGGCAAGTCCGCGGTGATGTCCGCTTAATTATTGCTGTGGCTGTCGGCATCTCCTAAAAAAAAGTGTGCGAGTGCGCATCACACAAATTTCGATCTGTTTCTCGGCAACGGGAGGGCCGCCTTGCAAGCGATACAGTTATCTATCAACACATCTCCCGCATTCACAACACACTTCATAGCCTCAAAAATACTTCCACAAGGATAATTGATCTTGCCTCTCACATGGTATCAAAATTTTTATGAACTTAATCAGTGAAATTGCTTTTGAGATGTGTATTTTCACGCCCTGAAGCCTTATTCTGAAATTTATAATCTATCTTATTCAACATTATTCAACATAAAACTGCTTTATCATGCATTAACAAGTATCTAAGCTCTCCAGAACATGTATAAGTAATAGCCGGAAAACATCATGATATAGTTGAATAAGCTAAGATTAGCTAAGAAGTCACGTGTCTCAAGGAACAATAATGGGCAGAAAAAGAGGTCCCCTCACTGTTTTGGCCGTTGTGCTCGAGTGGTTGGATATTTTTCTCTAAAAATTCAGATCTGGGGTGTTGAGGTAGACTACTTAACATGACAGAGTTGCTATCATGTGTTGTATAGGTGTGGTACATAAATTTTCAATTTCGCGTCTCAAATGCCCATTGATAATTGTATGAACACCGCTTAAGCGGGGCGGTTGCTAAGATGGGGTGCAAAGAACAAAGTGGATTCATATAGCCAGTACTAAGGCACGCACCAATTCTGAGATGCTGATAATGATTTTCGGGCACACCATAGCACATGGCCTCGACATAGCCAGATAGAAGGGATTGACCTTCCAACACGTGTCATGAAGTCGCTCCAGCTAAAATCACACAAGGAACATCGAGACACCGAAGGATGCCCGCTCCAGCAGCATTCAATAGGGGGAGATCTGTGATGCATGTCTGCCGCATCATAGGCACGACAAATCTAGCTCCAGTATCGTCATCGCCTCAGGCTGGGGTAATAGTTTTTCAAGGTTCGACAGGGATTCGACGGAAATAACTGTCATACTTATATATTGATGAACAGATGAACAGAAGGAGTTGGGCGGATCTAGAGTCCGGGGGGTATCATAACGTCCTATAACATCTTGAACGCCGGAAATTTGCTGGAAAATGCAAATGGAGTTTTGTTGTGACGTGGACGGTCCTGCAAACCCTTTTGAAAACAGTAAAATAACCCTGGCGTTGCTAGCGTAGGACCGGTATCCGTATAATCTGCCTGCGGCTGCTACGGTGCCTGCAACGAAAGAAAGATCAGTAACCGACGCCTACGGTTCCCAACTTAGGTGAGGGAACATACATGGGTCGGCGTGCTTGACTTTCTTGGTTCTGGTTCGTTAAGTATCTGGTTTTACAAAATACGGCGCGTTCAACGTTCAACGGTAGTCGAAATCGCGACATCCGACAAACGTGCGAAACGCACTCCCAGTGACGTGGTATTGCCCTGACAACGGCACGTGAGACTGTCTCACGTCACGTGATGATAAAATCAGTGATTTTCGATTTCCGCCGCCGCTTTCCGTCCTGTTGGGCCAGCAGCGCAGCGCATCAGGTATTCCTGGACCTTGCAACTGGAGGTGAATTTATACTCCAGTCTCTCGTTTTCTTTCGAGGTCGATAACGACATATCACTTTCTACTTTTTTCTTCTTCGCCTGCTCTTTTACTAATATCACTACTGAGCTTAGTTTTTGTCATGGTGAGGGACTACTTATGGAGGCAAAGAGTCAAGTTCGAGTCGACGTTAGCATTGTCTATGCTTGAGCCTTGGGAGAAAATTCTCTGCTGTGAGTCTCATCCCGTCATGAATTGCCAAGGGCTATGCTTGGAAATTTCGAGCATGCCCTTGACTTGTTCAGGTTACATCCTTGCAGTCACAGCACCTTATGCTGACTTTTCCATAGTGATCATATTCTCGCTTTTGACGATGCTGGTGATGATTGGATTGTTCCAGTATCTGCCGCAGCATGTCATAGTCATGCAACGACGCGCCATATATTACCTCTGGGGTCAGGAAGGAGACGTATTCCGCTCATGGGTGGAAACTCCAGGGCTGAAGGAGCTATAGTACCTGCCTGATACCTATTCGTGACTGGAGGTACGAGTGTCCTGATATTTCATTCGTCGTTATGCTTACCTACCCATATATTTGTCTTCTTAGTGCTTGTCCTATGTTATCTTATGGATTCATCTCCCCCATCTCTCTCGCTCACCTACGTATACCTTATTCTTTGTATGCTCATACATGACTCACAACAAATTCTGACTGCTAGACAATTTCAAAGTTTTGTGCGCGTTATCAGAGTGGTCACGTGACTGCTTGATAGCATTGCAAGTGATTGAATTCCAAACACCTGTTGAGTTTTCTTCTCTTCTTAGGCCATTGAAATATACCTCGATAATACTCCTCCCCCACGTTGGACTCCTACAAACCTAACACGCGGGCAGTCTTTACCGCACCAGTCCGTTGTATCATCCGCATGGCACGCACGCCCATCCTCTCGTACATACCGCCCGCCTTCTACACCTCTTCCTTCTGGAAATACGTATGGCGTTTCAAAACAGTCCTCGAGACCACCTTTGGAATATCTATACTGGAGCCTTGGGAGAAGCTTGTCATTCGTACGTTCAGCCAGTACTTGCATCCTCCATCGCGCCGTCCTGACTCGCCGGCGCACGCAGTAATCGTCATGTCATTCCTAACCTTTCTGTTCATCACTGGCTGCGTTCGCTACTTGGTACCTCAGTAGTTCGTTGTGATCCACGCTTGCTACCTCTGGGGTGATGAAGGAGGGAAATATGCGTTTGGACACTGAGTAAACAAAACCAGAGGGAGTGTTGTAGAGTGTTGGTACAATGACGAACCCGCCAGCTTCTGTAAGTAGCAGGTGTGGCGGCTACTTGTCCTTCTCATCTCTTACTTGTATTATATTATGAAACATCGAACGACTCTGCATAGGCAAATCAGAAGGGAAGGTTGCAGATGGTGCAGTACTACTCTTGAAAACGAAGGAACGATTGTCTTCTTTCAAGATCTGACTCTCACTACGAGAGACTGCTGTCGGGATAAAATCAATGCTGGGGTTAAGCTTTTAAAATTTTAAGAAGCATCACTGCGAAACTTTCGCGGAAGATTGTCGTTGTGGTGTACGTTGAGTTAATATTGGAATTTGGCAGATGGACTCGCTTCAAGCTTAAATTTGCACTACTTCTAGCAACCAATGGAGTTTCTCGATCGCTATAACGGTTCTCCGCCGCGGCAGTCATACGCACTCGTGAAAACCTCTGAACTTTCTGTATTGCCTCGGGTGAGTCTAGCTCGCCTCGGGTTTTGGTGCTTCCTTTCTCTCAAACCACGACGCAGGCTGCCACCGATCAACTTTTCGGATCCTGGCCCTAATACGAGCTTACATTACTTTGCAGGCTGACTCCGTCCTGTCAAGTTGAACTTTGGTCTTGCTTATACATGATCAAGGAACATACGCAATTTACATGTACACAGCTCTACGACAACGTTTCTGAACCAGTCTACGTTGCCTGGTTCTGCTCTAAACTCTCACCTCTGGCTGAAACCCTCAGTGCTAAGACGCCTGGATACTTCGATCGATACAGCGTACAGGATAGTCCGCCGCGACTTACCCAGAGGATGTAGCTCTAGTACTGAATGCTACCGTGGCCTGGACATGATTCGATCGATGGAGCCTGCAAGACGATTCACCACGACACACCCAGGGGATGCCGATGTATCTCTGGTGCCGATGCCTTCACTTAACGCGTGGTAATAGCATGATCTATGCGAGTCGCTGAGCCAGTCAATTACATGCATACAGGCTTTCACCAGCACGCGCACAAAACGCCGTCTTGCTCAGCGCGATGGCGTCAACAATGCTGCACGTACCTTTTCTGCGAACACGAGATCCTTTGTCACTTTGCACTAACATTTTTTACTTCACAGCTGCGCCCCAAGCTTACTCACAAATACGTCGCATTGCGCGATTGTCACATCTTCCGAAAGTTGGTTCCTGTGAATACTAAGGCTTGGTCTTGGACCCGCCGCTGTCAGCTTATTTGATCAAGTTATAATAAGACATACTCCGTAGCTCCCAGCAGATCCCCTAACCAACCCATCTAGTCATAGGGCCTCACAGCGTTCGTCCGCAGCATTCCCCTAGGGGCCAAAGCTTTTCGTTCCCAGCTGTCAAAATCCAGACACAATGCCGGCGTGGGTCTGTTCTCCAAAGAATTTCCAAGTGAATTCTTCACCAAAATGGATCAGCTTATTTATGCTGTATCGCCAACCGATTAATACTTGGCAACGGGACATAGGCGCTTTCCAAACGTCACTTGTGACGCCCCTCTGACATCCCTCTGACGGCCTTTGGAGCGTCTCCCGCTCCAGCACGCACTGATCTGGCTGGTCACTCAAGCACCCTTTATGGAAGACACAGATCATCAGACTCGCCCTCACGCAAGTCGGTACTATTATCGATGGTTTCGAGTGTGATAATGCTGTGTTGGATCAGCGACCGCATGTTCGCCTTTCCCCCATCCAGCACAGGGCCCCGGGGGCTACTAGTCTGTGGCGGCTAGGGAAGATGATTTTCCCTGTGATTTCTATCACAGGAAACTCGTTCCAGGTCTACATTCGATATCAGAATGTCATTCACCTCTTTTAGGTTTGACCCGATCTATAGTGCGTCGTGGGCTTTGAAAATATATCATTTGTGTGATAACAATATCTACAAGGATGGGTGTACTATGATAAGAATGAATAAGAGTAATGGATACAGTACGAAAATATATGTAGGTGTAGGCCGATCTATAAGTCCTTGACGTTCTATTGCACCAGCTGTTCAAAATGCGTCGAGTCGTGCGTGTCATTTGTTCGTGTATTCAATAAGTTAAATGCGTTACGGATTTAAGACGTCACGAAATGGTGGGTGAAGGGGCAAAGATGAAGATACCGTAAACATTATTTGGTTGGAAAACGCATGGAATAGAACGAAGAAAGGTGTAAAAACTTGATGCGTGTCATAGGCATGTTGGCCGTGAGTGTGGGAGTAGACGTTAACTAGGACGTGAAGGCAGGGGTAGATCATGATACCATAGATGACAGGATGGTGGAGCATGCGTCACGCGTCCAAGGCGTGGCAGTAGCCGTGATCCAGTCACTGGGGTGGCCCTTCCATCAGAATGATCGCCCAGCGGATCCGATAAGTGCGTTTCTTGCGCGATTACGACGGCATTCCGTAGCAGCCTGTGCTATATGACTGTGAGTTGCTTGCCTGATATAGATATTGGAATAAAGGATAGCGACATCACATGGCAGGATCCCCCCCAAGGCGGGATCCTCCATAAGTCCATGCAAGAGAAACAAACCATGCCTAACATTCTGAAGCGGAAATTATACCGCAGACGGACGGTCCCCTCCACCCCATTTTGTGTGATAAAGCGCATCATCTGGCTTAGTATCCGGGTGAATTTGAAGTCTGCCTTCCCAGAGGGCGGCAGAGGACTTGGAGGGATCATAACGAGCAGGGTCCGATAGAGTACCGCGCGACTGTGGTGCCCAGCCAGCTCCGATGGAGGATGCAATAAGTGTCGGCACCATGGTCATCAAGGAAGGGCTAGAAAAAATTAAGAAACGATCTCGCTAGACGAAAGCTCGAACACGCACAGAGGAACCCGTTTATCTTCATGTAGTCTAGCTTGACGACTCTTCACCACGAAGGAAGACGAGCGCAGCCGACCACCGCGCAGGTTAGCGAAGGTGGCGAGATTGTCACGCACAAGTTCAATCGCAGAGTTCCATTCAACGTCTGGGCGAACTTTAGGGAGACCGCCTTGGGACTTCGGCAGTAGGCGCATCAGGATGAAGAGGCGTTCAAAGGGTCCGTTGGGCAGCAAGCGGATGAGCGCGCCAAGTGGGATGGATACGAAGCCAAGGGCGAGTGAGATGCCCCATTCACGACCTCCAATCCGCGTGACCTGGAATGCGGTGCCACCGATGAACACAATGAGGACTTGCACCGTGATTTCTGCAGTACCCTGGTCGTGAGAGAAGTTCAAACGTAAAGTTTGTCGACTCACCGATGAGGGTTATAACCATGAAGTACCAATTATTGAGCATGCCTTCGAAGATGTTGAGCTTCCGGTCAAGCCGCCGCGAGTTCACCGAGTTGAATATCTGAGCAAAGACGAATGCGTTGAAGACGAGCGTCTGCACAATTGTATCATTACCCGACGTGTCTGCAAGGCCAAGTATCTTGATGCCAAGGAAGTGGAAAAGAAGGATGACGATGATCTGATATGTGGACTGCAACAGGATCTGCTTGTACATGTCCACGCTGAAAAGCGGTGCCGTCTGCTTATCAGGTTTCCGATCGAGTAGCGCAGGTGATGCAGGGTCCGTGGCGAGCGCAAGTGCGGCGAACGTGTCCATGATGATATTGATCCACAGAAGCTGAACGGCCGAAAGAGCCGACGTCTCAGAATTCGAAGCGACGGCGGTTACAAAGGTGATCACGACGGCAGTAACGTTGGTGGAGATCTGGAACTGAAGGAATTTCCGCACTGCGTCATTGACGCAACGACCCCACATAATCGCCTTGACGATGGAAGAAAAGTTGTCGTCCATCAGGATGATGTCTGACGCCTCTTTGGCGACCTCTGTCCCTGCAATGCCCATGGAGAAGCCCACGTGTGCTGTCTTGAGAGCGGGACCGTCGTTCGTGCCGTCCCCAGTGACAGCAACGATTTCGCCAAGTGTGCGAAGCTTCTCGACCAGCATCTTCTTGTCTTCAGGCGACGAGCGAGCGAGAACCTGAAGCCGTGGAACAATCTCGAGCATCTGAGATTCATCAAGCTGACGGAAAACGGGTCCCTCCATGATGATGCCACCAGCCGTATAAATACCACACTGCGTGGCAATCGATCTCGCCGTCAGCACATTATCACCTGTACACATCTTGACAGCAACACCGGCTTTGTGACAATCTGCGACTGCCTCCCTAACACTATCTCTGAGAGGATCTTCTATTCCGACGATTCCGATAAGGGTAAGGTCTTTGGCGATGACATCGTATGGCACCTACAACCAGGTCAGTATGCCAAAATATCGCTGTAAATTTACCCACATCATCAATTGCAGAGGCCTCCATTCCTGGTGGCGGCCAACACGGGAAGTCCTTGTGGCACAGCGCGATAGTCCGTAAGGTCTGGTTAGCGTAGAAAATAATGGTTCTCGAAATGTTCTCCTCCGAGACGCTATCAATCTCTGCGGTCTCGACATCGTCAGCATCGGCGGCGATGCTTCCACGCTGATGCACGACAACATGTCGGCTACACAACTTGGTGAGGATCTCGCTGGCGCCCTTGACGTAGAAACGATAGCCTTTCGCATGCTTGACGACGACGCCCATAGCTTTTCGTTCGCTGGAGAACGGTATCATCTGGATAATTTCCGCAGCGTCTCTTGTGTGCTTGTAGTCCGGCCAGTTTAATTCCTTGGCAAAGCTCAAAAGCGCAGTCTCCGTCTTGCTTCCCACGAACACGCGCTCTCCAGTTTCCTGCTCCACATCTTCGAATGCAGTCGAGTTCACAGCGATGGCTGCGTTGAACAAGGCGAGAAGCGGTCGACTCAGAAAGGTGTTAAGGGTGGACTGATCAAGGGAGAAGTCGTTGCAGGGAGCCGTCAAATCAGTGCTCCTGCGAGGACTTCTATTCGCGTTCGTGCGAGCCTGGTTGTCCTCGAGCTTGCGAACAAACTTGGCGTGAATCCCAACAGAGCCCGCGACGACAGACATAACATTGCGAGTGAGTGTACCGGTCTTGTCAGTGCAGATCACGGAGGCATTTGCCATCGTCTCGCAAGAGCCCAAGACGCGCACCAAGAGGTTTTCTTTCGCCATCCTCTTGGTGGCGAAGGCTAAGGCGAGAGTCACAGCGAGTGGTAGTCCTAATGAGGAACACATTGGTCAACGAGTAGCACGTTTGACGTAAAAGTAGAGCGTACCTTCTGGCACAGCAACAACAACCAAAGTCACCGAGATGATCAGAATTTGAACAAAAGCCATGCCATTTTGGTTGGCGTTCCTGTAACACGTGTAAGAAATGAAGCAATTGTGATAACTAAATATCGTCACCTGGCAGGCAGGCCTTGAGCGAGTTGCACAATGAATCTTATCATCAAAGCGGAGAAAAGTATAATGCCGGCAATACTTCCTAGCTTCGCGATTAATTCAGCTAGGACATTCAGCTTCAATTGAAGAGGGGTGTTCTCCGCATCCGTCCGGAGAGCTAATGGAGTTTGGGGTTAATCGGGCACTAACAACCAAAGACAAAAATATGCACCCATCATGATCCTGCCGTTGAAACTCTTTGTACCCACAGCAACAACGACATAGCTGCCGACGCCTTCCAAAACCTTGCTACCGCTGACGACGAAACAGTCCGTGTGCGCAGATACATGCTGTACATGGTCGTTGTGCTCCCCTCCAAGGGCGCCGCCTTCAGCGCGCACACCGCTTAGTGCTTGCTTCAGCGCCAGGCAATCTTGGTAAGACGCCTTTTTAATAGCATCTGACTCGCCAGTCGCCGCTGATTCGTCACACTTGACGTTGTGCCCGGATAAGAAGATGCCGTCGCAGGGGACAATTTCCCCGGGTTCCAATAATGCTACATCGCCGACTACCACTTGCTGTGGAACGTTACGTGACACGCAGGAAATGACATGAGACAACGTTGCATTTAAATTTAAACTGTCTCACTTTCACGTCAATCAGACGCTCGACGCCGTTGCGGATGACCTTGACTCCACGTTCTTCCTTTTTCTCGTTGAGAACCTTGAATTGCCGTTCCTTTTGCCAATCATTCAACGATCCAACAACGACCTGTAAATTTGAGCGTTAGATAAGATCGGGATGTTGCAGGTGGCTCAACTTACGACGATAAGAACGGCGATCATGATTGCAACACCTTCCACCCAATCAACCGGCGGTTCACCAGCAGGCAGGGTCGTTCCAAAATCTTGAAACAAGCCAAGTGCCAGAGAAACAACCGCTGCAATAGACAACAAAACCTTGCAAATACAAAGGGATGAAGATAACGTTTGACCGATTTAGAAAATACGCACGAGAACTTTATCCTGTAGTGCGAGCCACATGAGAGCTAGTAGGCTTTTGCTCGCTCGCTGTGGAAGAACATTCTCTCCAAACACGAGCCGTCGGACTTGCATAGATGCTGAGTAAGGATCGGAGTTGCCGTTAACAACGTCAACATCGTGCGGTGCGGTAATGGGGAGCCTCGAGGAAGGCTGTTCGGACCCTCGGTCGTGCCTTTGTGAAGCACCTACTCCAGCACCCGGAGTGTTGTCAGATGGTGCGGGACTGTCATCTATGATTAAACCTCGCGAACGGTGGGTTCCGAGACCCTCAAGAAGGCTGTCAACACCGCCAAGAGCCTCGAGGGCGTCAAGATTCTTCGGGTCGAGAAGACTTGCCAATTCGACCGGCCTGAATTTGAATGGATGGGGGTCCACCAAATCATCTTCAAGGAGTTCGGCTTTAGGCAAGTCACCGTTTGATTGGTCCGATTTATGGTTATCTGAAGCGGTTCCATTGGCCTGAGGCAAAGGAGTACTTGTGACGACATCCTCAATGGAAATTTCAGATTTAGCAGGATGAGACCTTGAGCGGACAGAGGCAAAGTCAACGTGTGTATGCGTAGGAGAAGGCATTGTGCTAGCAGGATCCGATCCCACAGGTTGAAGGGGTAGATATTCGCGACCGCCGTGGTCTGGTTCAGTTTCATCCAAGCTGCTATGGCCCTCATGGGAGCTAGCGAAGCTAAGCTTCCTATGATGAAGAATGTCTTTATCTGGACCGAGAAGGTGCAAGGAAGAATAGCCGCTACGCTCGTCTGGCTTGTTCTCCCGAAGGGATATAGAGGTAGCGAAATGTGCGGAAGACTGGGTAGATAAAGTTGGGGAAGGGGGAGGATTTAAAGAAGACCCGTCATTGGAGGAGACAAAAGTGGGTGTAGGTGAATGGGAACGCGAGTCTACAGACATGCGCTTGAATGGCCTAGAATGAGGGGACAAAAGAGTCGAGTCTGCCTGTGAACGCAGAGCGACGTGGGGGGAAGGTGAAGGGGAAGCGAAGATCGTCGTTTGAGCATAATTCTGGTTTATAGATTGATTTGAGGATAAGTCAGTAGTGACGATTTCTGGGATGTTGGTGGTCGCCCCTTCTGCCATTTAGTCCCAATCAACACGAAGGGGGAAAGTTCGAACTGAGGATTCGAACTGGCAATATATAAATGTACGTGACACTGGTAAGCAGTGAGGCTGTGTGTCCAGTGGAAGTTCTGCGTAGAACGTCCGATCTAAAGATTCAACAAGGCACCACTGTGACAAAAGGACGTTCGTCGTGTGTTCCTTCCACCGCCTCCTTAGACCCAAGAATAATCAATGACATCCCATCCAATGTAATAAACCACTGACCTCGATTCACTCAATGTTTAGGCTCAAAACACTACTTTCCTTTTCAGTGTTCATAGATCGTCGTCTCAAAACAATTTCCTTTCTAGGGGCAGTGCCAATACTAGCTACCGCAGTTTCAGCCAAGTCACTATGCCTTTGCAATTTAACCCGCCCGCCCGCCATCGACGCTGTATGTACCTCTCCGTTAACACTGCCTTAGTACCCAAGATCCGTCCTCTCATTCCCCCTGACTTACTTTACCGGTCACCTTTTCATCCCGGACGCTGAATCAGTGGGCTAACTTCTATTGCCGGATGAATAAGTATCTTCCTCGTAATCCTTGTACTACGGTCAAACATTTCCTTTAGCCATCATTAATGAGACGCTGCCACAATCAAGATACCTCCATTCCCAAAAAAAAAAGTATCCTACAGCTCGTCTTCACCGGCATAGATAATTCACTCACACTAATAAAACCCTGCTGCAAGGCTCCCATGCCTTCGATTATCATTACCTTATGTATCCCTCCTGCCTTTTCACTTACACCACCCATGATCATCATCTCACGCCAATGTGCTTACCATCAGTCACTTCACAATTCACTTTCCGAGGACAACGACGTCATTGATTCTATCCTTTCACAACTCGTCCATCCTCTCCTCAATTGACGTCTTCTCAACTGCGTAAATTACCTCTTTTTTACTCTTAATCTATATCATCTGTTCATCAAACAAGATCGCACCCCACCGCCAATGCACTCCGGATTCTCACCTTCTTAGAACATGCACAATCAATGAGGTCATTCCTCAAGACGATCTCCTCCTTAGCGCTGATTCCACAGGGGAACTCCAGCGAAGTCTTCTCTCTGTCAGGAATATTCCGCAGTATTCTGCCCACACATTCACCTCCGTCCTTTTTCTACTAGGAATTCTGACAGCCTTATTCGCCAAGCGCTTTTCCGCATGTTCGTACCATAATTATTAAATTTCCCTGCCGCCCCCATTCGGATAATCTGATAAGTTTTCCCGTCATGCGGTAACGGAAACTAGTCACCCCTTTGCTTACTTTGGCATCGGAACGTGTCTTGTGGCCACTTCAACTACATGCATGCAAGCCTCATTGATCCATCGCGGACTTCATTTTAGAAATCGTCTTATCCGAAACTGAAGCCACGGTCTATTCATAGATTCCCAAAGGCGCTTACTCGCGTGCATTTGACTTTTGCCTTCAAAATCAGTCAAAAGCGCCCAGAGCAGAGCGTTGTGGAGAGAGTCAAAGATCATCCTAGCGCGTCTACCCCTCGATCGTGGCACAACTTAAACGCTTCCTACTAATGAATAGGTGGGCGGCCGGCTTTCAACTACGCGGTAACGTGTTAGCGCACCACACAGCACGCACTTAGCACTCAGATACCCTGCTTATCATATTAGGCGGAACCATTGCCACGCTGACCACAAAGCCCGCTTCGCGCATAGAAAATCTCGAAACACCGGAAGGCGAGCCGAAAATACTAATTTGTCTCATATCGTCCGACGACGATGGCCCATGGAGACTGCCCTTGTCGTCTCGCAAGTACCGTCTGCGCTCCGGATCGATCGCCAACGGGCACCCTCAACCGCAGGAATGGTAGACAATTTGTAATGAAATGATGGCAAGACACTTGCGCCGTGGATCTGATCTATGGCATCTTGACTGACTCAGGCTAGGTCGCCGCCGCCGCACCTCTGCAATGAAACGCACGAGTGGCGTCTGTGGCATAGTGTATGACGTTTGGGGCTTGCACTAGTGTCTGACCACCGATTTGAGACGTTGCACACATCCCGCCACTACTTGCTGGCCCGACGTGAATTTTAAGCGGGTCCGACGCTAGAACTACGCGGTGCATATAATTTTTTAGTTGCGAAACGACTTGGCTCTACTTTCGCCGGAACAGACGTTCTGGAAAATTGCCTTTTAAAGGCAAGCCCACTGTCGGCTCTTTCCGCTTTACGCAATCGGTTGCCAAATTTAGTAAGACCCCGTCTCCTTCCAAACCTTGGCTAACTTCTTATTTGCAAAACTGCCAGCGCTCCTTTTCCTAAATAGGCAGGTCAAGTAGTACATGTACAGCCTTGAAGCTTTCCATTAGAACGTGGTCTGCGAATGTTCGAAAAAAGTCTCTGGAAGCCTTCGACCTTTTACCCTATCGCGCGGAATATGATATACACACTTCGCTAGCGGAACATCGACTCACTATCAAATATCGCACCGAAGTGCGTTATTAAATGGTACGCGCCAGCCGTATCATATGCCTGGCCAGCGAATGACTTCGAGAAACTTCCAACCACGAGAAAATGCGGTTGGCAGGCACAATGTCACGTCACCTATCAATATCATGGTATGACTTTAATCTACTCATGCGAGTCAAGAGTTGTTATCGACCAACAAGCCAAGATGTCAAGCCCATCTGATCTTTCCAGCACAGGCCTGGTATGATAGCGTAATTAGAATCTGGCTGGCAGGCCCAGGCAGGGGCCTTACCATATCTTCTGGCGCACGGGGTTGCTAATTAAATTCACCACAGCATGCACTGTACCCGCCCAATTGCCCTGATTTACGATCATATCGTCGGTGATACATTATCTGATCATTTTGAGCCAACGGCTGCGCATGTGATGGATATCAATGGTATCGTCGTTTGTGCTATCCAAGGATGCGAATCCTTCATATTTGGCTGTCCTCCCGCTGGCATGCTATTGTGTCATGGACCACCCCTGTACGGCCATGGAGATCTAGTCGGTGACCACCGTAGTTGAGACCATCAACCGACCCAGAGCGGACATGAGGACGCATCATGTGTCCGGGCACAAATGGTTTAGTGCAGGTATCGACGCTACATGAACTAGCACAGGACTGCACACGTCTACTGGTTGTTATTCTCATGCGTTGGGGGCATCGTAGAGGCGCGTAGTCCACATCCCTCACACATGACGTTAATGGATCAGACATTTGAAATTTTAGCGATCGCGGTTTCATCTGAATGGTGTTCAACGCTACCCTCGCGCATGGTATACAAAAACAACTCTATGTGCTCGGATATGAGGATTCCTATGGAGCCCGTGGACCCCTCTCGCGTTCGGCCCCCAAGGGAACCTATCTTTGCTTTCAAGAAGGAACCCTTGATAACACCTGCTCGTGCTGACTGACAGATACCCTGTGGTTGGGTGCAAGTTCTGACAACTCGGACGCAGAAAAAGCTGACAATCTGGTCCACCTTGAAACTCAATCTGACTCGACGTTTCACGCGTGTGGGTGGCGACTACTACAATTAGCGGTAAAGGGCGGAATTCGGCCCTCGGTTTCCTAACGGTGTTGCGCGTGCATTCTGGGAGTAATACATAGCCTTTGGAGTGACAACCGCAGGGATCATTCATGGGACTTGTCGGACTTTTCCAGGGAGGTTACCACAGACCCCTAGATCCTCCGACGTGAGTGACTAACATACAAAGGGACGTGATTGTTAATTGGCCTATGTAACGACAAAGCTACGCCGTACTGAGGTGGATTCTCAAGTGCATTCGATCAGGCGGATGACTCAACGTTGCGCATTGCGCCGACAAACACAGGAAGCATTCAGGAGCTTCGTCGTATGTCTCACGCAGACTATGCTACCATCGAAACAACAAGCACTGGATCTTGAGTTCAAACCTTCTTATTGTTGTGATGTTGAGAAAGCCAGGGTATGGAAATGCGTTTCAGCTGACTTCCCTTTGTTGTTGTGTCGTGTGCATTGTTGCCCACTGACGAGGAGCTTGGCATAACTGTAAATTCTAATGCCACACTTCACAATCACACTACGATCATGTGTCACCCAAAGAGAATGAGGGTGTTAATGCCCATGTCCTGCGCCCTGTTTCAATCTGCGTTAGAGGGCTTTTACTAGAGGAAGCTCTTGCAGAGATGCTCGGGAAGGATTTAGCTTCCAACGAAAGAAACCCTGAGCCGCTCGTGCTAAAACGAGCATCTCGTTGAGGACCCATGACGCATAACGGTTCTCTTTCATTTCTCAAAGGAACGGCGAGCAAATTTGCGCTTCTGTAGAAGGTCTACAAAGAAACTCGAACGTACGGGCACTCGGAGCGCCCAAGAAAACCCCTGACATTCCGTCATCAGTTCAGGTCAGATGTTTGCGCTTACCAGGCTGCCAGCTGCAGGATTCTCGAAGGTGTGCATAAAACGAGCGGAGGCGAGCATGCAAAAACGTGTTCACCTCATGCTACTATGTAGTACTTTATTCTCCATCGTCGTGTAATGTGCCACCCCGTCTATGTTCTAGAAAACCATTGAAGATATGGAATAATCATATGGAACAGCCAACAAACGGCACCCCAGGTCGAGCGCCAAAGATGAAACGCAATTATCCGACCCAATGCCTAAATAGAGGTTACTTGCCTTCCCAGATGTTTATGCATCTGGGCTTACCACCTGCGGCGTAGGCACTTGTCCGCCAACGAGGTCGCTACCTGGGCCTTCGTCATTCTTCGGCTTTAATTCGGCTTGACCCTCCTTGTCCTACTTCATCCTGCTTCAGCTTGCTCATTTCCTTGATGAAGCTCGTGCCCCAGAAAGCCGCGGAGTATTTGTTGACGTATTTGAAAAGTTTGCGGTGGTTCTCAGCACGCGTCTCTGTATCCATCGTGACAGCTTCGTGAATCGCGTCTGCGACCTGTTGAGAATCCCACGGGTTGACGACGATTGATCCGTTGAGACTCTGCGCGGCTCCGGCGAATTCGGAGAGGATCATTGCGCCCTGACGAGCCTGCTGGCAGGCAATATACTCGTACGAGACCTGCGTATTAATGACATCAATACGTCATCGCAGGTGAAGAACTAAGAAGATTTACCAGATTCATCCCATCCCTCGTACTTGTCACCAAACAAACATCGCTAATTGCGTAAAGGGCGCATAGTTCGTCAAAGGCCAGACTCTTGTGCATGAAATGTATTGGCATGAATTCGACTGTACCAAAAGCACCGTTAATGCGACCGACAAGCTCGTTTACCGTTGACCGCAGGTTTTGGTAATCTTCGACATCTTGTCTAGACGGCACGGCGAGCTGCACCAACACGACCTAACAGCGGATGCGAGTAAGTCAACCGAGCATTCACGACAACTCCCACACTAACTTTGCCGATCCACTCAGGGTGCTGTGTCAAGAAGAGCTCGAGGGCATGAAGTTTCTGGGGAACTCCTTTGATGTAATCGAGACGATCAACCCCAACGATGACTTTCACTCCATTAAAACGCTGTTCGAGTTGAGCTATGCGAGATTTAACGGAATCTTTCTCTAGGTTCTGCACGTTGTTTAAGCTTCAACGCCCCATGTAATTTTACGTCGTACATACCTTGATGAATGAAGAAGGTTCAATGCCAATAGGGAATGTGCCAACGTGAGCTAAGCGACCCTCAAACTCAACACCGTTAGGCATTGTGGGCAAGCCAAGGATGCGCGTGCATGAAGACAAAAAGTGACGGGCGTAGTCGTAAGTGTGAAAGCCAATGAGGTCGCAGAAGAGGATACCCAGGAGAATTTCACGCCGGACAGGGAGGATCCTGACACAGGGTCAGCGAGGTGATCGGCAAATAATGCAAGATCACTTACCTGTAAATTTCACTGCTGGGGAAGGGTGTGTGCAAAAAGAACCCGATCTTGACGTCGGGTATTCTTTCAGAAGAGGTGCAAACTTCCTCCTCGATACCCTCCGCAATCTTGGTCAGCTCTCGTTTCTGGTATTCACCTCCAGATGAGCCGTCAACGAGGCCGCGTAGTATCATGGGCAGGAGCATCAAGTGATAGTCCTGCACCCATACCATACTGCCGGGTGTGATTTGCGAGCGTACGGTCTCGGCAAACCGGAAGTTGGCCTGACGGTACATCAGCCAGTTCTCTTCATCGAAGTTCATCTCTCCGGGATGGTAGTGAAATAGCGGCCATAGGATGGAATTAGAGAATCCGTTGTAATGGCCCTCAGCGACGTCATCGTCAAGATATACGGCTTGACAATTGTACTCCTCCATGAGACGCTTGTCGACGTAAGCTCGGTCCTTCGGTGGGATGTAAAAACCCGGCCAACCGATCCAGGTGAAGCTTAATGATTTCTTGAAACCGGAGAGGGCGGATACCAGCCCTCCAGAAGACATTTTAAAGTGGTATTCGCCGGATGCATCTTTGGTAATTGTGATGGGAAGACGGTTGGCGACAACGATGAGGTGTTTGCCCTCCATATCTGCAAAGCTTTCGTCTGATGTGGGGAATATGGAGCTCGAGGAAGCCATGACGGAGTGAAATTTATAAGTGAGCAGATCTCTACGAAAACATGTAGGAGAGGCCGAATACGGGTGATTATCGGATCTCCTTCCAACGAATATGATATGAAGTTACGGATGGTTGTCGGAGCGAGTAGGCTGGCAAACGTTTGCGTGATCTAGTCACTATCGTGATAAACGCCTAGATCGTTGATGGCTGTTGAGGCTTGTCGATTAATCTTGGATTTGTTCTAGCTGTGCGCCCTATGCCTCCACTACTTGGAGTTGAAAGCGTCATAAACGTCATCCTATGGGAATCACAACCATGGTCCGCTGGTCCTGGAATTGGTCCATCGGTCCACCGATATCTGATCGTCGTCCCTGTAAAGTGCCAGTGAGAAGCACACACGTCGGATCGATCAACGTGTTGAGGGTTCAATATATATATGATCTACGTAGTGTTCGTGCCCCAGTATTCCTTCTAGAGTCTTACTTATATACTTATGGAAATCGTGTGATCAGAACGAGTCTTGCATCGTGGTCGCTTATCAGGTGCATGCATTAGATGATGTGCGTGACAGTAAATAACATGACACAACGAGTAATCTAGTCGAAGAGACCGAAACCCTGTAGACAACCGTGTAAGCACTATGATCTTTACGGATCATGAGCAACTTACCATATCATCATCAGACTCCTCCTTCTCCTCAGCCTTCTCCTCTTCCGCGGCCTCAGCAGCAGCGGGTGCAGCCTCACTGGCAGCAGGTGCGGCAATGGCAGCAAATGCGTCAGGGTTCTCCAAGTACTCCTTGGCCTATATTAACCATTAGCATCGTTGTTAAACATGTAAACTCATGGTAAATATTCAGAAACAAAATATTATGTGCATCCGTTGTAGTCAGCATTTTCAGTGTGTTATGTTTAAAGCATCTCAATAGTAGCCGAATTGAAGTTGAACTCACCTTCTGGGCACCCTCGAACATGTAGTCAGTGACCAAGCACAAAGCAATGAGGTTCTTGTACGAGTTGACAAGTGAGTGCGTGACCGAGACGATGGTAGGGTAGTTAAGGGCCAATGAGATGGCAGCAATGGACTTGATACCGGACATGAAGCGGTCAATAAGAACCTTCTCGTCAACATCGAGAACAGAGGGTTCGAACGCGTTTCCAGAGTCGAAGATCTGGACGACAGTCATACCGTACGTGAACGGCGAGATGTTCAACATGTTGAGGAGAGTAGCCTCGGATGTACCGACACGGCTACCAGCGGTAACGACCTGGATCTCGGTCGAAATTTCAATGGTACCACGAGCGATCTTGGTGGGGATACCGAGGGCCTGGAAGAAGGAGGTCTTTCCGGGCTCCATACCGGTGTTACCGGCAGGGACGAAGACATCCTTGGGGGCATAAGCACCGGCACGAGCGGGGGCGGCGATCTTGTTGGCAATAATGATCTCCCTAACCTCCTTGAGGTCGCCGTCGGTGAAGACGAAGCCGATGTTACCCCTGACGTGGGGAAGAAGACGCTCGAACTGAGGGTTCTCCGCAAGGATGGTACGGAGGGCACGGCGAACCATGGTGTTCTTGCCCATCAAGACGACACCTTTGCCACGGAGGGCAACACGGATCTGGTGCATCTGGTTGGAGCTAACATTGTCAACGTTGACGATGAAGATGGAGGCTGCAAGCGCATCAATAAACAAAGATTGTTAGACAAGTAGAATATTGAAGCGCACGATATTTGGAGATGAGCTCCTTAAGTTTGGTGAAGTAAACTTCCTTTTGCGCGCGAGTAGCACCCATTGTGATTTCTGATACACCACGCGTTCAATTATCGAGACAGGGTAATAAGTAGTGACTTACATGAATATACAGATGATTTTTTTTAGTGAAAATCAGTGCCTCCCGATTGACCTCTGCAAGCCTGTCAGTCAAATCACACATTCTGAACTCGCACCACTCACCAGCAGTGTGCCAATGGATTTTTCAAGGCGACCGACTGGATGAGGATAATATTGATATGTAGACCCAGCTCTCCTGCTAAAGTTTCGATCAATCCGGGAAATGCCTTACAGTTTAATAAATAAGGTTACAAATCCGCCGGAGAATGCCGCAGGTATGTTCAACCTGTAACGTGACGTTGTAACGCGACGTGTTCCAAATTCGTCCATGCCATGGAATGTTGCGATGGTGTGTGTCGACCGTCCGAGTTTTGGGCGGCGTCGACGGTTCTCAACAAATCAGGTTTGCAGCTTTTTTTCCATTCAATGCGTGAGTTTTGATCGTTATTGTAGACTATTATCTTCTGCTAGCGCCCATATCCAAGAATGCGTACCGCGCATTACCAGGACTCAGAAATTGCGGAACACGAGGAAACTGTCTCTTGGGACCTCAGATGATGATGGTCAAGAGCCCGGCACGTCTAATTCACGCACAAACACTCGGGCCATAAGTGCTCTTCAAGAGATCCTGACGTCGCCTCCAGTCGTTCCCGACCCTTCCAGGAGACCGACACCCAATACTATTCGTTCATTTTATATATCCGCAAAAGCCCGAGGCCAGTTGTCGCAGCTCGACTCAGGAATACTTAGTGCTTTGATTGGTCTTTTTGGGTCCTTGTCTGTCGACCCATCAAGAAGATGTGTGTATACTAGTTCACTCCTTCCCCATGTGAAAAATGGTCCCGTACCTCGTGACTACTGGGCATTCGCGAAGGAGGTTGTATCATTTAAGCAGGAGAGGGGCATGACTGCTGTCGCATTCGGATAGATATTGGATGATGCGGGCTGAGTTGGCAAGCATTACCCTCTCCAAAGATGGCCAGCTCGGTTGTAAGATAATCCATTGCATTCGTTAGTAGATTGGCCTAATTAAATCGAACAGATACGCACGCATCTAATCGCTCTCTTTTCCGCGCACGACAACAATATCTCCACCTTTCTCGGCACGTTTTCGATCCAGAGGTTCATGTTCCCTATTTGAAATCGCTCGTGTCGAGCACAGATCCCCGTCACAAGCAATGGGCTGTTGATGCGATGTCATCCATCATTCTCACCCATCCATTTCTCCATACAAAAGTGCTGGAAGTGTTGTGGGAGATCGTTCATGGCGCAGATGCTGTACTGTTGGGATCCATTCTATCAGCCTATTTCAACCCGGGTCACTCATTTTCCGTCGTCGTGCGGGGATACTCCATCACCTCATATTACAGCTGTACCCGTTGATGCTACCACCATAACATCCGCTCTTTCGACATTTCCGTTACCTGTACCAGGTGCCTCTGCGCATGCGAAGCCCATCACGGAGTTGCTGCACGAGGCTTTTTCATCCAACACTCCAATGGTTCACCGGCGGAGCAACCTACTCCTATGTTCTCTGCTGTACAGCTGCAACAGCAATGGAATTCCTATTTCATCGCTCGATTTTCCTCCGGATCGAGGTGCATCAATGTGGAAGACCCTGTTTGCCCTTGCGATTCTTGAAAAGGTTACGCGAGCCGCGGGTGCAGCTCATCTTCATGATCCTGCCCTCCGCGGACGTATTCAAGTGATGATACGTTCTCTTCATGAGTCTTGGCTGCACCTCATGCGCAATCGATCGTACCCCATTCCTCATTTCACGTGCTGTAGCGACTTCTATTTTTCGCCTCGCTGGTGCGGTAGCCGATACGAAACTAGTCGAAGCATGCCTGGAATCGAGTACAACCTTCGAGCTTTGGACCAGAAATTCTTCAGATGCTGTGGAGGAACCGCAATTGACAGCAATGGCAGCGATGCATCTTGCTGCCTTGGTGCAAGTCCGGGGGTGTAGAGCGGAATTGGTCATGAAGACGTTGAGTTTTTACTCGACTGACGTCAAGCACCATAGTGTCATCGTGTCTGCGGCTGTCAAGGATCTTATTCATCGTGATGTTGAGCTCGGCCGCATGTTGTACAACATTGCAGACCGTAGTGGACGCGACATCGACGTCGATATCGCATATGCCCTTGCCAGAGCACTCCCACCTCCTCATGCTGTGCGTTTCCTCAAGAATGAACGATTCTCCCGAGAACAAGTAGGAGGCCTCCTAAGCAGTATTGCTCGTGGCCTCAGGGAGATCAGGCATCGACGTTACGATGCAGATCTTTTCGATGACATTGGCGTTTCCCTCTACAACCTATACGCGACCTCACCTCCCCCCGATCACTTCCGTGGGCATCTCCAGCTTCTTCTAGCCGAGCAATGCACGCGAGGCAGAGGGTTCCAGACCACGGCTATTATCGCTAACGTTATCAAATTCCACTCGACCTTCTTTCAACCCTCGTTCTTGATGCAGCTGATTCGCCTCTTTTTGCACCGCAAGCAATTTGTTTGCGCGTCGAGAATTCAGAGAATTTACGTTGACGCACGCGAGGGATGTGTCGTCAACAGACGCCGCATGGTCATCGCACGCCTTTGGGCGGCAGGCAGTAGACGCCTATCCACGAATATTTATTTGCCAGGTCGCAAGTTAAATACCTTGTTTCGAGGTGGCCGTTTCTGGACAGCAGGGACTTTAACCAACAGTCCAACGAGCAGTGGCCCAGTGTTCAACAGAGTTCTTCAAAGTTTAATCTATGATAGGCGAGCGCATGCCGCAAGGGTCGCCTTTAGTCGTGCTGCAAGCAGGGTAGACGCGAAAAGTCGGACGACCCTAGGCAACACACTTTTACACGGTGTCCTCATTCGACCAGTCCCAAGAAACGGCAGACGCGTCCGCAAGCTTCTTGGACTCCTTGACAACCTCGTCAGCTGCCACCAGTTCGCGCCTGATAGAATTACCGTCAACATCATTCTCAAGGCGCTGATAGCCTGGAGGACTGCATTCGATTACCGACGCCTACGTGCACTGTTCGACCACATGGTCTGCGGTGGATACCCAGCGGGTGCTTATTCCCCTTCCCACCCGCCCTTTGGCACCCCGCCTCTGCGCACCGGCGGAACTCTCGCGCTGTCGAAGCTTCCGGCCTATATATCGTTTGAGAAGCATGCGAAACCGATGCTCAAGATGTTCATCAAGGGATTTTATCTACGGAATGATGTGGAGGCTGCGCGTACGGTGGTAGAGATTTTGAAGACTGAGCAGCAGAAGGCTACTTTGCAGAGAGAGCGGCGGTCGGCGGCACGTTTGAAAGGGCGGATGAAAGCAGAGAGTACAAGCCGAAGGGATGATACGACTCATGTTCATAATGATGAATCATAATAGACTTTTGCTTGTCACTTTTGAGAGAAACTATTAAAAATTTGATCGCCTGTTGGTTTATCGCACGGCATCGTATTGTGTCCACAGTCACTTCGAACGAAAGGGATCGGGTGGATTTTACTATCGCGGTGGCTGTGCTAGCTGTACTTCATTTGCAGTGTCAGTGGCACTCTCTGTCTTCAACGACCACCATCGACGTTCAACTTCATCGCTCGACATGACGATGGCTACAGAAGTTATGTCTGTTAACAGCTCAGATTCAAGCTCGACGAGTTCGTCAGTGTCTATCCGAGCTACCAAGGTAAGCGTAGCAACTTGACTCCAATGGGCCCCTACTGAGTAGCATGTCTTAGCGTAAATTCGATGATGCACTTCAAAGCCTCGACAGCGCTGTAGCTCCAGCTAAACCCGCATCTGAAAGACCAACACCACCCAAGCGACCACATATGACCCGCTCTCTCTACTCTACCCTCGCCAAGTACGGTATCAAGTCCAACGAACCAAAACCACCCGTCGAGTCAGTCAAATTTCGCGGTTTTCGACTTGGATATCTCTGAATTTGCTCTCGTCTCCTTCTATTCCTGTTTGCCCAACAGTACTGCGGATAAGCATGATATTTCCAAGACTGCCCCTCACCTTGCTGCGATCTTGGCCCGGACTGCGTCCCGCTCCAAGAGCCAAGGAGCTTCCCCTTTTGCACACCCTAGCGTTCCAGCATCAGCTTCACTCGCCTCAGAATACCGACCATCATCTACTCAGTCATTTTTATCCCGTCTGTCGACCTACAAGTTGGCGACATACGCAAACAAGCCACCCCAAATCGATGCTGTCGCTGCAGCCAAGTGCGGTTGGATAAATGATGGCAAGGACAGACTAGTGTGCGGAATTTGTGGTTTTTCATGGGTTGTCGCGGGGCGAGACGGCATGACACGAGAAGCTGGTAAGGTTTAGAAGGTAGGTAAAGGAAAAGGTACACTACTGAACGCTTTTCTTTCGTACCATAGCCAATGCGCTCGTTGAGAAACAGCGCATTCAGTTATTAGAGATGCACAAGGATGGATGTCCTTGGCGCACTAGGCAATGTGATTGTGAGTTGTTTTTCGAGCTGCACCTGGCCTCCTTGCTCACACAATTCATTAGCGTCGATTTATCGCGTGCCGCTCCAAGCACCTGCCGCCATGGCACGAGACATCAAGTCTAACACACTCACTCTAGAGCCCCTCCTGACAGACGTCGTGATTAAACATCCGCTGGTGAGTTAAACCACACCGTTTTGCGTCCATTGCTCATAGGTTTCATCAGTCGGCCTCCCAGCTTTCCTCGCTTCGTTCAGCAATTGCCTCAGTCAAGCCTACTCAGCCGCAGCCAGAATCTGAGGATGAGTCCTCAATGCAAGTCGATGCAGACCCTGAGCCATCTGATACTACACTCGTGACTGCCCTCTTCGGCTGGTCGTTGGCCCCGCCTTCTCCTCCCTCGGAACGCACTCGCACTACATCTCTTTCTCGAATAGCCACGATGTCCAGGCCAGCCTCCCCGTCGCTGTCTAGAGCTTCGTCAGTTTCACGCACTGTTCCGTGGGGAAGAGGGGATTCTCCGTCTCCGATGCCGTCTTCACCCCTTACTAGTATCTCGCAGCTGGGAGGTACACCCCCGCGTGCGCGCACCCCACGCTTAAGCGACATCGGGAGAAGCGCCCGGGACACATCTCTTCTGCACTGTTCTTTGTGTCAACGACGCGTTGGCCTTTGGGCATTCACACCCCAGTCCGCTCCACTACCACAAGACGGCAGTTTACCACCACGTTCGTCGACAAAGGAGAGGCAGTTTGATGTGCTGAATGAACATCGGTCGTATTGCCCATATGTTGTTCGCTCGACGATGGTACCGAAGCTACCTATGCCACCTATCCTCGCCTGTTTCTACGGATGCACCGGCAGATGGTGCAATAGAGGGGATGGCGTGCTGTGCTGACTGTTGTGCTCCGACACGGACTGAGTGAGCGGCAGCGTAATGCACGCTTATCATTGTCCGGAGGGGATAAAAACATAATGCACGGAGTTGACGGAGAGCTTGAGGGCGTGGAAGCTATGGTCGCAGGGGTGAAGAGCAAGGGGGTGAGTTTATGCTGGCAACACGACAATCTTGAATATAGACTAATCATGCATCTTTTGCAGGGGCGGGAACTATTGAAATATGTGAAAGGACTTTTGGGTTGATGTGTATTCTGAGTTCGTACTTGTTTGCTTCGCACCATTCCATCCAGACAATTGCCTGTATGTTTCCAATAACGAAGTTGACGTCTCCTGAGCGAAGCACGATGTCAGCTTGCAGATCGCTACAAGACGCAACTAGTTCTATTGGTATCATCTACGGAAATACATACCAGTATGCGAGCCTTGCACTACCTTGGCTGTTAATAAATTGAGCTATCATATTTGTCTACTGTCGTCCGATCACTCCAGATCGACGACCCAAGATCGACCTCAACAAAATCCACCGGTCTATCCGTTTCTATATCTCTTAAGGAGATATTACCACTTTGGCACATTCCGCGGAAAATTCCGCCCTCCATTTTGAAAAGATTAGATGGAGTGTCGAATTCCTGAAACTCATGAGAATGAATCGCTGAAAGATGCTCAAACAACCCACTGCGACGAGGCCAGCGTCGATGACCAGAATTCGGTCGTACGAAATGATAGTTCGAAGTCGGTCTGAAGTGTCATCACATTGCAGCATTGCAGAAGAGAGCAAAAACGATAAAACGCACGGGCAATACAAAGGAGCGTGTGGTCCTTGAATTGCGTCTGGATAGTGTGCTGGATCTTGTTATCGGTCTCAAGGTCGACAGAGGCTCTGAAAGAAAGTCAACATCATGCATCCAGGAGAAGAGTACGTAACTAACGTGGCCTCGTCAAGCACGACGATTTTAGAGTCTTTCACCAGAGCACGAGCTAGACTAAGCAGAGATCTCTCCCCAACACTGAGGTTTGCTCCCTCACTCTCAACGGTGCTGTCAAGGCGATGGCGGCTGGTGGAAGTTTGCTCCCCCCTGATGCCATCAGCAAGATTCGAGTCGGTGCCAGAGTCAGCAAGATAAGATCTATGCAACGCATCCCATAGCTCCGCGTCATTGTGTTGAGAGAACGGATCCAGGTTGGACCGTATGGTTCCTGGTGATTTTTTAGGGCTTCAAACAAGTGCATGTAACTTAACGACACTAACCGCTAAAGAGAAGAGGCTATCGAGTTTGTACATCAGTCCTGTGTTGTGTCGCAGGTGCAAGGAAATTTCACAAACATCTTGTGGAATGATAGAAATCTTGGAGCGAAGGTCTTTAAGACCAATCGTAGATATATCGATGCTGGACAGGGTGAAAACAATATTCGTCACGAGCGATGACCAACGTACCCATCGATGGTGATCGAACCACCGGACAGCTCGACAATTCGGAGTAGCGCGAGCATCAATGAAGATTTTCCGGCACCAGTCCTGATGGGACGCCGCATCAGTATACATGTGTGGATCCAACGAATCAGCTGACCTTCCAACAACACCTATCTTTTCGCCTCCCCTGACATTGACCGAGATACCCTTCAATACATTGGGGAGGCCCGGCCTATACGCCATCTTAACGTTGTTGAATTTGATGGCGCCATGTTCGGGCCATTTCGCCGGGGGCTTGCGTTCTTCGATCTCATGCGGTGCCTCGCGAGGTATCGCGTCCTCATCGACGTACTGTACCACTGAGAAGAGTAAGTGAGAGTGGAGGTATCGTAGAATTCGCGACTCACCTCGTTCTACTGCGTTCATGTGATTCTGAGGCAAACGACAAGTGAATAGCTAGTGATGTAAGATAAGAAAAGTCCTACCTCGACGTCTGCGGTCTGTCTTATTACGTTACCACACATCTGTGCCAACGAGACTTTGGTACGAAAAGCTTAACAATGTAGACTGTTGTGGCAACATAGGGAGACCCACTAGTATACGTGAGTACCAACCCTATCTGGGCGGCGTTGATCCCGGAGACGTCGTTCACTGCGAGAAGAGCAACCTATCGAGATCGCAATGTTGGGTGAGACTGAGGTATTTGCCATTGAACAGACACTTACAACGAGGACTAACAAGCTTCCCATGAAATCCAACCTGAGGGCAAGCCATCTGAGGGAAGGAAATAAGCCAAGGCCGCCGCGAAATAGGTATAAGACTACTTGCCTCTGGTTTGTAGCCACGAGGGATAGAGCTCTATCCTCCAGATCGATGTAGTATCTATTCGCGACAATGAACCGCTTCATGTCTCCGTAGCTTCGGATGGTAGGAAGGCCGGTCAAGGTCTCGGAAAAGTGGGCATACATAATAGAGCGAAGCATAGATTCTGATGGTCGATATCAGAGACTTTCTGGGTCAGAAATACAACAACGAACCCAGGCGCTTGACCTCACGAGCACTGCCTCGATAGAAGGCAGCGAAGTAGTTGAAACCGATCGCGATGAAGACAAGAGCAATAGCTGCACAAGGGTGAGCTATATCCTTGGCAATGACACCAATAAACTGACCAAAGTATGGTTCAAGGATAGTGATAATAATGACCGAGCCCATAAGTGTAGCCAGCGAAATGACACCTGGATCCCATAGTTAGTGTCCGTCGGCGATGCCTGCGGCTGACATACCCAATTTCATGGCAACTGGACGATGCATAAGTAAGATTTCACTATGGTGACAGAGCACTCACTTCCTAATTGATTGTCAACATCTAAACGAAAGATTTCAGCAAAGCATAGCATAACACAAATTAGAGAGATGCTGACTGTCGATATCTTTGCCAAGGACGCTCAGGATTCGGCCCATAGGCTGTAGGAACATAGTCAACATTTGTGACTATGCCATCATAACTACTCACCGTAGTGTCGAAAAAGGACATAGGTGCATAAAAGACGTTGCGTAAGGACTTGTGGTATAGGCTTTGAGACACGTAGAAGGCCATGAAGTCCATTGTAGCACCACTGAAGCGAGTTGCGTTGAGTGAGCTCGCTGCCATCTGCGATAGCAACCGACTTACAGCAAGAATTGGGAGACCGTTTGACTAACCCCGAGGCAACCATACAGCGTCTGATAGAACGAGGTTGGTCTGTCAAATTTGCTGCACCAGGATGTCAGAAATAGGATCAAGAAGTCGGTAAAACGACACTGACTTGCTCTCCCACCAAACTAGTGTATACGAGTTCAAGATCTGACTTGCCTGCATCCCGATGACGAACAACAGCACTACAGGCCCTGTGATCAGACCGCGTCCCGCAACCAAGTAGGTCCAGTACACTGTGAAACTGTCTCAATCTGGGGAAACCTAGGCAGGCGAACTTTAACGCACCTCTCAAGGACACAGAGCCCGTCGATCCGCTTTTCTTTGCTCATCAAGCGACCTTCGAGTTTACCACTGCCAGTAGCCTTTTCTCTGGCTCTTTCTGACTTCAACTTGACATCCTCGATGGTGACGCCTGTCTGCGGAGTGACTTTCTCTGCCTGGACATCATCTTTGCCCTCAGACGCATGACCGCCGAACTCCAGGTCCAAACGCGCAAAGTCCCCGCCGTGGGAGATCAATTCTTCGTAGGTCCCGCTCTCTGTGATCACACCGTTGTTCATGGTATAAATGTAATCTACTTGAGGGAGAAAGTGGATCGCGTGCGTGACCAGAATGACGGTGACACCGCGATTGCACAAGGCTCCCAAGATGGCATCTTGGAACAAGGACTTTCCAACGTGAGCATCCACTGAAAGGGCTTTCGTCAGTACAACACACCTCATAAACCATGTGACTCACCTGCTGAGAGTGGGTCATCAAATATGACAATATCAGGCTGGAAGTACAGAGCACGAGCGATGTTAACCTGAGCGGAAGATAAAATTAGGGTCTTAAAGCGAAGGCATGTCATAAAACTTACTCTCTGCTTTTGGCCACCGCTGAGGTTGATAGCCCTTTTCTCCAATCTAAAAACATCATAAGCGGACGATATGGAGTTGGATTCATTCACCATACCTCAGTCAAATCCCCATCAGGGAGTAGTTGGATATCTGGAAGTAGACAGGCGGTTTCCAGAACAGCGCCAATATCTATCTTCCTCGAAAGGGCGACCAAAAATGATATTATCACGCTGGAGTAAAACGTGAGATGTATAAACTTTTTGAGAGCAACGCAGCTCACCAAGGTTGCATTCTGAATCCATGCGGTCTGCGGACAATAACCGACGCGACCGCCAAACGAAACATGCCCGGAGACCTTCCTCATCTCCCCTATCAAACCTTGCAACAAGCTGGACTGTTCATGGGTCAGAAGTAGTTTCAAAAATTCGTCCGGCGAGATCACCTTGCCGCTTCCGATAGGTCCGACTACAGCGACGAGCTGGCCTCGTGGGATGGTCATGGTCACATTCTTCACCCTAAAGAGCGGTGCGTGCTGTCCGGGAGCGGGCTTGTCCTTCACCTTGTCCTCCTTCGTGCTCTTGTCCTTACCGCTGCTACCGACTCCACCCTTCTTCGAGCTGACAGCTTCACCTGAGTCTTTCTCGAAGGATTCCCACTCAAACGTCGCGTCCTTAACCAGAAGCGCCGGCTCTTGATCCTTGTCGATCACGAGTGCGTCTTCAGACATGAGCTCTGCATAGAATATATGCGTGAGTCGCTGGATCGCGCTGGATGCGTCAGGGATAGACGATAATGCCCGGGGCATGAGTACCATTGGTTGCTGGAGAATCTATTTGCCGCTTAGCTGCATGATTATGTACGCTGCTCGAAAGGATCTCACGCGAAATAGACTCAGCGAGGAGAAGAGGACGGCAACGTTGAACTTGGGCGTTATAAGGGTGTATGTGACAAAAGCGAGTGTAGAAGCGAGAACTGCAGGGCGACATAGCGAGCGCCAGCCTGGAGTAGATCGGATCAGTAATGGATCGCCACGCCATGCACATCTGAACTTACTGCGCCGAACTTGAGTGAAGAATCTGTCGGATACTACGCAATTCTTGCTTTCGAAGCTCGAAGATCCCTAAACGGCGTTCGTGAGCGTGATTTTAATGGCCCCTGCCCTTATTGCTCACTTTGAAGGAAGGGAACCTCATAGCAGAAATACTTAACCACTCGCATGGCGCCTGTGCACCCCTTCAGCATCCTCGCTCATTCCAGCGGCTCCAAGGTTACGTACCGAGTACCTCGAGCAAAGCCTTCGCTCGTTGATCAGTCCACTTCATCGACCGCAAGCGCATACGGCGGTGCTGCGCCATCAACCGACTTTGAAATGGGAAGAAGATAATGAATAGCGAGAAACCAGCGAGCGCAGACTGTCCGAGCTAATTTCAAGCGGTGTCAGAACGAAATGGATTCTTCGTGACGTGCAACAAACCATGGTTAGAAGAGTGATTAGACAAACTATGATCTGGATAGGTGCAGTCCAAGCTTGAAGATCATGAACATTTCGAAATCTTCAAGCCAAAGGAGCCGCATATACTCACCTGCATGCTAGTAGCGAGAAGGTCAATCTGCGGTTAATCGATATGAGCGTATGCTTAAGTTTGCGACTCACAAACCACTGAGCGCACGCGTCGATCCTGCTCACGTCCGTAGAAATATGGTTGACGAGTGCGGCGTTGCTGAGTTTGACACGCGCTTTGCCTGTGAGGTTCACTCCACGCTCGTAGATACATGTTATCAGGGCGGCTCTAACTAGTACGCCTGTCAGCATTGAACGCCAGAAGAACTTGAAATGCGTCAGCTCAGCCGAGTTCACCTTCAACTCACATAAGTTGACAAACCTGATGAGTGCAGACGCTGGCTATCACAGTAAGTGCGAAGAGCCCGATAGCCATGGCGATACCACGACCGGCATTAGGGGTAGGTTCTCCAGCAACAATTGCAGCGGAACGCTCCTCCGCAAAGATGACGATTTCCTGCAGAGGGACAAAAACATCAGAGATTACCACAACCGAAGACGGCTTGCTATTCACCCGAAGGACGAGGGGTGCCATAATTTGACCCAGATCACCAATCACCTGAGTGACTTGTAAATTCATTTGACAGTGACAATGTATGAGGAAGACCATGCCTTGAATGCACCTCCGATCCAGAACAACCTACAAAAGACATCGTTTAGAGCCCAAGCAAGGCTGGCCTCTTTCCGCCCTTCGCATTCTCGCCAATGTTTCTGAAACGCAGCACGTCGCTCAGACCAGGTCGCGCCTTGTATCTGCCCTCTACTGGGAATTGCCCGCAAGGCCCAGCCGGTACGCTTGAAGAAGGATGGCCTGAGCTCTCCACTCTCAAGACGTGCATTCCAGTCGGCTGCTGCCTTGACACGCCGCTGCCATGCAGCTTCAAGTTTAGCAGCAAGTACGGCTGACTCTTGTGATGTGTCCATTTTGTATAGATCTGAGGCTTGTAGCGTGCGCTGATATCCGAGAACCTAAATTTATGCGTTGGAACAGTATACTTTGCGATTCGAGGTTCAATGACCGACCATTATACCGGTTATCCAGGTGTAAGTGAGCTGAGAGAAAATTGAAGCATTAGCCAAAGGTGTCAGCTACAGAACGCGATGTTATTAGGATGGTCCTTTAGCAAATTAGTAGAGGGAGGTTCGCGCACCGCTGCATCCTCTAGGGACGGGGGAGCTGGAGGTGGTGGGTCCTTAGGTAACCTACCCGTGGCTAATGAAGGAGGGCATTGTTGCAAACGCAGCTTCACTTACCATAACTGCCACCACTTTTGACGAACATTGACATACTCATCGCCAGTATCGAGCTGAAGATTTAAAGGTTGGTAATTGACTATGTTAAGCTCCTCGAGCACTTCTTCGATTGAGACTTTGTCGTCCTGTACAGATTTTTCTGAGCGTTGGGATGACATAGGGACAGACGGAGGGGTAGCCCTGGGCCAAATTTGAATGGCGGGGGGTGGCAATCATGTGTGAAGTTATACTCGTACCCTAGATCTGATTCAGTGTCATTGATCCGATATTGAACATCGCAATCGCTACCACTGCGTCGGGATCAGTAACTGCTGGCAGAGGCTGGCAGTCAACTAAACCGTGGATTCGTCCCCGATATCCTGTTTGGCGATAGATACGGTGAGAGCACGTGCTAACCGAAGAGTTTGGTTTCATGTAGTCATGGCGTATGTGCGCTTCTGAGATCTGACCATTCCTGCAGCGCGCGTAGGATGTTAAAATTGTCGTCCCCAATCCCTTACTCCAGCGGTTTGCGCCAAGGATGTGCCACATACATGGATATTACATTATTTAACATTTTGACAGGCGTTAAGTATCTGTCAATAACAATAAATTACAGTATTCGAAGCTTTGATTTACCATTTTGACACGTCATCCGTCTTGGGAGGCGGAGTTGGAAACAATTCCGCTGGCAATGATGAGGTTACCGAGGGACAGTGGCCAGTGGGAACGGAACAGAAATACAAGAAATCGTAAGTATTTTATTCTAGGTCTACATCGTTGTAGATTGGAAGTGCCGACGCGGCACGCGCATCACAGGCACTGACAAGTCCAACAGTACTGGTACACTGCTCACTGAAAGCACGCCCTACCACTGGGCCAAAATGTCTTCGAGCAACTGCCCAACGCGGACGTCTGCTCTCCCCAACGCGGTCACTGCACTCTCCTTCCTCAAATTGGTACGACGGACATGTCCACATCGACTTCTACACTCATCCGGCCTCTGGTCTTCGTCGATCTCCTCGAAAAACGCGTCCCAAGGTCCCGGCGCTCGAGACGTCGTAGACGTGCCATGGCGTATGCAAAGTTTTGCAGTCGAGTATTCGCCGCGCTCGTTGAAAGTCCGCGACGCGAGTTTAATGATTTATCCACCAGGTTCCAAAATATTATCTTGGTATTTAATCAGTTACTGGTTCCACACGCCAATATACGCTCATTCACGAACGAAATAAAATGTGATTGAGTGGGGCTACTGGTACTTACTAGTCACTGGTAACCCGTGCGCGTGAGTCGTGGGTGATTATGATGTGTCAACTTCAAGGTTACGCTTGCTAGTATTAGTGGTCCTCCGTAATAGTTTATCTCCTGTAAGAATGATAAGTAAAACTGGTCTATAGCTTACGCCTGGGCGGTCGTGAAAAGGGTCCTATATTTATGTACTAGTAGTGGGGATGATATGGGCTGACACAAAAATTAGTAACAATGATACTGGCAATTAGCCTAGCTTTAGTCTATTATTATACCTAGTGACCGAATCTGCACCGTGCTCTAGACTTAGTTGCGTTTACAGGCTCGTCGGACCCAGCGGTGAGCTGCATATCCCTGGCACTTACGACCTACGACGTTCGGACCTTGGGGTAGATGCCCATCACATCCGTAAAGTCTTTCGACGAGTGGTTCAACACGCCGTTCACCATGAGCGCTGAGCATGATCGGAATGTTTACCCCTTCTCCTGTTACTCCTCCCCATGGCACACAGCACAGAAAACTAACACAACTACCCACCCTCTATACAACTTATCGTTTCGCTCATGGTCTGGTGCACATACTACGACCGCAACTCTCTTCTCATACCAGACCTCTGTTATGGAACACAAACCTCCCCTCAGCGCTGTCATGTGCATACCAGCGTTGCCTCCCGATACCAGCTGCCCATCTCGTACCAAAGCTCAACCGTAACACCACCCCACAGTATAACTATGTGGCGCACTTTATTATGCAAAGAATACACAGTTTAGTACGTCACACAATCTTTTTGGTGAATTTCTAACGCGTTTGATGAACTTGATGAACGAGTCGTTCGAGCCGAAGAAGATTGATAGCACCGTTGAGGGCTGTGGTCAGCGTCGCCGTAATGTCGCCAATATTCATGCTGCACAAATATGCCGACGATACGATCAGGATTATTCGATGACGACTCGGGGGCTCGCTCGTGCGCTTGCATGTGCATTCAAAATTTCTGCAGTAGCATTTACCCTTGCCTGAGCACGACGGGGAGAACTATGAGCAATTATACCTCACACTCACACAGCACTGCTTGCCTAAAATCCGGCAGACATCAGCTGCAAGTCTGGGCAATGTCATGAAAGCTCTGACAATCGCGCAAAGATCCCTATCTCAGATGACGAAGGTGAGGAAAACGAGGGTCACCCTAAATACAGAGTGTGTCCACTCGTAAAAATCTGAATGGCAGTACAGTGACACGATGTAATCAAGCCTGTAACAGCTAGTACCTGCGCCTATTTTACATACCATAAAAGCCGTGGCTCGAGGGCCCGGCTCGGGCTTGCAGATCCTTCGAGCCGGACCTTGCACATCACTAACTGTGAGTGCATCATATCAGCTTCATGCTCCCCCACAGGAAGTTGATTCCACCAATCTTTGATATTGATCTCGATGCATTCGTATGCACTAACTTTCCGAACAGATGCGGATATCAGCAAGAATATATCGGTCCGTGAACGGGACCTACAAGCTTGGCAATCATCTGCTGCTGCAGCCTCTCCGCCTCCGACAGCGACGCATCGCGAGATTGCTAGAGATGAGGCAGAAACATGTGTCCCGGTGTGCCACTCAGGATGCTAGCTCATCGGACTAGGAAGTCACGGATTGCAAACCTTTGTACCAGCAGGCTATTAGTATTACAAGGCGCAAGGGTGAGTACTTGAGTAGTGAATCCAGGATGCAAAGCACACTACTCATACTCACATAAACATTCGTTCAACACAGGCCATCTGGGATCTATCGGAGGCATATTCTATGTTCAAGCTTATAACAAGACTACAAAACTGCGTCGTAGACAATATATTCCATGTATTCATTAAATGTTCGAGATTTCCTCTATTCCAAGATCTCCATTGCTCGAGCCGTAGTGAAAATAAGCAAGCACGTTGATGAACTCAGCAACAAACTACTAGTAACTCACGCGTCGTGCCATCAACTACTGCACAGATGTGAAAGCAGAAATACGACTCACTGCCACATTACCAGCTGACGCAAAAAAAGAGGAACTATCACGTCGGTGAGTCTTGTGGTTAAATCCAGGACGCAAACTACTCATACTCACGCATCCATAAATGTACACTTTATCACAGTATTTGCAGTCGCCGTCATGCACGCAAAAGGCAGGACAGTTCTCACTGGCAGCCTTACTGGCAGATATTAATGCTGTCAAAGCAGCAACGACAGTGAGGATAACGGAGAAACGCATTGTTTGTGATATGGGATCGAATAAATCTAAAGGGGATAGTAAGAAGACGGCCTGCTTTTATGGGCTGAACATTGTTCTGTGAGAAGAACCTATTCACCTGAATTCCCCTTTCAAACAGATGATATCTGCAATGCCAGCAGATTTGCCACCTCATTAAGATCTTGAGAACTTAGTTCATAGTATCAGACGGTCCGACTCCTTATCAGAAGGAACGACTACGTATCTTCATTCTATTGGGTCTGGCTAGAGGAGACTAGGTCCGACCATGACTTATTACCCTGTAAAGCGATGTCTACTGTTTGGCGTGGAGAAAAATATGACCGAAGTAAGGTCAATGCCAGCTCGACATTGGAATCCTGGTGGTTCTAATCAAAATCATGAGAAAAAGAGCTGACGCTGAAAGTTGAACTGGAGCTTGTACTGAAATCGCACGTAGTTAATTTCATCGGAGTCCTTGACACGGGTCAATGTCACCCGAAACGAGAAAGTGATCCGACGTGTTCGACAGAATTCTGAAGCTAAATTCGACGAACGAAGGGGCCGAAAAGGTTGGTAAACGCCGTCTCTACACAATACAGTCTCGGTGGCTTCGAATAAAGTTTGAGGCCTGGACGTCGACCAGAACCTTCAGGATGAGCACGGGTTTACCCATGGGGAAATCACCGAACCCCTAAGTACCCGCACAAACCGCACCCGCCACGGTTGGGGTGTACACCGACCCACAAATTTCATGGTTATAAGGACAAAACCAGGCCGCCTGGTCTTGCTACTGGTTTCGTTTGAAAACATCACCAAATTCTGCAAGAGTACTCAGTCAATTCGCAATTACCTACCTGAGGAATTGTAGCTTACTGCGTCAACAATGTGTAGGTTCAGCATCCTTCAAGCTTGTCTGTGGAACTGAGTCTGAGTACCTAGATAGTGTGTGGGGTGTGGGCGCACAATACGAGGTCTAGGAAAGATAGCACTGCTGACACGCCTTGGGAAGCCTGTCGACTGTATGAAATTACTCGTACATGATATCTAGCATCGGATATCCGCGATTGATAAATCTGAACTTAGAGGTTCATGCTAGAGAACAACGCTCCAAGATTCACCCAGCATCGCCCACATTGTTCCATATACTTGTCCACCGTCTTCGACATCGCTCTGAGGAATGGGTCATTATTTGATGCAACAGCGTCGATTTCCTCTGCATCCACAAGTGTCAGACGTCTCAACTAGTTGATAAACTGCATCAGCACTCACCCTTTCTCGCGCTGCCCTGTGCTGCCTTGACGATCTTCTCAATGTCAAACAGCGTCGCAAAATACCGGAGCTGGGTGTACAACTCGGTGTCCCCATACTTGAACTGAACTCTACCTTTGCAGCCTCCCGGCGCTCCGCACCGCCAGCCATACATCCCCATCGACCGCGTCTCATACCCACACGCCGGATCCTCGCAGACAACCCACCCTTCGTAGTACTTGGCCACAAATGACCGAATCTGCACCTCTAATTGCGTCTGTAGGCTCGCCGAACCCAGCGGTGAGCTGCATGCGGGACAAGTCGGCCCCGATGGCAATAGGATCGACGCCTGATTCATGTCAGACAGTCCCAAACAACACAAAGCGGGATATGGGGCACATACATCTCGATCGTAGACCGGGGAAAATGCCATCTGTCCAGCACATCCGCGGCAGCGTACCAGGAACGGAGCCACGTCGCGGTACCGTTCTGCCTCAGAGACAAGGGAGTCTAGGGATGTGAGTGCTGACCCAGCCTGCGTGCTTCCACTAAGGCGATAACGTCCCGGGTCCAGTCCTTTTGGAAACATTGAGTTCAGTTCACAGGGATCAGTGGTTCAACGCTCACCAAGACACTCAGCCAACCGTGCCCTGTCTGTTCCTTCGATAGGCTCACATAGTCGCTCAATGGGCGGCAGGACCTGGTTCGCAAGGTAGTGTTCATAGTCCACGACGAGTTCTCCTGCAGCCTTCTTGATCTCGTCTGGATGCTTGGCACGATCTGCTTGAGCGGTCTTCACGGTCTCTTCACCAGGCGCGACGCAGAACACATAAGGTATAACGTCGCCGTTGCGGGCGCTTCCACCTTTTGCTTTCAACCTCAAAGCGACTTGTACGTGAGGTTGAGATTTAGCATCGGGGTAGTCCTCTGGGTTCTTGCCTAGGCGCTGAGTTATGCGTGAGTTGAATCAAAAAGTGTTGAAACGAGGGTTTAGAGGGCACCTTGAATACAATGAAGTCCTCCAGTTTGATCTTTCCTCCACGAACATTTTCGCCGATGGTGGTTAGATACTCATGAATGTTCTCTACCACAACCTCCGTCGGTTCGCCGGACAAGATTTGGTCCAAAACGTATCTGTGAAGTACACGAGTTGAGCGTTCCAAACAAAAACGCAAAACTCAACGTACTGGGAAACGCTCTTAGATAAAGCGCAGTATTCTCGGCGCTTCATATCTAGACCTTTAACTTCTGTGGACGTCCGTGATCCCTCTTCCACCTTCAAAGCTGCATATTTCTTTTTCTGCAGCAGCAATAGTCGCGCAAAGACGCCGTCAAGATCAATCTCGAGAAGCTTATATCGGTCGTTGACAGCTTTCTTGAACTCGGCAGAGATTTTCAGCGCTTCGGAAAGCTCTGTCACGTTGGAGTTCACGAAGACCGAGTCAGTGTCGCCGTAGACGACCTGTGATGGGTCAGATAAATCCCATTGACAGAGATGCGAGGTGTGCTCACGTCTAGTTGTAAGCTCTCGGCAAGCTCTCTGGTGTGCGTCAGGATCTCACGACCCTTGAAAGTGGTTAGGGCAGCCAGGGGCTTGGCGTAGAATCGCGAGTATTCGAAACCAAGACAGCCGTACATACTATTCGCTGTCAGTTTCAGTGCTTGTTGCTTGATGTCATACTGTGGCGAAGGCCGAGTGTAAGCAAGCAATCAAGGGTATGGCATCGACTGGCAAACCTGCAGTAGTTTGGCGTGCGATATCGAACGATCCTTCATCAGTGACTTCACCTGACGCCGTCGGTTGACGAGGGTCGCGATAAGTCGTGGAAGGACGCCCTGAGGCACCTCAGGTGGCGGTGGGTCTGGTATTTTATCGTCATCATCCTGTATTTCAAGTGTCAGCATCAAAGTTAGAACCACAAAAGTCCGGCCACTTACATCCTCCAGCGAGCGCTCGACGGTGGTGAAGTCAATATTATACTCCTGGATGATACTCGGATACAGCGAGTTGAAATCCATCACGAGGATATACTTGTCCCAAAGCCCACGTTTTGGCTCGAACACGAGACCACCCTTGAATTTGTCCCGTTTGCCTTTGCTCGACTTGCCGCCGCCGCCACCACCACCACCACCACCACCACCCTCGCCGTCCGCATCGTCTGCTTCAGGCTCTGCTTTTGGCGCTTTCTTGCCGTAAGTCTTGTCAGGACAGATGTACTTCAGACGATGGAACTCGTGCAGAAGAATATACTCGTTCCGCTCAGCCCGACCACCGTTCAGCGTCTTGTTCCTGAAAACAAGTTCCATAAAAGTTCAAATCGTCAACCGAAGAAACTCACCATGCATTGCCTGCAAGATTTGTGAGCTGCCTTGTCAAAGGCAGGATCTGAACCTTCGATGCGATGGCCATTTGGTAATGAGCGTCGAGCTCACAGTGTCGCACGAACGTCATAAGCATGTCTGGGGACGACACGGTGCCATCGAAGTACGCTGCTGTGTCATCTGGGTCGATGTCCTGCCTGTCAGACTTGAGATGAGTTTTACACATCTCGGTGAGGGACCATGTCGTCGAGGCGATCATACTCTGACGGCGATCCATCAGTCACTGCATCGCTGAAGCTGACTTAGGACCTACCCGTGCGCCGTCGCTGGCAAGGTCACAGAGCAGGCGCCCAGTCAAAAAGCGCATGTTTGTGCCCTGCCGTCCGATGGGGGGCCACTTCGAGCGCCTGAACCGTCCAAGGCGAGACCAATGCTCCGCCTTGAGGTCCTTCATTCTGCCAAGGAGGACATCAAGGGAGACGCCGAGGAAATCGTGACCGACAATGACATCGGGATCTGCTTTGTGCAGCGTGACTGCAAGACGTCCGGTCAAAAATCAAGAAGCAGCGCAACTGAAAGATAATGTTACCAAGCAAGCTGTTAAGGAGCATCCGCTCGTTCTTCATCGGCGAGATCATACCCTTGCCATTTGCTCGCGCTTGGGCTTCGAATTTCGCGGGGAAGCGGTCGAGTGGACGGACGAGCGTGTGCGCAGAACATGGGAGCTGCTCAGGGGGTGTAGGATCATCAAGTTGGACTGCGTATATGCTATCCAGTCAGCAATTTTCTTCGGCGGAGGCGCAAATAATTGACCATCTTGCCATATGCGACCGGTGGCACAGACAACTTCCCGCTTGTTCTCGCGGTGATTAACGACTGTGCGTACTGCGAGACTCATTATTGTTAGAGGGGGAGGCTCTGCAGCGCCGTCTCCCATGGGTGTCACGTCCTTGGGGTTTGAGACGGTGGCTTCGAGTTTGCACCACGAGATCTACAGAAAGACATGTTAACTGGACATTTCCAATGAATGTTGGACGGAAGGACTTACGCCCTTGTTCTCGACAACTGCATTAGTTATGGTAAGCCAGCATGGGCCCATGATCTTACGCTTGAGCACGAAAAGCTCAAACGCGCTCGTGTTCGTACCTAATATACGAGCAATATTAGGCGAGCAGGCATTCATAGGGACTTGGGGCTCTGCCCGTGCACAGTGAGCATTTCACGAGAGCTTGGCACCTGAGGATTACCTTCAAAAGAGTACAAAACTTTCATCCATTCACCCTCCTTCGGTATGTCCTTCTCATCAAATGCGTGGTTTCTCCGCACCCATCTCCCCTTCCACCCCTTGATACCCAGTTTCTTCCGTATCCGCTCGAAATCTTCGTATATATCCGATTTACTAGGTACGACGTCAGTCTCGTGCATGGCATACTCGCCTTCTTCGGTCTCCTCTTGCTCGACGCGTAGCGGACGTGGGAGCAGGAACAAATTGCGCTGGAGTCCCTCGATTGCGAGGCATGCGGAGGCCCAGGTTGAGGAGGTTTTGTCCTTGACTTTACCAGTGAGGAAGAGTTTACCATTGTGCTCGAGACAGTCTAGCCAGAAGAAGCGGAGAGTGCCATCAGGCTCGAGAGCGTCAACAGAGGATTTTGAAGTTGACGAGGAAGAGCCAGAGCCTAGTGTTTCATCAGAAGTGACGGCAAGGGAGTCGTAGACAGAGAGCCAGGTTGGCGCTGAGGGCGGCTCCGATTTGGTTGTTGCTGAGGCAACGTTAACTTTGGGTTTAGTTTCCAAGCCATCGAGAATAGACTTCTTCGCATTGGCGGGCTTGATATCAAGATCTTCGTCATCGACATCCATAAAAGCATCCATATCCATGTCCTCAAAGTCCATTGAGTTGTCAAAACCGTCTTCCGATCCGCTATGAACACCCAGCTTGCCCATTCGCTCGATTGCGGGAGTGATTGCACCACTTGCCACGCGTGGCTTCTTCTTAGGGCTCATCATGGTCGAAAAGTCGTCTTCGAAATCACTTGATGGCAGATTGAATACAGCATCATCCACGGGAACATCAGAAGAATCGCCGTTTAGGTCTTCGTGATCTGATAACGGAGATGGCTTGCGTTTTTTTGGCCTCCTTAGAGCTGGGGCTGGGACGGCATCTAGACCTCCAAGGAGATTTGTCATGAAGTCTTCTTCCTGCTCTGCCGAGACAGCTGGGCGATACACGCTGATAGAGGGCTTGACTGTGGGTGGTGGTGCTTTCGGCTTTGCTTTAGGCTTTGCTGCAGCATCCTTGCCCTTCTTCACTGGACACCATAGTCAGATATTATAATGCGTAGATGTATCATCAAACTCACCCTTGTTCTTCTTCTTCTTCGTCTCGTACTCATCAGAGTCTTCTTCTTCTTCCTCGTCTTTCTCAGCACCCGTCCAGTCATCCATCCCATTGTCCATATAACCGCTCACGCCATCGTCCACGACAAAGTCATCCTTCTGCAATCTTCCCCGAACGATGCTCTTATACTGATCCTCAGTGACCTCATCATAGATATCCACATCCTCCTGAGCCTGTGAAGACGCGTTCGAGGACCGATCTTAAGCTAGATGGCAATGGATGTCGCACCTTCCACTTGCGCGTGCCTCCTTCGCGAGTTCGTTTTAGTTCTGCAAGAGCAGCAAGCCTGTCTGCGCGCTTTGTTCTATCCGACATTGCTTTGGACGTCGCGTTCGGCGGTGAGCTCGACTGTGCGCGTCCTTGCGATTGACGCGCTTTTCCCACTCCGCTGGAAACGCGTGGAGTCACATGTCACGCGTCACAGTCACGTAGGTTTCTCCTGTAGTATTACGGCTGTGCATCGAAAGGCCAAGTAACGCAGTGCTCAAGCAGTGCTGATCATTAAATCTCTTTGCTTCATGTCACAATCAAAGGAACTTGGGACGCTAGTTGTCGTCGTCCTCAAGGCTCGTCATCTGCACCAACCTTCTTTCTACAAGCAGGACCCATATGCGCAAGTGACCCTTTCTGGTCAGAGTCAGCAAACCAAGCCAGATCCCAAGGGCGGACAGCATCCTGTGTGGGATGAGGAGTTCCGTTTTCCGGTTCTCGCCGATTCTGGCAAGGACAAAGTGAACAGAAAGATGGAGGTATCTTGCTGGAAGGATGAAGTACGAAGCGAGGATAAGCTCTTGGGCAAAGGCGTTGTCGATATCGAATCTACTTTGAAGACGGGCGAATTTGATGGTGAGACACTCCTAATACTGACTTAAGCTTAATCAATGCTTATCTCCTTAGACTGGGTTCCGCTCGAAACATCAGGAGGAGCGAGGGGCGAGTTATATCTTGAGATGACATTCTACGCAAATGCACCACCTCCTCTCAATCGTCGTGCAACGAAACTCAGACCCTCAGACCGTCTTGCACGGCCGCTGTCGTATAATCCTGTACCAGTCAAGAGCGGACAGCCATCTGCTTCTTTAAATGCGTCATCGCTATCTGTCCCGAACACTAATCCTGTGCAGCTCCGTGATTCAGGCTATCTTCCCCCCGCTGCGGTGCCTGCATCTTTGCTTCCTACAAGAGGCCAGCCCCAAACCCCATCACCATCTTCTTCCCCGGGCCGACAATCCGCGAAGAGTAAGACTGAGGTACTCCCCCCTCTTCCCGAGGAGGCTCCGGTACCTCAGAAAAAGCCTCCCGGTCATTTGCCAACCATTCTGCGCCCAGGACCTGGTGGACGTGCAGGTCGTTTTCGGACTCCCTCCGGGAATAATGCAAACACGAGTGACTCGTCCTCGCTCTATACAACTCCACCGACTCCAATATCATTGTTACAAACTCCTGTCCAAGAGCGCCCTGTTGAAGAACTGACAGGAGCTCGCACGCCCTTAGTCATAATGAACGATCTGCTAAATGAGCATTACCAGCCCTCATTTCCTATTGCGCAACCCCATACCCCAGAGCCACAATTTCACCAGGAGCAAGGACAAGGGCAATCTAACCATTACGTGTCATCCGGCCAGACTCCCCAACAATACTATCCCGCGCAGCAAGGATACGTTCCTCAACAAACTTTATCTCCGCCCCCTCAACAATATCAGCAATCTTATACGCCTCAGAATTATGCGCCGTCCTCACCACAGCCACAGCAATACGCACCATCTTCCCCGCATCTTCACCAGTATCAGCCTCAGCAGGCTCCGCCTCCCGTCCCGCAATATCAGCCGTCATCATCTCCTCATCAAACTCTCCATATGGCACCACAATATCAGCCGTCACCATCCCCTCATCCCCAGAGCTTCTCACCTCAACCATACCCAGGTCCTCCTCCAGCGCCTCAGTCATACACCCCAATTCCTAGCCAGCAACCATATCCCCCTCAGCCTCAGCCTCAGTCTCAAGCATACGCTTATCCAGCCCAACAGCAACCTCAGACATACGTTCCCGCCCCGCCCCAGCAGCAGCCATACCAACAACAATCCTATTTCCATCCTCCCCCTCCACAAAACCCAGTCCCTCCTCCTCCGCAAAGCCCAGTCCCTCCTCCAACTCAGCCCCCTCCCAGGGCACCGTACTTTTCACCGCCTCCGCCACCACCGCCACTCCCTGGAAACCAGCAGGGAACGCCTGCAGTGCCACGAGTGGAGCAACAGTCGTCTCCGGTGCAAGGATATAAAAACGCCGCACCGACTGCATCAGCGGCGCTTGGGTTGGGAGCTACTTCAACGTCCCCTTCCCAGACCTCCCCGGGCCAGCCACTTTTTTCGTCTGCTGTACCTACGGTCCCAGAAGACGAAAAGAAACGCGAAGAGGATGAACGTGCCAAAGCTGAGGAGGAACGCACCAGGGATGAAGAACGGACGGAAGATGGAGGATGAACGGAAGGCTGCTGAGGAGGAACGCACAGGGATGAAACGGACGGATAGAAGATGAACGGAAGGCTGCTGAGGAGGAACGCACCAGGGAGAGAACGACGGAAGATAGAAGATGAACGGAAAGCTGCTGAGGAGGCGGAATTGCGGAGGCGTGAGGCGGAGGAGGCTGCTGCGCCGAGCTGCCGATGAGAGGAAGCGACAGGAGGAAGAGGAATTGAAGAGGAGGGAGGTTCGAGGAGCAGAAACGGCGTGAGGAGGAGCGATTGAAATGGGAGGCAGAGCAGAGGAAGAGAGACGATGAAGAGCGACGGCGACGAGACGAGGAAGAAAGACTGAGACGAGACGAGGAGGAGCGTAGAAGAGTTCAGGAAGAACGGCGCAAAGCAGAAGACGCTAGACGTAAACAAGAAGAAGAGGAGCGGATCAGGCGCGAGGAGGAAGCACGTCGGAGGCTCGAAGAGGAGCGTCGGAAGCATGACGAGGAATTACATCGAAAGCTCGAGGAGGAAGCGCGTCGCAAAAGAGAAGAAGATGAGGCTCGTCGGAATCGCGCAGAAGAAGAAGAAGCCGAACGAAGGTGGCAAATCGAGCTTGCTCGCATCAAGGCGCGTGCTGAGCAAGAGGCTGCCGACGCTGCTTTCGCTCGTGCTCAATTCGAGGCGGAAGAAACCGAGCGTCGCAGACAAGAAGAAGCAGATCTCGCTTTTGCGCGACGTGCGCATGAGGAAAACGAGAGAGAGCACAGGGCCGCTGAGGAACGGCGACGGCAAGAAGAAATAGACAGTGAGCTTGCCCGTCGCGAACAGGCGCATGAGGAAGAGTTGGAACGGAAGCGCGTGGAGGTGCGCAGGAGGCGGGTGGAGGAGACGGACAGGGAGATGGCTAGGAAATTGGACATGGAGCTGAATCTTGAGCCTGGTAATGGAGACGCAAGTTCTACGAGGCCATTTACGGCCCCACAGCTCCCTTCTCGCAGGAGAGCGGGTAGTCCTGATGCCCCTGGAGGGTGGTAGCTAAGCTTCACTACGACGCTATACACAATCAATGATTTACATTAATGATGTCCGCCTTTAAATTTATGTAGACAGCAGACCAAATCAACAGCCTGAAGTATCGCGGGTGTAACACATACATGAATTTGAATCATAAAGAAGGAACGACTTATCTTCCTTCTATTTGGCTGCCTACAAAGCTACAAATTTCTTAGGTAGTATTGTGCCAACCACCGACGGTAAAGAAACAATGACAACTACAGTTGAAATGCTCATATACATAATATTATGACCGAGTGCTTCTTTGACGTGGCATCATCTTCTCAACAACATGTGCTCCGAAAGATTCGTCGGCATCAGCATAATCAGGCAATACCTGGTTTTTGAAGTTTTGGTGATGGAATAGTAAGTGCCACAAGTCTATTCTATGTGCAGGTCCGAAGGCTAGTGGATTGCTTGTCTAATATATGTAAGGACGAAACGTTTGATCCCGCGGAACCAATTCGCGTGACTCTAAGATAGCAGATAAACTAGCTTCCTGTGATGTTCAAACTGCTGCGTTTCAAATACACACACATGCATCTAATTTGTGGCAAAAGCAAGTGCATATAAGATCATAACCTGCTAATGTAGTCTGTACAGGATCTATAGGTATCAAGTATTACGCCGTGTGTTTAAATGCAGAAATAATATCGTCGAGAGTAATAGAGGATCGTTCGCACATTCCGCGGAATATACCATCCGGCATGGCGAAGAGATTAGCAGGGGTATCGAATTCCTAAATGAAAGGTCAGTGCGGAATAGGACAGTTTCGAGTCATGTAGACGCACAGCAATCGTACCAGCATCCATTACGCATATCCTGTCATATCCGATGATGGTCTGGAGACGATCTGCATATGTGGTGTATATCAATGTAAAGTGAGAGGTCTTCTCCAACTTACGTGCAATGCACAGGATCGTGCGCTCTTTAAATTCATAGGCGATCGTATCCTGGATCTTGCGGTCGGTCTCATAGTCGACGGAAGCTGCATAGAAAGTCATTAAAATGCATGCACTAGAATAAACATCGTAATTACCCGTAGCCTCGTCAAGAATTAAGATCTTGGTGTCATTCACGAGAGCTCTGGCGAGAGAGACAAGAGAACGTTGCCCGATCGACAAATTGCTGCCTTCGTCGTCGATAGGACTTTCAAGAGTAAATCGAGGTCCCGGCTGTCCTTCATTAGGAGGTAATGCAGAGGTGAAGGGGAGATCCCTGTTTGACTCCACAAGATGCGCCCGCTTCATTGCATCACAAAGCTTGGCATCATCGTGTAGCTCAAAAGGATCGAGGTTAGTCCGAAGAGTACCGGAGACTAGAGTGAAAAGGTCAGTTGACCTATGTTAAGATCTAGCGCGTCATCACGCACAAAGGAACTGCGGATATGTCACACAATCAGTTGATGTTCAAACAAACACATGCGACTTACAGCATCTTGAGGAATAATTGACAGCCCTTTTCTGAGCTGCGCTAAACCCACGGTCGAAATGTTCACGCCATCGATGGATATCGACCCGGATGCCAGTTCCACCATACGATAGATAGCAGTCATGATGGACGATTTCCCGGCACCAGTCCTGCATCCCATCAGCAACAGGAACTAAGAACAAAAGAGTATACTTGCCGCCCAACGACACCAATCTTCTCTCCAGGGGAGAGAGACATACTCAGTCCCTTCAGGACAGGCGGTAACTCTGGGCGATATCTCAAGACCACATCCTTCATGACGATCTCGCCCTGCGAAGGCCAGTCAGCCGGTGCAGGACTGTTTTCGACCACATGCGCGGCCTCCTGTTCGACCTCTTTCGCATAGTGCATGACACGCTCCACGGAGTTCATGCAGTTTTCGACTTCAGAAAGTTGGCGGACCATATATGTGAAAGACTGAATCGACAGGGCATCAACTACAACTCGAACAACAAGGAATAACAAAGCACTACCTGTTGCACCATGACGATATACGAGAGCGCGACGCCAGTTTGTCCCGGAGAGATGCTGAATCGTGTTCCAACAGTCAAAAGCGCGACGGTGAGAGTCAGCAACGCGCCTAAGAATTCAAGACGCATGCAGAGCCATCGCTGATTCACAACCGTCAACCAGTAAGCACTGAAAGAGTCGAGACATCAGTGATGATTAAGTCACATGGAATTACAGCTAATATTACCGATTCTCGACATCAACGAGCTCGATATTTTCTGCGCGGAATCGGTCGAGTTCGCCGTAAGCGCGAATGGTAGTCAAACCCGATAATGACTCGGAAAAGTGAGAATAAAGCGAGGATCGCAGGAGTGCATCCAACCGCTGTAAAATTGTGCGTCGGTAGTGATTCGACGAACTTGATCGAAACCACCGACCTTCAGCTCACGTGCACTCGCACGGTAGAACATTGTAGCATAGCAATAGCAGATCAAGATAAAGAAGGCTGCGATGAGGAAATATGGTATGATTATGGATATGAGAATGATTGCGCCGATGATTTGTGATGCCGTTGATATTAGCATCCTGAGAGAATCTGCAAACACAAGATTTACCCTGGTCAGAAGCGATTCACAAAAGGACTTCGATGCTCACCGCCAAAAAGATTATCGACGGTGTCGATATCTACCGGTCTGTGTCAGAAAGCAGAAAATCCGGACGATCAAAACCTATAAGTTTCAAACTTACCTTTGGCAAAGCGATTCATAATGCGACCTAAAGGCGTAGTCTCGAAGAAGCTCATTGGAGCATACAGAACTCGCCGCAGTGATATCTACCGAATGGTATTAGGGTCAGCAGCCACTGATACACAATGATGCACGTACCCTATGCAACTGTTGAGAGGCATAGTAAGTGAGTAGTGCGAATATAGCTCCCATTATGAACATGGTCAACGCTTGGGAGACACCGAGAGTAGCATAGATGCCAGTCTGCGTTGTACGACTATCAGTGTGCTTCAGTCATGTGCAACATAAGAACTCACGTAAAATCCTGACGATTGGTGCCATTTGCTATAAAAGTGCTGAGCACATATATATATAGGGAATGCAGCATGCACATACTACTCTTGCCAGTAAACCAGCCTAACAAACCACGTCAGCGAAATGACCAGGACATATAAAAATCACACACCAATACGAAGACATGACATTGGAGACTTCCATGAGGACCAAAGAGAGCAGTAGCAGAGGTACCATAACAGTGCCGTGAGCTGCTGTGAGATACTCTCGATATACTCGCCACTTTATGACACCAGTGTTGCGCTCTTCCTCCTGCATCATCGCTTTCCCAGTCATCCCTATCTCGTTTTTCTTCTCATCAATGCCTGCACCATCAACTGGCTTGTCTTCTTTCTTCGTAGCATCCTCCCTTGACCCGAATTCCGCGACGAAATGGGAGAATGCGCCATCGTTAGCCATGAGTTCGGCATGTGTGCCGCGTTCGGCAATGCGCCCATCCACAAGGGTATATATATAGTCGACCTCGGGAAGAAAATGGAGGGCATGGGTAACAAGAATGCGAGTTTTTCCTGTGCTTCTCTTCAACACATTCTCGAATACTGCCTTCCCGACGTGTGCATCTAGAGCAGATAGTGGGTCATCAAATATTTGAATGTCAGTATTGCAGTAGATCGCGCGGCATATGTTGATACGCTGCTTTTGGCCGCCAGAGAGTGAGATGCCCTGTGCAAAAGCATCGGTTGATAATTCTGCAGGACGAGAAGCTAACATTACCTTCTCGCCAACTTCTGTAAGGTCGTGATTGGGTAACATCTCCAAGTCAGTTTCTAGACACGCGTCTCGGACAGCCTTCCAGTATCGCTGCTCGTCAAATGGACGCCCGAAACAGATGTTGTCACGAATGGTTGTGTTCTATTTCTCCCTTAGTCACCGATGCCGGTGGGCTAATCAAGGAGCCTACCTGGATCCAAGCAACTTGGGCGCAATAGCCCACGGAGCCACCAAATTTAACCTTACCAGAAGACCGCCGCATTTCGCCAATAAGCCCCTGAAGTAGGGAGGTTTTCCCCATCCCGATGGCTCCCACGATGGCAACGAGTTGGCCCCGAGGTATTTCCAAGTCAATGTCCGTAACTTTGAAAATATTTGCATCATCTCCAGGAGCTGGTAGAGGCGTTGGAGGGCCCTTGCGTATGTTGCCGCCTTTCCCCTTCTTCTTGGGATCCTCAGGTGGAGGGGGGGGACTATCCCAGGTGAAGCTGGCATCTTCAACTTTGACGGCGGCATTCATATCGTTATGTGTGACGAATGCTTCGTCAAGCGTTTCTGCGTCGAAAACATTCACCAGTCTGTCACATGCTGTGGCCGCATCAGCAATGCTGCTCAGGGACATGGCTGGAAAATCCGTGAGATTACAGACGCAAATGGCAATAAACAACACACGTAAGAATATCAAGGGCAAGCGGACCAACTGGAACAGAGTCAGCGACGTGAATATATTCGCCGCTGTAAGATTGTAACCAGCCAACGCATATGTGATGAAGGCAAGGACAGAAGCGAGAGCTGGGAGAGAAAAAAACAAAGCGTTCATCGCAGCTCTCAAGATCAGCAGGGTGCGGATATATCTGAAATGAGAAACAATTGTCAAACCCGACTAGTGCGATAAGAAATGTTTGCGTACGCCATTTCATTCTGTCGATATTCAGAAATGCGCTTCAAGAATGGAACTTCCCAGGAGAAGAACTTGATGACACGCATGCCACTGAGGACCTCTTGCAAGATCTTGGAACGCTTGTCTGTCCAAACCATGCTTTTCATTCGGAGGGAGAATAGACGACCTATCCCATAGATCTGTATGGGCGTCGCCACGACGAAAAGCGCAAAACCAGCGAGTGCACTCGGGCCGAGATTGATCAAAAGCAAGATCAGGCAAACAGTGAGTTGAATCGGAGCGGCCCATGACATATGGAAGTATCCCATACAAAAATCTATCCGCGAGACATCAGTGGATATGTGGTTGACCAATTCGCCATTGCTTAAAGTGACGCGAGCTCGTGCGGTTAGACGAAGTGATTTCGAGTATATTGCCGTGATAAGACCTCCACGAAGAAGGACACCAGTGCCCATGCTACGGTAGGAGAAATGATTGTTGGACCATGACGCGATGAGTTGCAAAGTTAGTAAGCCAAATGCAAGCCCAATTCCCTGGCCAATTGGAGGTGTCGGTTGACCAGTTTGATGATTTGTGTATGATTCTGTGGCAAAAGTGATAATGGCCTAGGCAACGGTTGAGTGCTTTGGGAAGTCATTTCGTAGAAGAATTCTAACCTTGACCAGAAGGGGACTAGTGACTTGTGCTGTGTCGCCGATAATCTTCAAAATACCAGCAGACCAAAACCACCAACAGACACTGTCATTCATCGCCAAGATGAGACTTGCTTTGCGCCTTCCATCCTTTTCCCTCCATTGCTTCTCGCGTTCTGCGCGAACACCCCGTACGGACCACCACAAACCCCTCAACCCCGGGCTGATTTCACCCTTAGTCAAGCGCTCGTTGTATTCGGCAGCCTTCTCCCGCCGAGTCTCGTACGATTTTAAAATTGCATTGGCAATCTGCGAAGCACCTCGTTCTTCCTGGAGCTTGTAAAGATCTGACGACTCAAGTGGACGAGCATAGCCAAGGGAAAGCAGAGGCGTCATCCAGCCGAACCATAGAAGACTGACGAAGCCTGCTGTGGCTTCAGGAGTTAGATCCGCGTCGTGGATGTATTTCTTTGGGGGAGGAAGACTATCATTCTTCCCGAACGGGAAGAGCCTAGAGAGAACAAAGAGCAGAACGTTAATGATGTAGCCGTATAGCCACTGTAAATAAGACTCTACACACGTAGAGGAATATGGAGCGCACGATCTGGCTGAAGTCGTATACTACTGGTAGTAGCCTACAACAGCAGTCACAGAATAGGTCTAGTACTCACCAAGATATGGACGACTGCATCGTTCGACCAGTGGCAGTGGTCTTCGACACCTGAACCTGCTCAGCGGTGTCGACCTCGGCATCTTCAAACAATGACGGCGTGGTTCGAGTTGACATGGTCTCCAACACCTGAACCTTCTCAGTGGTGTCGAGCTCGGCATCTTGGAACTTGACTTGTGCAGGAGGCACCATTGTAATGCGCATAAACGAGATGACCGACGCTGGTCACTGGGGAATCAGAGGGAATCAGGGATGTTATGTACCTCATCATAACGTAGGCACGCGTGCGCGTCACCGGCACCGCATGAAGCTACAAATTGTCATGGCTGCAGGATGAGGCAGGAATGGCCCTATTCCCATGCAATCTCATGATGGTCTCATGGAGATCCTCTGGCCACGTAGTCTCGATACCAGACGTTCTGGGAACCCCAGATGAATATTTGAATCCGGACGAGCACTCTAGTTCATCCGAGACCATGAGGGCAGTCCTTTCACAGCGAATTTTGGGGTCCGTGACCAGGGGTACTTGCCCCAGGCTGCCCGCTTACCAGACTGAGGAACATGGGTAGATTTAGATGCAACTGGTTCGAATACAAGAGAACTGCACGACCGCGGGTAGCAAGCCAAGCCTCATGTGTGCTGGATTTGTGTGAGAGGAGCTGGAATGTGAGAAATGTCGCCGTCAGAATCATTTCCGTCGTGCAAAGTCATAGGCTAGTGCTATAGGCGGACGTGATTTGAATAACTTCAATAAGGGTCTGTGTCGTGGAACGGCGGAGTTTTCCGCTTCCTACAACGTCTGGTTTCAAAATTCGAGCACAGACGAATCAATGAATTACCATTTAGACGAGGCGCTACTTTTCGCACTCTTCGAAACCAGTAGTGTCTCTTTTACGGCCCATCCTTCAATGTCTGCCTCGCCAATACTATCTGGTGACGCCTTCGAGGCCTTCGAGACAGATTTAAACAATGCCACGTTTCTGCGTCGCGGAACAACACAGCTGTAAAAAGCTCCGCGACAGAAATGCTACAGGGAAGACAAATTATAGCTAGCCTTTGGCACACATGTTGCGTCGTTCAAACGTTCATTAATTGCAGATACGGCCTGGCTGACTGTACATCAATTTAGCCGACCCTGACCCGGGGGTAGTACTAGTACATTCGAGTAGAATGGAAAACAGAGTCAAAAGCGATATTGCTGAATATGCGTCAGTCAATTCGATAGTCAAAATATGAGGTTACATGAGCATCTAAGTACTGATTTGAGTGGCTCAAGTGTCGTAGCGAGACGATGAAAGAAAAGAGCTCAAAGTCAATCGCGATGTCATAGCACGGTGTAAGTAGGTCGGACTGCCGCACGCGCATAACGGTAGGATACTGAAAGCTTAGCTTTTTCAGTATCAGCGACAGTATATATACTGAGTATGGGAACTCAGGTAAGCCAGCGTGCTTACACACGGTGTGCAATAAGGGAAGTGATGGTGAAATGGTGAAACGTTACGAGTCTGTAGTCAGAACTCCTTTATTACAAGTCATGTACCTAGTTAAAACAATACTAGTGACTCATTAACTCATTGTATCGCGTCTGTAAAATAACGGGTACTCACATCTCAGTCTGTAGTCAGAACTGAGATGCTCGTATGGACCAGCTCGTAACTTTATAGTACGTAGGATGGAAACGAAAATAAAACGATCGAGAGACGGAATATTTAACTGGTACGAACCGACGTCAAAGCGTCGTTCGTCCATCACTCCTTTTATTGCGCTCGCACTGACATCTCGGATCCTTCGGACAGCGCAACTTATCATTCGGATCGTTCGGAGTCCAACATAAATATGACAGCAACCTGTGCTGGGACAGCTGATGAGGCAGGGTAAGTGCTGTGGTTCATCAGCTTAATGCAATCATGCACCGGCTAAACACTTCTCGGCTGAATCAGTATCCTTCACGGCACCTGGAAAGACTTCGATATCTTCTTGAGACAGGGGGCTTCTTGCAGCGTTGGAGCTGCGGGTGGCTGGTGGGCCTGAATCGCCTTTTTGGCCTTTTGGGCTCTTTTTGTCAGGTGCTTTTCCTGGCGCCATATTCTATGAAATTTAGTGTCTTGTATATGTTTGAGGTTTTTTAAGGGTTTTTGATTTGAAGTTGAGTCCTTGGGTGACGCCGTTGGGCGGCGTCGATGCTGTTGAACGCGATGACCTGGTATGGTGTCCGCGGTCCTGGTTCGGGGTGCCGCTTAGTGTGAACTAAGAGGCGGATCGAATTAACAGATTGTTATTGTTATTAACAAGGCTACAAATAATCAGCAGTTCAGATGTTCCGGCTTGTTTATCCGCTGACTCTACAGACTGACAGTGGTTCTGCCTATACTCTCTGCCTGAAGTCTGCCAGGCGCACCGATTCTGATAGAACTGCCGAGTAGTTCGCAAAAAAAAAACAATTTCTAGGACTTAAAAGCAAGCCGTCTTCCTACTGGCAGTATCAGAGCTATCATTCGAGATCCCCTTTGACGCATCTCATATTACCTAGCACAAGCCATGCATTTCTCATTCCTCCTCGTTGTTGTCGCTGCTTTGACAACATCTATGTCTGTTGGTGCACAATGCCTAAATTCAGGCGACCTTTGTCACTTCAACCATGGGCATTTAAATAAATGCTGTGCAGGTTTCAAATGTATACGGTTGGTGAGTATGACCCGTTCGCTTTGCTTCCGGAATTCAACCTCATGACCACCTTGTACCAACAGCCTTCTGATGGAGGTCCCGCAGACGATAGGTGGTGCCGCCCGACATGAGACTGAGGATATCGCGACAGTGAGTCGCGTTGGCACAGTGGTTGATCACACGGTATGCAGTTCGTCGCGGATTTGATCAATATGCTTACTTTTGTGCAAATTTCCCAGCTGCCTCGCCCAGACTCTTGAATAATAACCTGAGTAACAGAACTTGATCGTGATCTTGCGGTGTTTTGGGTGGGATGAGAGATGAATTGGTTTTGAGGTCGGGATAGAATCAACTTAGTCACGTCCATTGTAGTTGTTTCTAGCTGTTTGGAAAGCGCGATGAGGTCGTCCTTTGACCACGATTCGTAGGTTGGGGTTATGACGCGAAGATGGGCTTGGGATGATAGGAAACGGTACGTGATTCCGAACATTCCAAAGCGCATGGGTCTGCGGCAAAATCTGCTGCGATTTCAAATATGCAAACGCGGCGGCGTAAGTGATGTTTAGCGATTTTGAAAGTCAACCTGGAGATTTGACTTGGAGTAACGACGGTACCTTTAATTTTCCAGCAAGCCCCTGCAGTAAGCTCTGCTGCGAGTTTTGACGTGACATGAGTGGCGTTTGCGTTAAAAAGGAGTCTTGTGTGCGACAATTTCATCCCATTGCATGCTCAGTTACTGGATTTCCAGGGGCTGGTCTTTAGTAGACTGATCGAATGCGTTAAAAATGCAGAAGCTCAGCCGCTTGAACTCTTCCTCCGAGGTTGTGCCGGTGTCACCGGACACAGAAAGTTCATCGAGCGGTGTGCGAAAGCGCGCCAACTGGGTCCAGAATACTGCACGACCTTGCTCCACTGGTTATACAGCAGTCATCAACGCACCACAACGAACACTGCACGAGAAAGCATCCGTGGCAACGGGAGAAGTGGCCTCCCTGACAACATCGAAGTGGCGTAATGATGACGACAAAAGAGTAACATGCTGATCCAGAAATCTCAAGGTAGTTTGATAGGCAACTAATGCAGAGTTATGGTTCAGCTCCTTGGCGGACGTTCCCCATGACTTGGCAGCATTAAGATCGAAGATCGCAGCTGCACCAGCACTCTCTCGACATCCCTTCCCTGACTAGGGCCAAGACGTTTCGATATTTGTGACATCGGCAGAGGGCCTGCAAGTGCAGATATGCCAGAGTGGGGTCGATGCACGTGGAGAGGATACGGCCGTATAGCTTGCATACCCCCGTTCCTGGTAGAAGTTCGCTCGTTAGTTCGAGCATGAGCTGGAGTCGATCGTGGGGATCATGGTTTCGGTCATCGATGAACTTCATCATCGTAGATGCAATGGTGAAACGCCTGCCCGCTCGGCTTGCCAGCCGTGCAAGTTGATCCATCGACGGCTATGGAAATTCAGCATGACGAGTTTGCAGGTCTCTGAAGGAATGTTGCAAGAAGATATAGATGTCATGGTCGACATCTGCGCCGTCTAACGAGAGGGTGGCAGTAACGCCCTCGCCATAAATCTTCACTAGAATCTCGCACACGAGCGGGCGCATATCTTCTGTCTGTATGGCTTTACAGATACGCTCTTCTGAGCGACTCGTGAGCAGAATATGGGTGACGGGAAGATCAGGTTCACGAAGGGCCAAGCAGAGATGAGGTCAGCGAGCTCGCCTTCGGAGGTGAATTCATCGAGGGATTGAGATTCGAGTGATTTAAGTGTGTATTCATCAAGGGCGTCGATAACGAATGCCAAAGGCGGACACTCACGCAATTTGGATTGAAGCTTCCGCAGAAGTTGGAGAAGAAACGCCTCCATCTGGTCACGAAGAGACTTGTCGGGGTCTAGAAGGGCAGGATTGTTCACCAAAGCTCTGTTCACGTCCTTCCTGATGACGGAAAAGTTGCTAGCCACCTGATAGGCATGCGTCACAAATAAATAGCAAGTCGTACGGCGTTTTGTGTGCTTGCGCGAGAAAAATAGTAATGTTCTCGCGAGCTGCTTTTCTGCTTTCATCTCCTCTGCCATTTTCAGACCTCTCATCCTTTCCGCCTGATCGATGGCGAAGTCGACACCGACGTCTCCAACTGATCCTTCATAGGCTAGTATCTTTCACCACTTCATCTGCGGGGGATACACAAACGACGATTACCGCCTCGTTGTTTGGAAGTCAAGAAAGCCAAGCATCCGTATCGTGGATAAATTCACCTTTGCACAATATCACAGGCAGAAATTTGAGCAGATGCACATCTCGAAGGGTCATGTGAAGGTTCACGTCGTCATATTCGACCCAACAATTAAGGAATGGCTCCTGGAGAGAGTTATAACAAAGCTGGAAAAGAGTCTGGTACGAATTCATTCATTCCTCGAACAATAAATGACTACGTATATAGAACTGGAGCCTCGTAGTGATAATCAGATTCTATGGATCTACAGTGTGAGGTGGCACCCTGATTCCGTCACGAGAGACGACAGATAGAGCATACTGGAAGGTTATAAAGTTCAGCAACAGCACATGTGAGAGTTTATGCATTGCCCATATTGAAATCACTGTCCATGGTACTGTAAGTAGATGTGCAGTCAACCAGTAATCCAGTCAGGTGCACTGGCAGGGCATCGGTCACAGTGTCCGAGTTGGCGTGGACCGTCGTGCCAAGTTGACAACTCCTAGCAACTAGCCACTTGGCTACTACTGAGTACTACTGTCTGATGCACCATGTTTCGCCACAGACCTCTCCCGGTTTGCCAGCAATTGCCAGAGTGGCAACAAGTACTGGCGCGCCGGCAAAATGGCGCAGTATTGTCAACAACACTACTTCTAGTACCTTCGAAATATCTTTCATCGATTCTGCCATGTCAACGCCACGCTGGCAGGACATGGATCTGCCAGCTGGCAGAACCTGACAGAGTTGCGTCCAAACAGTTTTGCCCGCAACACCACCAGGGACTTTGTTGAACAAGATCACAAGGTAACTACAACAATGTCTCGTCGTGAAACAGATCTCCTGGACTCGGTGTCTGCTGAACTCTCTCAGCAGCTCAAGGATCACGTAGATCAAGTCCTGCTGGAGATTATACGGCCGAACTTTGCATCTCAATTTGCACAGGATGCTCCTGAATTGGCAAAATTCCGAGAGGCCATCGCGCAGAGCGACTCGAAAGAAGATAGTTGACTTCCTACGCAGCTTTCGAGAATTCATTCCCATCACAAACTACGAACCTTACAGGCCATTTATAGCAAAGTTTTTTGCGATCCCTTGCATGGAGGCTGACGTGAGGGATATGTTCGCTCCAGGACTGCCCTACTTCCTAGCCATGACCAGCATGACATCTAGGAAAGTACCAAAGATGTTCCCAAAGTATCGGCCTCCCCCGCACCTTTTGCAACAACTCTCATATGCGGCGCCTCCCCCGTCAGAGGGTACCACCTTATCACCATCCTCTTTGAGGCATTGGCAAGTCCTAAAGATAGATTGTGAGGACGGTCAGAGCTCCAAGGAGGTGGCTGTCTGCTCGATGAGCATCGGTATTTTGCGAATGGGAATGAACTGGGACGTCAAGCATGACAAGGATAGACTCGGATCTGTGGGGTAAGCCCGTGGCGCCGATTTCCTTGTGCATGCTGATCTCTAGGCAACTTTCAGTTCCGGGAAAAACGGATCCATATGCGATGTCTTTGGTTAAAAGCTATCGCACTTTCTTTATTCTGAATGCGCTATTTGCATTGGCTGGACCGTCGAGTGACAACCATCCGCTTCTTATTTGCCAATGTATTCGTGCATTTTTATGCAGTACGTGGAGGATGAATGGCCTTTACTTGTCGAGTGCATCGAGAAAGGTGTCATCCCAGACGTCGAAGACCTAGGTGATCTGCGAGCACCTTTAGAGGTCATAGTTTTGTTGATTATTACATTACATTAACTCACAAGTTCTCTCAGGAACATTTTACTCCCAACCCTTTTCGCGCTGCCGAACTTCGCGAAATCGGGCCTCCCCGCATTGAGGGCTGGGCAATCCGCGTGTGGCCTGACTTGAAACAGTTCATTGGGATCACTGGAGGTCAGGCTGCTATTTCTGTTCCAAAGGCACGTCAAGTGTGGAAGGTTTACTACTCAACTGATAGTTAGCGACACAAGGTTACTCACCTCCTCGGACCTTCTGTCCCCATCCAGTCTCATGGGTATGGCAGTGCAGAATGCGGTGTCGCCAAGCCATACCATGAAGGCAACCCTAATACTGACTTCAAGGTAGGGTTTAGAGATGGGGTCATCGAGTTTCTGGACGTGCGCTCCGATGAGCCTTCGGAACGTGTATTGTCCGTTGTATGAACCATTTCACTGCATCTCACCTTTGTCTGCTCATCCCCGCCTTAGTGGGAACTCGCAATTGGTGGGCATTACGAGCCTGTCGTAACGACCCGCAATGGCTTGTGGAGATACCGCCTTGCTGATGTTATCACCGTTAAAGGCTTCGCTCCAGATGACGGCCTGCCTGTTATCAATTATCTTCACAGGCGAGAGTGAGTTGCGATGTAATCAATTCTAGGCTTAGCAGCTGAAATGCCTGCCGAGGAAGTGACTCGCTTGGAGTGGCGTTTGGAGTATCGTGTACAGAGTCGCAGTTGACGGACGCGATCATCTCTGCCGCTCAACGATCGATCGGCCAGATCGTGGCTTTCACTATTGTGCTAGATGATCGAGACACACCTATTACTTATGGGTATCTGGTAGAGCTTGCAGGGGATCTAAGTTAGCGCTTGCTTCAAAGCTCTTTCACGCCACTATACTAATTGATATTCACAGGAGAGGACGCGAGAATGGCGACAAAGCAAACTTTTGAACACCTCATCACAGCAAGTGATGATTATCGCCTCGTTGTTTGGCAAGGCAAGTCAAGAAGGCCTACCATCCGTATCGTGGATAAAGGTACCTTCGCAGAATATCACAAGCAGAAATGCGAGCGGATGAACGTCACGGTGGGTCAGGTGAAGGTTCCTGTCGTCGTATTCGACCCAGCAACCAAGGAATGGCTCCTGGAGAGAGTTGTAAAGGAGTTGTAACACTTATTGGCGAGTGAAATCACAGCTGTGCTTTATTTAGTATTTCAGTCTTCAAACTCGAAGCCTAGAGTTTGTTTGGAACAAGTCTAGTTTTCAGTGAATTTAGTCGTCGTACATGCAATTCAATCGAACTATATCACCATTGTGTTTGAAGGATCGTCGCTCATCCTCATCAAGGGTATGTATACAAACCGAAAACCTGTCCCTAGCACGAAATGTGGTGTGCACGAGCAAGTGGTAACCAATAGTACGTCATCATTGCCAGCGGAAACTCCGATGGATGACGCGTCAAAATATTACAGCTACTTTCATATCGATAGACCAGATTTCATTCTCTACCTTGTGGAGCTCGGCAAACAAAAGGGTACGGCGTATTACGACCCCCAGAATGACAAGGGAGTGCACACCCGAATTCTGTCCTTAAGGATGGCGCAACCAGGCGCATGCCTTGAAAGCCGCCGTCAGACACAGCGATGAGACTCAAATCAGTCTTCAAGGTTGCAGACTCTTGGGGTATGCCGATGCCCGAACTTCTCGTAATAAGCTACTTAGACCCTTGAACCAAATGAAATCTGGTCTATCAATATGTAAATCAATAATTATTACATACTTGTTTCATGACGGATAACGCCAAGTCAAAATGTTAAATAGTGCAGGGTCGATTGATCACCCATGTACGTGGCACATCTTTGGCGCAGACCGCTGTCTAATCTTTTTGCTTTATGTAGGTTTGAAAGAGGACGACAGCGTTGTGTGAGTAAGGGATAAGTCTTCGGGATGAAGATTTCAGATCTCAGCAACGTACAAACCCCATGAGTAAACCTTTTGGTTGGCACACGTGCTCACACCATCATTCGAACAGGACATCTGGCACGAATCCATGGTTTGATCGACTGCCAGCAGTCACTAATGTCGAGGCCTTGGTAATGATTGCGATGTGTAATACTGCATGAAAATATCAAGTCACGTCGAGTATCTCGTCACCCTCTCTCTCCACTTCATAATAGCCACCCTCTCCCAGCTAGCCGCCATCCATCTAGGCTGCCCCTGCATCCGTCCGTATGTCATGCAATCACTCGGAAAAATCGATTGTAGAGGAAGAGAAGGTCCCAATCGAAGAAGAGCTCAAGGAGGTTAACATAGTCAATTACCAACCTTTAAATCTTCAGCTCGATACTGGCGATGAGTATGTATACTTTCGTCAAAAGTGGTGGCAGTTGTGGTAAGTGAAGTTGCGTTTGCAAGCAATGCACTCCTCACCGGCCGCGGGCAGGTTACCTAAGGACCCACCACTTCCAGCTCCCCCGTCTCTGGAGGATGCACTGGTGCGCGAACCTTCCTTCGTTAATTTGCTAAAGGACCCTCCAAATAACATCGTGTTCTGCAGCTGACGCCTTTGGCCAATGCTTCATTTTTCTCTCAGCTCACTTACACCTGGATGACCGATATAATGGTCAGATATTGAATAGTGTTTTCAAAATACACGTTCCAACGCATATATACAGGTTCTCGGATATCAGCGCACGCTGCAAGCGTCTGATTTATATAAAATGGACACATCCCAAGAGTCAGCCGTACTTGCCACTAAACTAGAAGATGCATGGCAGCGGCGTGTCAAGGCAGCAGCCGACTGGAATGCACGTCTTGAGAGTGGAGAGCTCAATCCATCCTTCATCAAGCGTACCGGCTGGGCCTTACGTGCAATTCCCTGTAGAGGTCAGAGACAATGCGCGACCTGGTCTGAGCGATGTGCTGCATTTCAGAAACATTGGCGAGAATGCGAAGGACGGAAAGAGGCCAGCCTTGCTTGGGCTTTGAATGATGTCTTTCATGGAATGTTCTGGACCGGAGGTGTATTCAAGGCAAGGGTCTTCCTCATAAATCGTCACTGTCAAATCGATTTACACACCACTCAGGTCATTTATGATATGAGTCAACTCATGGGTCCTCTCGTCCTTCGGGTGAATAGCAAGCCGTCTTCGGTTGTGGCAATCTCTGATGCTTCTGTCTGCCCCCCTGCAGCAAATCGTCGTCTTTGCGGAGGAGCGTTCCGCTGCCATCATTGCCGGAGAACCTGTCCCCAATGTCGGTCGCGGTATCGCCATGGCTATTGGGCTCTTCGCATTGACTGTGATAGCAAGCGTCTGCAACCACCAGGTTTGTCAACCTTTGTGAGAAGTGAACTCGGCTAAGCTGACGCTTTTCAAGTTCTTCTGGCGTTCAATGTTGACAGGCGTACTGGCTAGAGCTGCACTGATAACATGTATTTACGAGCGTGGAGTGAACCTCACAGGCAAAGCGCGCGTCAAACTCAGCAACGCCGCACTCGTCAACCATATTTCCACGGACGTGAGCAGGATCGACGCGTGCGCTCGCTTGTTTGTGAGTCATCAAGTTAAGCATACGCTCATGGCATCGACTAACAGCAGCTTAACGCTCTCACCACTAGCATGCAGGTGAGTATATGTGACTCCTTTGACTTCAAGATGTCGAAATGCCTTACTATCTTCAAGCTTGGACTGCACCTATCCAGGTCACAGTTTGTCTAACCATTCTTCTAACTATGGTTTGTTGCACGCTACAAATAATTCATCTCGTTCTGACGACACTTGAAAATTAGCTGGGACCATCTGCGCTCGCTGGTTTCTCGCTATTCCTCTTCTTCATCCCACTTCAAAGTCGATTGATGGCACTGCAGCGCCGTATGCGCTTGGGATCGATGAAGTGGACTGATCAACGAGCGAAAGTCCTGCTAGAAGTACTCAGTACGTAACCTTGGAACGGCTAGGAAGAGCGGGGATACTGAAGGAGTGCACAGGCGCCATGCGAGTGGTCAAGTATTTCTGCTACGAGATTCCCTTCCTTCAACGTAAGCAACAAGTCGAAGCACCATTAACATCACGCTCACGAACGTCGCTTAGGGATCTTCGAGCTTCGAAAGCAGGAATTGCGTAGTACCCGACGAATTCTTCACTCAGGTTCGATGCAGTAAGTCCAGATGTGCATGGGTGGCGACACGTTATTGATTCGGTCTACTTCAGCCTGGCGCTCGCTATGTCGCTCCCAGTTCTCGCTGCTACGCTAGCCTTTGTCACATATACCCTTATAACGAAGGACTTCAACGTTGCCGTCATCTTCTCCTCGCTGAGTCTGTTCCAGGTGAGATCCTGTTGAGGAGCGTACATCAACATGCAGCTAAGCTATACATAGCTTCTCAAGAAACCAATGATGTACATGCCCCAGGCACTATCGTCTATCCCTGACGCATCCAGCGCGATCCAGCGGCTCACGCATATATTCCATGCAGAGCTTATTTCTGAAGATGCACTTGTGATCGACAAGGACCAAGAGCCGGCGCTTCTGGTGAAGGACGCGACGTTTGAGTGGGAGTCCTTTGGGAACGACTCCGATGAAGCTTTCAGCTCGAAGAAGGGTGGAGGCGATAGCAGTGGTAAGGACAAGAGCGCGAAGGAGGACAAGGCGAAGGAAAAAGAAAAAGAAACTCCTGGAAAAGACGCGTCGCTCTTTAGGGTCAAGAATGTGACCATGACCATCCCACGAGGTCAACTCGTCGCTGTAGTTGGGCCTGTCGGAAGCGGAAAGGTGATCTCGCTGGACGAATTCTTGAAACCACTACTGACCCATGAACAGTCTAGTTTGTTGCAGGGTTTGATAGGGGAGATGAGGAAGGTCTCTGGACATGTTTCATTTGGCGGTCGCGTTGGTTATTGTCCGCAGACTGCATGGATCCAGAATGCAACTTTGGTGAGCAGTGTTGATCTCAGAGAATGAATATATCTGATATTTTATTCCAGCGTGATAATATCACTTTTGGCCAACCTTTCGAAGAAGATAGATATTGGCGCATTGTGGAGACCGCTTGTCTACTTCCGGATCTCCAACTGCTCCCTGATGGGGATTTGACTGAAGTATGGTGGATAAATCTGACTCGATAACACGGCTGATGATCTTTTAAGATCGGAGAAAAGGGTATCAATCTCAGCGGTGGCCAGAAGCAAAGAGTGAGTTTATGACGTGCCTTCGCTTTAAGACCTTAATTCTATCTTCCGCCTAGGTTAACATTGCTCGTGCCCTGTATTTCGACCCTGAAATTGTCATACTTGATGACCCACTCTCAGCAGGCGAGCCATATGCTTTATTTCACGTTTGTTATACTGACGAAAGCCCTTTCAGTGGATGCTCACGTCGGAAAGTCCTTATTCCAAGATGCCATCTCGGGTGCCTTGTGCAATCGCGGTGTTACCGTCATTCTGGTGACGCATGCGATCCACTTCCTCTCGCAAGTAGATTACATTTATACCATGAACAACGGGGTCATCACAGAGAGCGGGACCTACGAAGAATTGATCTCCCGCGGTGGAGATTTTGCACGTTTAGACCTAGAGTTCGGCGGTCATGGATCTGAGGGGAAAGATGATGACCAGGCAGAGAAAGTGACTCCGCAGACAGGCGTTACTATCGAGGATGTCAAGTCGAAGTCAGAAAGAGCCAGAGACAAGGCCACTGGCAGTGGTAAACTCGAAGGTCGCTTGATGAGCAAAGAGAAGCGGTCGACGGGCTCTGTGTCTTGGAGAGGTGTGTTCAGGTTCGCCTGCCGGGGCTTCCCCTCATTGAAACAGTTTCACAGTGTACTTGACCTACTTGGTTGCGGGACGCGGTTTGATAACAGGACCTCTGGTTCTTTTGTGCACCACCGCGATGCAGGCGAGTCAGGTCATGAACTCGTATGTACTAGTTTGGTGGGAGAGCAAGTCAGTTTCGTTTTATCGACTTCTTGATCCTATTTCTGACATCCTGGTGCAGCAAATTCGACAGACCAAACTCATTCTATCAGACGCTGTATGGTTGCCTCGGGGTTAGTCAAACGGTCTTCACATTCTTGCTGTAAGTCGGTTCCTATCGCCGATGGCAGCACGCTCACTTAATGTAATTGGCTGTAGTGGTATCACAATGAACTTCATCGCCTTTTACGTGTCTCAACACCTGCACTACAAGTCCGTACGCAATGTATTTTATGCGCCCATGTCCTTTTTCGACACTACGGTGAGTAGTTATGAGGGCATAATAACAGATGTCGACTATGTTCCTGCAGCCTACGGGCCGAATCATGAGCGTCTTTGGCAAAGATATTGATAGTCAGTATCTCGTTAATTTGTACTATGATGTGCTTTGCTGAAACTTTTCCATCAGGTGTTGACAATCAACTAGCAAGTGAGTCGTCTCAGGTCTGTCACCATGGTGAGATGTTACTCATGCATGTTCCAGGTGCAATGAGATTGGGTACGTCAGCCGTACACTTCTCTTACAAAGACTAACTGTAGGGATCCAGTTGCCATTACGCTGTCCGAACTTATGGGCTCTGTGATCATCGTTACTGTTCTTGAACCATACTTTGGTAAGTATGTGGGAGTCATTTCCGAGGATGTGGCTCACCCTTCTCTAGTAATTGCTCTTTTCTTCATCGCGATCGGTTTCATCTACTTCGCTGCCTTTTATCAAGCTAGTGCCCGGGAGGTCAAGCGCCTGGGTTCGTTGCTGTGTCTCTGACCTAGAAACTCTCTGATATCGACCATCAGATTCTCTCCTTCGCTCTATTATGTATGCCCACTTTTCCGAGACCTTGACGGGACTTCCTACCATCCGAAGCTACGGAGAAATGAAGCGGTTCATCACCGCCAATAGATACTACATCGATCTGGAGGATAGAGCTCTATCCCTCGTGGTTACAAACCAGAGGCAAGTATTCTTATATGTATTTCACGGCGGTCGTTGGCTCATCGCCTTCCATCAGATGGCTTGCGATCAGGTTGGATTTGATGGCAAGCATGCTAATCCTTGTTGTGGGTGTCTGTTTAAATGGCCAACACCTCAGTCTCACCCAACATTGCGATCTCGATAGGTTGCTCTTCTCGCAGTGAGCGACGTCTCCGGGATCAACGCCGCCCAGATAGGGTTAGCACTCACGTATGCCAGTGGGTCTCCTTATGTCGCCACAATAGTCTACACTGTTAACCTTTTCGTACCAAAGTTTCGCTGGCACAAATGTGCGGCGGCGTGATAAGACAGACAGCAGACGTCGAGGTAGGGCTTTCCTTGTCGTACCTTACTGGCTATTCAATCTTCGTTTACTTCAGAACAACATGAATTCAGTAGAACGAGGCAAGTCGCGAAATTTACGATACTTCCACTCTCTTATTCTTCACAGTGACACAGTACGTCGATGAGGACGTGATACCTCAAGAGGCACCGCATGAGATCGAAGAACGCAAGCCCCCGGCGCAATGGCCTGAGCATGGCGTCGTCGAATTCAATGACGTTAAGATGGCATATAGACCGGGCCTCCCCGAAGTATTGAAGGGCATCTCGGTCAATGTCAGGGGAGGCGAAAAGATAGGTATTGTTGGAAGGTCAGCTGATTTGTTGGATCCAAAATGTGAGCTGATTCGGCGTCCCATCAGGACTGGTGCTGGTAAATCTTCGTTGATGCTCGCGCTATTCCGAATTATCGAGTTGTCCGGTGGTTCGATCACTATCGATGGGTACGCTGGTCATCGCTTGTGATGAATACCGTTTTCACCCTGTCCAGCATCGATATATCTACGATTGGTCTTAAAGACCTTCGCTCCAAGATTTCTATCATCCCACAAGATGTTTGTTGGTTTTCCTTGTGCCTGCTAACACAAGACTGATGTACGAACTCAATAGCCTCTTCTCTTTAGCGGTTAGTGTCGTTAAGACGTACTTCTTTGGAGCGCTAAAGAGTCAACAGGGACCATACGATCCAATCTGGATCCGTTCTCCAAACACAATGACGCGGAGCTATGGGATGCGCTGCATCGATCTTATCTTGTTGACTCTGGCACCGACCCGAATCAGTCAATTCCCAGGAATGGCATCAGGGACGAGCAAACTTCCACCAGCCGCCATCACCTTGACAGCCCCATTGAGAGGGAGGGAGCAAATCTCAGTGTTGGGGAGAGATCTCTGCTCAGTCTAGCTCGTGCGCTGGTCAAAGACTCCAAAGTCGTCGTGCTTGACGAGGCCACGTTGGTCATGTGCTCTTCTCCTGGATGCGTGATGTTGACGTTTTTCAGAGCCTCTGTCGATCTCGAGACCGATAACAAGATCCAGCACACTATCCAGACGCAATTCAAGGGCCGCACGCTCCTTTGTATTGCCCGTGCGTTTTATCGTTCTTGCTCTTTGCTGTATGTAATGTGATGATCCTTCAGACCGACTTCGGACTATCATTTCGTACGACCGCATTCTGGTCGTCAACGCTGGCCTTGTCGCCGTAGGTTTTTTTGAGCGTCCTTCAGCGGTTAAAACTCATACATACTCTCAGGAATTCGATACTCCATCTAATCTTTTCAAAGTGGCGGGCGGAATTTTCCGCGAAATGTGCGAGAGGAGTAATATCTCCTTGAGAGATATAGAGATGAGTAGAGATTGATTTCTTTTCATGGTACATAAGTACAACGTCAGTGATTAGATGACTCACCATTGACGCGCCATTCTACGTATCCTCTATCTTCTGTGGTTCAGTTGAAGAAACTAGTTCACAACGATGATGGCTCAACATGTGAATAGTGAACGTAGTGTGGTACGCAAGGCTCACAACCGTTTTATATTTCCGTAGATGATCACCAATAGAATACATCCCTCTGGACCCCTCCTCGCGAATCGCGATCTGTAAGCTGATGTTGTTCCACTGCGCCCTCAAGCTTTCCGTCAACTCTAGGCAGCGATAAGTGTGCGTGCGATCGCTGAACGAAACGAGGAAAGCTGGGATGCTGACTGATGAAGCACATGAGCACTGAACAGCAAATAGTGTAGTCTAGCTATAGGTAATCAGGTTACTATAAGATTGTTATGGTCATGGATCACTTTCATGAAGACTGACGCCAGGTGGCCAGAGGTCACCGCATGAAATGGAATTCCGTACATCCATTTCCAAGCCTATCAGCGAACTGATGAGCCGCAGATATAGTCTTATATGACGATATATAGAACTATTTTCCTTTATATTGGAATATAGAGTCATAAAGTCATGTAAAACGCCGTAATCGACGTAAAGTACCCTGGGTAGGCTAGACTCACGAGTTCTCTGATGAAGCTGTTTTTCGTCATTTTCGTGCACATTTTTCCAACATCAAGATGAAGATTCCGTTGCATCCGCGATGGAGTTTCGTAGACTTCGACGTTCGACCAACACTGGTATCAGTGTCAGGTCGGGGTAACCCAAGGATGACCCTAATACCAGTGTTGGCCGAGGTTATGTTGATGCCTATCATGTCCGAGTCAGAGCTACCAAACGTGCGGCGCGTGATTCTCGTGTGAGCATCAGTATGTAAGGCTCGATTGAGTTCTAAGGGGAATCAATTCGGTGAGATGCGATTTGAGGAGAAGGGGTTCGTTATGAGAGTAGATAGCAGTGAGAAGACTAGAGATCAGTCGGTGATGCAAACAGAGACTTTGGCTTTGACGGAACGTTCGGACGGCTGCGAGAGTGCGGATCACTAAGAGGGAATCTAATTGACTAAGTAAATGAGAAATACATGCGGATTTATATATGTCGAGAGCACGGACCAAGCGCTGTCAAGGCGCGAGTGGCGTCGTCAAAGCGTAAGTACAAGGAATGAAGGGGAGTTATGAATCTGATGATAGATAAAGACAAAGGCTAATAGCGTGAATATGTGAAATGATAGAAGTATAGACAGAAAGGGAAACAAGAGGAGAAGGCCGTGCGTGATATGTCACGGTCGTTGGGATATTGGTTGAAGCGAGCTTTCATCGTCAAAGGCGTAGCCTTTCTTACAAGTAAACCGGTGAGCCGCCGATATTCCCATATTTTGTAAGTTGTCTCTTGAACGTTTGAACGTTAAAGTACTTCAAGTGATGTTTTGATCAGTGACGTGGCACAAGACAGCACACTGGCATATGGGAAAGGGACTAATTATCCTGCTGACGTGAGGGATCTCCGCGGGTAGCAGAGATGGTGGAAGGCACGCGAGCACAGTGCGAGACATGCAGGTGGACTACAGCTCCGAGCTCAAGATATGCATATATGTATACTTATATGTTGTAGATTTCATGAATTTCAAGAATAGTACGTATGGAACCTATAGATTCAAACCCAAATTGTAATCATCCCATGACATGCTTCCGAGCACTGTAGTAATGTATGCAAGATCATAACCAGCGAATCTATATCTATGTGTAGTCTAAATGTCATCACGCTGCATGTTTAGATGCAGACAGAATATCGTCGAAAGTGATAGAGGATCGGTCGCACATCCCGCGGAATATACTATCTGGCATGGCGAAGAGATTAGCAGGGGTATCGAATTCCTTAATGGATTTTGGTCAGCACGGAATTAGACAGCGTCAAGGCATGTGGACGTACGGCAATCGTACCAGCATCCATCACACATATCCTGTCATATCCAATAATGGTCCGGAGACGATCTGCATACTTGGTGTAAGTCGATGCAAAGCGATGAGTCTTCTCCAGCTTACGTGCAATGCACAGGATCGTGCGCTCTTTAAACTCGTTGGCGATCGTATCCTGAATCTTGCTGTCGGTCTCGTAGTCGACGGAAGCTGCGTAGAAGTCTATGAGAATGCATGCACTACCAGAACAAACACCATAATTACCCGTAGCCTCGTCAAGAATTAAGATCTTGGTGTCATTCACGAGAGCTCTCGCAAGAGAGACAAGAGAACGTTGCCCGATCGACAGATTGCTACCTTCGTCGTCGATAGGACTATCAAGAGTAAATCTAGGTGCCGGCTGCCCTTCAGCAGGGGGTGATGCAGAGGTGGACGGGCGATCCCTGTCTGACTCCACAAGATACGCCCGCTTCATTGCGTCGTAAAGCCTGGCATCATCGTGTAGCTCAAAAGGATCGAGGTTAGTCCGAAGAGTACCGGAGACTAGAGTGAAAAGGTCAGTTGACCTGTTTTTAGATCTAGCGCGTCATCACGCACAAAGGAACTGCGGATATGTCACACAATCAGTTGATGTTCAAACAAACACATGCAACTTACAGCATCTTGAGGAATGATCGACAACCCTTTTCTGAGCTGCGCTAAACCCACGGTCGAAATGTCTACGCCGTCGATGGATATAGACCCAGATGCCAGTTCCACTATACGATAGATAGCAGTCATAATGGACGATTTCCCGGCACCAGTCCTGCACCCCGTAAGCCACAGGAGCGACTTAGAATAAAAGAATATACTTACCGCCCAACGACACCAATCTTCTCTCCAGGGGAGAGAGACATACTCAGTCCCTTCAGGACAGATGGTAGCTCCGGGCGATATCTCAAGACCACATCCTTCATGACGATCTCGCCCTGCGAAGGCCAGTCAGCCGGAGCAGGACTATTTTCGACCTCATGCGCAGCCTCCTGTTCGACCTCTGTCGCATAGTGCACGACACGCTCCACGGAATTCATGTTGTTCTCGACTTCAGCAACCTGGCGGACCATCCATCCGAAAGACTGAATTGACGGGTCATCAACCACACCCCGAACGATGATGAATAACAAAACACTACCTGTTGCACCGTAAGGATATACGAGAGCGCGACACCAGTTTGTGCCGGAGAGATCGTGAATCGTGTTCCAACGGTCAATAGTGCGACGGCGAGAGTCAGTAACGTGCCTAGGAAATCAAGACGTATGCCGAGCCATCGTTGATTCGTAACCGTCATCCAGTAAGCACTGAAAGACATCAGTAATAATCAACATCGCATATCATTACACCAATTACCGATTTTCAACATCAACGAGCTCGATATTTTCCGCGCGGAATCGGTCGAGTTCGCCGTAGGCGCGAATGGTAGTTAAACCCGATAATGACTCGGAAAAGTGAGAATAAAGCGAGGATCGCAGGAGTGCATCCATCCGCTGTGGAATTCCGCGTCGGTAGAAGTTCACGAACGTGATTGAAACCACCGACCTTCAACTCACGTGCACTTGCGCGGTAGAACATTGCAGAATAGTAATAGCAGATCAAGATGAAGAAGGCTGCGACAAGGAAATACGGTACGATTATGGATATGAGAATGATTGCGCCGATGATTTGTGATGCCGTTGATACTAGCATTCTGAGAGAATCTGCAAACGCAAGATATACGTCAAAAACTATTCACAAAGGACTTCAATGCTGAAGCGCTCACCGCCAATGAAATTATCGACAGTGTCGATATCTACCGGTCTGTGTCAGAAAACAGAAAATGCGGGCAATCGAGACCTATGGGTTTCAAACCTACCTTTGGCAAAACGATTCATAATGCGACCTAAAGGCGTAGTCTCGAAGAAGCTCATTGGAGCATACAGAACTCGCTCCAGTGACCTCTGTCAAAAGGTATTAGGGCCAGCAGCCACCGATACACAACGATGCACGTACGCTATGCAACTGTTGGGAAGCATAGTAAGTGAGTAGTGCGAACGTAGCTCCCATCATGAACATGGTCAACGCTTGGGAGACACCGAGAGCAGCATAGATGCCAGTCTGCGTTGTACGGCCATCAGTGTGCTTTAGTCATGTGCAACACAAGAACTCACATAAAATCCTGACGATTGGTGCCATTTGCTATAAAAGTGCTGAGCACATAGATGTATAGGGAATGCAGCATGCACGTACTACTCTTGCCAGTAAACCAGCCTAACAAACCACGTCAGCGAAATGACCAGGACATATAAAAATCACATACCAATACGAAGACATGACACTGGAGACTTGCATAAGGACCAAAGAGACCAATAGCAGAGGCACCAGAACAGTGCCGTGAGCTGCTGTGAGATACTGTCGATATACTTGCAACTTTATGGCACCAGTGTTGCGTTCTTCCTCCTGCATCATCGCTTTCCCAGTCCTCCCTATCTCGTTTTTCTTCTCATCAATGCCTGCAACATCAACTACCTCCTCTTCTTTCTTCGTAGTATCCTCCTTTGATCCGAATTCCGCGACGAATTTGGAGAAGGCACCATCGTTAGCCATGAGTTCGGCGTATGTGCCACGTTCCGCAATGCGCCCATCAACTATAGTATATATGAAGTCGACCTCGGGAAGAAAGTGGAGGGCATGGGTAACAAGAATGCGAGTTTTTCCTGCGTTTCTCTTCAACACATTCTCGAATACTGCCTTCCCGACGTGTGCATCTAGTGCAGATAGTGGGTCATCGAAGATTTGAATGTCAGTATTGCAATAGATCGCGCGACATATGTTGATACGCTGCTTTTGGCCGCCAGAGAGTGAGATACCCTGTGCCAAAAAGCATCAGTTCATAGTCCTGCAGGACGAAGAGCTAATATTACCTTCTCACCAACTTCTGTAAGGTCGTAATTGGGTAACATCTCCAAGTCAGGCTCCAGGCATGCGTCTCGGACAGCCTTCCAGTATCGCTGCTCGTCAAATGGACGTCCGAAACAGATGTTATCACGAATGGTTGTGTTCTGTTTCTCCCTTAGTCGCCGATGCCAGTGAGCTAATCAAGGAGCCTACCTGGATCCAAGCGACTTGGGCACAATAGCCCACGGAGCCACCAAATTCAACCTTACCAGAAGTCCGTCGCATTTCGCCAATAAGACCCTGAAGTAGGGAGGTTTTCCCCGTGCCGACGGCTCCCACGATAGCAACGAATTGGCCCCGGGGTATTTCCAAGTCAATGTCCGTAACTTTGAAAATATTTGCATCATCTGCAGGAGTTGGTGGAGGCGTTGGAGGGCGCTTGCGTTTGCCCATCTTCATGCCCATTTTTCCGCCTTTCCCCTTCTTCTTGGGATCCTCGGGTCGAGGGGGCGGACTATCCCAGGTGAAGCTGGCACCTTCAGCTCTGACGGCGGCATTCATATCGTCATTTATGACGAGCGTCTCGTCAAGCGTTTCTGCGTCGAAAACCTTCACCAGTCTGTCGCATGCTGTGGCCGCATCAGCAATGCTGCTCAATGACATGGCTAGAAAATCTGTGAGATTACAGACGCAAATGGCAATAAACGACGCACGTAACATCATCAAGGGCATGCGGACCAGCTGAAAAAGAGTCAGCGACGTGAATATATTCGCCGCTTCAAGGCTGTGTCCGGTCAACGCATATGTGACGAAGGCAAGGACAGCAGCGAGAGCCGGGAGAGAAATTGCGAAAGCGTTCATCGCGGCTCTCATGATTAGGAGGGTGCGGATATATCTGAATGAGAAACAACTATCAAAAAAGACTAGTGCAATATGAAATGTTCACGTACACCATCTCATTCTGTCGATATTCAGAAATGCGTTTCAGGAATGGAACCTCCCAGGAAAAGAATTTGATGACACGCATGCCACTGAGGACCTCTTGCAAGATCTTGGAACGCTTGTCTGTCCAAACCATGCTTTTCATGCGAAGGGAGAAGAGACGGGCTACAGCATACGTCTGGATTGGCGTCGCGACGACGAGAAGCGCAAAACCAGCGAGTGCACTCGGGCCGAGATTGATCAAAAGCAAGATCAGGCAAATAGTCAGTTGAATCGGAGCGGCCCATGACATATGGAAGTATCCCATACAGAAATCTATCCGCGAGACATCAGTGGATATGTGGTTGACCAATTCACCATTGCTTAAAGTGACGCGAGCTCGTGCGGTTAGACGAAGTGATTTCGAGTATATTGCCGTGATAAGACCTCCACGAAGAAGGACACCAGTGCCCATGCTACGGTAGAAGAAGTGATTATTGCACCATGACGAGACGAGTTGCAAAGCCAGTAAGCCAAATGCAAGCCCAATTCCCTGGCCAATTGGAGGTGTCGGTTGACCAGTTTGATGATTTGTGTATGATTCTGTGGCAAAAGTGATAATGGCCTAGGCAACGGTTGAGTGCTTTGGGAAGTCATTTCGTAGAAGAATTTTAACCTTGACCAGAAGAGGACTAGTAACCTGTGCTGTGTCACTGGTAACCTTCAGAATGCCACCAGACCAAAACCACCAGAAGATACTATCATTCATCGCCAAGATGAGACTTGCTTTGCGCCTTCCATCCTTTTCCCTCCATTGCTTCTCGCGTTCTGCGCGAACACCCCGCATGGACCACCACAAACCCTTCAACCCCGGGCCGATTTCACCCTTAGTCAAGCGCTCGTTGTATTCGGTAGCCTTCTTCCGCCGAGTCTCGTACGATTTTAAAATTGCATTGGCAACCCGCGAGGCACCTCGTTCTTCCTGGAGTTTGTAAAGGTCTGATGACTCAAGTGGACGAGCATAGCCAAGGGCAAGCAGAGGCGTCATCCAATGGAACCATAGAAGACTGACGAAGCCAGCTGTGGCCTCAGGAATTAATTCCGCGTCGTGAACGGATTTCTTCGGGGCCAGAGGAGGACCACTCTTCCCGAATAGGAAGAGCCTAGGGAGCACAAGAATGTTAATGATGAAACTATATGACTACTTCAAATGAAAATCTCCACAAGCGTAGCGGAATGTGGAGCACACTATGTGGCGGAAACTGAATATTACTACTGGCAGTAGCCTACGAGCCTACAATAAGCAGTCACACGATAGGTCCAGTACTCACCAAGATAGGAACGATTGACCGGTCTTCGACACATCGGTCTCCGACACATCGGTCTCTGACACCTGAGCCTTCTCAGCGGTGTCGAGCTCGGTATCTTGGAACTTGACTGGTGTAAGAGGCGCCATGGTGGTGCGCAGTCAGAAGTCCCCTGGATCTATAAGAGGGTGTTTTGTACCCTACGCATGCACGCGTGTGCGTACTAATTATAATCCTCGTCCGTCAAATCATGCTTACAAAATACCAAAAAGAGTTTAGCCTCGTGTTGGCCTCGAATCCCGCTTACGATACTCCGAGGACCGGTCACATCGGAGCAGAGTTCATGATGACACAGGATGACATATAGCTCGAACCGCGCCTAGCTGCGGAAAAATACCTGGGTCGATACAGAATCCAGATCTTGTCGACCTCAACACTGATAATTAGTAGACTAGTCATCACCTGTCATCACACGGTGTATTTCATCACTTGTCAACGTCAATCCACTTGTTGACACCAGGGTTGCTGAAAACTATCGTGTGTACGCGTCGCGAAGGCTCCGCAGAGATATCTATGAAACGCGTGTCTGCCACTTGCACTACGTAAAAATAAAAATTGTGCATACTGACCTCATATGCTGATGAAAGCGAAGCCGTGTCTTTCTCTGATATTCTGATCCGTTGGACCCTTTCCAAGTGACCGGCGTTTCTTAACATAGATTTGAAGTAGTGTGCCTAAAAGCTCGTTTGAGTGAAAAAGGCACAGCCTGGTCTCTTACGTGACATACCTCCTGTTCTTCGACCAACGTCCAAGCGTCTCCAGTTCTCCCTGCTCGAGCAGTTCGACCGACTCGGTGTACGTATTTTCTTATATCCACCGGTGCATCATAACTCACTACGTGTGATACATGGCTGATGTCGATACCTCTTGATATGAGATCCGAACATACAAGTCTAAAATCTGGTCAGTACATCAAGCTGATAGAAGATATGTTGAACTTTCAGATGGACTTCTTGTGTCTTGAATTTCTCCAATATAGTCCTGCGCTCGTTAGTCGGAAGGTCACTCGAGTATGACCGAACGGCAATCGGATTGCCGGAGGAGGTAGCGGCCTCGAAAAATTCGAACAGACGGACGAGACGAGACGCCGACTCGGCCGATTTGGTGAAAACAAGTGCGTTGCGGACGGAATGGTTGTGCACAAGATGGAAGAGCATCAATGGTTTCTGAGGGGCTTCACATATTATCATGTGCTCCTGTATTTCATGGGTAAGCTTCTGACAAAATGAATTAATTCGTTGTTAACGTACCTTTAGTTCTTCGGGCATGGTGAACCGTTCCGAAATAACATTTGGAATACCATCAATTTCTGATTCTTCAGATTGACCTTGCACAACGAAGTATTTTGGTTTTCGGAGGTCCAGGGCCGCAAGCTTTCCCGGGTCACTTGTAAGTGTCGCAGAAAACAATAATTTCTGACATGACACGTCTTTCTTTTCATCAACCTCGGTGTGTAGGTCTGCTTCCCTGTGAAGGTGAAGAAAAGTGGGAGCAAGAGAATCGCAAAGGTCTGAGACATTGGTCTCAGTAATCTGAGGGACAATTCTGGGAGATGGTCGCGTAGCGGCAAGAACTTGAGCCAGCCAATCTTGGAATGACTGAGCAATCAATCGGTCGGCTTCATCTATTACCTAGCAAAAACGCGATCGATTCAAGAAATGCCAGATAGACCGATGGAGACTGACCAGGAAGCGGAGGTGTTGTAGAGAAAAATTGGGCGTTCCGTTGAGATGATCGATGAGGCGCCCCGGTGTACAGATCAAGATGTCAACTTTACTCGATCCACCAGAGAGTCTTCCACAAACGTTAGTACGACTACGAAGTTCGGACTGATGTCCAGCAGGGAACGTACTTTTTCGACATGTCCGCAACTAATTGTGACTGCTCATGAGCAAACGAGTGCTGTCCGGTGGCTGCGCCGATCTAGATTCAAATTCGGGATGAGAACAGGACAAGGATGAGACAAAAACCAGTAAACCTTCAAACCCCGTCCTTTTGCTATCGCTTCTAATGTTTCTCGAACTTGCGTGACTAAGTCACGCGTCGGGAGAACGATGAGGGCACGGAGATGAGTTACAATTCTTGTTGACAGAATCTGACCCCGTTCAATCGGTCAATCGAGACTTCTGAAAATTGCTAGCGTCATTACCTCAACGATTGGGAGCACATACGCAAGCGTTTTCCCACTTCCAGTTGGGGCAGAAACACATACATCCTGTAACGGGTCAAACGGTGCGTACAGGGACCTCCGCATGACGGAGGAACCTAGCAGAAAAGGGAGAAGCGCAGTCTGAACTGTAAAGTTTTCAGGATAGGTCAGCATGGAGAATAACAGCACTGACCAGCAAATAGTTCAGTAATCCCTAGTTCTATGAGGCGTTTTCTTGTCCTCTCGGATAGACCAGTGCGAGTATCATCTCCATTGGATATTATCGGTAGTCGAGAGGAGGGATTGACAACTTCAGCTTCAACTAAAGCTTGGTCAAGACCTTGCAATGCGAGTATAGATTTAGGCGGTGCGTCAAGTAAAGTCGGAAGGGGGAATACTGCCAGGGACATCTGCGGTTCTGGGGACTTGGAGATTTGCGGCGCTGCAGCGAGGCCTAGCGGAGCTTCTACTTCGTTAGCCACTTCCACTACCTCAACGTCTGACATGCAATCACCCCCTTCCTCAGGATGTGACAATGACAACTTCCGTTTCTTTTTTGGTCTCTCTTCTCTCCCGCCCTCCTGTGTCCCTTGCAGCTTCTTTGACTGGCTAGCATCTGGAAGTTGTTCTCGAGGCGCATTGTCTTCGCTTTCAGTGTTATTGCTTTCCTCTTCGTCAGTCTCTTCCTGACGGTGTGCCACATTGCTAGCCTGTTTTGGGGCCGCAGATTTTCTAGCTTTTCGTCGTGATTTTTTACGCTTCAGATACCGCGTTTTCGCCTTGGATTTCCCCTGCCGATGCGGATCATGGTTTACAAAGGGAGCTTGTAGCATATACCACACATACCTTGGGATCTACCACTGGGGTTAACGAGATGCCATCCATCATTCTGTGTCCGTCGGTGCTTGATGCAAGAACTCAAAATTACCGTATATCTCACGTGATCGAGATCAACAACGGACGGCGGTGCAAGCAAGGTTGGTATATCCACGGCGGTCTCGTGCCGGGAACTATGTTTAAACTTAATCAAATAGTTGCAACAACGTTGCCGCCGGAGAGGGTTCATTGGAAGGATGAAGCCTGGTCATTTTGAAATTCAAGAAGGCCGCCACCGATATAATATTTGACCCATGCTGCGGATCTCTGCAGATGTTCTGATTAGATTACTAGCGTACCTCGATTCCGCCAAAATATGATAAAGCCCAGTGACTTAAGTCTATCCACTGCGTCAAGTCAAAAGCACCTCGAGCATGAAGCACAATATCAAGCAGGGATGACACCCCATAACCTAAAGTCCCTACTGCTCGCGCCGACAGAAAACGATATTTGGCCGTCAGGTTTGCGCCAGCCTTGAGCGGCGACGTCCCAGATAGACAGGTCATAGCGCGAGAGCGTGATCGAGATATGCTTCGTGTCATACGGTCCGATTTCGACGTTTGTAAACCCCTTCAGGACTGAAGGAGGTTCGCCAGCTGAAGACGGGTGGTGAATGTAGAGCTGGGGGATCTATTCGAAGTTGAGCGTAAGGGTATGAATGAACGGTTTCACAAACCTCAGTCCCAGACACAGATCCAGTGTTAGTGACCTTGAAAGTGACCTGGAATGCGGGCTCATGGAGCCTGGGAGTGATATCAACCTGCAAATCTGTCACTGGTCGTGAAGATCTCACCAAAGCGCAATAGAAGACCCTTCGGCGATGGGTGACGCCTCCCCGTTCTCCCACCCAGCGATTAAATCCTCCTGATCAATGTCTAATGACTGAATATTAGCCACGAAAAGGTCGGAGTACGAGAACGTGGTATAGCTCAAGCCGAAGCCAAACTCGAAGCGTGGTGTGACATTCGCCTACAGTTCCCCTTATTCAAGACGTGAAAGCGAAAAACAGATTCTGGGAACTCACTTGATCAAAGTGGCGGTAATCGATGAACAACCTGCAAAGATCGTGAAGTCAATCCAAATGGTCTTGGTCAAGTGCACATACCCCTCGGTATAATCAATGCTCAAAATCTCGTTTCCCGAACCACCAGTGATGAGTTGTGCGGGATAATCGGCAGGATCCTTGGCAATAGTATACGGTAGTTTTCCAGAGGGGTTGTATGCGCCATAGAGCACATCAGCAATAGAATTACCTGCTTCCTGTCCTTGGATGCCAGCCCAGACGACGGCGGTGATGTTAGGGTGCTCAATCCAGGGCTCCACAATAAGCGGGCCGACGCTGTTCACGACGACCACGGTGTTGTTGTTCTGTGCGGCGACAGCAAGGACGAGATCATCACCGTTATGCCAGGCAGTGAGGTTCTTGCTGGCAGGAAATGAACATCACCGTCGCTTGAAAATGAGAGAAACGTACCGATCGCCCTCATTGCCATCAATAGTAATATAACCCTCGCCAGAGTCAGAGTTGGTGAAAACCAGAGCGACGGCCTGGCCAAATGCCATATTACCTGCTAGAGCAGTGTTCCAGTCGTCAAAGTCCCAGAACACACTACTGCCGTCCCGGCGAGCACGCTCCTGGATACCCTCGAGGGGCGAAATAAGGTAGGGGAAGTTGCCAGTCCTATGGGGCGCCGCCAATCAGTGTTCAGGAACAATACCAAGTATTTCTGAGAGTCAACATACCCAGATCCCCAGCCCATGGCTAGAATGCCATCGGTGCCACTCGTGTGTGAGAACTCGTTAGGTCCGGATTTGCCTGGACTCGCGTCACTTCCGATAAGCACCAAGTTCCTCGGCTTGTTCAGTGGTAGCGCGCCATTTTGATTCTTCAAGAGGACCATCCCAGCCGCGCCAATCTGCCTCACAAGCTTGTAATGGTCCGCCTGCACATTCGCATGCTTGTTGTTCACTTCATCATTCGCATTGAACGCGTTGAGATTCGTCGCAGGGTAGTTCTCGTCCTGGTGCAGGTAGTACCAAGCAGCGACGATACGCGTTGCCATATCATCCAGGCGAACCATGCTAATGTAGCCGTCGTTCACATAGTCTGTGAGGTTACCCCCGAAGTAGGAGTCACCGGAGTCAAAGGTGATATCGCCGGGCATAGTCATGTCAAGCCCTGCGACAGCAGAGAGGGTCGTCATGGTCGCCGACCAGTCAGATTGAACAAAACCTTGGAAACTATACTCCCGCTTCAAGATATCGTTGAGCATCTTGTCATTGTTGCATGCGTAAGTGTCATTGATGAGGTCTGTGATTCAGACCTCAAATGATCTGAATGGCATAAAACACGATCGAGGCTTACTGTAACTGCACATGACGGACGAAACGCCAGCCATGACGCTGCGCAAGAATGGATGCGCGTAAATCTCGTGTTGAGTCCGGTCATCGACGTTTGAGGATTCCTCAGTGCGGAAGTGCTCCTGTTCGCTAGGAAGACAGGTGGGTGCAAGTGCAAACGGGTGCAATGGAAGACAAACTTGTTTATGAAGTGTTTGGCAGTGGCTTGTACTCCACCTTGCTGTAGGCCTAAGATTGTCTCATACGCAGATTCGCCGGTCAGAAAAGGGTCGGCACCAAAACCCTCCCAATTGCGGCCACCTTGAGCGATGCGGCCCATATTCATCATAGGGCCAAGGGCAATGTTGACACCATTACCCTTGAACTCTTGTCCCAAAGCCAGCCCACGAGCACGCATCAGAACGCGATTCCAGCTGTAACATATGGTAGACATATTACGTTAGCGAGATTGAAGATGACTAACGTGGACGCGACCTGAATTCCAGCTGGGAACACAGTCGCAAAGTGGGCAAAACGGACGGCGAGAGGCGAGTCCTAGCGAATCATGAGACAAACACCTCACACACTCAAGCTACGCACCTCAAGACACAATCCAGGAAAGTTTTTATTGGGCGGGATGTTACCAACGCACAAGCCGTTCCCCCAACCGACCCCAGTGGTAATGTTGACTTTTTCCTCGATGGTGTAATCCGACAACTGGCGACCAGGCATATTCAGCACGAGTCAACATAGTTCATTATAGAAAGTTTTTGAAGATTCAGGATGAAGCTGGAAAGACAATAAATCATTCAAAAGGATGCACTGACAAGGTTCTTGGCCTTTTGGTAGGCAGTGGCCCACGCAGGCCCAAAATTGGGCACAATTTGCATATCACTACTGACATCGGGAGGGCTCAAAGGATCAGTTGCAGGGAAAACCGGGGGGCGAGGGTTGAGAGTAGGTGTAGGGTAGGGAGTAAATGGATAGCTTGAGAGCGGAATGGTGATAACACCAGTTGTGATGGACGCGCCTGAGGTGCTGGCGGAAGCGGAAGACGTTGTAAGGCTTTTTGCAACAATCGATGAAGAACTAGACGAAGTTATCACCGGCGAATATAAGCCAGCTAAAGTAACGCTAAAACTTTCACCACCTGGAATTTGGGGTCTTCCAGCAGGAGTAGAGGACGGACCCAAGGCCAATGCGCCTAGGACAAAGGGAAATATGCACATCAACGACAGCAGCTTGGATAGCATGGTGACTGCACACGAGGATAATCAAATAACCAGTTGGAAGAGCCGGTAAAGGACACTGGGACATGTTATGAACAGGCTGGAACTTTGTACTTAGTAGCTCGAGCCGAACACGAGCCCCGCCGGGGTTGATCTAAACTTGAAGAAGCACTTCCGGTTATGATCCATTGAAATCCACATTACGACGGGGAGTACAAGTGAAGACAGACATTAATTGTTGTAACTCGAGGCTCGCCGAGCATGAAATGACAAGCAAGCTGCAACATTTCTGCCCAATGTGGCGCTTCCCATCAATTGCAATGCTGACCGTACTTTTCTGTACTACCACTTCCACCGAAGTCGTTCCAACTAGACGAACAACTCATAAGCTACCGAGAGAACGAGAAGCAACTAATGATTTTTGTGAGAGTACTAAAATTAATGACAAACCTACGACCTCTGTAGCAAGTACCATCAAAATTCACGAGATAACGGTAACTTCCAAGGGCATCTGGAGACCTTCATGCATCTTACCCTCAACCATGGGTGCCATGAGTCCAGCATTCAATCGAATAACCTCGACACCTGCGGGGAATCGGTACTCGAAATTCTCGATAAGCTCCACGAGCACGGCTTGCATCTCAAGAACTCTGTAATCATGAGTGAGTAATGGTCGGTATCTCTGGTCCTGAACTTACGCAAAACGCCAGCTAATCACAGAAAAAAATCAGAATCACCAATATCATTCAAAGACCATTTCGCTTACCCGATGCAAGCACGAAGGCCAGCCGCTTTGATTTGAACATGTAAGGTTGATTTTCAAGAGAGCAAGGGCATAAATAGCTTACAGAAAGTCATTCTGAGATGTCGGATTATATTAAATAATGACAGATTGTAATAGCTAAAAATACGCACAGATTGGCGAAAACTCCCAACGATGATCTTTCCCTGCTGTCGTCCAGGAAACGGTTTGGGTTCCACTCGTCCGCGTCTTCTCCCCAAACGCTTCGAAGTCTGAGAAGTATAATGTGAGCGAGGGAGCAATTCATGAGCCAATGGCAACCAACCTGTTGTAAGTGCAAATAGATGCTGAAATGCCTTGGCCTTTCGAGATGGGTATTTCGTTGATGATCTTTCCTGACTTGGTCTCAATTGGTTGAGCAAGTGGTATAACATCGTCCGAATCTGCTTCCCGAAGCAAGGTAGGAACTATCGGATGCATCCTAAGTCCCTCCTGGGAGACAAATGAAGTTGAGAATGAAATGAAGGAAACAAGCGTTGGACAAACTTTGATGACGGCATTGGTGAAAGTCATATTATTGAAATCGTTGGGCAGCAAATCATCATCGCCACGAGCTTCTGCAGTCGCTCGTGCTGCTTTAATCTCCTCACGGATGCGCTGCTGATCCTCAGGGTGCTTCGAGAGCTCATATAGCAGCCATGTGAGAGATGAGGCAGTAGTGTCATGTCCAGCGACCAGAATGGCGCTAGAATGTGGCAATCACTAACTGGCATATACTTTCTGATGCTATCACTCACGCTATCTGCGATAATATTTCTCTCTCACTTAGCTGAGATCGTGCGTCTTCCGTAAGGTTGGACTGTACTGAGACACCAAGGCTCATGAGTGATCACGCATTAAGAATACCTCGGCGGGGAACATACCGAGGATGCTGATGATGTCTTTGCTGCCCTTTTCGGTACCAGCTGCCTTTTCGTTAATGATGGTCTTTCCTGTTTTAATGGCTGTTTGCAGGTATGTCGCGAATCGGCTATACTCTCTGGAAGGCAAGTACTTCAAGCAGTTTAGAATCGGTTGAGGAAGGAATCTCCAGATTGACTTGAAGACAATATCCCATGATGATGGGTTCAACAGCGTGTCGACACTGAATGTGAATGTTAACATATGACCTGGCGCAGATAATTGCAAGACGTACAACAGGTTATTGAATGCCTGGACCAGCTCGTTATCGGCTCCGTTGTCATTGAGGACCCCGAAGCGGTGGTCGAAACCGACTGCGGTTCACAGACATGAATTTAGAACCTTGTAAGACAAACGGCGACTACCCACCTTCGCCGATGACATCTAAGGTCATCCTTGATAAAGTCTCATTGACGTTGAGTATATATCCATCAGACTCTTCTCTTAATTGAATCGTGTCTTTCCACTTCTGTGAGAGCTAAATGAAAACATGAAAAAGGAGGTTCCTGTGAGATTTCTTGACTCTCTTACTCGAGCTGCCGAGCGGCGGAAAACAGGCAAAAATGTTCGAAGTTGGGCAGCTCCAAACGCAGGATTCATGATCTTTCTGTGCCTTTGATGATCAATGGCTAGAAGACATTAGCTTCGTACCACAGTAGCAAAGGGAAAAACTCACAATCCGTGACTAAAATACTCTCCCCCGTGAAGAGGCGTGTCGTCTCAGTGGCAACAGTGCTCTTGGAAAACCTATAACCAGATGTATGAAAGACATATTGCAGAGCACGGGGGTCAGCGGTCCAGAGAACCTCCTCCTGAGGCAACTCATGAGCAGTGAAATGCTGGAGGGACGTGATGATATTACCCCCAAACATCCTTTAGTCACCCAAGTTGGACCATATTCACGAGCCCATTGAAACTCTAAGTCCCCCACTTGTTTGGCGTTTCGTAGAACTTTCTCGCTACCTGAAAATGTATATGAGAGATGTCTACGCCTTTGACACGAAGATGTGTTACCCAACCAGAATGACTGCGAAGGAGGCCCACGGATATCTTTCAAAGTATGGCGTCGTGAGTTACGCCATGTTATGTAGGCGATAAATGCGGCCAAGGAGAGAGCTACGCTGGATATCATGCTTGCGGATGAACTAGCTGTTGAACGGCTACGATGCTTTACAGCGCCCCCTTTATCAGACTTTCGACTCCGACGGTATGTGTAAACATTATTCCCCGACGGTTGTACTAGTCGTACGCTCCGGTGGGAAGTACTGCGGGGATCCTAGGCTGTTCGCATAGCCCACCATGGGGATTCCGGTGGGACGGCCTCGCACGATACACGACTACGGAAAAGAAAGATTTTAAACGTCGTAGATTAAATAAGCTCACAGGATTGGCATGATGACATGATCCTGAGAACAAACGTCGCCTCTCGGCAGGCAACGACTTGCCTGGTGGCTTTTAAACGATAAGACTAGTACTTGGCGATATCGTAAATCCAAATTGTCGAATCGAGTCAAACGACGGCTTTTGGTAACACGGGACATAAGTTGAACCAACGGGCACAGGACGATAATTAGTGAGCTGTCAAAGGAGTATATTAATAGATCATGGGCCAAATTATAAGTACTTGGATGCGGTGTACCCTCAGCGAGTAGTGAATATTACGAGCGGTAGGTCAGTGTCGGAGCTAGGTAGATGAAACAACGTTGATCGTTTCAGAAAAAATGGGTCCGATGTGGGCGGAGCATATATCCAAACAATCAAGGTCTGTTATACAGAAGTGGTAGACAGCTAACCATTTTACGATCCAGTAATAATAGTACTTGTTCATATTGTTCTTCCTAGACTATCCAGATCAGTCCGAAGTAAAGAGTCTTTTAAGATAATCGGCTGCCTGCCTGACGCACAGAGCCATCTACCACCGGATTCGCCAATACATCCGTTGCGAGTTGGGCTCTGTGCTTGACATTAGCTGTCTCCTTTGTGTGCTCCCACTCGGCAGCTTCTCTTTCCAGTCGAGCACGCTCGGTATCTCTACGAGTAGCACTGTCTCTATCTTCCCTTTCCTCTCGTCTCCTCAGGTATTCCAACTTCAGTTTGCTATGCTGAACCTGCGCTTGCAAAAGCTGCAAGCATGCAGCCATCATGTTTTGTGGTAAAGCGAAATTAACAACCGACGGGTCATTGGATGGCGATGATTATGCTGGGGAAGACGGCGCGACTCGGGGTATTTGATGGTCCTGCTTCCTGTACCAGAAGCTCATGGGCATTAGTTTTATTTGCAATGGAGGATTGTGGTGTGAAAACGAAAGTAGGAGGGCGTGATTGTGATTGAACTTGCGGTTGCTGAACTTGAGGGTAAGGATGAGACGGTGTGCTCTGAGGTTGAATTTGAGGTTGAAGAATTGGAGTCGGTTCTATTATTTCCAACGGATCGTCATCATCATCTTCACCGCCATGGGAATTTGTTGCCCCTGGGTTGTTATTCTGGCGGTTTGCGGGTCGTGTAGTGGCGGGATCGCCGTTCCATCTAGTCACGATCTCCTAAATCAACCCGCAATCAAGCGAAAAGTAACTCACCTTCTATAGAACAAATCGTACCAGCCTGACTTATGCCAGTGGTCAATCGTCTTGGCACCCACGTTACCGACGTCGCAGCCACCTTTGCGAGCAATTTGCAGTCGCCGTTCATATTCTCGCAACCTGTCTCCTTCAGTCGCAAAGCTGACAAGACCATTCCCCAACTGCGCATGGAAACTCTCGAATGCATAGATCTGCTTAAATAAATTGAAATTTCGTTCGTAACAGCCCTTCAGCGCCTGGTAAGTCTTCTTGCCGCCAAATACCTCGATGGCACACTGTCGCCGAGTGAGTAAGATGCTATCGCACCATCTAGAGTACACACCTCGCGAAGACACGAGTTTTTTGTAGCTCGAAGCGCATTCCAGTGGTCATCTTCCGTCGCGCCCATGAGCCAATTGAATAATTTCGTCTTCTCATCCTCAGTCCAGTGTTTGGAACCGTGCACAGCGTCGGTGTCAAAGGGGTCACCGATGTCGTCCCCCTCTCGTCGTCTTTTACCCGGTTGTGAATTACCATTGGCTGTCATACCATCGGTCTGCTTACGCTTGGACCCACTCGTACCTGGAGTTTCGTTGGCTGGGAGTCCCTGAGAACTCGTGAATGGGCGAAGAATGAGAAGGGCCGGCTATCGGCTGGGCAGATCGTGGAGCACAATTCGGATCCATGATTGTTGGCGGTGAATCAGAAAGTCTGTATCCTCCGCCATCATGGAATGGAGGACGCCCACTGATAGCAGGGGCAAGATGGGAGCCCAGCGCTTGATTCAAACTCTGTATGACGATATCGATATGATATCAATGGCTTTCTTCGTAGCAAGATGTAGCTTACCGAGACATTGCTGACATTAGTCGGCAGGTTTGGGTCTCGCTGAAGATGTCCAAAAGCCATGCTTGGGTCGCTGTGCGGGCATAAGCATCAGAGTTGACATCATGCAAATGGGGGACCGCAGACAAGCGAAAGGGGTGTGGCCATGCATGGATGTTACGAGATAGGACTCACCTGTGAGTTTCCATAGGTCAGGCTGTGAACCACAATGAACCGGCGTGAACCGCTCGCGCTTGCGCTGTGGCTCGGCTTGAGAAAAGGGCGGGCTGTTTGGTTCTAAAGTCGCCGCCAAACAACCGGTCACACAACAATTCGCCTTGTGCCAGTTCGCCTGGGTGGACCAGGTTAGGCAGATCCAGCTCACATCGAGATATATTCTTCCGCTTGATTCCGGCAATACAGCAAGGAACGTACAAACAGTGTAGCAATACGACTAATGGTCATGATATACTAGCAGTAGTGACCTGAATTCATGTAGCACTTCATCCAACCTCGTCGTCTGGCTCGCCCTCAGCATCCAGATCAGAATATTGATCGAGATCGTTAGATAGACCTGCAGCGGAACCACTGGGCACTGAGTCTTGACCAGCACTTTCCCTCCCGGTAGTTTGAGAAATAGGCGAGTGCGCGGCCCTGATGATATCAGAGCCTGCAGAGTCCTTACTTCCTACCCCGCTTGTAGTCTCCACTACAAACAATGTGTCGTCGCTTGGTACGCTGTGCCGACTGGTTATGCCGGTGAGAGGCGTATCCGCCTCCTCCGACTTAATCTCGTCATCCGGTGGTTGCGACCGAGCAGGTGAAGATCGTGTATCTAATTCTGACATTGACGAGGTTGTCTCCACCCGAAGAGAATGAGCACCATTGTTGATGGGACCAGATGATCCGGGCGAATGGTGAGAGACTTGAACATCCTCCTTCTCATCAACTCCATTGGTAGGGGTAATGCGACCGTTGGAGTGGGTAGGACCATCAGGCGGCTCAGCATGGTCTTCCAAACGCTCCGAAGAGGCTTCTGATTCAGGCGTCTCTATCCTCCTGCGTTTGACTCGAGTCAAGGGTCTTGAGGGTGACAGCGAAGCAGTCATCCGCCCGGACTCGGATACTGCCGACAACGCATCATCTGGTGGCTTGATCCATGCACGTCCTCGCCGCCGTTTGGCAGGAATATCAGGACTCGATTGTTCTACCAGCAGCGGAGCAGTATCTTCATCAGTTTCGATGGCAGCACCGTTCACCGCACCATCGATGCCAGTGATAGGGCGAGCCGATGCAGAACGTGCATGTCGCTGGAGGGCAGTGCGTGTGATCGTGTTGCGACTCGACTGCGTTCGCGAGAAGACGGATCGAGGCACCTCGCCTCCTTTTACGCGACTTCGCAACTGCTTCTTTGGTGCAAGAGCTTCAGGGTTATCGGCTATGAGGTCATCAAACAGGCGCGCTGCAGGAGAGTCTGAGGCTTCATGGGTTTCAGCAGGCGATGCCTCAGACTCATTAACGGAGGGCTCTGCAGTTCCAGGGGCCGGAGTCTGATCCTCCATCGGATCAGCGACAGGAGCTGGTGTTTCTGCAACGCCGCTCAAGGCACCCATGCCGGCACCCAGCTCCGCTTGCAGAACTTCTCCACCAGCTTTCGTCCGTGCCAGGACAAACGGCGTCCACTTCAACCGTTCCGGTTTCAGCTTCATGTACCCTTTCTTCTCCCACGCTTCAAGGTAGCGTTCCACCTTCTCGGGATCCCAGGTGATTTGGTATCGCGTAGGGGGAACGAAGGGCGTATTGGCCTTGCTTCCGGCCTCGTCCTCCTTGTTGAGCGTGCTCTGCCGCTGAAGGTGACGGCGCGCAATGCCGTTCTTGCGCCCTCGCGGGAATTTGATGGCTTGTCCTGGTGTAGGTCTCATAGGCGGTGTGGCAGATTGGACAGAGATCATTCCCTGGTCCTGGAGGGTATTATAAATATCTTCAATGGTCATAGATGTACCCTTGCTGATAGCTGTTGATAATGAACGTCAACGCACTCCGTGTTTCAGGAAGGTGGGAAACAAACCTTCAAGGGTCGGGTTATCCGGTGATGTATGAAGGTACCGCATGAGTGCAAGGGTCCAGTAATTCCTGTACCCTAGTTGACCAAGCCCTGAGAGTGGTTTCTCAGGTGACCCGGCGCGCTGTTCCTTCTTGGAGAGAAGGTAACCTGAAGTCAAGTGTCAACCTTGTACCATTGTGACCCTACTTTGAGTGCTCACTAAAGTCGATCAAGAAATTTCCCCATCCCTGTCTCTGCCTGACAGGCAGCGCCATGATACAACTAACGTTGTAATCCTTCGGAGAACACTTCTCCTTGCTGAAGTACCCCACGAAACGCGCACCAACGTCATCAGTCTCCGTGATAACGTAGAACAAGAATGGTTCGACGTCGTAGAAGAGCGACTTGTGATCTAGGAACATCTTCGACAGTAAGCAAAGATTTTGGCAGTATATTTTGTTCTTGCGCCCATCCACTTCGAAGATAGACATTGCACCATCGCGATAAATCTCATCGCCTGGTGGATGTCGTGCTTTGCATTTCATCTACCAAGCAGTCAGCACTTGTATATCCCCGTGTCATAGGTCTAACTCACGCGATGTCGACCAAAAGCAAAACCACTTCTCATATATTTGAGGCAAAATTCACAAAACCACAGTCGTCCATCCGGAATGTTCGAGAACTCTTCAGGAAAGGGAGCATCATACCATGGGTGGATGTCGTACTGCCCGAAGCGAATGGTCCGGATACGTAACGTGGCAGAAGGCACTGGGAAACCCGACGGGGTGGCAGGTATAGTAGAAGGTGTGTGCGGAATCGCACCAGGTGTAGAAGGCCCTGGCGAACGCGTCGGTATCGAGGGAGGTATGGTTAATTGTTGGAGAGTGTGAGACCGTAGGGGACGAGATGAAGGGCCGGCTATCGGAGGATCAGGTGTGTCAGCTGGCGGTGCTGACGGAGGTGGAGGTGCGAGTTTTTCCTGCGAAGAAGAGTCAACTCATTGTTCATGCACATTGAGAGCATGAGGGCAAACCTCAGCGGCAAGGCAACTTTTATCAAATCGTGCTCTGTCAGAATCCGCAATCCCTGTCTTTGACATGTCCCTATCAGCAGGGCTGAGAAGATCCTCGAAGATATTTCTGTCGGGGTCCTCTTCTCGCTCCTTGCCCTTACCCTTCGGAGGTATTCGCAGGCGCACAACGAGTGGATGTGCTGCGGGGGAGCGCAGGCGGATGCGCTTGAGGGGCCGTGGGGTCGGCTGTTCGATTCGGCGCTTTCGCGGCTTCTTTATGTTGGGTCGCTGACGGGGTGTTGGTGCTTGGACAGTATTGGTGTCGTCAGATTCAGAGTCAGACTCCGAAGAGTCTTCAGATGAATCGTCGTCACCATCGTCACCTTCAACGTCCACTTCCGGCTCAGCAGTTGCCTCGTCTGTGTCTTGGGCATCGGTATTTGGGGTGGATGCGACTTCGGACTCCAAAGGAAAGAGTGATGGGGGGCACATTGGGCAGTGCCATGTTCCGGGGGGCATTTCTTCCAATGGAGGTCGCAAACAATCCATATGCCACCCTGATTGATTTGGTAAGTCGTTGTCATTTTCCAATATAATGACGTATGAAACACACCTCGATCGCAAAAGTCGCATAGTAGAATTCTCTCCTGTATCACAATGAATATGAGCTATTTCTGACAATTGTGGGAGCTTACTCACATCATCACCTTTTTCTTGACAAATTTCGCAAGTTTTACATTCCATGCACTTCCAAGGATATGAGCATATAGTGTCTGCGATGGCACCAAGTTGCAAGCAGCTCGGATGTCCTGGTTGTAAGTTTTGTCATCACTTCAATTTGGCCTGGACAACTACACGCACCACTGCGACCGCATTCTTCGCAAGTGAGCATGACCTCCGGTTCACCCTGCTTGTTCTTCTTGTCATCCCCCTGACAAAAGCCGCACTCGAGTTCTCGACGGGGTTTTCGCTTTCTCTTGGGCGGTTTTGGAGGTAGTGGAACGATTTCTTCTGGAATATGCAGATAAGGTGCAGGAGGTTGAGGCGCAAATGGATCGCCACGGGGACCTTGGTCATATTGCGAAGGCTCCTGAGAGTAGTGTCGAGGGTGTGGCGGAATGAAATCCTCTGGAATATGGACGGGTTGGCCCTAATTACAGTGAGTGAGTGGACTTGCAGAAGAAGTTCTAATTACAACACGCGACGCGTTTGGCGCCTGCGCGGTATGACATATTCGGTCATCAAGCATAACTAACCTGCTCCGAAACAATTAATTGAACGGCTTCGTCGCCCATGATAGCTGGGTCTATGAGTGGTGGACCGGCGAGGGCAGGATCGATAGGAATATCGGTAGCAGGACTGAACGGCGTTCCATGTTCACTTGGTACTTCGTTGTCGAAGGTAGCAGCTGCTGGAAATGGAAGACTCCGCATAATTGCATCTGCTTCGCCGACAGCAACGATGAGCTGTGTAGTAACAAAAGGAGGTTTTGTTCGCAGTCGACGTCGTCCACAGCGAGCGACGGCTTCTGTGACACATGCGCGTGACGAGTGGTCAATAAATTATGGTCACGTTTATTAGTAAAATGTATAAATCTAAACCATTATTAGCAAGGTTTAGAATAAATATGAATATAATCCTATATCAATCCTAATATGGTATCTCCTATTCCAATTTTTGACAGATCTCGACCTTGGCGCAGCACAAGTACCGCGTCTCCATAACAAGGTTTCTTGATGCGGCATAGCCTATGATTCAGCTGGGCCAGTGACTTGGTCATTTCGGATCCTTCAGGTGCCATCGGCACCCTTTTACCGTACCACCTGATGTTGCTTACCATTTATCTGTTTGAAGGTCTGAATGAACGATTCCACAGCAATTCACGGAAGAACTTTTTACTTCATCCTTAGCTCTCACGGGTAGGAGTCATGCCGTGAATGTCATCGGCGCGGTTCAGTGGTTCAAGATCATAGGGTTGGTAATACTTAAGTGAATTCGTCAAAGCTGTCGTGGTCGTAAGCGGGACAAACGTGGACCTAAAAACAGGAAGGGGGGATATCGATTTGCCCATGACACGGTTGAGTGACTTGACTCAGTCAGTAACCCGATATATATATATAAAGCGGCGACAGGACGATAGCTCGACTCCGAAATAGCTCCTCGAGCTAGCTCAGTGATATGCCCTCATGGTCAGATACCCTCTGTTCTGGTGAATGATAGCGCGGAATGCCGGGTAATGTTTGAAATGAATAATGACCTTATAAACATAGCAAGCCTGTAAAATTCTAGCAGAACATTCTGCAAGGAGCCTTAGAAGGCCCCGGCACACCGCAAGAGTGAAATTTGGTTGGCGAACTGCTGTCCGTGCGCTGTGTTGTGTCGAGTGGCTAATACTAATTTCTTTTACTTTTGGTAACAAATAAACCCCAACAAAACTAACATTTCATCCTGTGTGTGTTGCGTTCTCAAAGTGGTCGACCGTTCAGCTCCTACGCTGGCTTTCAATCTCCTTCCCTTACAATTCCTTTTCTCTTCTCTACCACCACCACCACCACGGCTACAACATCAGTTTTGACGATGCAGACCGCTCTGCATCGTCAGCTTGCTCCAATGCTACCTCAATATCTTCCCCAATCTCTTACTCTCAATGGCTCAAGGGCCCTCCCAAATCCCACAGTAATGCCAACTCCTCCAGTTACTTCAAGAAAGAGGAAGCGCGCGCATCAGTATACAGTGAGCTACAGTGAAGTTCAAGAGGTCGACGAGGAAGGCAGGGTCCGTGAAGTCATAGTAATTGAGGACACTCCTCCTCCTTCTACAATATCACCAGCAACAACCCATACAAATGTCTTCTCAGCTTCATATCAACCTCCAGTCTATTCCGCCCCAATACGGACGAGAGCCCGTGCCGCTGCCGAGGCACAAACCCTTTCGGCCAGCACTTCGTCCGCTGCGATCGTGGCGCCAGCGCCTAAGAAGAGAAAACGGGAGCCTGCTGATGACTCCCGTGGAATTCTCACAAAGAAGACGGCCGCTGCACTGCACCAGCAGCAGCCCGTGGCGTCGACCAAATCGTGGGCCAGCGGCAGCGGGGCTGCCACGGCTGATGTACGTAATCATCGTTTCATTCCTTCAGAATCGCTTCCATTGTATACTCACGTTCCTCTTCCAGACTGCCAATGGCAACATTCCTTGTGACGATAAGGAAGGCCATTACATTATTGTCCCAGATGACATTATTTATAATCGATGTGAGTCGGCCTGCTTTACCGCGATCATGTACTTTCAACTGATAAACTTCTATCTTGTAGATCGTACTGTTCGTCTGTTGGGGCAGGGAACCTTCGGTAAGGTTGTAGAAGCAGTGGATATCCATAACCAGAACCGGGTAGCGATCAAGATTATCCGCGCTATCCCGAAATATCGCGATGCTAGCAAGATCGAGATTCGCGTACTTCAGAAACTGAAGGAACGTGATCCAACAAACGTCCAGTGCGTATTGGTAATAAATCTTCTACTCGTTTTAAACGTATCTTTCAGCAAATGTATCCATCTATTGCACTGGTTCGACCATCGAAACCATATTTGCCTTGTGTCAGAACTACTTGGCATGTGTGTGTACGATTTTTTGAAGGAAAACGAATTTGCGCCATTCCCTCGAAACCATATACAATCGTTCGCCAGACAATTGCTCGGCAGCGTAGCTTGTGAGCGCTTCGTCTCCTTTGTCTCCTCCAACAGACAAGCTCACGTTGCGTCAGTCTTGCATGACCTTCACTTGATTCATACGGATCTTAAACCGGAAAATATCTTGCTTGTGCGCAACGATTACAGACCAGTTATGGTCCCTGTACCTGGCAAGGTAAGATTTGACGCGACCAATGAGTCCGAGCCCTATAACTTTGCTTGCTTTGTCAGCGCAACGCACCCCCACGGACGAAAAGGATACTCTCTTCAACAGATATTCATCTTATAGATTTTGGATCGGCAATCTTTGAGGAAGAGTACCACTCAACCGTCGTCTCCACGCGGCATTATCGCGCACCTGAGATTATTCTTGGTGAGTGAGACCCTATTCAGGATTCCTCCGACGTGTATTTACACATCAATTCACTCCAGGTTTAGGGTGGTCATACCCGTGTGACGCCTACTCATTAGGGTGCATTTTGGTTGAATTCTACACTGGGGTCGCTTTGTATCAGACGCACGACAACCTGGAGCATCTTGCAATGATGGAGATGGTCATGGGTAAAATGCCCGATCGGTTCGCCCGTCTTGGAATGCGGGGGAAACCTGAGTTCTTCAAAGACGGTGCACGACTGGACTGGCCGAAGCCGAAGGCTTCTCGGCAGAGCAAGAAGGACGTACGAGCTACCCGACCACTTCAGGTAGGACGACCAGTTGTGGGCTGGCTGGGCTTCCCCTAACGACTCCTCACAGGACGTGATACCTCCAACGGACCAGATCAACAAACAATTTGTGGATCTTGTGCGGCGATTACTTGCATTTGATCCTGCACAGCGAATCACTGTCCGAGACGCATTACACCACCCGTACTTTTCTTTTAACATTCCCGAAGAGTTGTAGCCTGTTATCTATATCCACGCTGTAGACTTCCTTAACCTGATCGCGCACTCCGACTACCATCCTGCCGGCCTACGCACTCCACCGCCGTCATCTCACCCTCACAACACTCACTCATTCATCTCACACATTGGAATTGTTATTATGATAATTCAAATCTTGGTCATGTACAACCCTCACCCATCCACCCACTCTCATTCCTGCCTGTTGATTCCCTGGTTTCTCTCTTTTCGTTTTTACCATCAGGTTTCAATCAAGTGTGTCTAACAAGTGCAATAATGTTCTCTACCGCCTCCGTCAAGCAGTATCTTATGTCCTACTCATTTGCACGCGGCGTCTTGCTACACATGTAACATGCTACTTCCACCACCTCGCTCGGAGTTCATGAAGAAAGTACTGCGCAGGAAAAATGACGGAGAATACGACGGTGCAGGCGTTCCTTCACGTCGACCCGTTGATTAATGATTGTCGGCCATCCATTGGTTAGCCCCTCTGGTCCCTGATTTGGCAATGGCTACGGCGGCAATCATAGCGAATGCAGTTATTTCAGCGTGGGGTCATGCGCGTGAGTAGTTGCAGGTTGGTGACCTTTGCTGTGGGCTCTACTGACCGTTCCTGACGCGGCTTACTAGTCTCGCTTACTCGAATCGCCCCTGATTGGTGACAAGTCCTCCGATGGAGGCTCATGGGCCACGCTACTTCCTGATGGTGGGACCATAGCTATAGTCTACCACCTGATCATTTGAAGGGTGGATCCGTGTGGTGAGGTTGTGTGAGACCCTGTGGGTTGGTGGTTATTAAAAGTGAAGCCTGAAAGTGTTGTCTAGCCGAGCTCTTGCTAACGTACTCCTAGATCCTAGTGCAGAGCCCCTGTGACAGCACGTTAACGTGGGTAATGCTAGAAACAAAGATCGTGTTTACGGTGTTCTTGAACACATGTACTGCTGAGTGACAGACGTGTGCGGACTCCCCAATGCCTGTGAGCATAGCAACCGCTTCGGTGGCCACCTGTCTGTGTCTGCTTGCAGTCCACAAGCGGACAATGACCTCGACTCTTGAGCACACAAGCGCATATCATTAATTTGATACGACACCGCAGAGTGCTGCATATGATCAACCCAAGTGGTGTTGCTGTGCGAACATATCATATTTGTTTTGCTTCGATCTTGGCGCTACACAGCCCATAAGCGACGTCTAGCATCAAGGGCACGCTGTTCCCTTGTCTTCTTCTGAAGGGCACCAGTACAGGTTTTTTGTCGCCAACAAATGTAACGCTTCGTAGCCGTGAAATATTCCATAACCATGTCCAATTACCGGCATCCAGTCACATATGCACGTTGCAAGGGTGGGCAAGGTCGTTATCACACGCAACATCAAGAGGAAGCCTTAGCTTGAAAGGCCGAGCACTTTCTCTCTGTAAAGGCATGTATCCTCACAGCCAGGCATCCGTGTAATATGCGTGGTTTGTCGGTTCTTTAGCCACACTGATCAGCATAGCCTCAGTCGGATCATCTTGTTGCCTGCTGTGAGTCTAGGGCAAGTTTTCACGGACTTGGAACATGTACGTGTCATACTCAGGTATGCGATATGTACATGCGTCCAAAAGCGACTGCCAGCCCGATGTTCCAGGCGTGTTAGGGGGTTCAGCACTAGTCTGGTCTCGCATACAAAGGTGGTTGTGCAAATGTTTGGAAAGCGACACGCTAGAGTGTCGACTGGATATCTGGCCATCCTGGTTTCGGTTGTGTTTTCTCACTAGAGCACACTGAGAAGAGGGGAGGAACAACTCGTCTTACATTCGTCTAATGTCCGCCTAGGGAAGGCTGACCGGTGAGAAGTGCTTTGGCCAATTACCAAACACATAACGTACCTGATCTCCACCGGCAGCTATTGCATCTCCCTTGGGCATGACAAGTAGGATGCGTACAATGAAACACGAGTTCTAAGCTCACTGCCAAGGTCCGCCAGCACTGCAAGCCCTGGAAACGGACCGCACAGTACTCTACAGTACTGTGTGCAACCATACATCAGCGAAATATGCTGGCATGTATTCTTCTAGTACTTTTCGCTGTCGTTTGGGTATGCAGGCCTGGGGAGCGGAAACGGTATGATGTGCACCGCGACGAGCCCTGACTACCACCGCACAGGGCATAACGGGTCATCGGAGAGTGGAAATATCGGCGAGGGCGTGTGATTCGAAGGAGAGTGCGGGAAGTGTAAGCTGGGACCCGAACGGCCACCCGGTGGTGCAACAGAATGATCATAAGACAGCATATGTTCCGAACATACGAGTATACCTTAACCAAGACAAAGATAGCAAAAGTTGTCTCATCCTAAAGACATAACAATCCACGACTTCACGCCGTGTAGTTTCAGATTCGAACAACCAATGAAGAAACCAGTGTTTAGGTGACAGGAACCATGAAATAGCCTACTTGACCCACTTTTCCCCAGCCATGTGGGGTCTAGTACCATCCGCGAAAAACAAAGGATATCGGCGACATCTCGAGCACCAGCATAGGAGCGACAAAGGGGGAAGAACTCAACCTGCTCGGCCATTGACCGCCGCTTAACGCATACTCAAGGGCGGATATTATCTCGGAAACCACTGGCACCCACGGCTTGGCGGAGGAACGTATGCCAGGCTTACCCACCTCATCGCACGGTCGGACCCGCAGAACAGAAGAATGGGTTTCGCCCGGTTCGCAATCTTGCCGGAAGTCAAGGATGGCATCAAAGGTCGCTGCGGGATGAGGAACAAATCCCCATTCATCGTATACAACGTATTCGCGGCAGGTTGTCTCAAACTGTGAAAACTGTACGAGCCCAACAAGATCACGCGTGGCGGGGCCCCATTGGGAGACAAGCTTGATCATCTTGGGCACCTTGTCAGGTCCAAACACGGCATGGCCGCGCGGAATATTTCAGCGTGCTCATATTCAGATGAAATAGCTTGTCACATACGCAAGCGACACGAGTTCATCATTTGGTCATACATCCATTATGACACGAAGTCCATGTCCCCTAATCGATGTCTTCCGCTGCACACTCCGAGATGATGTACTAGTAGCATGTATGATCCGACTATTGGCATCGAATAATGTCATTGCCAGTGTCGCTATAACGTTGCTTGAGTTGGACAAACAACAAATGTCGGAGTACTTCTGAAATGGAACTCGGATATACTCGCTGTGAACCGAAACGCCGCCATCGTAAATCAGAAAGTATAGATTAGGCAGGACATGAAGTGTATTGGGTAGATCAAGTGACATGCGATGCAGAACAACAAACAGGAGGAATAATGTCTTGCCTGTGGAAATGATGCCTTTGTCAGGGGGCAAGTAAGGGTGGAAAATACACTGCGTTACTAACCAATTCCAGGACGTCCCTGGAGAGAAAAATACCGCGAGTATGACGGCTCATGAGAGTGTGCAAGTCAGTGCAGTCAGGTATCTGTGCAATGATGTGGAGACGAGTTGGGTCTATGTCATTGAACTCTTCTGAGACCTCCTTGTAAGAAGGGAGTTTATCTGCAAAGTTGGACAGTTGACCGAGGGAAATTGCGCGATCTGCGAGAGTAGTTGAACATCCATATCCGGTTTCCGCTATAAATCCAGGTACTTGGGTAGGCTTTTATTGCAGAACTCGCCTTCCAAAGCACGATATTTTGTGACCAAAGTCCATGGAAAGGGCCGTGCTTCGCCGTTGCATGAATATGATTCTTCAAATGGGATATGGTAGAATGTTAGGGTAGATGAACAACGAAAGGATTGATGTCGTCTTCAAGTAGACACCAAAGGTCGATATTGACGTCCATTGTAAGGATGAAGTTGGAGGCAGAAGGAGTTCAAGTTGTGAAGGTGTGGCAAAATCTTATATCACTGCGAAATAAGCACTAATCAACCTACTATGAATCCCTGCAGAGGGTATCGAGTATTACTAGTTGCCATGCAATGTTTCTTCTTTGAACATGGTTTCTGCATGCAGTGACCAGCCGGTGCTTCACTTAACCTGTATGGACACTGGACAGCCTGTATTATAAGTCGGTGCACATGTGAACGTGAGAAACCTGCCCTAGAGTCAAATTTCATAGGAGACGTTGGTGCCGGGCTTTCAACGTCTTGAAACTGACCGTCGACCACATTTACGCATCTTTCTTTCTTTTATCTTGCTTCATCTAATATGCGTCCTTCGACTTACATTGCACGCGGTCTGAGCCTTGCCACCCTGTTGATGGCGCTGGGAGTCTCCGCTTGTGAGTTTGCTCTTACTCCACCGAATAAGTCTGAGAATTGATTTCTTGTGCAGCTCCGGAAGATCCTGAAATACTTATTGAAACCACTTTCCCAGAGAGCAACCCATTTGGTCGTACGTCCTGCACTTCTTACTCTGGTTCGCGAGGTTTGACACGTAGTTCACAGACGTGGTGAACGGAGAGCGTAACCAGATTTTCCTCGTGGTTGAGAATAGGTCTGACAAGAACGTGACCTTGCAATCGGTTGCGGGGTCGTTCCATCATCCTGAGACTGGAGCACTTATTAAAAATGTTCGTCGGCGCCATGTCGTGTCATTTTATGCGCAGCTGCTGAATATTATATCGTCAGACTTCTTCACTGACGTATGGTTTCCCACTACTTGAGGGTTCAAAACTACAGATTCCTTACTCTTTCTACTCTGAGTGGGTTATATTCTGCTCTTTCTTTGCAAGTGTCATGTGCTGACGAGTTTCATTGCAGATTCAAGGTATGACCATCCCAATATTTTTCGTTCCCATTTTTCTCAAGAGTGAATCAGACAGGAGACTTGAGACTCAACATTTGGCTGGAGCACACCTCCGATGTAAGTGCATCAAATTCACAACTTCAATGCTTACAAACATATCTTCCAGGACGACAAATACCGCGTGACAGCCTACGACTCAGTGGTGACGATTGTTGAGCCAGAGCCATCGTGGTTTGATTTCAAACTGTACGAGAAATCACCTCAAATCTGTCGGCCTTGGTGCTTACCGTTCGTCCATAGCCTTTCTACTTACCTCATAGTTTTCGCGGCATTCGTGGGTCTCTCGTATGCAGCATATAATGCCTATGTTCCTTCGTCGAAGCCGAAACGCAAACGCCCAGCTGAGGTCGGTGCGCCTGTTGGCACAGTGACTGCCACTGGTTCGAGTGGCTATCAGGAAGAGTGGATTCCCGAGCACCACCTCAAGAAGACCAAGGGAAAGAAGACCAAGGCTGAAAATCCTGCGAGCAGTGAGGACTTGAGCAGTGGTGAGGTCAGTGGTATGGATGCAAAGAAGACGAGGAAGGGGAAAAAGCAATGATGGGCGGAGCAAACCAATTGTCTACTACTAGACAAGCACCTTTGCATCTTATTCGGAGTAATTTATACAGGGATGGTGATCCTCTTGGCAGCATGCAGCGTATGGAAGTGTCCCAACCATGATGTAGTTCCACCACCCACTTGAACACTGACGGCACATCAGTCAATGCTGTGTAGTTTGAGTGGTCAATTCTAAGAGGCACTAGGATAGTAAGACGATCTAGAAGTCAATCTTTTTGTAGCCCTTGACCTATGAATCCCCCATTCAGTGGTAACAGTAAGGATATGCGGACACCACGTACCTTATTCTCCTTGAGCATCGACGCATACTTGTCTGACAGCCATTTGCAGTTCTCCTGGTGGTTGACGCCCTCATGCCGGTGACATTTCACGAGCTCGTCGCGCACAAGCCGAGCTTCCATGGCTTTTACCCAAGACTCACGAACGAACTCTTCGCGTTCTTGGATTTTTGCTGGTAGATTGGATCGCAGGTTAGTAGAAACTTTGGCTAAAGAGTAGACTGAATTCATACATTTTATGAGCTCAGCTTTATCTGCGTACTCGGACATGGTCGCGGTAGAGGATTGTTTGGGTATTGTTTGTACCTCCAAGCTTCCGGTTCCATAATGATCCGTGTAACAGCTTGGCTGCGTCCCTTATAAGCCCTGGCTTCCATCATTGTCTTCCCTTGACATATTCGAAACACCCAAAGCAATTCGAAACTGAGACATGGATCATTCTATGTTCCTTTGGTGCCGGTTCTTGCAATGCGAGCTGAGAAATAGCGCTCCGCAATGTCGCACTTGCATTAATATTTAGTCGTTTTGTTCCTTCCGCGCCCCTGCTCTTGTCATGATCTTTCTTCCTGAACGTTGATCTAATACATTTCTGTATGTTTCTTGGTGTCTTGTCTCACGGTTCACATTTCCGATTATATCTGCATTCCGATCAACGCAAGATCAACGCCACCTTTGTCCCCGTTAGAGATATTAATTTATGGATTCAGCGCGGTCCACAAGGCGCGGTATCATTTAAGGCCAGTATCAACGCGCGCTTGAGCATTCGTCGCCATGATGAGCGCCCCTCACTATCCAGAGCCGACATGGATGCGTGTATCTGGTCGCAAAACCCCAATCTACACGAGGTATTTGTGGTTTACAATACCCTATACCTTTATCCTGATGTTTTTGTCTAAAGGCCATTGCTAGGCTCTGAGCTATTCGACGACCGAACCAGTGTTTTGCTTGATGGGTAGCGCCATTAAAATCATTTATCGCTTAGTTGTGCTCACTCTTCCTTTAGTATGACCGATGCATGTGTTGGCTTCACCTTTCGGAGTCTCTATACCGCGGATGAGGTGAAGCAACGTGCACGCAATGCCTTCGGTAGACTTCGGTAATGGTTCTTATGTCTTCAATGCATGATATGTTCTCACGTGAAATCAGGTTTGCATGTCCTATCATTGCAGCCAGCATGGTGGGCGATGTTTCCGGTCCTATGCCGAGATCCTGGGTATATGCGCCTGTACAAAGCCTGTCGGAGCTCACACACTGGATGAATAATGCATTTTGTACCGTGCAACGTGGAGACGATCTGGATGTCAACGCTTTCGTCGAAGATATCAGCCAACGTCGTCTCCCTTACGAGCTCCAGAACGCAAGTCCCCTCTGGTTCCGTTGCTATCTTCTCTTGGGCAACAGAAACAGATATGGCCTCTATTTTCATGGTCCTCATGCTATTATGGACGGCGGTCCGACACTCAATGCATTCGCACTCATGTTTCAATGGATGACGAATGATACCATCGAGCCTGCAGAGAAATTACCCTGGGGGACAGAATGGTACAATCTGCCCCTTGGTCCTGTTGGTGCCACAGGTGGTCCGCGTGAAGATTGGGATATTGCAGGCGTCGAGCTTCTGAAGCAACTTTCAGACTCCGAAGCGGTCCGCACGGTTAGTTTTCGTACGTGCTTAAGCCGTTGTCCCCCCTTCGACCAAGATTTCTGCAGGTACCTTTGGATACACACCCGTCTTGGATATCTCAGAGTGCCATCGGAAAGACATGTAGACTGGAGCGAGTTTTCGACCCGGCATTGACGCGTAGGCTAGTCAACAAAGCGCGGATCGTCGATTGCACGATGTCCCATTTGTTTGAGGCTGCACATTGCATGGTGCTGCTCTCCCGCAACCAACTTCCACAATCTATGTGGGACGCCTACCACTTTTCAGCCAACTCCTCCGCGTGAGTACCCCTGACTACGAGATGTAGATTTGCTGACGAAATATTAGCGCCTCGCTGATTCCGCACCTGAGACTACCTTACGATACGAAGACACATTTCATCTCCTCCCGCACGCATTTACCAGTCCAAGTTCCCATGGCCGAAATATCGTCTATAGTTTTGCCCAGCAGGCAACTCTTGCGAATTGCCCAAGCCCTGGAGCAAAGATGCGCTAGGTTTGCTACACATCCTTGTATACCCCACGTTCAGGCTGCAAGGGCATATCAACCCGACGCTCTGTCAGAACGACCAGCCTTCGTGAGTTCCGTCAACAACGTTGGCCCCATCGAGCGGCGACTGTCGTTGTTGTGGAAAGGAGGGCACGACCCTGAGCCAGTGATTGAGCTGGAATCCGTGTTGTTTTCGGTCAGGCTAACTTCTTTGGCTCCGTAAGAAGTTTGCACTTCTACTCATTGGGTGTGTCTGAACACATTAGCAGAATAATCCATCTATGGACCATGAACGACAGTCTACATGTTCAGATTCAAGTACGCAAACATTTCCTACTTCTTGTTAGGGGAAGAAGCTTATAAATTTTACAGGCAAATGACGCCTGGCCAGAAGCAGACTTACAGGACCTTCTGGACGACATCTGTTGCAGAGCATGTCTCGTTCTTGAAGACTTCCCCCAGAATCCAGAGAGCCACTCATCTGACATGTCCTTGAATGAACGAAGCAGACTTTGACGTTGTGAAGTCCCTCAGATCACCTTTCTGAGCGATATTGCCACGTACGCGCGAGTACTATAAATGCTGCAACTTACTTCCTGGACCATTGGATTGTGCCAACTCGCCGAAGCTCCTTCATTCCGCGTCGGTTGAACTTTCGGATGGTAGATGTTTTGTCGGAGGGAGCATTCTCCATATGCAATGTTCGGGTCAGCGGACTAGATGCATGAGATGTCGAGATGCACGAACTGGCGATAACCAATAGTACCCACTTCTGACGTAGCGGGAATTCAAAAGAGTCACAGATTTCTTTGCACCTATACACAACTCTGAGTCTATATACAACATATGGGCGCTGTCGCATAGACCCCTTGGCTCTTTGCTCCCCGTCCAACAAACACTGACTCACTGAGATTCTGCCAATATAATATACCAAGAATTGTTACTATTATCTCCCTAATCTCATCTGCACCGACCGAAGGTCTTCGCTTGTATATACACTACTATAGCTCCTGGAGAGCAACAACGTTTCAACGCTACCCGACCCATTAATGACAGCCATGTCCTTGTTGACAGTGGCAACGCAGCCCTCAGCGTCTCCATCACTCCTGACCATTTGAGTCTTAGCTTATCCGACGTCATGCAAATGCATGCGCTTCCAGATTTGCAGATCAGGCTCCAGGAATACGCTGAGCGGCACACTCTCAACGCCAATGGGATCTTGTAGGAGTTCTGCATCAAGGTGTGGGCAAAATTCCGTATTCGGCTGCGCTCGTCGTTTTGTCCATCAATTACCTAGCCCAGCTAAGTTGTCCAAGCGCCTCCATCAGATGTCCTTCAGTTTAAAAATTGTGATGCCGTGGTCTTGAACATGGACCAAAGCATTGATAATCCAGGCTGTAGGTATTTTGCGTGCTCGTGGTATGTGTACTGACGTCCATATAGATTCTGTCGCCCAAGTTCGCGCCGTATTTCAACTGAGTCTGCATTCGCAATCAAACGGCGAGCTTTCTGGCTTCCTGTCAGACCCCCTGATTTATGTCTGACCATTCCGTATCGTCGCCCGACCAGAAGACCTCTCAGACACCCGACTGTGGAAGCTCGAGAGAGCTTTAATCAATATACCATCTGCTGGTCAGCCGGTGGTGGCCGTGGCCCACGTAGGGTTTGTCGCTCCTTTCAGGGAGGTGGGTCGAGCGGTGGAGCTCGTGCCAGTTTACGGTGCAAAGGCAGATCGCAATGTCACATCGTCGACGTCTCAAGAATTATACGACCAGTTTTACTTGAATAGTTACGACAAGGAGCTATACAATCCTCGCATGAATCTGCAGACATGATAGTGGAGTAGCTCACTCGATGACGAAGCTTTTCTCTCATGTGCATGACAACGTTTTCTCTAATCACGATGTTTTCTGTGTTCTGGGCGACGTCCAGTAATGCGTAGGACATGATAACACTATTCACCCGGGATGTCATAGGCTTTGCGGGGGAACTATCGGGATTGCCCGATATGACGCTACCTACCGAGACCTAAATTAAGCAGTTGACCTCCTGACATCCTTCCCTGACGGCTTCCGAGTCTTTCGGAGTCGTGAAACCCAGAAGCGTCGAACTTGTTTTATAAAGCTTTGTAAATTAGGAGTCATGTCGAGCGAGATATCTTTCCCGCTCTCACTTCCGACAGTGGACTCGCTACTGACCATCACACACCGTGAGTGCAAGTCTTCGTATGCGTGTTCTAACAGAGTCTGAATACCCAGGATGCATACAGCTCAACAAGGAATCTGGATAATTGAACTGCACAATGGACAGGATTCCCGCCTGACAACACGAATGATCGACGAGGCATTGCGGCCTGCATTGGACGTGGTTGAACGCAGCTGGTGCGCTATGCGCGACAAACAAACAAGCGACGGCAAAGATAAGGATAAGGGATGCGGTACTCTTATCATTGTTGGAAGGAGAGACCAGGACAAATTCTTCAGCAACGGATTTGACTATGAGACGGTTAAGGGGAACTCATCCTTTTTCAATGGTATGTATGCACACTGCATTTGACTTTGCTCAAGCACGAACCATATCATAACAGACACTGCGAACCCCTTATTCGCACGTCTTCTCACATACCCAAGTGCGTGGCTGGTTCGATTCGTAGCGTTCTGTCATTCACCTGTCTCATTGCAGTTCCAACTATAGCAGCGATTAATGGTCATGCATTTGCTGCTGGGATGATGCTCTCCCTCGCTTGCGATTACCGAGTTATGACTGACGGCAGTAGGCGAAGGGCGTGGATGTGCATGAATGAGGTAATGAAGCCAGGAGACTAATCCTCCAAATTGCTTATAATTCTCAGATTCATTTCGGCGCACCAATGCCTCTGAGTTTCACTGCAATTATCAACGCAAAAGTGGGCTCACCAGTGATGCGCAGGCGGGTTGCGCTCGAGGGGCATCGTTTTACGCCATCAGAAGCTCTGAAAGCAGGGATAGTCGACCGCCTTGCGACCTTCACTGGCACAGGTGTAAGAAACGGAACGGAGAAAGTCCTGGAGGAGGCAATGCAAATGGCTAACGAAGTCAAGGTATTAGCGAGCCAAGGTGTTTGGGGTGCAATAAATGTTCGTAAGATAGCAATTCGAGCCTCATTTTGCTGACACGACAATTTTTGCAGACGAATTTGTACAAGGATTGCCTGGAGGCTGTACATTCCGATGATCGAGCTCATAGAATGTTACCGAACAGAGAGGCAAAGCTATGATATGATTTGTCACCCACAGTACGACTATGAACGTTGTGATATTGAGAATCGATGTTGGTGGTGAGACTGTGGGGTACTGGATGTAGGTGCTGGTGGCGGGCTGATGTCCAGATGGACGTGAGAGGGCGCTAATCCGCCCTAGGGAACAATCCGCGCCTACATCAAATCTACGCATGGCAACCACTTATTATGCCTTAGTCGCAACAAGACAAAGCTCTTGATCCCACAAACAGCTGAGCTTAACATTTCCGTTCCTAAAAGTCGGCACCTAACGCGTCTGTCTTTGAACTTGGGACTACTCAGGAACAAGAAAGACAAAAAGGCTGTATGTACTCTGGCCGTTTGTTAGTTGTTCCTCGTCTTCATGTATGAAAGGACGTCTCGGCAGTATCCAGGTCCCCATCGCGGGCTGTCGGGTCCGTGACAAGGATCAGCATAAAACGCGGTCACATTTTGTTCCAAGAGTAAATGGTGGCAACATACCTCGGAATCAGAATCTTGAGCCTTGGCATCAAGATGAGGGTTTAATGAGACAAACGGATGGGAAATCGATCGGAATTGACGGCGTTTCATTTGTCACCTGTTCCTCTGGACCGACCTTCAGCAACACGTCCTTGGGCAAGGTGAGTTGAAAAGAAACGGGAAATGAAGGAGAACTTACCTCTGAAATCGATCCCCCTCCACCTTCGTCCAAACTGTTTTCTGGCCAGCCAAAACCAGATGACTTGTCTGAGTCTGCAATCATCTCCCTCCATACCACGCTTAATCTTATGGATACTTCCTTTCCTCTCTTCGAGCGCTATCGGGTCACATTCGCACTCCGCAACATCGGGACGCCAGCAGCCGTGGACGCACTGGCATCAGGATTCTCTAATGACAGCGCACTGTTGAAGTCCGCTTCTTTTCAATTTTTGGCTTCTTCACAACGCTGATTCCTGAATCACCCACTCCAGGCACAAGATCGCCTTTGTTTTCGGCCAACTCTTGAGCGCACATTCCGTCCCCTCGTTGCTTAAAGTCCTCAAGGACGGATCATTTGCTCGTGCCACACCGATGTCCGTTTCACTCTGACGTCAATAATTCCCATTGCACTCTACACCCTCAGAGTGAGTTTAAATGGAAATCTTAAACACTACGGAAGACTAGGGAAGATTATCTAACATAACTGCATATCGATCATTTATCCCGGCCGCTCCTGCAACCTGCTCGAAGATATCATCATCATCCAATTAAATTACCCTTACCTCTTCCTCCTCAGATTTCGCCCTTTTGGCAGCGCTTAGACGATCTCTCCGATGAACGGCTTCGTGACCAACGTAATGGAGGCATTCACATATATCACATCCCAACAGACCTGATCCATCCCGCGCGGTGGTTCAAAGAGCGGATACTGCGACAAAGATCTGTTCTTTCACTGTCCAAGGGTGCGAGACACCGACGACCAAGGAATGCTACCCTTGCAATGAAGGCAAACCCAGATGAAGGACTCCAAATCATGCCGATACAAATGCTCGACATCACCACTCAGAGTTTGTCTCATATGAAGATCAAGCGACATGAACGGAATCGTGCCAATGCGTTCTTTACTTTCATGACAAACGGAAGTAGATAGCGAGGCGAGGTCAAAATCGTTCAATATACCTATAGTTCTGCCGCCCTCGGTCCTGTAGAACATCAAGTTGCTATAGTTGACATCATGATGGCAAACACCCCCTTTCCAGAGGTCGCGATGGCCTAGAGTATACACCAGTTCAGCAGTAGATGGGGAATGCGACGGAAGACGCACAAAGGATGCAATCTCGTCATACACTTAAAAGCTCATTGCCCTGAAGCTCCTTGGTTAGGCGAAACTTGCAAAATATTGAGCATCCGTCTACCTTTGGTGGGCTCTGGGGTACTTAGCGCTTGATGAAAGACGACGAATGCGCAGGCTTGTGAGACCAAACCAAATTCTGCTGCTCCTAAGTAAAGTTCAAAGTGTGCCAGGAGGTGTTTGCCATGGTTTGTGTAGCTGATTGGTCAGCAGTGTATGGCATTAAAACATTGAGCTCATCGACTCGTCAGAGGTAGGCTGAGCCGCTCTTGATCTACACCGCTCCAGCACTGCCGCCACTCGGGAGCTTACAGCGGTCCTATTTACCAGCGTGTACAGACTCGGTAGGGATCACAGCGGATCGGCCTGAGGATACAGCAGCTATGACGCTAACAATATTCCCTTATCCTGCCCTGCTTTTTTGATGGGCCAAAGGCACATACGCATGGTCATAACACTGCCTTGTTTATTCGCCAGGTCCGATCTATTCCTACGCACTTCCCTCGTCGGGCACCAATTGAGTTACAAGTGCTACGGTAACGTAGAGCAGGACTTCAAAATAGTCACCATCATGATCATGTCTGGCATGTGCATGTACAGCCTGGCTTCCGTGCGATGTCAAGTGGGCTCGAAGGGTACTGTATGCATATATAACCTTCGGCGTTACACTGCGAAGTTTTCTGCGCGCTTTTACAATGTCGACATCACTCCTCCCTCCCCCGGGAACAAACTATCTTGCAACTATTCAGTCATCTATACCATTTTTACTGACCGGCACGGTATTGTCATCGCTCCTTATACCGATCCTCATTGCCTTGCTCGTGTTCTCGACTCCTGACACTCGCCGTCATCCGAACTTCGTCCTCAACGTTCTTGGAATCCTTCTGGGCCTAGCGGAGGGTGCGGTCAACATCTACCTTATGGTTTGATACTCGATGACCTTTGCAAAGAATATACTGACGACTGAGGAAGGTTCATACCATGCTTTCCCCGACAGTGCCAGAGACAACGGCAGCTCTCACATCGATGCCCGCTCTCACTTTCTTCGGGCCTCTTGTGGTCGAGAGTACGCTGGTGATACGTCTCGCCGCAGTGTATCCTCGGAGATCAACTCCCAAGGTCAAATTCTGGTCGATCCTACTTACTACTATCAGCTTGAAAACAATTCGCTCCGTCAATGTATTCATCTTTCTCCATCGTTATGTTATTGCAATCAGTGGTGCTGGAAACCCAATCTCCGCAGGCGACTCTTTATGGGGAAGCTGGCAAACGAAGCTCGAATGGATCCTGCAGGCTGTCGACAATGCGTCAGTCAAATCATGTAATTCTATTTGTGTATATTAATGTCGTCGATTCAGATTCGTGTCATTCATGTTTCTACGTCGTCTGCCTCGCAATACAAGCGATTCTGAAGGAGCTGTCCGGTCAAGTACGATGTTTGGTTAAACCATCTTCCGCATATCCTAATTCATTTAATAGAGGCATTAGCTACTCGCCTTCGAGGACTCTTCCTCATCGCACTGTCCAACTTTGTGTTCCCCGTTATCCTCAATCTCATCCAACTCGGCCTTGTTTTTGGCTCGAAAGCCTCGTTCTTCCAGACGAGTCTTGTGTACATGGTCAATAATTACGTCAATATCATCGGCGTCGTGTTTGCCACAATATGGTCGATTGGCTCACGTAGATTGGAGGAATCCCAAGCTCCTCCTAGATTGTGGGCTAGCGAAGCCAGTACCATTACTTCCAAGAGGGTGCACTCCCCTCGGGGTAGCCAGAATTTCAAACCAGTCAACTTGGCGGAGGGCTTTGAATTTGGGGTCAAGGAGCCACGGACAGCACCTTACACTGCATCTCAAAGTGATGATGGGCGTGTTTAAATTTTTCGCTCTTTAATGCATAATTTATTTCATTTCATACTCAAGATAGAGCAGGGATGTATGATCACTCGGAGTTACATCCACCATCCACTCTTTAATGCAGAATTTATTACATACTCAGAATAAAGTGGGGATTTATGGTCACTCGAGAGCGGGATCGGCTCATTTGCTCCAGGAAACTTGGTCACGGATTCCACAGACGGACAGGCAAAGACGTCTGGCGAGCGGGCAGCCTGTCATCCGTGGTGATCAACAGGTCATTGAGCTCGTCTGAACTTTTCGGGAGTGAATCAAGGCAGGGTAGACTCTATCCTGATTTCACTTCCAAAACCCCTTGTTCGCAAGTGTTCTCACATACCCAAGTACGTGGCTGGTTCGATCCGCGGGTTTCGTTACAGTTCCGACGATAGCAACAATTAGTGGTCGTGCATTAAGCTCTGAGAGTAGGATAGTCGACAGCCTTGCGGACTTGTCCGGCACGCCGGGTGTAGGAAACGGAACCCAGAAAGTCCTGGAGGAGGTAATGATGAAACTTTTATCTGGCTAATGAAATCAATATATTAGCGAGCCGGGGTGTTTGGAGTGCAATAAACGTTCGCAAAATACAGTAGTGCGAAGCCGATAGACGTACCTGTACATGATATTCCGATAGTCGAGCTCATGGAGTGTTGCTAGACAGAAAGGCAAAGCTATCATATGCATCCATCATCCGTAATATGATCGCCGTGAACGTTGTGATCAATTGGTCACTGCCAGTGATGTACGGGAAGCCATCGATGTGCCAGGGCGATCAGACTGTCACTGAGAGCGGTGTTGCTGACGATATTTAGTGACTCGTGTGATCCAGGGATTGTTATATGTATCATGCCCACGCTGATGGGGAAATCTGCTCCTACACATGTCGTTCTGAATACCATATCTTGGTCAGAAAAAAAACACGCAACTCGGTTGGCTAGGATATGCCATAGGCTAGCATTCCCAATTCCAACAAGCGGCAGCCTGGAGCCCGTTGTCTTTGCGTTGTTTTGTTGTTACAGTAACGTGGTGCTGCGAGGTGCTGCGGTGCTACCGTTGCGATCTTTTGGGAACAAAGAAGTTCGATCGCTTATGTGATGGTGCCACGAAAGACAAAAAGCTTGTTGCGTATGTTTGTTGTATATGCAATTGCAACAACAACGTATAAGAGTCTTCAAAGATTGGCATATCCATGAAGTTACCCACTTTAAATTGCGGTTCACCCAGACATCTTCTACCTCTGGCCTGGCGCCGTACTGTCCTTCATTCTTCTAATAGTTCGCCAGTCGATCTCAAGTTCTTTCCGTTTCGCTAGCTGTTCTAGTTGTCGCTAGTCGACGTTGCTTTTACTGATTATTTTCACTCTTTTGATTTTTGCAAGCAAGTCCTTCACGCGTGATGCAGCTGTCGATCATTTTCGCTGTGCTATTGTCATGCATTTTGAACAGCACCCCCTCTGATGCAATCCCTGCAATGGCGCGTCACCAGGTACAGGGCCGGGCTAACCCAATGATGGTTACAATGCCGCTGAAGCGGTTATACGTTCCACGGACCGACGTCCACCCACAACTAGTAAGCGAATAATCATTGCCTTCCCTGGATAGTAGCCCCTGACCCCTTGATGGTACAGATTCTTCAACAACACATCAATCGGGGCAACAAACGTCTTGCGCGTATGACTGGGCGTTCAGAACCTGCTGAACATGAGCTCCGTGCAGAGATGCACAAGAGGATGTACCTTCTCGAAAGCGGTCCGGGCTCACGTAGCAGCGACACTACTGAGGCAGGAAGCACTTTTAGCAGACGGCATTTGCGTCATTCCAAACCTGCCACAGATGCAGCAAGCAATACTTCCGTCAGCAACACTGGTACTAGTGTCGTTTCCCCTCTCGACATCCAGGCTGCTCAAAATGGTGGTCTCACTGCTGCTAATAAAACCACTGCTAACAATACTCTTGGCCTCGCTATCGAGTAAGTTCAGTCGTTCTTCCGCCTGGCTTCATAAACTCATGCTCGCGCAGAGCGGATGATGTTGGGTACATTGCAACTATCCAGATTGGCACTCCTCCCAAGAACTTCAATATTCTCATGGATTCTGGTTCCGCTGACTTCTGGGTCGGTAGTGAAACTTGCCAATCTCAGCAGGGTGGTGGTTGCGTAAGTTCATGCTAGTAACAGTCGCTATAAACAGCTCACATAAATTCAAGGGGAACCACACTTTTCTTGGCTCTCAGTCGTCAACCTCCTTCGTTCAGTCCAGTCAAAATTTCAGTGTGACTTATGGGTCTGGTGCCGTTGCTGGTGTTATTTGCCAGGACAACGTCAACATCGCAGGCTTGCAGCTCAACAACCATACCTTCGGCGTAGCGAACGAGGAGACTGTACAGTTCTCTGCTGACACCGTGTCTTTTGATGGACTGATGGGCCTTGCTCAATCAGTAAGTCCACTGGTTGATGAAGCGCCAACATAAAAATAATCACGGATTTTTTTTACAGACACTTTCCAATCAAAAGGTCCCGACTCCTGTGGAGTCTTTGACGTCCCAGGGTCTCATTTCTTCGGCTATAGCTTCCTTCAAGATCTCACGTCTCGCTGATCAACTCAATGACGGTCAAGTGACTTTCGGTGGACTTGACTCCACTAAATTTATCGCCAGCTCCCTTGTTACTATCCCCAATGTCAACCAGCAAGGGTTCTGGGAGGGCGCTATGGATGCAATCACGGTCAATGGACAAAGCTCAGGCTTGACCGGGCGCACTGCCATTCTCGACACCGGCACCACCCTCATCATTGCCCCGCAGGCAGACACCCAGGCAATCATGACTATGCTTGGTGGTAAATGTGATACTCAGCAGTGCACGGTCCCATGCACAACGAATGCAAGCGTCGCGCTATCCTTTGGCAATGCGTCCTTTACTATTGACCCCAGAGACATGGCGCTGCTGCCTGTCGACCTCAACGCTCCGACTGGTGACTGCACAGCTGGGATTCAGGCTGGCACCATCGGGACGAACACGGAGTGGCTGGTATGTGACCCTTTTTCAATTGTATGATTGGTCAACGAATTTTTTTTGGCAGGTCGGAGATGTGTTTTTAAAGAATGCTTATTTCTCCGCGGATACTCAGAAGAACCAAATTTCTCTGGCCAAGCTTTCTACCCCGTGAACGACCATTGGGCATGGGGCGTATTTGTTTTCTACCAGCAGGACTGGTTCTGCTTAGATTCTGGAAGAAGGCATCGAATTATCTTCAAGCTGTATACTAGTAGTCATTATCCATTGCAATCATTGATGCAAGATATCAATTGCCTGAAGTCTGAACAAAATAAGAACAAAATCTACACCGTACATAATACTGCAACAAAATAAGTTTATCTTTTACTTTTTTCGCAGGAGTTCCTTTGCGATTTCCTCATTGTCCGCCGACTGGTCTGGGAGCCAAAAAGCCTGTAGAGGGCGCCGTTAGCACAGGATACATAGATGATAAAGGATGCGAGATATTTACCAATTCCGCCCCCGCGGATACAATCATAGCTAGCCTGGGATTGAATCTCACACACCTGGACGGACCAGGATGGCCATCAAGTGTTGTAAGGGGCTGAAGACGTGTTGGATGTGCCTTGAGATCAACAGGGCCTGACCGCACGGGCAAGTTTTGTACATCCCATATCACTATTTTCCCGTTCAAACTGCCGCTGACAACATACTTGCTATCTGGCGTCCAAGATACCTCCTCGCCACTGTTGCCCTTGGAAGGGTCAATAGTCTGCGGGGCATCGATCCGTCGCCGCTCCAACCCAACGTGACCCTCCAATTTCGCCAGCAAATGACCCTCGAACGCGTCCAAAATATAGTGTGCGTCGCCGGAACAGCCGACAAGAATGTACTTTGCGTTTGACGAAAATGAGAGAGATGTCATGTATATTGGGCGAGGTGGATAGCTGACTAGAGCGAGGGTGGAATCCTCCAGCGTTATCGTCAAGAACGGGTCCTTGTCGTAGTTCGCTTGGTCGTACAAGAGTATCCGTGAATAGTTATTCACGCCCACTGCAAATACCAAGCCGCTGGAATCGTACGCGACGATGGGTGAGGCGGGTAGGTTCAACAGCCCACGACATGACGGGGCGCGAAGGTCCCATAATCGAACCGTCTTGTCCAGTGAGCCGGACATGAAGCCGTCATCGATGGGCGAGACCTCTAAGGAGACCACGCGTCCGCTGTGCCCCTTGAAGTACTGCAAGTATTTGTTGTCGTGAAGTGAATGATACCGAATTGTGTCATCCTCCTTCGTCGAAGCGTGTACAACAGTGGTGTTCCTGTGTGTAAAACGAGGAAGGTCGACCCCGTATTTTTTAGAGTACAGCGTTTTGAGATGCCTGTACACAATGTTAGTCACCAGAAGGAGATACAGTATGCCAAGAACTTGCTTGCCCGTCTTGCAGCTGTACAACCGAAAAGTCTCATCTTCAGCTGCAGTCAAAACCTGATCTCCTCGGTCATCGAATGTGATGGCAGTGATGTGTCGTGGCCCTTGATGTGATCTAGCAACAGGTGTTGATGGTGGTGTTGGTTCAACTGCTCCCTTGAAGATTTTCGCGGGCTTCAACTTTGTCTGGAGCAAACTCGTCAGCACACGTTCAAGGAACCATATTCTGGGCTTACCATCAACGCATTTGAGAGCGGTATTGTCGATGGCGGAGGTGCTGCAGCATTGCCGTTAGAGGTCGTTGGTGGAGGCGGCATTGAGAGGTTCGTCAAGAATATCACATTGGGTGTCTGAGTTTCAATACCACTTTTGCCGGCTACTCCCCTCACTTGAAGTATGTCTGAGGACGAAACTGCGAAACTATGGAAGGTCAATAGGACAATCCACGAACTTGTAAAGGATAGGGTACGAATTCACGATTCTTGCTGTATTGGACCATTTTTAACGAGCTCTGGCTGAAGGGGTACCAAGTCTCGGACGATGAGATCAACATGGACCTGACCACATTCAGGCAACACTATGCAAACAGTGGAGGCAGCGTAGAGTCAGTTACGCTCTCTATGCAGAACTGCGCACTTGCAGATTTTGACTCGCATTTACAGTCGAAACCAACTCAATTTCTTCACGAATTCAAGAGAAAACCCAACCGACCAGATTTTTATCTTCTTTTCAGAGGAGAAAAGCGTCGGCGTAAAAACCATGCGGAAGTTCGTCTATGTACGCCCCTTGTGCCCGTTGGTCTGATGAAGGGTGAATACACAGGCTTTTGGGTATCCTCGAGGAGAAGTCTATCATGCGGGGGATCATCATCTTTCCTGGCAACATGACTCCCTCTGCACGAAAAGTTCGGGCTTTGATTTTTATTTTCACAGTAGCAATCTTACGCATGCTTTGCAGGTAATTGCGGCGATGTCTGCACAATATCGGCTTGAAGAGTTCTCAGAAGCCGACCTACTTGTCAATATCACTCATCACACACTGGTCCCGCGGCATGAGGTGTTGACGGTTGAGCAGAAAAAACAGCTCCTTGAGAAATAGTGCGTTTTATCCTCGAACAACTTGAGGACGTATTCTTACGCTGTGATCCACTTAGTCGGCTGAAGGAGACCCAACTTCCTCGAATACAGCTGGCTGACCCCGTGGCACGATACTATGGTCTTCGGAGAGGCCAAGTCGTCAAAATCACTCGTCCCAGTGAAACCAGCGGTCGATATGCCAGTTATCGTATATGTTTCTAGAGAAATATAGTGATGGTTTGCATAGTTTTTCCATTACTATATTCACATGTATACTAGCGAAACAATCCACGCGCAGCCCGCGGGTACAAAATATTTCAATGTTTCGTTGTACGCGATGTGGTGGATGTACCAGGGCTACCGCGAACTTGTTTCGAGCTACTTTGGGACATCCACCACATCGTTAGAACACCGGATGAGTCCGGACGAGCAGTTCTAGGAAGCGCCTGCACCGGAATTTTCTTTGGTTTCAGGCTGTCCTTGCTTTGCAGGATGCTGATTTCCACTTTTCTTTTGAACTCGAACTTTCCTTGTCCTTCACTAGCACTTGTTGTCGTTGCCCTGGATCGCAACCCAGCCCTCAGAGTCAAAAGCCTCACGGGTTTTGTGCTCGGGCCAGGTGCTAACTTGCTTGTCATACGTAGTATCCCGATACAAAGATAATTTACTTCGCAGGAGCGACATTGCCGCACTCCTTACACTTCCTCAATTCCTCCGTCGTCATCCAACGCTGGATAACGGGCTTCAGTTGCGTCCCGAGGTCAGTGACGTGGAAAGTCTCCTTGTGAATGATAGTTGGCTTGGTATGAGAAGGATCACGACAGTACCATTGCAGGGAGTCTGAATGCGAAGAAGCATCAAGAAACTTTGTTCGTCATAGCAGGGATGAGTACGCACCGTGAGATGCATCCGGACGAGCAGCTTCGATTACAATTCCAATTGTGTCGGCGAAGCGGACTGGGTTGTGGGGTGTGTTCGCTAACGCGAGTCTGGTGAGAATAACCGACTCGTCTTATAATCTTGAACGCACCAGGCAGTAAAAACATCTCTCCTTCTTCGATCCTGATATCCTTGAACTCATCCCCGTCTACCACTCTAAGCAGCATACCACCCTTGTACTGATAGAACCATTCCTAACATGAAATCGGTACATTTTATGTATACTAGTGATCGTGGAAGCGCACTTCGGTCTCGTTCACATGGTAATCATTTCTCTCGTTTGGGCCGCCTACAGCCATCACCGTGAAGTCCTTCTGCCGGTATAGGCAGAAGTTGTTCACAGGAGGCTTGAGTAGGTGCTGGTTTTCGTCGAGCCAGCGCGGGAAGTTGATAGGCGGGAGGAGAGGCATTGCGAGATGTGCTTGTTGTCTGGTAAGAGGCAAGCAACGGCGGCGTGAACTTACAAATCCTGGAACCGGTTTAGCGTTTATAGGCACATCAGATCTTTCTCAAGTTCACACATAGCCCCTAATATACCTTACCGTTTCATCTTACGGAACTACTGGACGCTACGTAACAAATACTTTCGAGTGGAAGAAGGTAGCTGCATTCTTAATTGAACCTGTTCACGATCCCATAAACCGCATCAATAGCTCCGTCAAGCTTTCCCGCAATTTGACACCCAAACCTCAGGCCTCAACCTTCATCTGAGACGGACTCTAGTGAATCAGGAATTCCGGTTTCCGGCATGTGAGTTCAAGCCTTAGGCCAATTGAATTTTTACCCGGCTCCATTACGCAGAGAGGTTTTTTCCATCCGAGGTCCATGCCAGGCATCAAATGAATCATTCGAGTGTTTTGAGCAGGCAACTGAGTGAGCGTTTTTTCGACGCAGAGTCGAGTTGGGAGGGAAGTAGCTATTTAAGGTGCGTCTTTCTTGCTTTATGCTCGCGTTCACAGCTTGAGCACGGGCTGTGCAGATCAAGCGTCCAAGTCTCGTCTTCTGACAATGTTTCTTCATCGCCATCGACATCTGAGCATCGCATCCGGTACTCTTGCTATCAAGTAAGCCCGCATATCGTGTTTCTTATCAGATTCTTCTCTCCATTATGATGCTGCCAGATTACAAGTTTGGTTGGTTGCCTTCAAAGGGCCTTACAAGCCCTTACAAGGCATCATAAGGGGCGGTCTCGAATTTTCAATGTAAGGCCATCAAAAGGGCGCTTACAAGTGCCTTTCAATGCCCATTAAAAGATTATCATACCCCATTATATTGGCTTATAAGTAATGACATCCACCCGGTGGGCCCTTAAAATGTATTGTATGGTCTCGTAAGCCTGGAAACTTTTTTCCGACATTATCTTTACTCTATAATACAATGTAATATATAGCATAATAGCTGCTATAGCATCCACCCATTCTCAATTGTCATCATCCACTTTCCACCTACTACTGAAGTATAAGAGTAGCAAATAGTCTTGATCTTGGTCTTCATTTCTCTCGAACCCTATTTTTCGCATTAGCAAACAACTACCGAAGGAACGACTGTCGACAAGGCAATCAAGGGGACAGCAAATTTGGAAGTAAATTTCTCCCCGGTCTCGGACATGATGCTGGGTGCACTCCAAAACATCGTAAATGCCCAGTTTCATAGGCACTCGCGTCTGACTTAATAATGTTCATTCGCTTCAGCTCCCAGGTTTACAACTTGAAGTGACAGTATGTACATCCCCTCAGATAGGATGTTATTTTATTGATGATATGACTAGATCCCAGATCTTGAAACCCCCAATACCGATCAGTCTATCATTCATACTAAAGGCCGGCCTGACCTCATTAGCGCCATCATCAATGAGCGCCAGCAGCAGTTAGATGCAGTTTTGCACGAGATCTCAGATCAGGAAATCGTTCTTCCGCAACTCGTCAAAAAGAAGGGCAGGATCACCCAGTCCTTGAATCTACACAAGGGTCTCGGATCGGCTCTCTGGCGCTTGCCAACTGAGGTCCTATCCCACATTTTCGTTTACTGTCTCCCGGAAGACGAGCAGTTCTCACCCGAACCAGACCTGGCCCTCATGCTACTAACCAGAGTATGCCGACGATGGAGGGAGGTTGCTGTGGGTCTGCCCAGTTTATGGTGCAGACTGTATATGGAACTCGACGCCAGTGACTCGCTGCGGGCAGCTTTCTGCTACGACTCGTGGCTCAAGCGGTCCCGAGGATGTCCGCTCTCATTAGCACTCGACTGCCACGCCATCGACTCAACCAAGCTACGAAGCCTTATTCAGCCTTATGTCCATCAAATCTCGTCTCTCTCTATCCCAGACCCCGACCAACCAGAACTTCTGTTAAACAACCTGCCAGCACTTCAGGAGTTGACCATAGTGGGGATCGATCATCGGCTTCCACCTATTGCACCATTCATCTCACGACTCCCGTCCACTCTGCGCAGTCTGCGTATTAAGGAGGCGTGGTTCAACGTCAGGGACATATCTTCTTTCAATCCCGTGTGGGCCCAACTCACAAAGGTCGACATCGACATAGTTCGTTCGAATGTATTGCTCCACTTGCTCGAGCTATGCCCCAATCTCTCCTCGTTAACGGTTCGCGCAGATTATGACGGAATACCAACCTTGGAGCCATTCACGCACACGGCAATTCAATCCATCGACATCTATTTTTTCCATTATGCCACTTTATCTGGCCTGTTCGATGCTCTATCACTCCCCAATTTACGAGTGCTTGTAGCTAGCCATGCGCGAACATGGCCTCATGAGAAGTTCAAGGCATTTTTGGTACGGTCAAAGTGTTCCCTGGAGAGCCTGACTGTCAGAGCCGGTCTAGAGAGGATGACGCATGAGCAGCGTGCAGAATGCGTTGTCCTTTATCCTTCCCTCAAAATAAACGTATTTTAATCGCCAATCCTTTGCATAAGCCTCAGTCGTTACACACTTCCTGACATGATGATGATGGGCTGGCAGTAGTAGATCGTATTGCATGTAAATACGGCACTACCTTATAACGGTTCGTGTATCATTATGCATTTGTTGAACTTTGTGCTTCACGGACATGACCAGTCAGGGAGGAATCGTTCGACGGTCTTTCGTGGCGCGTGCGTTAGCATGACTGACGGCGACCACATCTTCAATCGGAGTTTTAGCTCCTGCCAGACGGATGGTAATGATGGCGTATACGGTATGCTATCATTACTCCCATTCGCTGCCTTTCACTACTTGGTGCACTTGTAGTAGTTCCAACGCCGAACGAGTTGTCGAGCCTTCCAGATGTGCTTTCGAGTCAAGCCCATCAAACTCTTGACTTAGATTTTCTCGCTGAACCACCAACAACTTGACCGTTCCTTCTTGTACTTGGTTGTTTGCGAATGCGAGGATTAAGGTTCGAGGAAACTCATTTTGATACTTAAGTGTTGACTGTGTCGATGACAAATGTCGTGATTGTCACATCTACAAGTTTACGACCTTGTCCATACCCTCCATGGTGTCGTTGGTTGCGATATTGAGATTCACTTGCACAATGACACCGGCATGGCCATCACCAAAGCTTACTGCACATTGAAGGCTGGTGCAACAAACATTGATACCTGTATGTCTCTTGATGCTACTGGCTAGTGCATGGCTAAATCTCCTTTGGCTGTCCTTGGCATCAGGGAGCGTATCGGCATCACGCCTCTCGGTGGTCTCATAGCATGCATGTACGCTGCCGACTCCGAATACGTCAAGGCCAAGTACATACAACTTCCCCATGTTGCATCGCAAAGACAGTGGAAGTCAACGTGCCATTCATGAACCCGATCACAGGTTACTGTGCATTCACACCCAAGGCTGGTATCCACGCTAAGGCGATCTTGAACAACCCCAGCACATATGAAAATTTCAAGCCTGAAGAATTTGGTCTCACGCGATACGTCTCAATTGGGTGCGTACTTTTTCTTTTTTTTTAGCCATCATGAGTCGAGTGAAGCTGATGTTGTAATCAGACTCCGTTCCACTGGCTGGAACGCTTCAAGTCAAGAGTCGAGCAGCTCGAGCTCAAAGTCACCGATGGTGAGGTCTACTATATTATCGTTGCCTCACCTAGTCACAGTCCATTTGTATGATTGTAATAATAAGTCGAGGATGCCACCGCCAAGATTAAGGAGCTTACTGATGTTTGTACGCAATTTATGGATGATGTCGACTCTATGCTGCGCGCATACCACTCCGGCATTCAGTCTGGAGAGCTCACAGTTGGCCAGAAGGAGGCGCTCGACCGACTACTCCAGCAGCACCGCGAGTCCTCGAGAGAACGTGTGGAGCCAGAGGCTCCTGCCGCTATATAAAAGAAATTGTCGTTGTAGTGTCACAGAGGTCGTCTTAGTACAACAAGAAAAATGTTGACCAGACGGTCATCCTGTATTGTATAGATCTGTCTGCTACTATCTAATGCGTTGTGTGAAATATATTTTGGTGTGAGCCCCTTCAAGGTTGCTAGGTGTATCCAATAACCTCCTACAAATCTTGTCAATAATATATGCAGATTTTATCACCAACATCTGAGTGTTGCCAGTCTTGTGCGAGTCCGGTTCGAAAGCCGGCAGTCGCAAGTTGCACACTTGCCATAGAACATTTGAAAAAGGAACAAGAAAAATAAATATTGAGACCCGTAGGTCTACCACTCCGGGAAAGCGTGTCATCCTTGTGCAGGGGCCATGCTAATCTTCTCTGTATCGTTCCAATTTTTCGTATGTCACCCCGAAGGGGACACTTACCTGTAGTTGGCTAAAAGTGGTGGCGACACAATTTTGCATTTGCAAGGAACGCCTGGGTTTGGATGATTACTTGAAATGGAAGGCGGTGTGTAGTACAGAAAGGGTTGTAGACGCGTCAACAAGCAACAACAAACGCGTTCACAGTGCACACTGCAAACGGCGTCAGACGCTCGTTGCTCTATTATCTGGAGCTGCGTTTGCATATCCGCTATCCTCTACCTACCTTTCCGTGAATACCAGGGGAGTTAACCGTCACGCGTCAGATCAGCTCATGGAGACTCCATTAATGATCATTGGCTACAGTAAAAAATGAGCAGGCTCAGGGGCTCATTCGATGCCGTCGCATGACATCTCGGCTGATACTACTTACCAGTCAATCAGACGCAACGAACAACTGACTTATCTCATCGTCGAGTAAACAAACGAGTTGCAAAAACGGGTAACAGTTAACTCTTGGCATCAGAGTGAAGTCCTTTGGGGTCATCATAGACCCTATGTTGGATTAGAACTCGTTATACGTGTTCAATTGTAGTACTTGCGAGGAAAACTTTTGTGACTGAGACCACAGTCACATTGTGAATACACCGGGAAGTATACAGCTAGATGTTCGAAAGTCGAGTCTTCTCCAAGGGTTTGGCGTTCAGGAGAGATGTCATACCTCATCATTACATATGACATTTCAATAGCATCATAACCCCCCGTACCGCATGCAGACACGAAGAGCATGCTCAAAAGATGATTTGAAATCGACGCGTCTAACTTGAAGACGCGCCGACCGCTTAGCAGCTGTGAAGCGGGATGCAAGCGACGAGTAAGCCTTGCTTAACTATTTAGTACACACAGCCGTATGCCACAATCTTGTAAACCGCACCTAGGAGGTATTCAGTTATTTATGCTAGTCTGCACACGCCACGAAAGACGGCCGGATGATTCCTCCCAATAATGGGCATACTGTGTGAAGCACATCCAAAAATGTATAATGATACATGATCGACTCGGAATTGACTATCATCATAAGGTAGTACCGTATTTACATGCCCTGTGATCTACTGCCAGTCTACTATTATCATGTCCCGGGGTGTGTAACAAGTGAGGCTTATGCAAAGGATTGGCGATTAAAATACGTTTATTTTGAGGGAGGGACAAAGGACAACGCATTCTGCACGCTGCTCATGCGTCATCCTCTCTAGCACCGGCTCTGACAGTCAGGCTCTCCAGGGAACACTTTGACCGTACCAAAAATGCCTTGAACTTCTCATGAGGCCATGTTCGCGCACGGCTAGCTACAAGCACTCGTAAATTGGGGAGTGATAGAGCATCGAACAGCCCAGATAAAGTGCCACGAAGGAAAAAAGAGATGTCGATGGATTGAATTGCCGTGTGCGTGAATGGCTCCAAGGTTGGTATTCCGTCATAATCTGCGCGAACCGTTAACGAGGAGAGGTTGGGGCATAGCTGGAGCAAGTGGAGGAATACATTCGAATGAACTATGTTGATGTTAACCTTTGTGAGGCTGGCCCATATGGGATTAAAAGAAGATATGTCCTCGACGTTGAACCTTGCCTCCTTAATACGCAGACTGCGCAGAGTGGACGGGAGTCGCGAGATGAATGGCGCAACAGGTGGACGCCAATTATCGTCCCCCATTATGTTCAACTCCTGAAGTGCTGGCAGGTCTTCTAACAGAAGACCCGGTTTGTCGGGGTAATGGATAGAGAGAGACAAGATTTGATGAACATAAGGCTGAATAAGGCTTCGTAGCTCGGTCGAGTGAGTTGCGTAGCAGTCGAGTGCTAATGACAGTGGACATCCTCGGGATCGCTTGAGCCATGAGTCATAGCAGAAAGCTGCCCGCAGCGAGTCACTGGCGTCGAGTTCCATATACAGTCTGCACCATAAACTGGGCAGACCCACAGCAACCTCCCTCCATCGTCGGCATACTCTGATCAGTAGCATGGGGGCTATGTCTGGTTCGGGCTCCAAATGCTCGTATTGCGGGAGACAGTAAATGAAAATGTGGGATAGGACTTCTGTTGGCAAGCGCCAGAGAGCCGATCCGAGACCCTCGTGTAAATTCATGGACTGGGTGATCCTGTCCTTCTTTTCGACGAGTTGCTGAAGAACGGTTTCCAGGCCTGAGATCTCGTGCAAGACTTCGTCCAACTGCTGCTGGCGCTGATTGATGATGGCGCTAATGAGCTTAGGCTGGCCGTGATGAATGATAGACTGATCGGTATTGGGGAACCTGGAGTACGGGGTTTCAAGATCTGGGATCTGGTCATCATCAATAAGATAACATCCAATATTTATATCTGAAGGGACATACGGTCACTTGTAAACCTGGAAGCTGAAGCGAATGAACGTTATTACTTGCAGACGCGAGTGCCTATAAAACCAGGCACTTACTAATACGACGTTTTGCAATGCACCCATGATGTCCGAGGCCGGCCCGGAGAAATTTACTGTCGAATTTGCTGTCGTCCGCTTGACTGCCATGTTATTTGCTAGTCCAGGCAGACCCAATAGAAAGCAGATAGTTGTTCCTTTTGTAGTTGTTTACTAATGAAGAGTAAGGTTCCAGAAAAATGAAGACGAAGATGAAGACGATTTGCAACTCTTATACTTTAAATACTATGTGGAATGTGGATGATGTTGCAATCTACCAAGTATACAGCACAATAGCATCTACCCATTAGAACCCACCGTGTCCACCCATTCTCAATAGCTAGATACACTGTACATTCTCAATTGTCAGGCACCGGAAATTTCAAATCAGGAATACGATCCACGGAAAGTAAGTTCGTATATTTGTTAAGTCTCATCAAGTCGCTTGGGATCACAGCACTAATGCAACTTCGAGTGAAGGACTAAGGGCAATGTATTCCACTCGCTGCTCGTCTGTCATGCTCCCTCCAAAACGTAAAATCAGGGTCTCCAGGGCACAATTCGACCGTACCAAGAATGCCTTGAACTCTTCATGAGGCCATGCTGGAACTCTGCAACCTTCGAGTACGCGTAAATTGGGGGGTGAGAGAGTAATGAACAGGTCACATAATGGGTATCCGAGCCCCGGAATGTGCAAGGATTGAAGTTTGGTGTGAGTGAATGGCTCCAATACCTGTATTGGATAGGGTGGTATGCCAACCGTCAAAAAGCTCGAGGAGAGGTTGGGAGCTAGGTGGAGCAAGTGGAGCAATGTATGTGGTTGATTTACGTTGATGTTGACATTTATCAAGTAGGCTCATACGGGATTGAACGAAGATAAGAGCTCGAGGTCGAACATGGGGGCCAGCTCTGATGCGGGCAGCGGGCGACAAATGCGCGTCTTCCGGGAGACAACAAACGAAAATGTGGGATAAGACTTCAGTTGGTAAACGCCAGAGAGTCGAACCAAGTCCCTTGTGCAAATCCATGAACTGGGTAATCTTGTCCTTCTGTTCGACGAGTTGATGGTGAAGATTCTTGATACCGTCCATGACTATTTCGAGGCCTGAGATCTCATGCAAAACTGCATCCAGCTGCTGCCAGCGTTCAGTGTTGATGGCAGTAATACTCTGGTCTGTGCGGACTGCAGAGAGCAAGTTACATCGCCCTGAAGACAACCTGAGGATGTTGACATGTGGGCTCATGCTTAGCTGTGGTACTTACATGGTACAAACGGCGAGTACTACTTACTGTTCCAGGTACACGCACCTCTGCGACTTAATTAAACCAAGTCATCCACGATCTTGTACACCACGTGTAGGAGTTATTCAGTTTCGCTAGTAGTCTGCGTAATCGCCACGACAAAGACAGCTCCTCAAACGATTCCAAAGTCCCTGGCTAGTCATATCATGATATAGATCTCGTAAATGATACACAATCGACTTGGAGATGACTATTGTAATCATAAAACGTGCACTAGGTAGTGCTGTACCTACATGCAATGCTTTCTACTACCAGCTCATTATCGTTGTTTCGCGAAATGTGTAACGGACCGAGTCTTATGCAAAGGATTTACAACTGGGACCCCAGCACTACTTCGAGGGAAGGAAATAGGACAGCGTATTCTGCACGCTGCTCGTCCGTCAACAACACTGAGCGACATCAGGGTCTCCAAGGGACACTTTTACCGTGCCAACAATGTCTTGAACTCCTCACGAGGCCACGTTGGTGTATAGCTAGCTTCTTCAAACACCCGTAAATTGGGGAGTGATAGAGCATCGAACAGGTCAGATAAGGGCGTGTGTCCGAAGAGACAGAATAGATACATATGGATCGAATTTCGGTGTGCGTGAATGGCTCTAAGCTTTGCATTTGGATGAAATCTGTGCAAACCGTTAACGAGGGGAGGTTGGGACATAGCTAGAGCAAGTAGAGGAATGCATTCGGATGACGTATGTCAATATCGACATTTGTCAGGTGGGTCCATATAGGATTGTAAGAAGATATGCGCTCGATGTCGAACGACCACCCAACGATATTGAGACCACAGAGTGGACGGTAGTCGCGAGATAGGTTGTGCAATAGATTCTGGAATGTCCAGATTGAGCCCCCCAAGTATGGTCAGCTCCTCAAGTACTGAGAGGTCTGTCAACAGAAGTTCAGGTTGGACCGCGTGTAGGGACAGACGGATAGAGAGAAACGAAATTTGATCGATGTAAGGCCGAAGAAAACTTCGTAGCTCGGTTGAGTTATTTCCGAAGCAGTCGAGTTTTAACGAGAGCGGAAACCCTCGCGATCGCTTGAGCCATAGTAGCAACCTGCCCGCTGCATTGAGTCACTGTCGTCGAGTTGCATATACAACATGCACCACAAACTGGGCATACCCACAGCAACCTCCCTCCATCGCCGACATATCCTGGTCAGCAGCATGGGGGCCAGCTTTGATGTGGGCGACAAGTACTTGACTTCCGGGAGACAAGGAAACAAAAATGTGGAATAGGAGTTCAGTTGGCAAGCGCCAGAGCGCCGACCTGAGTCTCTTGTGCAAATCCATGGACTAGAGTTCTGATCGACGATTTGCTGGTGAAGATTTTTGATACTGTCCATGACTATTTCCAGGCTTGAGATCTCGTGGACAACTGCATCTAGCTGCTGTTGGGGTTCGGTGATGATGGCACTGATGCTCTGGCCTTCGAGCTCGACGGCAGACTATGATAGAGAGGTTCATACTGGGGAGTCTGGCTCGAGTTCGAGGTCTAGAATCTGCTAACCATCGGGTACTATCAGCTGTTAGACACACGATTGCTTGTGAATGCGGGAGCTGGAGTGATTGATTAGTATTCGCGACACTGCTTTTCACTAACTCGGCACTTGCGATATTTTTCAGCACACCGATGATGTCAGAGAGAGTATCATACTAACCCCAGGTTCAAACATGTGTAAATAATGAAATAAATATGCTCTCGGAATTGACAATCATGACACTAGGTAAGTATCTCTCCGAGATCGACCAGTCTGACTATGTCGAGTTCCTACCGTCTCAAAGACGTAGTCCAGACTGGTTACGAGTCTACTCTTTCACTGAACTTTTCCAATTTTCGGTAACCCCCGCCAAAGTCAACGAACTTCCCATGTATTCTCACTGAAATACTAGTACACCTGACTACCATTTAAAAGTGAATCAGTAACAGAATAATTAATTGATTCCACTACCCACAGTGATATAGCCATCCGATCGGCAGAAGCCCCGAAATAGTAAGCAATTTAGGTTTATACAATCGTTAGCCGCAAAGCTCAGCCTAGCTCAGTTAGCATCTGCAAAACCACTGAAATGAACGCTTACGACTTCAGTAGCGCACTCATGAGATCGGTGAACACATAACCAAAAATTTGTGCTTACGAACGCAAACCTGAAAAGCGAACTGCTCAAAGGCACTTTGAGAGGAACTTCGACCAAGTCGGCTTTTTAGATGCCCGCCTAGTCTAGAGAGAACCTTAGCATTTCGCAGACCGGGGAAACTTGCGGGGAACCACAAAAATGTATGCGTGAGATCGGCCAGCGCAGACTCGCAGAGCCGAGGTGTAAATTTCTCGAGATAAGTCATTTGTATCGTGGCTGCTACTCTGACTCTGAAAGGACTCTCCGCAGACTCGGAGTCTGGTGCAAACATAATGAAGATTCTTTGCTGGCAGACGACTTGAGCCCGGGGTGGAGGTATATAAGTTCACCATGCGGCGGACCCACTCTTCCAGTTAGCTGTCATTCAAGTCTAGTCCCGCCTCCTTCCATATGATGTCCCAGCGAGCTGCGCAGGGCGAAAAGGTCCCAGGCGAACAAGAGCTTAAGGAGGCTTAACGCAGACAATACCGAACCTTTCAATCTTCAACTCGATACTGGCGATGAGTATACAAACTTTCGTCAAAAATGGTGGCAGTTGTGGTAAGTGAAGTGAAGGTTTACAAGCATTATTTTCCTCATCGAGCCTCGGCTAGGTTACCCAAAGACCCACCAATTCCAGCTCCCCCTTCTCTGGAGGATTCAGCAGGTGCGCGAACCACCCTTCGCTGAATCTGTTAAAGGATAATAACACTGTGTTCTACAGCTGACGCCCTTGGCCAATGCTTCTATTTTCTCTCAGCTCACTTACACCTTGGATAACAGGTATAATGGTCAGTTATTGAACATCGATCCCAATATACTCTGTTCTCACACATATGTTCAGGTCCTCGGATATCAGCGCACCCTGCAAGCGTCTGATCTCTACAAATTGGGCGCACCTCGAGAAGTCAGCCGTCCTTGCCAGCTAAACTGGAAGCTGCATGGCAGCGACGTGTTAAGGCAGCAGTTGACTGGAACTGCACGTCTCGAGAGTGGAGAACTCAGGCCGTCCTTCGTGAAGCGTACGGGCTGGGCGTTACGCGCAATTTTCAGGCAAGGACAGAATCAAGGCGCGACTTGGTCTGAGCGGCGTGTTGCGTTCCAGAAACATTGGCGAGAATCCGAAGGACGGAAAGAGGCTAGCCTTACATGGGCTTTGAATGATGTCTTTGGCAGTATGTTCTGGATCGGAGGTGTATTCAAGGCATGGGTCTTCATCTGTCACTGTCATGATACATTTAACACCTCACTTAGATCTTTGGTGATATAGCACAACTCATGAGCCCGATCGTCCTTCGGGTAAATAGCAAGCCGTCTTTGGTTGTGGTAAGCTCTGATGTCTTCTTCCCCCCTCCAGCAAATCATCGTCTTTGCGGAGGAGCGTTCCGCCGCAATTATTGCCGGAGAACCTGTCCCCAATGTCGGCCGCGGTGTCGCCATGGCTTTTGGGCTCTTCGCGCTTGCTGTGATAGCGAGTATATGCACTCACCAGGTTTGTAAAAAAATTGTGGATCGAAATCCAAGCTTATGCATTTCAAGTTTTTTTGGAGGTCAATGACAGCAGGCGTGCTGGCTAGAGCCGCACTGATAGCATGTATCTACGAGCGTGGAGTGAACCTCACAAGCAAAGCGCGTGTCAAACTCAATAACGCTGCACTTATTAATCATATTTCCACGGACGTGAGCAGGGTTGATGCGTGCGCTCAGTGGTTTGTGAGTCGCAAACTCAAGCATACGCCGGTGCCTTCAACTAACCACAGCTTGACCCTCTTACCACTAGCATGCAGGTGAGTATATGTCCACTCCTTTGACTTGCAGATCTCGAGATGGCTTACTATCCCAGGCTGGACTGTGCCTATCCAGGTCACAATTTGTCTAATTATTCTTCTGAGCGAGGTTTGTTGCACACCACGACAAATTAATTTTGTTATAACAAGACTTGAAAATTAGCTCGGACCGTCTGCACTCGCCGGTTTTTCGCTATTCGTCCTCATCATACCAATTCAAGAGCGGTTAATGACACTACAGCACCGTATTCGCTTAGGCTCAATGAAATGGACTGATCAACGAGCCAAAGTCCTACTAGAGGTACTCGGTACGTAGCCTTGGAGTAGCTAGGATATGTAGAAGTGCTGAAGGGGTGCACAGGGGCCATGCGTGTGGTCAAGTACTTCTCGTATGAGGTCCCCTTCCTTCAAAGTAAGCTATGATACCAAGAACCGTTAACATCACGCTCACGCACGCCACTTAGGGATCTTCGAGCTTCGAAGGAAGGAACTGCGTGGTATCCGACAGATTCTTCACTCAAGTTCGGCGAAGTAAGTCTAGACGTGTTTGGCGTGGTGACGCGTTATTGATTCGATATACCCAGCGTGGCTCTCGCTACTACGCTGCCAGCTCTCGCTGCTACACTAGCTTTCGTCACGTACACTCTTACAGCGCACAATTTCAATGTTGCCGTCATATTCACCTCGCTGAATCTGTTTCAGGTGAGATCATTTACGGTAGATAAACATGTACCTAACCGATATGTAAATAGCTTCTCCGGCAACCAATGATGTGGATGCCCCGCGCTCTATCAGCCATCCCCGATGCATCCAGCGCGATCCAGCGGCTCACGCACTTATTCCGCGCAGAGCTTATTTCCGAAGATGCACTTGTTATCGACGAGGACCAAGAGCCCGCGCTTCTGGTGAAGGACGCGACGTTCGAGTGGGACTCCTTCGAGAAAGACTCTGGTGAAGCTTTCACCTCGAAGATGGGCACACGCAGCGGCGGCGGTCCCCCGAGGGCCAAAGGCAATAGTGCGAATGAGGACAAGGCAACAGAGAAAACCGCTCCTGGAGGAGATGTACCGCTCTTTAGGGTCAAGAATGTGACCATGACCATCCAACGAGGTCACCTAGTCGCCGTAGTCGGGCGTGTCGGAAGTGGCAAGGTGACCTTGTCGAATGAATTCTTGATGCTAATATTGACACACGAATAGTCCAGTTTGTTACAAGGACTGATAGGGGAGATGAGGAAGGTCTCCGGACATGTCTCTTTTGGCGGTCGCGTTGGATATTGCCCCCAGACTGCGTGGATCCAGAATTCAACCTTGGTGAGCATGGCGTCACTCTCAAAAAATCAATAAAGATAACATTTGACTTCAGCGTGATAACATCATTTTTGGCCGGCCATTCGAGGAAGATAGATATTGGCGCGTTCTGGAGACCGCTTGTCTACTTCCAGATCTCCAACTGCTCCCCGATGGGGATTTGACTGAGGTATGGTAGATGAATCCAACTTGATGACACGGCTTATGCTCTATCTTAGATCGGAGAAAAGGGTATCAATCTCAGCGGTGGCCAAAAACAAAGAGTGAGTTTGTGACGCGTCTCCGCTCAAGACACGATTTTTATCTTCCACCCAGGTTAACATTGCTCGTGCTCTGTACTTTGATCCTGACATTGTCATATTTGATGACCCGCTCTCGGCAGGTAAGCTGCGTATATGGTTCTCTCAGGTATCGTACTGACAAATACCTTCAGTGGATGCTCACGTCGGGAAGTCCTTATTCCAAGATGCCATTGTGGGAGCCCTGCGCAATCGCGGTGTCACTGTCATTCTGGTCACGCATGCAATCCACTTCCTATCTCAAGTAGATCATATCTATACCCTAAACAACGGCGTCATCACAGAGAGCGGGACCTACGATGAATTGATCTCCCATGGTGGGGACTTTGCGCGTTTAGACCTGGAATTTGGCGGTCACGCATCCGAGGGGAAAGATGAAGATCAGGCAGAGGAAATCACTCCGCAGACAGGTGTTACCATCGAAGATGTCAAGTTGAAGTCAAAAAAAGCCAGAGAAAAGGCCACTGGAAGTGGTAAAATTGAAGGTCGCCTGATCGTCAAAGAGAAGCGTTCGACAGGTTCTGTGTCCTGGGGAGGTGCGTTCAAGTCATTTGTCATGGGTTCCCTAGCTTGAGTCATTTTCACAGTGTACTGGACCTACTTGGTTGCGGCACGCGGTTCAATAACAGGACCTCTAGTTATTTTCTTCATGCTCGCGATGCAGGGAAGCCAGGTCTTGAACGCATACACCCTTATTTGGTGGGAGAGCAAGTCAGTTCGTTCTACTGACTTCTTGGTTCCTTTCTGAAATCCTGGTATAGCAAATTAGACCGACCAATTTCGTTCTATCAGACGCTGTATGGTTGTCTCGGGGTCTCTCAAGCGATCTTCGCATTCTTGCTGTAAGTCGGTTCCTATCGCAGATGGTGGCGCGTTTACTCAACGCAACTTGTTGTAGCTGTGCTGGAATGGACTTCATGGCCTTTCATGTGTCCCAAAACCTGCACCACAAGTCCGTGCGCAACGTCTTCTATGCACGCATGTCCTTTTTTGACTCTACAGTGAGTAGTTGTGAAAGTACCAAAACACATGCTTATTAGGTTCTTATAGCCCATGGGCCGAATCCTGGGCATTTTTGGCAAAGATATCGACAGTCAGGATCTCGCTAATTCATGCTATATCTTATTTTACTGAAATTTTTCGCTCAGATGTAGACAATCAATTAGCATGTGAGTCTTCCGTCACCAATGATTAGATGTTACTTATGCATGGTCCAGTTGCAATGAGATTGCGTACGTTACCCGCACGCTTCGCTCGCGGAGACTAACCATGGAGATCCAGTCGTCCTTACGCTGAGCAACTGCATTGGCTCTATTATCATCATTGTTTTCCTTGAACCATACTTTAGTCAGTATATGGATGTCATTTGCCAGGATATGACTCACGGTTGTCTAGTTATTGCTATTTTCTTCATCTTGATCGGTTACAGCTACTTCGCTGCTTTCCATCGAGCTAGTGCTCGCGAGGTCAAGCGCCTAGGTTCGTCGTTGTGTTTCTGACCTAGAAAGCCTCTGATATCGACCACCAGAGTCTATGCTTCGCTCTCTTCTATATGCACACTTTTCCGAGACCTTGACAGGACTTCCTACCATCCGAAGCTACGGAGAAATGAAGCGGTTCATTGCCGCCAATAGATACTACGTCGATCTGGAGGATAGAGCTCTATACCTTGTGGTTACAAACCAGAGGCAAGTTATTTTATACATATCTCGTGGCGGTCGTTGGCTCAATACCTTCCCTCAGATGGCTTGCGATAAGGTTAGACTTCATGGGAGGCATGTTAGTCTTCATTGTGAGTATCTATTTAACGACAAAGATCTGAGGCTCACATAATGCTGCGATCTCGATAGGTCGCTCTTCTAGCAGTTATCGACGTCTCCGGGATCAACGCCACCCAGATAGGGTTGGTACTTACGTATACCAGTGGGTCTCCCAATGTTGTTACCACAATATGCAGGTTAACCTTTTCGTATCAAAGCCATGCTGTCACAAATGTGTCGTCAGGTGACCAGAGAAGCGGCGGACGTCGAGGTAGGGCTTTCCTCGTCTTACATCGGTGGTTATTCAATTGACATTTGCTTCAGAATTGCATGAACTCAGTGGAACGATGTGAGTCACGAGTTTTACGACACCTCCACTCACGCTCACTCTTCACAGTGGTACAATACGTCGAAGGGGACGCAATCCCTCAAGAGGCGCCGCATGAGATCGAAGAACGCAAACCCCCAGCGCGATGGCCTGAATATGGCGCTGTCGAATTTAATGACGTTAAGATGACATATCGACCAGGTCTTCCCAACGTATTGAAGGGTGTCTCGATCAAGGTCAGGGGAGGCGAAAAGATAGGTGTGGTTGGAAGGTTGGCTGAGTTATTAGATCCACATATCTGTGCTGATGCGGCATCCCCTCAGGACTGGTGCCGGGAAATCTTCGTTGATGCTTGCGCTGTTCCGGATTGTCGAGTTGTCGGGTGGTTCTATCACTATCGATGGGTATGTTGGTCATCGCTCGTGATGAATATTGGGTTTCACCTTTTCTAGTGTCGATATATCTACAATCGGTCTTAAAGACCTCCGCTCCAAGATATCTATCATCCCGCAAGATGTTGGTAAAGTTCCTTGCACAAGTTGCATCAACTAACATAGGACTGATCACGAACTCAACAGCCTCTTCTTTTTAGCGGTTAGTATCGTTGATTTACATGCTGTTGTTTGAAGGGCTAAAAGCTCACCAGGGACCATGCGGTCCAACCTGGATCCATTCTCCCAACACGGTGACGCGGAGCTATGGAATGCGCTACATCGATCTTGTCTTGTTGATTCTAGTACCACCTCAAAACACTCATCTTCTAGCGATGACCTCAGCAGTGAGCAAATCTCCACCAGCGGCCACAACCTTGACGACACCATCGAGAGCGAGGGAGCGAACCTTAGTGTTGGGGAGAGGTCTCTGCTCAGTCTAGCTCGCGCGCTAGTGAAAGACTGCAAAGTCGTTGTGCTTGACGAGGCCACGTTAGTCATGTGCTGTTCTCCTGGATGCTTGATATTGAATTCATTACAGAGCCTCTGTCGATCTCGAGACTGATAACCAGATCCAGCAGACTATCCAGACGGAATTCAAGAACCGTACGCTACTTTGTATCGCTCGTGCGTTTTACTCCTTCCGTTCTCTGCGCAACGTTGTAATGTGACGATACTTTAGACCGTCTTCGAACTATCATTTCATACGACCGGATTCTGGTCCTCGACGCTGGCCTCGTTGCGGTAGGTTGCTTTGAGCGTCTTTCAGCGGTTAATCCTCACACATATTCCAGGAATTCGACACTCCATCTAATCTTTTCAAAGTAGAGGGCGGACTGTTCCGTGGAATGTGTGAGAGGAGTAATATTTCCTTGAAAGATATAGAGATGAGTAGGCAGGTGTAAATGCTGGATTTTGAGGTCGATCTAGATTAATTTCTATTTGATGTCGTTCGTAGGGCTCGTTATGCATTTCCGTAGATAATATAATACTCATAGAATAGACCCTCTAGACCCTTATTAGGGCCCGGGCTCGAGGCAACAAAGGGCTATGAACAGATTTGAACAGAGACATAAAAAGTGACAGTAAGATTGCATTAAGAAGATCTAAGCACTGAGACAACTTGATCATTGTTACATGCAAACGCGAGTGCCTATAAAACTAGGGCACTTACGATATTTTACAGTGCACTTGATGATGTCTGGGACCGGGGACAGATTTGCTTTTGAATTTGTCGTTGTCCCCTCGATTGCCTGTATGTCGTTTGCTAACGTGAAGGTAGGAAAATGAAGACGTTGATTATGATATATATTCGCTACTCCCACGCGCGAACCTGATGGTAGTGTCAACGGTTCTCACAAGTCTCTGGCACAATAATGATGACTGTTGACGAGGCCCATCTTCTCAATTCCTGGGGGAAGGTCCTTAGATGGGAGTACTAGGACTCCACAAATGCAGGAGAACATGGCTCGCCTGATTATGGCTTCCTGCAAAGTCGAGGAGCTGGATCGGACAAAACTGCTGCAGAGCCTAGTGAGAACGTCGAATGAGCTCATTCTTGTCGTCGCGGAGACAAAATAGGAAATGTAGCAAGTCGGCGAGGGTTCAGTTGAGATCCTTCAGAAAATCCAATACAAGATAGAGCTCGTCTCTGGCAGATCGTGGCGACGCACGCAACTTTTTGGCGGGTTGATCTCCGATTCGCAAATTTGCACATGTGAATGGGCACTGGCAGGCAGATGAAGTCCAGAGTGTGGGCAGAGCGTTTTCCGAGTCGTGACCTCGTTGTCGTTTCTTGCGTGGTGCTGGCGGGGGCGAACGCACGAACTGAGGATTTGGAAGTGAGGGGGTGTGGAACACACGGCAGGGAAAGTGGTTGACAAACAAAGCATAACTGGTAGAGTGAATTGTATGGGGACACGCTCGGCAGCGGAATGGTTAAAGAGGGTGCTGTATTATATGGCCATCACGTCCCACTGGCAGAAGACTAGTGTAGGCGTAGTACACCAAACGCGTTCGTCTGAAACTAGGCAAGTCACAGGAGTGGCTAGCAAAAAACTTTGGGTCCTCGAATGCTGCATTACGGTATCTATCCCTGCAAGCTGCAAATGCATCTGCATCCGTGCGCACTGCGAAAGTGGTTTCACAAAAAAACTACGTGCAGTTATAGTAGTTACTTACACTGACAGCCCCTTATCATCATTTCGCAAAATGTATAACGACCGAGTCTTACTAGTCTGAAAAACAGGGGTTACGTTTGATATACAGTACTTACTATTTCGAGGGAAGGAAAAAGGGCAGTGTATTCCGCACGCTGCTCATCCGTGATCGTCGCTATACGACGACCGCTGAAAATAAGGCTCTCCAGGGGACACTTTGACCGTACCAATAATGCCTTGACCGCCTCATGAGGCCATGGTATTACCTCGCAAGTTTCAAACACCCGTAAATTGGGGAGTGACAGAGCATCGAACAGGACAGGTAAAGAATGCGCGCCCAAAAAGACAGAATCGATGCCTAAGAATCGAAGTTTGGTGTGTGTGAATGGCTCTAATGGTTGCGTTTGGATTTGAGGAAAATCTGTGGAAACCGCTAACGAGGAGAGGTTGGGACATAGCTGGAGCAAGTGGAGGAATGCATTCGGACGAATTATGTCGATCTGGACATTTATGAGGTGGGCCCATACTGGATTGGAAGAAGATATGTCCCCGACGTCGAACCACGACTCTCCAACAAGGAGACTGCGCAGAGTGGACGGGAGTCGTGAGATAGATTGTGCAATGGGTGGATCATCATGGTTCCACCATATGGTCAGCTCCTGAAGTGCTGGGAGGTCTTTTAACAAAAGTTCAGGTTGGGTCCCTGGTACGGAAATTTTGATAGAGAGAGACGAAATTTGATTGATGTAAGGCCGAAGAAGGCTTCGTAGCTTGGTCAAGTCATCTGCGTCGCAGTGGAGTTCTAACGAGAGGGGACATCCCCGCGATCGCTTGAGCCATGAGTTGTAGCGGACAGCTGCCCACTGCCAGTCACTGTTGTTGACGAATTCCATACACAATCGGCACCATAAACTGGGTATACCCAGAGCAACCTCCCTCCATCGTCGGCATATTCTGGTCAGCAGCATGGGCGGCTCTGATTCGGGCGACAAGTACTTGGCTTCCGGGAGACAGTAAACAAAAATGTGGGATAGGAGTTCATTTGGCAAGCGCCAGAGAGCCGATCCGAGTCCCTTGTGCAAATTCATGGACTGGGTGATCCTGTCCTTCTTTTCTACGAGTTGTTGATGAAGATTTTTTATACCATCCATCACAGTTTCCAGCCCTGAGATTTCGTGCAAAACTGCATCCAACTGCTGCTGGCGCTCGGTGATGATGGTGCTAATGAGTCTCTGACCTTTGGGAATAGCAGTCTGATCGGTATTGGGGAGTCTGCAGTATGGGGTTTCAAGATCTGGAATCTGTTCATCATCAATGAAACGACATCCGATCATATACCGGAAGCGACATACGGTCACCGATTGTGAACGTGCGAGCTGAAACGAAGGAAGATTATTATATGTAGACGCGAGTGGCTATAAAACTAAATACTTACGATATTTTGCAGTGCATGAATGATGTCCGAGACCGGGGAGAGATTTGCTTTTGAATTTGTTGTCGCCCCCTCGATTACCTGCATGTTGTTTGTTAACGCGAAGACTCGGTACTTGAGGCTTAAGGTTTGAGGAAAGTGAAGACGACGTTGATATATGCTACTCCCACGTGCGGTGACGTCAGACGGATGACTGGCCCACTGTCAGAAGACTAGTGTAGGCGTAGTACACCAAACGCGTCTGTCACTGAAACTAGCCTAGTCACAGGAGTGGCTAGCAAAAAACAAAAACTTTGGGTTCTCGAATGCTGCACTACGGTATCTATCCCTGCAAGCTGTAGATGCATCTGCATCCGTGCGCACTGCGAAAGTGGTTTCACAAAAAAAAAACTACGTACACACAGTTATAGTAGTTACTTATACTGACACCCCCATCAGGAAAAAGCCGGCTGACTACATAGTACTATGTAGGCATCAGGTAGCGCTACCAGGGAGTACTAAATACTTCGAGGGAAGGAAAAAGGGCAGTGTATTCCGCACGCTGCTCATCCGTGATCGCTATACGACCGCTGAAAATAAGGCTCGCCAGGGGACACTTTGACCGTAGCTTCCACGCTTTCTTTCCTTAACCAAACCTCTGCACAGTCCTCGTCGCCCTCTTCTTGAAACCAGCCAATGGCGTCAGCCACACCCTACCACTACTATATTACCTGTATGCTTCTTCCACCAACACTTATCCATGCGTCCCTTATTCTCATTCCTCGCTTCTTCCACAGGTACTGCCTCGTCGGAATCGCCATCTTGTTCACAGGCGTGCTCGTAAGATGGAGGGGGCTCGTACTCAGCTTAACGCGCTCTTCTCCAAGCAAGGCCGTGTCAACCGCTTCCGGACAAAGACAGTACGATGTATAGCATACCTCGAGCGAACGCGTATGAAGGACACATTACAGTATTCACCTAGCGAGTTCCAAGAAGCACAGGAGTCGATCGATTCAGAACTGAGCGGTCGAGCGTTGCGATTGCCTGCTCGTATTGAGTAGCCTTACTGGAGTTATGCTCCCACAGACCCCCTCGGTGGGCGCGTTGCGAGTTTTGGCTGGCGCGCACTCCTGCTGGCGCACATCCCAATGCAGCCCCATGCTCCCTGGCATAGAATATTAGTCGAAGCCTCAAATGTACAATTCAAATCTCACCCTGTCTTCTGAACAATGCCTTTGTAGAAGTTGAGAGGTGTCTGAGTTTTTATCAACGTTACACTTGGAAAATTGAAGGTAATTACAATATGCTTACCGAAAAGTCCATGCTCGTCGTGGGTTCACACACCAGTACATGCTATTATCGACGTAAATCTCCATGACTGGAAACCGTGAAGTGACCCTACCAATGTGAGCTTGGCCATCCTATCAGCAAAACGCAAAGAGTCGTTCTCTGCGTATTGTGAGGTGTTGAGAATTGAAGCAATAATAGGTAACATACGACGTGGACATCCACCACGGAATTCATCTTCATCCTCCCCTATACCATGCGGTGGTGAATCTGTGATAAGGATAGCGACCTTGGTAGCTTCATTCTTCCATTCCGCATCCAGGACACGAGCGAACACATCACGCTGAGCTTCGGGTCCGTAATCACCACCGTCTGCTTACAGATTCGCCAGATTCGCCTTAATAGCCAAAACGTCAGAGACGAAAGGGTATTGGCGGGTGATGTACGTGAAATCTTGCGTGGGGTAGTCGCGGAATGCTATAAGTCCAAATCTTAAATCACCACCTGACCATTTTCCAGTCGCAACAAGGCGTTCGCAGTGCGCACAGCGACTGGATGGTGTCTCTTACAGGGTGTGGACTTAAAATTTAAAATTTAGCGCTGAGCCACTGTGGCGGTATTGCCAACATTGATATTATGTAAGAGTTCAGCACAATCCTAATCTACGCGTCTCGCTTCAACTTGAAACTCCCTTGTCTTTAACTACCCGCCACGCACGTATTTTTGTCGTTGCCAGAATCTGCAAATGTTCGTGCTTGCACTCAATGAGTCTGTGCATTCAACTAACGTCACGTAGGGACGAGTCAGCCACGGTTGATTTCTTTGCCGTGCTGGGTAACGAACTTTACCACATTTCAGTATCTGCAAACAGTAGAATCGCGGATATCTTCGAATACCTCAAGTCCCGATATCCCGAAACTCATCCTGTCCTGAAGAGGATCTCGCACAAGCGATGCAAGTTCTACAAATTCAAAAACCCTGTAATAATTTCCGACGATGACTTGGACGACACCGACGTCGTCCAACAATGTCTGGATGAGCATAATTGGACAGAAGTGTCACCGAATAAATCTTTGAAAGCACTGGGATCAGAACTAAGAAACGATCATGTCTACTTGGTGATCAAGCCTCCGCAACTTGAAGGTACGCCGCTGCTGTATCTGCTGACAATTGACATTCTCATTCTCTTCTTCAGATGATACAGATCCAGCCATTGAGAATGTGCGTAAGCAAGACGAAGAGCTTTTTCGCCACTTGCAGGTCACCATATCAAAGCTGCAGTCATGGACCACGCAAGACGTTGGATATAACTTGGACGGTGGTACCTGGCTGATTACTAGCCAAGAACGACCAGATTCAATCGCTGAGATAGAGGATCGACTAGATCGAGCGCGTATATATGCTGTACCAAACACCGACCCGCCGTCTCATGCGGACCCCCATCCGAGGCTGTTATCAGGCTCAAACCCGTCAACCACTCCGATCGCATCCAGTAGATTGAACCCCCTCCCGGATGCGACGAGGGACCTGGAAAATGCCTCTAGTTACCAGGCACTTTTTGATAACATATTTGGGCCCACTTTGTTCGCGCCCACTGAGGACAACCCCGTCGATGTGAAGGATACCCGAGAATTCGCAGCCTTCTTCAGCGTCCTCCGGTCTTATCACCAAGACTCCGCTCTTCTTGAGAACGACTCCTCCTCCTCCCAGAAGGCTAGCAATTTCACTGTGCATTTTATATCACCACCTTTCTTTTCCCGTCGTAGTGAACATTTTAAATACAAGGAGTAAGTGGGATCAACTCGTTACAGTCCAACTAGCCATCATGGATTTTTCAGGCAGACGCCTTGGGGATTTCCCATCTTCCTGAATACTCGGGATAATTGCAACTCCTGGTGCAAGTTCCGCCCGACCAACGATTGCATGGTTTCGTCTACTTCGTTTCTGTGCCCTTTCATGATCTGTGAAGTGGTTTCACAGAAGAACGAGTCTGATCGATGCCGCATGCTAGTTCAAGGCATCGCTCTTGCGCGCGTAGGACAACACTTCATGTCAAGCGGAGAGAAATTCTTCGTTGTGGCAATTTATCTCCGTGCAAATTTGACTGTTGAAAGATATATCATTGCCCAGCCTGGTGAGGATAGAAAGGTCTGTCGCTCTGTCTGTCGTCGCTTTCTGTTTCTTATGCAGAGGCCAGGTATTCATTGCCCAGAAAGACTTTGACCTTAGAAAGGCCGAAGAGGCAGTCACATTCCTTCGTGAGATGTACAACCTCGCGGAGGAGCTCGACGATCTAGCAGGCAAACTTGATCCAAAGAACGAGAAACGCCTTGGCAACATCAAGGATGCTGCTCTCAAGGTGATTTCTCTCACGTCACAGGCTCAGCACAACAAAACACCTAGAACGACACTGGCCTCAGTCCCCGAAGAACATCGTGAAGCCAGTGGCGCTCAGGATGATCTCGGCGTCTTTGATGCTGATGACATTCAATATATTTTGAAAGAGATGGATTACAACATCTCGTTCATTGTGTTTGGGGTGTGTACCACCGCAATTTGTAATATGATAACATTGACAATACATCTTACAGCATCCGTTCCTAGCCTTGGTGTCAAATATCAAGGATGATTCTCAACAAGGATATCTGAAATTCGTGAAAGAGGGGCAAAGGGAGATCGAGATCTTGCGATACCTCATGGGAATTGAATCTCCTTCAAACTACACCATCTCGCCAGTCCAAATCTGGCCGGTGCAAGGGGGTAACGTCATATCAATGCCTATGGCTGGCAGCCACCTTACAAGCCTATACAACCCTAGCGCGCACCTATGGCCTGTTGCCAAGCAGCTGTTCGAAGCTGTTGACTTCATGCATCAGCATGGCGTGGCGCACCTGGATCTGAAGCCTCCAAATATCCTCCTTTCCACCGACGGCGGCCGCCTGTCTATAATCGACTTCAACAGATCCGTGCGCGTCAAAGGCACTGAACACATGTTCCACGGCGTCGTTGGAACCACCGGATATCTTGCGCCTGAAGTTGCGGCTGGTCAAGGCCTCTATAGCGCAATCCGTGCAGACTTGTGGTCCTGTGGAAAGACATTGGAGGAGCTGTGTTCCCTTTGTGGGTCATCCAGGGATCGCAATGCGCTACTCGAAATAGCTCGAGAGCTCATGAATGAAGACCCGAAACAGCGACCGATGATGTCAGATGTCTTGAAGAGGCTGGCGTATTACAAGGTCGATGCCAATACAGGACCAGGTTACTTCAGGTAAGGTGTTCCATTCTTGGCGTGTATGCCGCACTGTATGCGAGCATCCGTTTAATTGTTCTGGGCAATTTTTCCTCTGTCGCACCACCGGAAGTACACGCTTGAGCTCGACCCGCTTGTATACTACGTTTATCCCCAATTCTAGGCAAGAGCAGAAGATAATTCGACGGACAGCTCGATGGCCCAAGTATCCTGCATACCAGTTATACCCTTGTGTAGAAATGGGAATGTCGATCATACCGCAATAGCAGCCCAATGTACCTATACCTTTGCTCTGTCAGATGTTCTTATTAAGTCCGCTACGCAACTATAGGGCCGACCAAGTGCTGACAGGTACTAATCAGATCTGAGCAGATACATGCCGACCGTAGCTCGAGTTTCGCAAATACGTACCTAAGTTGAACTACTGTAACCCACCAATGTCATGCAACCCATTCCTATGTAAGTGAAGCTAGCCGCCAAGGCATATTCGGCGGTGCAATTTTCAAAGTCTGGATCAAACCGCTTCTAGAACATAGCTAGGAAAGTGCTTGTGTGACTTCCCAAAACGTCTTGCCAGTGGTCGAGACTCTAAGACCATCGTGCGATCATCATGATGGTTCTGGAACCACAAAATCAGTGAGCGTATAACATAGTTACCACACAAAGTCCTTTGGGGCCGAACTCAAGCCCTCCATTTTCACCTCGTACTAACGGAGCAATAGTTGCAAGGACTCCATCTCCTCATGAATGTTTTTAATCCTCGCATTCTTGATGCCAGCATCCGCGATGTGACGGGGTGTCTATCCGACACTCAAAAGGCTGATGTTATGCTCCACGCCTTGCAGCATTTGCCGTCCGAAGGGTACGCGTCCTGCTATTACTCTACTTATATAAAATCTAGATTTGATGTGCATCACAGACTGTTCATCATCAATGAAATGACATACGGTCACCGATTGTGAACGTGCGAGCTGAAACGAAGGAATATTATTACATGCAGACGCGAGTGGCTATAAAACTAAACACTTACGATGTTTTGCAGTGCACGAATGATGTGTAATGCTGGGTATGAGTTCGACGGAAATTGATGGATCACAAGTGATGAAAGATGAGTGAGGGGGAGTTTATTCACTGAAGATACAGAAGGTAAGGAGAGGCTTTTATATCTAAGTGAGTGGCGGTACAAGTAGTCAGCGGAGTAGCACTTCGAACCGCAAGTGTTGGCTGCTGTACTTGCGATTCGAGACGCGTCTCTGTCACAATAATAATACGTTTTTACATTTTGTTGGTCACGGACCTCGGAAATTCGTTTGGTGGGCAGCTCTATATTAGAGACTCTACTTTGCAGTGGCATGCACACCTCGAGGACAGTTGAATCAAGTTTACGCATCGCTGTTGCATCTATCATACAGTAAGCTTTACATATACACTCAATGTACTCTTAGATTTATGCAAACACAAAGATACCAACACCTCATCTAAACAAAAAGCCATCGTCCCAGACCATCCGCCCACCCAGAAAGTTCAGCCGTCGCCTTACCAGCAAAAGTATCGCGCAACAATTCGACAACACCAGCATCGTCGGCACCTTCGGGAGGCGTCTCGGGTGGTGTCGCAAGTCGTTGAGGCTGGTTGTACGGCGAGAGGATGCCGAGGCCGCTGCCGCCGACTGATGTGAGGTAGGGCACGAAGCTGTTCGTTGACAGCGCTGCCATCAGCTCGCGAAGACTGGATTCTGAGAGGTCTTTGGAAGAGTGAGTGGAGGTCAAGGATGAGCAGAGGGGACTTACTGTCAGGGACCAGTGTGACTGCGCACCCACCACCTCCGGCACCAGTGAGTTTTGTGCTGAGTGCATATGGAGGGGATGCGGTCTTAGAGCGGATGGCTTCAAGAGAGGGATGTGATACCCCGAGCTTGACGAGATGGCCGTGGTTCTCATCGATGAGAGCCTGGAAGCGCGAGCGTTATCTTTTGAGAGTTCTGGAAAGGAATGGGGGGACGTACAGACAGAGCTGACAATAGTGTTTCTCGTGATAGGTTGGGATCAGCAAGCGCTCGCTGCGCCTCGTCGCTGATGCTCTGTATGGCATTGAGCAGCCCATCGACGAACTCGGGCTCTTGCTCTTTCAAGGCAGCCACACCAGCCACAAGCTGCTTCGTGTTCCTCGGTACCCTCGAGTCCGTCAGGAGGAATTTCAGAGACTTGAATCTGAAAAGCAAGAAATCAGAAACTCCACAAATTAGATCAAGTAGTGTGAGGCATACCCCTGGATCGGGATCATGCCCGATTTCCTGCCAAACCCTGCTCTGGTGTATGACAGTGCGCCGCCGAATACCGCAACAGAGTTATCTACGCCACTTGGGTTACCGTGCAGGATTTTCTCGCTCACGAATGCCCATCGGTTAACCTCTTCAGCAATCGCAGGCGGTATTGCGCGCCGGCCCTGGTGGGAGATATGGATGTGACCAGCAGTGGTCGGGGCGGGCTGTGCAGGAAGCTGAATGCGTGAGTGCAAAAGTAAGAGAGCGGTAGCTGCGCAGGCGGAGAAAGATGCGGAGGACCCGAGGCCTGCTCCGACAGGAAGCGTGGCGCGAGCGGAGAAGTTGAAGGAAGGTCTGACGACTTTTGATGAATCATCGAATGAAATTCATGTAGCGGAAGACTCACCTGATCCCGCGTTGTGCCATGATCATGTACATGTACAGGAACGCGACGCACGCCTGCCGTGCACTTGGATTTGCGAGAACTTCGGGTGACAGCGCACGAGTAGTGATTGCATCAACGAGCTTGTGGTCCAGAGAGTCAGGGTGTGCATCACCGACTCGCACAGGAGTGACGGCATCCCAAGGGAGATCATCCACTTCCCACTCTTGCGTGAAGTTATCGATATCGATGTAGTGCACACTGACTTTGCCATCGTGGCGAGGGTTCGTGACGCCATAACACCGGAGATCCACACTTGCAGCAACTGCCGTCTGCAACATCTGTCAACGAACGCGCAGAGAAGAGAAGGTAGGAAAGCACTCACAACACCGTGCACCACGGCGTGTTCGCCGAAAAGGATAACTTTTCCTGGGGCGCTAACGAACCACTCTCTTTCCTCATTGTCGAGCTCTGTCGCGTGTCCCGCAGACTCATTGAATGCGAGTTTCTGGACGGCGCGGGAGATGGCAGTGCCCTCGGAAGGAATGGTCCGAACGTAGCGCTGGTGTGAGTCCGCCCCTGCGGTGAGGGTGATCGCTCCAGCCTCGAGCAGGGCACGTTCAAGGTCGTCGAGGAGGTCAGCGGGGTCTTCGATACCAACACAAAGTCGAATCAGGTCCTCCGGCAGGCCACGCTCAGCACGCGTAGCAGGGTCAATAGACGCGTGTCTAGAGAATCATCAGTAAAATCGTCGAGGAAAATTTAATAAAAGAAACATACGACATGACGCATGGCATGCTGATGAGGGAATTCACGCAACCAAAGCTGACGCTAATGCCCCACAGACGTGTCGCGGCGACAATGCGCTCGCTTACAGCCTTGTCGCCGGTGGTAAAACTGAGGACGGCGCCATAGCCGTCCGCAATTCGCTCGTGTACATCACGGTTAGGGTGGTCTGCAAGACCGGGGTAGTGGACTTTGAAACCAAGGCGGTCGAGCATTTGAGCGACAAGCATGGAAGTAGCTTGCTGGCGATCCATGCGAATAGCAAGAGTCTTTGATCCTCGTAGAAGGAGGAAACAGTCGAAGGGAGTGAGCGCATTTCCGGCAGCGTTTACGATGAATGACATTTGCTGATTCGGATATGAGCAAGGGTCATAAAGCAAAGGCTGAATCACATACCTTGGCAAGGTCATCCCTGTTGCAGGTAATTACACCGGCCATAAGGTCATGATGTCCACTGAGATATTTAGTGGCGCTATCATAAACGATATCTGCGCCATGCTCGAGGGGGCGTTGCAAGTAGGGACTCATCATGGTATTGTCGACCACAATGACGGCATTGGGGGCGCGTTCCTTGATATCGGCAGCTATGCGTGCAAGGTCGACGATTTTGAGAAGAGGGTTAGTTGGACTCTCGAGGAGGACCATAGCAGTCTTTTCAGGATTGACGTGAGGAAGGAGAGTGTCAGGTTTGGTAGTGTCTACATGGTGCACGGTGATACCGCCATGTGTCTTGAGATAGGTAAGAATGCGATTAGTACCACCGTAAAGGTCATCTCCTGCGATGACTTCATCACCGGGTTTGAGCATGCGCAAGATGGTATCGAGGGCAGCCATGCCAGAAGACACAGTAAGGGCATGAGTTGCAGATGATATCTTTGCAAGATGATGTTCTAGACAGTATATTGAGGCTATTAGCGGGTTTACGATGGAATTGAGACTGACCTAGATGACTGCGAGTTGGGTTTCCACTGCGAGAGTAATCGTACTGTCCATTGATACCTTTAAAAGTTGAAGTTTGGTATATTGGTACAGAGCTAGAGCCATATTGATCTTTCTGAGAAGGATTCTCTACTGTCGCACAGAGGGTAGAAAAACGGTAAGGCTGGCGAGGTCTACAAGGAGATTCTGGTTCTGGAGTTGGTAGATCTTGTACAAATATCTTGGGATTAATAGTCGGAGTCATCTTGAAGTGGGATTGAAAGAAAGAGGTGAGACGATGACCTGCTGTCTATTAACTTTCCTCAAATCTCATCATCTATGAGACCATTTTCATCACGTGACTCCTATATTATCCTTATCCGGTTCCGAATAACTCATTTTCGCCATTATTTGCGAAATTCTTTCTATAAATGGATTGTTTATCAGATTGCGTGCTCGGATAGCTTCACTGGTCTGATCTTCATGGCACCGAAGAAAGCAAGAGAGCAAGGTATGTATGCTCTGCTGTTCCAGTGAAATTCATTGTTAATGCCACCAAAGCTTTAAGACACGTCAACGCCCCGAAGCAGATACTCGCCCCAGACGTCATTGCAAAACGCACCAAACGCCATCTAGAAGAGCTCGAGGTGACAGCTCAAATACAACCGTTCATCTCCAGCCCTAAGTCTAACCATTTTACAGCGTTCCAATTATACAGAACCTTCAATCACCCTTGACGATGATGACGAGGCGGCCATAAGTGGCAAGAATCGCGTTCGCCAGATCGTCTCTGACAAACGCCACCTCAGCGACCCTAATGCAAAAAAGAAAAAGTCGTCCACAAAAGTTCGAACCGCACTCCTATACCGCAAGAATCTCACAGCTTTGATTGAAGAATCGGTTGGTGGATCTTCTTTCCAGACTCATCTCCAATACTGAGATTATATTCAGCGCATAGCGCATCTTCCTTCCCACGTCCCAACATATTTAACAGCTGCCGCTCCTCCCCCTCAGGTGCCTCCACGTCTTCTATGCTCCGTGTGTGGGTACAAGGGCGCGTACAAGTGCAAAAAGTGTGCCATGCCATACTGCGACATGAACTGCGAGAGCGTCCATACTGAAACACGCTGCGAACGTCGCGTCATCTGACACTCCCCATAGTGATATTGTCGACATTTCGTCCACATCTTTTATTCTCTGGGCGAGCTTCTTCTGCCATCGCACACAGGAAAGCCAGAGCTATCGAGTACCGCTACAGTTAGTGTAAGCTCTTAGCTTCCCTCAACCTCCAAGCTTGTTCCATTGATTTGGTATACCAAATTGGATCAGACAGTTTTCTCCTAGCTTTGACAGGCGTTGCGTCACCGACTTATGAAGGGTGGTAGCTAGTAATTCCTTCCTGCAGTCTTATTCGGTGATGACAATGGCGCTGTTACCGTTGGAACCCGATTGTAGGAGGAAATTTAGCCAACTTGTTATGGCTTACATAGTTCCTCGTATGTCTTCGGCGTTTAACCGTCGTTTCGTGGAAATAGTGCGTGTCTCATTGTTTCCACAAATCGACCATGAAACACAGAAGAATATGAGGACCCCCTCCCCACAGCACTCAGATAGTCAATTCAATCTATGAGATAGACCACGGCGTGCTAGTAGTTTGTCACCTTCGATGCAGAAAAGGTTGTGGGCAGTTGAAATGGTCTCGTGCGTGAACTAAAGCTTATCAAGAGAACACATGATGGTAAGAATACCATTGTCTAACTCTCACCAATTTCCGAAATTCGAGCATATCCTTTCATACATATACGAAATGCACCGCATCCAACCGTAACAAATAAAATACATGGTCTAGTACCGATCCGAAAACAAATGAAACGTGCGATCAGTGTGAAGGAAGTGCTCTTGGGATGTGTTATGTATGCAACAAAAGGGGTCGAAAAAAACAAACAAATGTCGATGTCAAACGTGGATATCTGGTCATGTCACTATGTAAACGGTGTAATATATGTACGTGAAGCAAGTCTGTAGATGGGCCTACAGATTTGCTTGAACAGTATCACGAGAGCCCTATCTTGCGGAACATCTCTTCGAGCGTTTTGAATGCTACTGGTTTGACGAGACTAGAATGAATGAGATGTTAAGTACTGCAGGAGGTTGGAGAAATGACGACCATGCTTACTATCCGCTCATACCAGCTTCGAATGCCTTGCGTTTATCTTCGAGCGATGACATCCCAGTCAAGGCTAGGATGACGCTTGGCTGCCGGCTTTCTCGAGCCTTTTCAAGCTGGCGGATCTCGACGGTGGCGCCCAGCCCTGAGAAAATGTGAGACAACATTTGAATAAGTCGGACGCTGAACACACCATCAAGGATGGGCATAGACAGATCAAGAAGAACGACGCTACATTTGGGTGATCAGTCAGTCGCAACCATGCAAAGAATATCGCCCTACTCGAATGGTCCTTCAGATTCAAACGTGTCGACTCCCTGTCGACCATCAACTGCCTCGCGATAGTCAAATCCCTTGTATAAAATGAGTCGATTATTTGGCTACCAGATGGGTAACGTTACCTTCTTTGTCAACCACTTGATACTGGGGGGGCTCATCAGTTAACAGCAGACACAGCAGACTTGAGCCACGCACAGTAAACTTCGTAAGATATTGTTGTCCTCAACTACAAGCACTTTTGGATGAGGACGATCTAAATCCAGGGAACGAACCGACGACTCCAGGAGCATCCCGTCTGTACCGATAGTCACCGTGGAACTTGACATGCTTGAGATTGAGCCTTCAAGCTCAGTGTCCTCCGGAGAGGATGGTACCTCCTCGAAATCCGGCGAGGGAGGAGCAGTATTGTCAGGTGCGGAGATGGGAAATTCGAGAGTTGAGCGGCTATGTGAACCCCAATCAATGCTCCTTCGGCGAAGCCGGTCTGGACTCGATAACTCGTCTGTGAGCATGGAGGAGTGCAGAGAGATGGTATCATCTGAGAACCTAGAGCTGGCAAAGCTTGGCAGACGTTGTTGACGTCTTTGCCTGGCTCGAAGTAGTTGCTTCAGCGCAGCGCGCAGTCGGAACGGTCCACCTGGTTTGTGAACGATGCGGCAAAAACCACCAAAGTTCTCGTAGGCGCCGCAAATCCCCATGACCCTCGGGCTGCCTCTGCTTGAAGACAAGATAATGAACGACCGACGGTAGTCCATTTTCTCAAGAGCGGTAACAACAGGCGACGAGTCTTCGTTTATGATCACGATGTCGCTCAACTCACCTCCGTCAGTCTGCACTCTGAATTTCCACCAGTCCTGGAGGTACTTGCGAAGCACATCACTGAGCATCTGAACACCCTTACTCTTCTGCTTGAACCCAAGGAAGGTAACGATTGGGGCAGCGCCGTCGAACATGAAGGGTGATTGTAGAGGACTTGCACCATCTTCCAAAGCCTCTGCTTGGAAGGTGATCTTGATATCTGTACCAACGTTTTCTTCGCTGGATACTTCCACTTTTCCTCCCACACTGGGAGACTGGACAATGCTGTTGACGATCGCGAGGCCTAAACCTGTTCCAGCTTGTAGAGGGTTCTCCTGCGAAAAGGGATGGAACAGGTGATTCTGAATTCGCCGTCAGTGCATGAGGGTCTTCAATCTGTCAAAACAGTCACCTTTAGGAAGTTTTGGCTAATACCCTATAGCAAATGTCAGTATTTGAACGAACCACTGCACCGAAATCAATACCTTTCCCGTATCGCTGACGCACAACTCCACCATACCAGGCTCATCATCTGGCGCTTCGCGTAAAGATACGTGAACGTATCCGTCCTGCACAGCCATTAGGAAGCACTCGTAAGATGCATTTAATCATACTTACAGTCGTGAACTTCAGGCTGTTTCCGAAAAGATTCATCAACACCCTTCGAATACCACCTTTGTCGCACTTCAATATCCATCCCTGCACAAGTGTCAGTTGTCAATAGGAGAGGACGCCTCGGAGGACTTACGCTTTCACGACGGTCGATGTCGACAATGATCTCCACGTGCTTCGAAGAAGCTGGAGCAGCCATAACGCTTGCAGATCGCTGTTCCATAGCTGGAGCATAAACACTCCCAATTTCGGAGTCGCGAATGGAAGATGTGCGGGCACAGTGTCCAATCCAAGATCCGTCGATTGCCTCTTCGACGAGTTGTTCGAGATCCACTCTACAGGCCAAATCATAAGCAACAACAAGTACAAAAACCTATCCTAACTCACGTGCTCCTTGTGATAACGTTGTCCACGCCACCTGCCTTCATATTGCCGCTGAGTTTCGTGAAGTCGAGGACGTGGTTCACCGTTTCGACAAGTGATGTCCCACACGCCTGCACAGTGTGCAGGAAAGAAGTCTGACTATGGCTTAATGAAGTATCGGAAAGCAGTTCAGCCGCAGCCAGAATCTACGCAGAACCATCAGGAGGAAGGCATGCCGATAAAAGCGTCAAGCCTTACCCCATGCAAAGGAGTACGAAGCTCGTGAGAGATGCTGTCAGGAGGAATTAGTAAGTTGCCCATCAAAGCGAAGCATGCACCAAACTTGGAGATGAATAGACTTTTCGCTTGATCGGCCAGCATCATCCTCCTCTTGAGGACAGCAGAGAGAATGATGACACCTATCCTCTCTGAGTAATTGAGATGAAACTCAACCAACCAACCAACCTATAGCACGGAGATAAGACAGTTCATGTCCTTCAAGCTGAGAATGAAGTCAGCACAGAGATATCTTACTGAACTAGCTGGATCCTTACAAATCGTCGCGATGGATCAGTGGCATTGTAAGCACAAATCAAGGCAAATGGCCTTTTGTCGATATTGAAGACAGGAACAGCTAGTGAACGTAATTAGTGGACTAGAAGAGCATCAAGATAGAAAAAGACATACTAAGTGCATACTGTATATGCGTTGGGATAAAGGGACGGAAGCAGACTGGTAAAATGCCTTCAGAGACCTTGCCATCAGGATATTGGTCAAAGAACGCATTTAGCTTGTGGTATTCATCCGCCGTCAGCGTGCGAGACGTTGGTCGGGAATGCGGATCCCCACGATGCATGACAACAGATATCGTTGCTTCGGCACTGAGCGTCTCCAGTACTTCGCAGTGTGAAACATCCATAACTACCACCTCCTCGACATCTAAAGTGCGCTTGACAAGTCTGGCGGCACGATCGTACACTCTGTCCATGGACGCATTAGCGTAAGGATCGTCATCTAAGCTTCCGTCTTTCTGGTCAATCTCAAGGCACTCTCGACTAAACTGCTCCATCTAAGATGCGGTGAGTTCATGTACAGCGGATGGTGCTAAGGAAGGTAGTGCTCACGGAGGTTTGAATTTTGTCACGTATACGCAGTTGGATCTGGATTGAAGTAGGGTTAATTCAGGGTGTAAGACAGCAGCTGACCCAACTCACTTTGTCACGCCACAATTCCATCTCACGCATTACAACGGCCTAGAGCTCGTGTCAACAGATTCAGAATCGATTGAATCGAACCCACGTGCCGCAAATTCCTTCAAAGTGTGTCGTTGACGAGGGGCGAAATCCTGACGCGGCGAATCATCGATCAAAGAAAGACTGCAAGGCATATCAGGTCAATCGCTCATGCCACGTGGATAGGGACTCCAGTTACCTCCCAATGTTGAATCCGTCGGATGTTCTCAGCGGAGCCCCAGCATAAAAGCGAACGTTCGGAAATTCGGTAACCAGAGGCTACGCCATTCGGTACATTCGTCAGATGAACGTAACAAGGTTTCACTTCAACTAACATTCTTGGCAAACCGCCAATCTAACTTTGTGTCCAGGATAACAGTCGGTTCGTCACCCCTGCAGACAATAAAACACGGAGTTATCAGAAATCAATAGATCCGCACCTTTGCAGTATAGCGTGTGCACAAAAGGACGTCAGTCTCGCACTGCGCTTCAACGTCATCCCACCTGCAAAAGATTGAAGATACACGTGGGTGACAGTAATTGAGCACCCTACACTGTGATTTGAACCATCTGTAAAGGTGATTACCAACAAATTCACGTGGAACTCAGACTAATACTCACTGCTCTGTGCCGTCGATTAGGGATATGTACACGCATTTCGTGTTGAACACAAGTTTTACCAGATGTGCAATGCGATCGAAGTTAATATCGGGACCAGTGTTCCAGAGGTTAAACCTATTTCATATGCTTCCTGAGCTGACCTTCAAAGGTGAAAAACGAATATACTTGTATAGAGCGCGTCTTCGCTCGAGCTCGTCCGGAGGGTTGGGCGGAGCTAAATAGCCAAGTTCTAGGAACATTTGCTCCTCCTTTGCAGACCGGCCAGCACGAAAACTATTGACTGTGTCTGAGACTGATCGTCCTCCTGGCAAGCCACGATCTCTGCCGTAGCTGTCGGGTAGGGGAGAAGAAGTTTGCCTTGTCAAGCAAATCCTTCGTGGAAGAGGAGGTGCCGTACAAACGGCGAGTTCCAGTGACCCGGAATCACGCCTATGGTTTACGTACTCCTGCCAAAGTTGAGCGGGGTCGGGGGTTGAGGAATCTTTATCTGAAGCGGATGTACTGACTGCGGTGAAGTAATCGCCTTCTTCTGTCGGCTCAGGCGAGTAGTTACGCTGCAGTGTAACAGAGGCTGGCGGTGGAAGAGTCAGAGACAGCTCTCCCTCGGCTACGTTGCGTAATGGGGTTCTGGGTAACGATCCGGGTAGGGTGGGCACGCTTAATTCATCTTCAACGTCTTGTGTACCCTCCCAGAAGCTACCAGTGCGGATGCGAGACATGCCGGGCGTTGTCGGATGGGCGGGGGGGCTACTGGCAGTCGGATGTGATCCTGGTATTGCCGCATGCACACCTCGCATTGGATCTGTTAGCTCATGCTCAGGAGAGGGCAACGCAAGAGGAGCCAAATTAACGCGGGCTGCTGCCCATCGCATAGTTGCAGCTGCAGTAGTTGCCTCCGGACTAATGCTGAAGGGTTGTGCCCCATCTAAATGGAGATGCATCGGCTGCGCTCCTGTTGCATGTCGTAGATCTGTGAACGACTTGCGGAATCTGCGACCGCTGAGCGACAATGACTTCGGTGTAATCTTTGATAATAACTTGTTAGGGTATATGGATGAGGGAAAATCAGAGACAATCACTACTTTCTCGGGAGCGTACTTGAAATCTGTCTCATTGATACCGCCATAGGATACCGGAGAAGTAAGAGCCTGATAGGCGGGCGATACAGAAGCCGAAGCCTGCCCAGAGAGCACTGATTCGACGATGATCGGAGCGGGATCACGTCTCATCACAAAATCGTTTCGTCCGGAGCCCTCCCGCATAAGAGGAGGGGACATTGCTGAACGAGGATGACGAGGCGTTTGATGAGGATGCCACTGACCCGATGCGTAAGCGGTCATGAAGGTAGCCCAATCATGCTCGCCTCCATCTATATCGGGAGGAGTATCACCAGGAGTACTTGTCGCCGCCAGGGTTTCAAAAGTACTACCAGAGGGAGCTGAGTGAACTGACACTATTTAGAGGACACTCAGAATTTACGTGGATCGGAACGGGGAGGCACACACCCATGGCCGCAGGGCATGCTCCAAACGACTTCATGGATAAATCATCGGTGTCCTGAGAATTATCTACGTCCTTTGGAGAAATCTGTCACGGTGGTGCAGTGACCCTACAGTATCCAAAAGATATACTTACACGAGGATCCAAGTTCCTGGTGGTGTGGCCATCAAGTAAACATGGTACCTGGGGCGCAGGGGGGAGGTATGCTTTGATGCACTCTGCCACAGAGGCAGTTGCTGGTCGTGGAAGCCGGGGGTTCTTCTCCTTCGCCTTTGGCAGACGTGGAATGGGCATTTGAAATGAAAAGGGCTTTGCGAGAGGTAGAGATGATAACTGTGGATCTAGGGCTGTGTCAGTTATTGTCGAGGACGGCATGGTAGTTCGACGTGTTTATGTAGTATGGATGCACTGTGACCTTCTAGTAGCCGTGAAACAATTACTAGGTGCAGCTACGCGACGATCACTGACTGGAAACTGTAGTCATTACCCGGAGGATGCTGAAACGGGAAGTCAGCCAAGATTCGGACGAAGCGATAAATGATATTCACGAACAACAGTACCAGTAGTGAGGTTGAGGACAGAACGTCCAGCCCGTCGTCGGTGGTGATGGTCAAGAGTAAGGATGACTTGTTAAGTCGGTCTCCCTCATCGAAGAAGGGTTATTGACCTGCTGACTAAGCGCCCCACCAGCACACCCCGTGCCTCAGTTGACGTCAGGACCAATCAGGAACCGAAAGGACAAATCCAGGCCTTCCAATTTTGTTGGCATGTTTAATGAATTGTTAAGATGAGGAATCGTCTTCTGTCAAGTTCGTAATGCTAATATCCAATAATAACGTATGTTGGCAACGCTACACATCGACAGCCACAAGGAAACTCCACATATACAACGGCAGAGTCAAGTTATCGTTCTGCTCTGACAGGGCCTCAAGCGCACATGACAGAGTGACCACAATGGTATAGCGCAATGTCTGCGGTTTCATGAGGCGTTACAACGAGGGGAATCGGAAGCAGACGAAACTCACCGAAAATTCCTCCGTAAGCCCGCAGAGTCTCAGAAGCCACGCGCTACCCACGAGGGACAGCACAAATGCGGCACTACCTTCTAGGGTCTTGGAGGATGTTGAAGACCAACGGTGCCGACCAATGCGTTTGCCAATAATAGATGCCTGAAATTCAATTGACCAAAATAAAATACACTCCAAAAATCAATCAAAAGAAAAAAAACTAACCAGAGCGTCGCCAATACCCAAAGCGAGGATACCGGTATATTGTAGCAACCGCGATGGCCTACAATAGTTTAGATCTCTGCTTGGCACGTTATTAAGATCCAAGACGTACTCTTCAAGCCACAGTGAGCCCGCGCAGCCAGTAAGCAGATAAAAGTGACTGAGGATGGCAGTTCCGCTGTCCTTTTGCTCGAGGAACTCGTTCATGAACAAGTGTACAGCAGCACCGAAAGGATAAATGGCGAAGTATCTGACATATTCTGCAAAGATAAAGAGCGCAAAGGCTGCGCTGAAGGCCAAGTGAGTGAATGCGGGCTACAGATACTCGTGAGACCACTGATAGTATGGGCAATAGAAGGCTACTGACATCAACAGCTACACCAGGCAGAAACATGACAACGGCCAACGCGTGGAAAAACTTGCGCCTTGCGTTAATGCCAAGCGTCGGAACATGCTTATCTGCAGCATCCAACAATTCGGTGGCGACTTGCGAACTATTGGACAGATTAGGGAGATTAGCTAAGTTGGGGAATGTAAGCCCAAGAGCAGTAGTGGGAGCGGACGAAGTTGCTGGAATCTCCTGTGGTTTCTGATTCGCGGCGAATGGAACGATCACGTTATCTTGGGTACCCCCACTCGTATTTCTATGCCTGTACCGTCTTGACCTTGACAGTTGTCGGTTCCATCCGGCAACACTGATGCTTCCAAGAAGGCCCCAGTATGCAAGAAGCATGGGTCGACTCCACTTCTTACGCCCCTCAAGGAGCCAAAAGATAGTCCATAACCATGGGTTCCTACGTCCGAGGTTCCACCACGTCCACGAACCAATGATTCCTACTACAATGATTACGGTTCCGACGTAGAAACCCGCGGCAAGGGCACGTCGATGCCGTTGCTTCTCCTGTGGGAGTCGAAGACGTCTCACGGGTCGTTGTGCAATGTGCCTTGATAGGGCGAGAAGTGGAGAAAGCAGGAAGCCAGTAGTGAAGGAACCTGCGATCAGCGCAATCTGGAAAATCAGCAAGGGTGTCGGCAAGCGGTATGTCTCGATGAATGGCGCTGTTTTCGGCCATATCTTAGGAAGAAGTCAGTGCGAACAATTTTTCGGGATTAAATCTTAACCGACCCTCGCTCTAGTCAATCCCAACAGTTCCGTGGCCAAGGACAGCCCGCCGAAGCAGACAACAGCCAATTCACCTAGGGTGAACCCACCGTGCGCTAGGCGAAGGGCAAGATATAAGCACATTTGATAGAACAATGAACCGATGCCAATATCGAGATAGCTGATATCTGGTAAAATCAATGTAAACGTCTCCTGAGAAAAATTAAAGATGGAATTAATTCACTTCGCCATATAGGAATCTCTGCTAGCGCAAGAACATATCGAACTGTAATGGCCAACATAGTCATGCCGAAAGTGAAGAGCACGTAAAACCACGTCCTGCGCATTTCACTGCGAGGAACAGAGCCGCGCTCTCCCTCAGGAACACTAGGACGTCCGCGATAGCGTGTCTCAATGATCCACGAGGAACATACTTGGGCCAATAATATAAACGAACACAATGTGGAATAATCCACCAGACCACGACGAGACTGCACGAGGGCCTCGATAGCGGAGGCAGGTGACCGAGGGTTATGGAGTACACTGGGAGCTTCTATCAACCAGTGAGGGGGAAGAAGATTGGGATCAGACGAAGGGGAGTGAAGCTGCCGCAAGGCTGAGTACAATAGTGCTAGTGTAATCATGGGTGGGAGTAGGAGCCCTGTGAGGACGCCATCATTCGAAGACTCCCTGTGGGGAGTTCATTTCAGTGAAAATGAAAGCCTAAGGAAATGGACATGCCTGTAATTTTTTGGAACACTCATCCAAATGAAACTGAAGCGCGGTTTAACTGTAGGCGTTAACAGGGAACCAGTGCGTCGGATTTCCCGAGTTTCAGTACGAGGGGATGCTGTGCGACGAGACTCTAGAGCAGTAGGTGGAGTGGCGTTGGAGTGCGGTAGTGTTGTGTGCGCCCGTATAATATAAATTATAGCTGTAATAAGGAGGATATACATTTCTGCGATTGTAAATTAGTACTGAGACAAACCTTCACGGATGTGCAAATAATATATTCACCTGCGGACATTGATGAATCGATGGTGTGAAGAGTGTCATCAGAGAGTTTCTCGTTGAAAAAAGCTAAAGACCCGATGAGGAGAAGTGATTCTCCCATATATCTAGTGTCCATGCAAAATGTCCAAGTACCAAGGGAAGGGAGGGAAAGGCTGGCAGATATCATTGCTGGCAATAGAGTGTGCACAACTGGAGGCGGCTTGTGCCGCTGAGGAAATGCAGAAGCGCCAGGTGGCGGGTGTGTTCCATTAGTTGCATTGTTGAAAACTTGTGGGTGAGGTGATCGAGACCGAGTGAATGATATTCTTCGCTGTAAGGAACTGATTTGCTTGCCCTCGTTGGAGCAATCATGAGGCATATGGCCAGACGTCTGTTGGGAAGGAGACGTTGGATGCCGCTTCCTCCTGATAGAATCTCGAACGTCCTTTTGCAGGCTTTTTTGCGAAGGACGACGCCCTCGAGCCCCATTGACATGAAGCTCGTCATCCGAATCCTCCTCAGCTGTGTCACTAATTGACTGATCGCTGGGTTGAGTATGGTGTGTGAGCCCCATGATTACTTAGTAAGGTGAGACAATTCCTACCTTGAAGATCCTGCATTGTAGGTTGAGCTCAAGTCAACATTACTACGGTCCGGTTGAACAGCTGCCGCTGTGACTCCAACCGACCCCGGATGACGTCTCGCAGGTCTGGAACTCAAGAATTGTCTTCTTGATGAATCCGTGCGCCCATATGGATTTGGTGCAGACGGCGGCGAAGGTGAAGAGTTTGAGCGCGGCAGTTTGGCGGAATGTCCTTGGAAAAACTATAGACTATGTGTGAACGAACCTGGGACGAATGAAACAAGGACAAGCAAAAGACACCGAAATCGCCCGTTATGGCATAAGCAATTAACGCAACGCGACTCCGCGAGGGTCCGTGTCGCGTCCGTTCGCTAGACCCAATTGCGTTTCTCTCTCTCTCATTTTCTTTTAGCGTCATGTCTGATGATAAACGCGTCGTTTATCTAGAAGACGTCGAAACAGCAGTGCTGTCGACTGCGGATACTAAAAATATAACTGTTACGCCTAGTTCATCGCAAGATGGCTCAGTCAAGGCCACAGTGACGACGCAGGCAACAGGCACGCTCAAAAGGCAGCGCACCCTTATGGATATGATTTCTGGACCACAGAATTCCAAAAGTGCAGAACCAGCGACTAAGAAGCTGAAGTCGTCGTCAAGCTCCGGCTCTGCCAAAATTGCCGTGGTCGGAGTCAACGTTCAGCGCTTGAATGCGATACCTTTCTCCTTGTCTCAATACATGGAATCTATTCCGGAAGATCACAGACATTTGCTAAAGCTAGAAACCGAATGCATGGGCAAGAGTTGGTGCGTAAGGCGTTCACATAACAACGCTGCGGTACATCCTGTTCTGATAAGACGCCGCGTCAATATATTTTCCGCTGACGCGAACCATTCTTCAGGTTGAAACTTCTAAAGGAAGAGATCAAAAAACCATATTTTATTTCCCTCAAGAAGTTCCTGTGGGAGGAAGGGGTCCATGGGCCTGAAGATAGCGTTAAATCTCTCAAAGTATACCCTTCACGTATGTTATCCTTCGCGAAGAGATCTAATGAGCCGAGCACTGAGCCGCGAGCAGCAAAAAATATTTATGCGTGGTCCAACACGCCTCTTGGAAAGGTGAAGGTCGTAATCATTGGCCAGGACCCCTACCACGGTCCGAATCAAGCCCATGGTGAGCCGTCCATATACCGCTCTTATGGTCAGTCCCAGCTTACATGGGCGTCACACGACTTTCAGGCCTCTGTTTCTCCGTCCCCAAGGGCGTCACTGTGCCACCTTCTTTGAGAAACGTGCGCAATCTCTCACCGGTAATTGATTGTCATGCCTGATTGCTCCATTCTAGATCTATGCTGAGATTAAAGCCGAGTGCCCGGAGTTCGAACCTCCTAAGCATGGGTAAGCATCAGATAAGGTCGAGGTCCGAATGATGTATGTACTGACAAGGGCTTCTGGACAATAATCAGTAATCTAACGGCGTGGGCTGAGAACGGTGTCCTCATGTTAAACACCTGCCTCACTGTGAAGGCAAACCAAGCAGGATCCCATTCCGGCAAGGGCTGGGAAGAATTTACTGACAAGGTCGTCGACGTGGTTGACAAGTATGGCGGTGCCAATCTTTCGTCCGGCGGTGATTCCGACATGAACGGGATTGGGCGCGGTGTGGTATTCTTGGCTTGGGGGTCATGGGCCGCAAAGCGGGTGGCCAAACTTAACAAGGTGAGTTCATCAAGACCCACATCGGGTGGCGTTCGAGCGCTGACCGGAAACGCCCAGACAAAACACTTGATTCTTACTAGTGCCGTGCGTCCTTGGAGGCTTGTTTGGTTGTGTTCTTGGCTGACTTCTGAAATAGCACCCTTCGCCCTTCAGTGCTCACAAAGGCTTTCTGGGCAACGGTCATTTCGAGGCTGCGAATAACTGGCTCGAGAAGAAATATGGACCTGGCGGCAGAGTCGACTGGTGCAATCTGGACTAATTGAACTAATCAGTGCGCATACGATACCACACTTGTTAATATACCTACAGGACACTGCCTGTACATATTGTATACACCGCGTAGTTTTCGCTAGTGGGTCTCAAATTGTTGGCGCTCGAGAAGGACACTGCATAAGGTGAGTCACCGTGACATGGCGAGAGAATCTAGTTAGCGCCTCTTGTGAGTGCAATAAAATATTTATGCATATGCTTGCAATATGCTTGCACAGATCTTCAAGAATCTCAGAAGTTCTCACGATTGATCGCGGTCGGAAATAATCACATGCCGATACCCACCGATGGATACCACCATCCATCAGATGTGCTGGACGAAGGATTTTTTTGTTCCGATGCGGTTCATGCTGTCCCATGATGCGTCCTCGGAGGCGGTCGCCAGCAAAACACGAAAAGGTTTCCTTGGCGTGGGACCTTTTGTGCAAGTACTATATTTGGCTATCTGTGGTCGTACCGGCTCGTGGCTGTACTGTGCCTGTCACCTTAATCGCTTAAAGAGGAAATTTGGTAAACTTGATTCAATTATGAATGAGTCATCGTCGATACGAACAGAATCTTCTTTTTCTAACCGACTCAAGCACAATATTGGGTCGAGCTGGATCGTAGCCGGGCATCGGGATTGCCAGCACTGCAACAAGGATTAAAGCTATTACATGGAAAGAATAGTTTACCATATAGCTGTGTGTACATCTATTGTAAAATTGACTAGGTGAACCAGAGGGAGTTCGCGAACGATAGCGATACAGACGTTGATAAAATCATTTAGCAATGAGCAATGAGAATCCCGAGGTGGTGCGAGGAAGGGGCTGATAGTACAAAAGATCAGAATAGTTACAACGAAAACGGAAATTAAGAAGTACAGGAGACAACAACGATAACAATTGAAAGGTCACCGAAGAGCGTTAGGATGCTTGCCATGAGAGGTATAATGAGACCGTGGATCCTGCACAGACGGAATTGGAGGCGATGCTAGGCGCACCGCCTGCGAGTGCGGTGGGGGACTCGGCAGGTGCAAATCGGTGCCTAACGGTCTAAACCCTGTAGGTTCGTTAACTGAGCGTCGTTGTGGGTACGTTATTGACGGATGTGGCAGGGGTGTGCGCTGTTGATGATGATTTTGGGGTGGATGAATAGCATGCTGGGATGGTGGAGACATGGCATGATCCGGATTGAACTGCGGTGGTTGATATGAATAGGGATAATGTGCGTTTTCTCGGACGTCGCATAGAAGGTAGTTCATATCATTATAACCGGTGGCAATGGGCCTATCAGCAGTATGTGGATAGCTTGGTTGTAGGGGATGGGCAGAGACGTTACTTGAAATCATAGAGCGGGGTGGAGGCATGGGATTTGAAAAAGTGAATTGATGGGAGCTTTTCTGCGACATAGGCGGGGGAACTGGGCGAAGACTATAGGAAGCGGATGACGAAGATGATACATGAGATCCCTGTGACTGCTGATCACTCATCATAAAACTTTCTTCCCAATGACCGTCCATGACTGGAGGAGTACGCATGTTGCCGCTGACGACGGACGGAGAAGCAGAGTCTGAACGTCCAGGAGACGGTGATTCTGCAACAGGCGAGGACTCGCGACTTTTAGAAGAGGTAGATTGTGCAGCAACGGGTGTTGTTTCAAGAGACTTTGATTTGTCCTTGCCTGTCGGACCTTTCCCGAGCGACGGGCGGTTAGCTGCGGGTAGATTGAGTGCAGCTCTTAAGCAATTATTCTCTTCCTCCAGCTCCGATACTCGCAACTCAAGAGCCTGGAAAAGGAGTGAAATTAGATGATGGATTGGAAATAGAAGTTGGATAAAAATGCCGCACTTGTAGATGGGCAGCTCTCCTTGCACGAAACGCTCTCTGGACATCCCTAGCTCGATTAGGAGGGAGGTTATCATTGCGTTTACGACCACGCTTTGAAGACATTTAAATTCAAAAGGTGATTTGAGGATGAAAAAAATAACAAGAGGAGATGACGGCGGGGAGGAAAGGACCTAAAGAGAGGGAAGGTAGGAGAACATATAAAAAGGGACCACTTCATCGGGGAAGCCAGATCTTTGTGTATCACGTCCGCATTCGATCCCTATTCGATCAGTCACAGGCTGGGCCTTGGCTAGGGCCAGACCTAACTTTTTTGGCTCCGAACCGATCTCCGCACAAACTCAGTCTCATGCCGTTTTCGGCAACCCTAAAATGGTTGACTGATGACAAGTCTTTCATCGTTGTCATGATTCGTTTTACTCTTTAGCCACGTCAATTTTTCATTGTGAGCTGGGTTGCAATCCTTTGTAGTGACTCGTGTAATATAGGTGATGAGTAGTTGAATAAAATAAAACAAAACCCTTTATTCGAAGCACCCCAGGTCCAACTTTTTTTTTTTATCTGAGTTTGGTACCTTTCAATGAGTCTTCGATCCAACTATAGTCAGGACTTCAATCCACGAGTCTCGTTCTCTCTGGAAGTACCCTTTTGGAAGAGAACTTCCTCATTTTGACGAACTCCTTCAAATCACAGGGGGTCGATACGGTTTTAGCGTGACCCACGCAGTAAACTATCTAAGATCCGCTACCGGTCCAGAGCAACCAGCCCCAGTCACCTGTGTCATATCAACCAATGCGTCATCGTCCACCGAACCTAGCTTCCCATCATAGAAAACTATGCATTTTCAAGAAACGGTGGCGTTAAGGAACCCTATGAGTCCATGACAAATTACTGAAGCTTCAGCAACGTGACAACTGTGGAACCCGCGGGCCCACCCCTCCAGTTCCCTTGATAGCACTCAAGTGCGCCCCATCGCTCGCTGCTCTTTTCGCGCGGTGGCTTTGTCCTTATCGCGGCGGGAAAACAATTTGTGGCGCGGTGCCGCATCCCGCGCGAGTTTCTTGTTGGCCGATTTATTCTGCTCGACATATGACATGTGCTGAGCACCACTAAGGGCCGTAAGAGATCCTGTCGTCCGCTGGGCTGCAGGAAATCTTGTAGGGCCAAAGTCTTTGGATGTCACCGTTCCTGCCAAGTCCCCCTCATTCCCGCGTATATCTGTCCCTAGATCGGCCTCGCTCTCGTTGGCCAAGAGCACCGATGATATCAGCTCGATTTGTTCATCCTTGGTCTTATAAACTAAATCTTCGAGCTCCTCGAGTCCGTCCAGGTGTGTAATGACCTTGAACGCATAACCCTGGTCGATAAGAAATTGCTGACGTTTCGTGCTGTAAAACATCTCCTGGGTATCCTTGGAAACAAGGGAGTAAAAGAACGCGTTGAAGCCCTCGTCATTACGCCGCTTCGCTCGTAAGATGCGACCTGTGACATCACCGTCAATTGTCAATGTACTTGTAAAACATTGCATCAACATACCTAAGCGCTGGGCTTCCTGTCGCCTGGACCCAAAGTGTGAACTGATTTGGATGAGGCACGTGGCCTCTGGCAGATCTATGGATGTATCACCAACCTGCGCAAGAGAAATCAATGGAGTCTCTTTCTAATCAATACCGTAAAACCTACCTTCGACAGGAAGATGGTGTTGACGTTAGAGTCATGCTGGAACCATTGCAACACCCGCATCCGTTCAACTTGGCCTGTACCACCATGGATATAAGGTTTCCCAAGTTTTTTGGCGTATGCCTAGAATACTTGAGAAGACGTACTTCATGACGTAAAACGACCTTACCTCGAGCGCAAAGACATTGTCAGAAAAGACAATGACCTTGTCTCCTCTTGCCTCGTGGAATTTGATGAGGAACTGGCACGCTTGGAACTTCTTTGGGTTCATACAGTAAAGCAGCATACGCTTCCGAGATTGCTCCCGGAGATACTCCTTGTAAAATTCAGGAGTCATAGGACACCAAACTTCGGCACACTAGTAAAGGGGGATTATATCAGGTCCAGTAAACTCGTGGAAGGTACAGGGGTAAAAAAACCTTACCTGGACATTAGCTATATGTCCCTTGGCAGCAAGGTCCATCCAATTAGCCTCGTATAACTTAGGCCCAATCATGTAGTTAAGATCCGCAATTTTGTCGTCCTCACGCACAAGGGTCGCTGAGATCAGAATGAAGTTAGTGACCGGGGCTGCATTGTTCAACGCCACTGAAGCAACCCACCTGTCAAGCCAAGCTTCGAGTGCGCTTTGATTGTTGTAACAACGCGGCGGAACATGGCGGCCGGCACGACGTGCACTTCATCTAACAGAATGAATCCCCATTCACGTGAAGTCAAAAACTCCATCATCTTCTTGGACTCGTGGGACCTGTTGTGCGTATTTGCGACCATGGAATACGTCGATACAACAATACCACTCTCTCCAGCGAACTACACGAAGTCGTTGTCATCAGATAACCAAGGGAAGGTACATGTTATGGCAGAGACTCACTCTCTCCTTCTGGTCTGCGGTGAAAACGGCAATTTGGCGATCGGTCACATTCGACCACATCATGAATTGTTGCTTCCATTGCATGACGGACACGCTGCAAAAAAGACTTGTGATGAGAACATCGAGAACCACAGCATTAGCGATATCAGACGTACGAGGAAGTGCACAGTACCAAACACGACTTTTTAATCGTGCAGGCTGCGGTAATGCCGACGAGCGTTTTCCCCGCCCCACACGGAAGTACTATAATTCCAGACCGCGCGCGGCTGTCCACAAGTCAGGGGAGACCTAGATCATTAAACATCGCAACCGTACCCGTTTCCGAACATCTTGCTCAAGCTTGTCTCTTGATACGGTCGGATGACAGTTGCCGGTTTGAGGTCAATGTCCAGATTTGCGTTGACCGTATCATTCCGGAAGTCATACTCTTCGAGCATTGGATATTCCAACTCATTACACCGCTTCTTCACGTCCTGAAAGAAACCGTGAGAACTCATTAAGGAGCTATTTATTCTAGAACTCACGTCAATTTTGGCATCGTCAATCTCAAATGCGTGAACATTGTCGTCGTCTTCATCGATTTCATCTGCGGAAATAACGATGAGAAGCTCCGGTAACAAAATCCACAAACTCACCGTTGTCGACACCAACAATTGAGGTAAAAAGGTCAGCATCCACGGTTCCTCCCGAAACGGATGTTCCGGGCCTAGTGGCCGCAGTCTCGTCCTTCTTCTTCTCGGCCTCCTTTGTTCCAGGGATCACAAGATTACCCTTCACAGGGGCTTTGGTTGTCGTGAAGGTGGCAGCCTTGATACTATTGTCTGTCTGCTGAGTAACAACTCGTGCTTCGCGTATCACCTTATCCTTCAACAGGAGCTGAAGGGTTTCTGGGTGGCTGCTCTCAACGAAATACTTGTTATGCTTGAGCACAAGCTTCACTTTCCCGTAAGATAGTGTTCGCTCCCGGATGAAGTTGATGATGGTATCTGGCACTGGGACCTTGTAACTTCATGAAGCTCAGTTGGACTACATGTCCCGCGAGACACACCTTGGACAGCCGGTTCAACACCTTGCAGGATTAAATGTATCAGCACACTCAAACGGCACAAGGACCTCAGTGCACACGAACTTCAATGATATCCTCGGTCTGCAACCCGACCGACACGGCAGCGTACAGCGAATAAGAAGTGAGTTTGTATTCGTGGATAAAGGCCGGTCTGATGATATGTCTAGACGTGTAGATTACACAGCAGGAATCCGCGTACCTGCTAACAGGTTCACTGATAGCTACAAGAAAGTCCTGAGCCTGCTCTGCAATCGGTGAAAAGGCCTCGAGAATAATATGGCCATCGTCAGGACTAATCCATAATGGCCGCGAAGCATGGTCGGGCTTAAGATGGAGCCAAGAGAAATCCTGATCCATGAAGATGTGTGACACTAGTGCATCTTGCTGCCGACGATGTGCGTCTAATGAGCTTTCTTCACCGTCGACGGGTTTGGCTCTCCTGGCTTCGGCGAGTTTCCTTGTTAGCGCACTAAAGTTGATTGTCGCACCCCTAGGAACGAAAGCGGCGTTCGCATCTTGTTCACTTTGATATTCTTCGTCGAGATTATCCTCATTATCCTCGGCCCGCCTCCGTTTCGATGGTCCAGCCTCTTGAGGGCCTGTGAAATACATGAGCACCTCGCGTTTGAACAGTCCTCAGAGAAAAACATACCGTCAAGTCCACGTTTTGAGGTCATGGTGTTGCGCTCAGTGCAGAGTAAACGGAGTGGCAGTCACTGAACAAGATGTGTCAGTGAATTCGCGGCACCGAACGCAGTGTCAAGTGCTGATTTATCAGCAATACTTTTCGTAATTATTAGTCAGCAATAAGTTCTCGTTAGGGACGAGAAAGTGTCCCTATAGGTACATCCGAATCTAACGTTGGCCAAAAAGACTGGAACCAGGTTTTACTTTCGGGCCACCACATAGTTTTGACAAAGATGTATGATATTAAAAGACACAACCATCTGTTGCGATTCACCAGTAACAGCCTAGACAGACTCGGAAGGTATGTGTTTGTGGATGGACATATAGGCGTAGTGCTAGGAGCAGACAGGCATAAGTACAACCAGAGGTCAACCACTGGGCTTGCGACCAGCCGCCTTACACGACGGTGACGAGTCGCGCGGGTAGGTAACGTTCAATCCCTCCACCCTCCACCAACGAGCGAGAAGAAATTCACGCAAGACAAGGCGGCTGGTAATGAGACTAATCAACGACTAACAAGAACCTAGCTTAGTTCGCGTTTGCAAAACGATGGCTATGTTCCTGGTAGTCCTCTGCGTCGTACAAGGTCGTTGAAGCAAGTACTAGTTCAGCTGGATACGGGGACGTTGCTCGAGATATAACATGGACTATACATACCATCAACAAGCGCGCGCTTGCACTTCGCCGTTGACGCAGGGCTGTATTGCGTATGTCCAAGAGTTTTCCTCCGTATGCTGTTCAATCGTATGAAAATTCACGAATTGCATCCACCGCTCGCGATATTTTCTCATGGGATCAGGATGTCGGACAGGGAGATCGGACGTAATATGGGGTGAATGATGTTCTGGTTCCCGAACCTGAGGCCTGGGGGTACTCCTGAGTGATGGTAACTGGCCGAATGTCACACAAGGGTAGTGGCGAATTTTTAGCGCCTTCTGTTTCATACATTTGAACCTTGGTACATAGGCTCGGCGCGTAAGGCAAAGACTCCGAGAGATTGAATAGAGATGCTCACTTACCGTCGCCACCTCCTTGGAGTCCACGGACCCATGTCCTCCGTGTTTATCTCCAGAGAACCACAATCAAGCCAGGGCCAGCATACTTCACAGTGTGAGTTTTTAAGACTATGTGATATTTCTTGCTCAATTGTGGATGATTGTTCCTAACCAGGATTGGGGCGGAGTTGCCCCATGCAAAAGATGGTACGAATTGCTGCCACTCCCCGCGGTAATAAGTCAGACAGCCATTTGAGCATGAAACTCACTTCATCTATTTGTGACACAGCAGTTGCACAACTCAGGCAAGTACTCTTCCCCATATCGATGCAAGTTCCGTGTACATACTGCAGAGTCCAAACATAGTCCCTGCAGCTGGGCACTCGGAGTCCGCCGAGTCAGCTGCCTAGTTCATTGATTACAGTTCAGCCACCCAAACCCAAATATGGACACACATATTGTCGCCATACCTCGACGGCGACAAAATAACGCTGGAAGTCAACTAGAAGTTACGACGCCATGGTGAGTAAACCGCGCTTGCTTTGCAAGTTCGCCTAAGGAAGTTCTCGATGCAGGCCGAACAAAAAACAGCACCCACCAACCCCATGAAGGAGCTGAAGATTGACAAACTCGTCATCAGTGCGCCTCTTTTCTTGTGTTTCTATTCTGTACTAAGCCAGCACCCATCTAGACATCTGTGTCGGCGAGTCTGGTGATCGTCTCACACGTGCATCTAAAGTCCTCGAACAGCTCACCGGTCAAACACCCGTCACATCGAAAGCTCGCTACACCGTCCGTACATTCGGTATCCGTCGTAACGAGAAGATTGCTGTTCACGTCACCATCCGTGGGCCTAAGGCAGAGGAGATTCTTGAGCGTGGTCTCAAGGTGAAGGAGTACGAACTGCGCCGGAAGAATTTCTCGGAGACCGGCAACTTCGGTTTCGGTATTCAGGAGCACATCGACCTTGGTGCGAGATACGATCCTGGTATCGGTATCTTCGGTATGGACTTCTACGTTGTGATGGGTCGCCCTGGTGCCCGTGTTGCCAGAAGAAAAGAGAGACGGGCACGTATTGGGTTCCAACACAGAGTGAGGAGAGATGACACCATGGCTTGGTTCAAGCAGCGGTTCGATGGTATCATTTTGGTGTGTCCCCTTCCTTTGCATATTGTGGTGGTTGTATTAATGTGATCACCTTAGAAATAATCATTTCCATCCCTCTCTGCGCCCTTTCCTGAGCGGCAGGCATCAGGAATAGTCTACATATGCTTTTCATCACCCCCAATGCACTTATTTTCCCTGTAGCCAGAAAAGAATACAGCTATGCAAGTCCTGCGATACAACTTGACCAGCAAGGGAAGTTGGTTCTTGTCCTCAGGGCCACAGGATTGGCCTCTGCATGACAGAAGATCGAACTAGGAATCCCGATAAACAGGAAAGCCTTTATTGTAAATCGTCATTATGAGCAGAAAGCAACGGAAGGTTTAGGCAAACATATCCCACTGTACTAGGGGTGGTGCACGTCTCGCGCATGACCGCGTCAGACATAGAAGTGCCATGCGTCCGTGGACAGAGTACATTTTGGACTGGATGATCGAGAGTTTCTCCCAGAGTTCGGTTGTTTATGTGTCTCGTGGGCAGAGTGCATAGAGTCCCCAAGTCCCCCCATCCTATCATGTGAGTGTGAACTACTCTGCTCAATAGGTGGCACCTTTGAGCAATATTGCTAACGCCGAAAAATAAGCCAGATCCGAGACTTGGCATCCAAAAATGCTACTTGGTATGTTAACCGTTGACGATGTTATCAAGTCCGTAGGGAAAAAATTCGTCGCCTCTGGCTTCGTGGAATTTGAAGAGGAACTGGCGCACTTGGGTTCATGCAGTAAAGCTTCCGAAACGTTGTCGCAGGACACCGAACCTCAGTGCACGACATAGTCAAAGTCAGGTCCAGCGAAAGTCGCGGAATGTATACAAAAGATGTCCCTTGGCGGAAAGGTCAACGCGATGCTAACTTAGGTTTAATCGTGTATGTAGTTGAGACCCTGATTTTGTCGTGCTCGTGCACAAGGGCCCCAACGTAAGATGGCTAAAGCGGAATAGTTGTCAGCCTTCATGGAATGTAGCAGATACTGGCAAGGGATAGTGGGGGGAGATCACTGAAGATGTCTTTCCCTGCGCACCAGAGATTGAGAAGCAACGTTTGCATATCGGTGGGACAGCGCGCGCGGGTGGCCGAGAACTCAAAACATGCTTATATTTCGTGGATGCACATTGTGTATTAGTAGACAGAGCGAAGATCTCATTCTGTTTTGACTTTCTTCTTGGGTTTCTTCTTCCTCTTCTCCAGGGCTGCTTCCTCAGTGTCCGCTTTACGCTTCTTCGAAGGTTCAGCCTGAGGCAGCACAAAATTCGGTTCTCGGACGAAGCATGAAACAAAAAAGCCATTCGTGCCATCTTCGCCGGGGGAGCATCGAACTAAGCTATCTGCATCACCTGAAAACGCGTATTAAATTAATCCACATGCATCAAGTAGAATGAGAATTGACCTGTTCCAATCATCCCTTCTGCCTGTCCTCGGCGATTCCACTTCGGCAGGACGTCGTTCCGAGGTGCAAGCTTGAAACTACCGCTCTTGGCCTCGTCCGACTGAAGGGCACGGCTAACGACATGTTCGTTTTCTGACGCGTGGATACTACAGGTCGAATAAACGATTCTCTGTACGCGTGGAACTAATGACGAAATAAGCCATCATACGTTCATCGTTCCCCAAACTGCTCACATTTCATGGCGTGCTTAATTATCATAAGTTGGAAAGCAGCAAGCTTGTTCAACCGGTCTTCATCTACCACTTCTACCTCTGCGGAAGGGTCAGCCAGGTTGAGCTGCAAGGTACATACAAGGAACTCGCCGTCTTCGAGCAAATAGTCTAGACGATTTACGATACCTGAACCACTGCAGGAGGGATCAAGCAAGCTAGCAGAGGTGAGTAGAAATTGAGGGTATTTGCAGTAGAACTCACATATGCGTCGCTAATGAATATTTAGGATGGGACGGATCGATGGTGAGAAAATCAGCGTTGACGGCTTCTACATTCCGGCAAGCAGCCTTGGAGAGCATCATTTTCAACGTCGAGAAGCGCCTCTTGTCCCTCTCAAAAGCATATAACTGCGACGTCGTCAATAGGTTTTTATTGGAAGCCGGGGTAAAGGACATTACTTTTCCCTTGTTACCCATCAGTGCGCTCAGATGTGACGTTTTGTTTCCGGGGGCGGCTGTCGCGTCTATCACGACAGCATTTGGATCGTTACACGGAGGCGATAGCACAAACGCAGAGAAACATGATGCCTTATCTTGCAGAATGATTTTGCCAGTTTTATAGGAAGGATCGTCGCGAAACTGTAGGGCAGGATTGAATGCCAGCAAATCCGGTATGTGCTCGTCAATTTCGAACCCTTTGCTGAGACAAGCGAACGACGTCAGCACCCAGGAACGTTCCAGGAGACGCGACTGACCTCGATGCAAAGGGACCTTGCAGTTGAAAACCACGTTTGGTATAGAATTGCATGGCTTCCTCCGTCGACCACATTGAGGTATTGACACGAACGTAACGAGGGATTTTGGCTGTCAAGATGGTTCACCAAGTGCACATCTCTACTGGCTGTGCTCTGACCTGCTCTGTCGTCACTGGTCTGAGCCAACTCAAGATTAGACTTGACACCTCGTTTGATCTTGATTCGCTGAAGTTCGCTCCTTAACCTGGTTTTGTGCCTTAAAATGGCTTGTTTGATGGGACCGTCCCCGGCTTGAATGCCATTGACGAGCAGTGTATCATGCACTAATACAAGGGCTAAATTGAAAGAAGTAATTTTCTTCTTTTCTTCAGTGAGGAGCTTGGATGCCTGGATGACATCGGACAGAACAGATTTGTCTGATGCCCGTGAATGCCCATCTAATAGCATGATACATGCAAGCTTACATTTAAGCGTTTCAATGACAAGCGCAGTTGTTCTCGCTCTGTTGTTCTCGGGCAAAGTCGCTAGGATGCCTTTGATGGAACCCTCTTTTGCGTCGAGGCGATTAAGTACTTCAGAAGCCTCAAAGTAGAAGTTCATTGCAGGGCGCTATGTACAAGTATGAAGGCATCAGTGCCAGAAAATCAAGAACGAGAACCTATAGGGAATGGGAGGATAAGCATGAGGATACGAGTGAGTATTGAACGAAGTCAGGATTGAATGCTCGTCATTTCTGGGCAAGCCCAGTTAGACAATGTAGATAATGATTGAAACATCATTCTGGAAAAAGAGAAGCAAGAACTGCAGCTCACCTATCCTAGTACATAACATACACTGAGCAACACAGGCAGAAACAAAGCAGAAGAGAACCAAGCTTTTTTTTCAAGCTTGATTGTTTGAAACTCCGAAGCGCGTCTTCCCAAAACGCGCGTGTCGCGTTTGCCGTGTCCTTCCTCCATCTCGAAACAGTAAAAAAGTTGGTTTTGGCTGGCTCTCTCTGCAATTGACTTCTGACAGTTATACAGTGCCTGTAGATACCGAGCTTTATGATCTTCTAGGCGTTCCACCGTCTGCTAGTGAAGGTACGTCCCACATACGTTGTTCTGATGCACTGGACCTGAACAATTTATACCAGACGAAATCAAAAAGGCCTATCGGAAAAAGGTGGGAGTTCTCACTTGATCCATTAATAGACTCTTAAACTGTCACAGGCCAAAGAGCATCATCCCGTGAGTTCCTTGCTACGTGTTCTCCGAAATTGACTGATCACTGCGTTTGACAGGACAAGGTTTGTTTTCATGCAATTACTGCTCTCGTCGCTCACGACTGTTTATAAACTAGAATCCCAATGACCCTCAAGCTGCTCAGAAATTCCAGGAGATGGCTGCCGCGTCCGTCCCGTCTCTTGTTTTCCTCAAACTCGCCTGATGGTCACACCTACCTTTCAGCTACGAGATCCTCAGCGATCCAGAGAGCAGAGCCCTATATGATGAAAATGGGATGGCTGGCCTAGGTCCTGGGTCACGGGGACCAGGTGGCATGGCCGATGCCGCAGACCTCTTTGCTCAATTCTTCGGTGGAGGCGCGACTTTCTTCGACGTGGGTGGAGGGGGCCCCCGCCGAAACAAAGGTCAAGATACCGAGGTTCCCTACAATGTTACGTTAGAAGATTTATACAACGGCAAATCTGTAAAGATGAATATGGAGAGAGAAGTCATTTGCAACACTTGTCAAGGGTACGTGGTGCGAGCTTGTTCTATATCGCCTGTTGATCAAGGCATGTCAACCTAGTTCTGGTGCCCGGGGTAACGCAAAACCCAAGGAATGCGTCAACTGCGAGGGCAAAGGCTGGTCGTTTATCCAAACGCAGGTGCGAACCTTTGCTAACTCCGCGAACAATTCATTGGACATGTTCCTTTGAGATCTCTGCTTCAACTTATGGCACAGCACGGACGAAATGTGCCGAGTGCAACGGTCAAGGTAGTAAATTGAAAGAGAAAGATCGGTTTGTCCTCCTATACATGTGCATTTGTGGTCATTCATGATAGGTAGGTGTAAAAAATGCAAGGGTGAAAAGACAGTTCAAGAAAAGACTCGACAAGAAATCTTCATAGAGAAGGGCATGCCAGATGGACATCGGATTGTCCTCGCAGGCGCAGGTGATCAGCAGGTAGGCTATGCCCTATTTCGTGGATTGTTGACTGATTGACGCACGACAGCCCGGTATCCCTACGGGTGACGTGATTTTCAAACTCAAAACTACTCACCACGAGTCTTTTGAGCGCTCAGGCAGCAATTTGTTGACACATGTCAAAATCACGCTATCCGAGGCACTTCTAGGTTTCTCCCGCATCTTGATTAAGCACCTCGACGGGAGGGGCATTCGTGTCTCCAGTCCCCCGGGTAGGATTATTCAGCCAGGAGATTCGATAAAGCTCGGTGGGGAAGGCATGCCTACACACAAACATCCAGATCAGAAAGGCGACTTGTTTATCGTTCTCGACATAGAAATGCCTGACGCGCAATGGCTGCAATCCGTGGATAAGCCGGTATGTATTTGTATAAATATAGAAGCTATCTGCTGATTGCTTGGTCTTGAAGGCATTGGAAAGACTTTTGCCGCCAAAGAAACTAGATATGGACCCAATGCCTGAGATTGTCGATGAAGTCCCATATGAAGAAGGGGACATTGTGGACGTGCGTGCCCGGTCTTTCCCGGCTGGTTCGGATTTCTTTGATCAAGGGTTTGCATCGCAGTTCGGAGATGGAGATGAAGATGACTGGGAGGATGAAGACGATGACGACTATGACAATGACGACATGGGAGGCGAGCCAGAGTGCAGACCTCAATGATATCCCCTCTAACAGGAACACGCATATTCCATTCCGCACTCTTCTTGATCATGCCCTCTCGCTCTGCATGTACATGTCATTTCCCAGGCTGTATACATATCATCGCTAATCGAAACACACTGCTCTCGCTCACGTCTCAGGACGTACTACCAACATTGCCGTTGGCGTTAAATGCTTTCGTGGTCTTCGATTGCAGCACCCACTTGATACCGCCCATGACGTGACCCAAGAAGAGGTCATCCTGGTAATGTTTTCTTTACTTTCAACCCAAGACGAGCATGATAATCAGACTCACGCTCCATATCTCGATACAATGTCCGAGCCCAGTGAACCAGCTGCGACCGGCAATCCCATGGCCTTCAACGCCGGCACCCCGTTCCTGATACCAAGCTACGACGGATCGCACAGGCGGATCGATACTGCTCAGGTCAAGTACTCACCAATTGGGTGAGGAGATCCATGGCGCAAAGTCTTCTCTTTTGCTTGAGGATCTTTAGAGTCGTTGATTATAGCCACTCCACGCATTTACTCGGTTCATCAATATTACCTTGGTAGCTTGACTCGTCGGCCGTTAGAAGGACCTTGGCCCCGACGGCACGAGGATCCGACTCGAAGTTGTACCTTCCAGAAGTCAGTAAATTTCAAAAGACACTGCTAAACAATCATACATCTCGTCCAGCAAGCGCCATTTATCTGGTAGCATGATGGTACTAGGGTGCGTCTTGTCCAAGACATCTACGACCTCAAATGACAGTGTTCGTGAATAAGCGAGTGACCACGAAGCCTGCTACGACCTACTGATTCCTGGATGTCAGGGTGGTAGTCGAAATAGGCACCTAGCATATGTAAAGCCTCAAAGTATCAGACCTTGGTGTCTCAACGTACCAAGCTGTCTCCCGAAGAAAGGTGAGTCACGAAGGGCATCTGCAGCGCAGTGAATAGCGATGAAGTTGCCGCCGAGATTGAAATAGTTCTGCAGAGCAGCTTTCCCCGTATCATCAAGGACTGGTACAGAGCCATCAGTTTTCATTCCCCTAGTCATTTGAATGTAGACTGTACCAATGCCGGAGTTGTTCAAGAACAAGATGGCATCATACTGAGACAGGTTCTCATCCGTGAACTTTGACTTGTCCTCTGTGAAGTCAAATTTCACATCGAGGACAGATTCCTTGGCTTTGAGAGCCTCGATGGAAACCTCAATGCTGTCATGTCTGAATCCCGCTGTAGCGGAGTAGGCGAGTATGCGAGGAGGCATCGTGGGGTGGTCTGGTCAAGAGCGTAGACACATGGTGCGATTCCCTCCCTTTATGAACACGTCTCGAAGAAGATAAGACTGAAGACTTGTTGGCTGTTAGTGGGAAGTTTCGGAAATCCCGGGCCGTATGACTGGCCCGGGGCGGAACTCTCGCGGATGCAATTCTAAAGGTTTTGAATGTGAAGCCATGCGGTATATTCACAAAACGCTGACTGCCACTTCAGAAGTGTAGCCAGTAATATACTGTATAGAGGTAGGACAGCCGATTATATATGTATATATTGATTTATCAACCTATAAATCCATCGAGATCGAAGGCACAGACGTGGTGTTGCTTTCACAGTTGGCGGGATAATAAAAGGGATGCGCCCAACGCGAGGAACACGGTAAAAGACAATTAATACTTAATAAACCAGTACTTCTGGAGGTTGCCATAGTGGGGATCCATCATCACATCACGTCTATTGTCTCGCGACTCCCGTCCAGTCTGCGCAGTCTCAATATTATCGGGTCGTCGGTTGACATCGAGCACTTATCTTCTTTCAATCCTGTCCACCTGATGAATGTCGCAATCGCCACACGGCATCCAAATGCATTCTTCCACTTGCTCCAGTTTTTTCCCAACCTCTCTCATCATTAATGGTTTGCGCAGAATTCAACGAAACACAAACTCTAGAGCCATTCACGCACACAGAAATCCGATCCACAGGCGCTCTTCATCTGGTGTGTTCAGTGCTCTATCACTTCCCAATTTACGAGTGCTTGAAGCCCGCCACATACGAAAATTATGAGGCGTTCAAGGCATTCTTGGTGCGGTCAAAGTGTCCCCTGGAGACCCTGATTTTCAGCAGTGATCGAGTGACGGATGAGCAGCGTGCAGAACACGTTGTCCTTTTTCCCTTGAAGTAATCGTGGATCCCGATCGTCCTTTTGTCTAAGGCCTAGTCATTACACATTTTGCGAAATGATGGTAATTGGGCTGGCGGCAGGAAGCGTTGCAGTTGCAAGTGTGCAGCTTCACATTTAGCTGACGAAGAAGAGCTGTCGAGAGGTGACAACGTGCCATCCCGAACCCAGTCGTAAGATTCTCGGATCCATCATCAATTCCGCGCTGAGATGGTGAGGTATAAGGTATTGTGAAGGAGGGGTATCAATAACAGCATTGTTTACCATGACATTGATACCGATTCCCGGGGTGATTGTAAGCACTTATCATCCGGAGTATTCTAATAGGTGGTTAGGATGATGCAACTGGCCAAGGCAAGACAAAAGTATTTGGCAATTCTCGTAACAGATGGTGTCTGGTGTACACCCGGCCGTCTGCAGACAAACATTGCTCCTCCTGTTGGGTGTCTCGTTCACTCCACCTCTTCGCATCATGTTCAGCAGTCCTTCTTCACAGTCGCTTTTTTCGGACAAGGTTGAGACTTATCTGAAGACTTCCCGTTCTTCTGATGCCACCGCTAGCATGTCAACCAAGAACAATGAACTGCACAATATCCAGAAAGCACTTACAGTGTGATACTGACAGAGCACTGTTGAGCCGTCGCCATTGATGCCATTGTAACTACCGGCCTATCAGTCACTTTGTTAAAAGAAGATGTATGGGTGACGCACACGCAAACTGTGACCTGGTCGTCTGGGAGGGTAGCGGATAGTTGAATGCCCTTCACTGTGGCTGGGCACTGTACACACGCATTGACGCCAACGAGGAAGCTGAGCAGCGCAAAGATGATGGAGCGGGAAGTAAACATGATGGATTATGTGGAAGGGAATGAAGCAAAGCCATAGTGACAGGCAGGTGTTTTATAGGCTGAAACTTCCAGGCGTTGGCCGCCCTCGCTTTGCTGCTGAGATGGCCTACTCTAGGCCAAAATAGTTGAGCCAAAATGCAGGATAATCTCTGCAGACTCGAGAAGAACTGTGAAACCGTTGATGTGGCAAGTACTCAAAGGAGATGTGCGGCACGATGCGGTCATGGGGCACGAATGAATCTCCGGTTCCTGGGCAGCCTTGGTTTCGCGTTCGCGTTGCTCGTCAGATGTGTACGTTCATCGGACGTTGTGACTTCCCAAACAACACTCTCCGTGGTATCGATGAAGCTCAGCACGGTCGCCTGGAACGGAGAGGAGAAGGTTTGGGCGAACCTAATACCACTGGTCGTTACCGTGGGAGTTACATTGGTAGCGGATATCGATAGTCGACAACGCCTTCATTTTCTTCGAACCTTGCTCTTCGCGTCAGCAAACAACCGTATGCAGGAATTCGAGGGAACAACAACAAATTCAAAAGCAAAATTTTCCCCGGTCGCGGACGTGATTGGTGCTGCACTGAAAAATATCGTAAGTGCCCAGCTTTATAGACACTCTCGTCTGCAGGTAACAATTTCAACCCCTAGGTGCACAAGTGACCGTATGTCCCTCCCCATATGTTATTTTATTTGATGATGTGACCAAATTCTGAATCTTGAAACCCCATACGCCAAGTTCCCCAATATTGATCAGTCCATTGTCATTAGCGCTAACATCAATGAGTGCCAGCAGCAGGTGGATGGTGTTTTGCACGAGATCTCAGGTCTAGGAAACGTGATGAATGGTATAAAGAATCGTCATCAGCAACTCGTCGAAAAGAAGAAAAGGATCACCCAGTCTGTGAATTTGCATAAGGGACTCGGTTCGGCTCTCTGGCACTTGCCAACTGAAGTCCTATCCCACATTTTCGTTTACTCTCCCGGAAGCCGGGTGCTTGTCTCCCGCATCAAAGCTGGCCCCAATGCTGTTGACCAGAATATGCCGACGATAGAGGGAGGTTGCTGTGGGTATGCCCAGTTTATGGTGTAGGTTGTATATCAAAGTCGACGACAGTGACTGGCAGCGGGCAGCTCTTTGCTACGACTCATGGCTCAAGCGATCGCGAGGATGTCCGCTCTCTTTACAACTCGACTGCTTTGCACATGACTCGACCAAGCTACGAAGCCTCCTTCAACCTTACATCAAACAAATCCCCTCTCTCCCTATCCATTATTTCCGAGCACTGGACTAACCTGAACTATCGCTTAAAAAAATCCCAGCACTTCAGGAGCTGACCATATGAATTTCCAATTTTAATTTTAAGCCAGCTCTTGCACAATCGATCTCACGACTGTTCACGCTGTACAGTCTCAGGACAGTGGGATTGTTCGACCTCGAGCTCTTATTTTCTCTCAATTCCGTCTGGGCCCACCTGACAAATATCGGGATCGCCATAGATCATCCGGATGCATTCCTGCACTCGCTCTAGCTATGTCCCAACCTCTCCTCGTTAACGGTTCGTGCAGAATTTGACCAAATGCAAGCCTTGAAGCCATTCACGCACACAGACATTCGAACCATACGCATCAATTATTTCTCTTTGCGCCCAGACTTTTTATCTGACCTGTTCGATGCTCTATCACTCCACAATTTACGGGTGCTTGAAGCTTGCTCCACACAAACCTGGCATCAGGAGAAATTCAAGGCATTCTTACTACGGTCAAGGTGTCCCCTGGAGAGCCTTATTCTCAGCGGTCAACTAGTAATGATGACGGCTGAGCAGCGTGCGGAATACGATTTCCGTCGAAGTGGTATTCGATCCCAAATGTATATCCTTTGCATAAGACGCAGTATATAATTCGCGAAATGATGACAATGGGCTGGCAGTAGATCGCATTGCATGTAGATACAGCACTACCCAAGGCACGTTTGATGAGGATCCACGTCGATATTTTTTGATACTACTAAGTCGATGACCAGCCAGAGAGTAATCGATCGTTCGTATGACTATCTTTGTCGTAGCGTATACAGACTAGCATAATGGTTTGCAAGGTTTGAGTTTATTGAAGTAAGTTGCAGTGCGTGTACTAAACACTGAACAGTACTCGCCGCGTTTGTATCCTGCTTCACGGCTGCTCAGTGGGTTGGGATGATGCAACTGGCTGAGGCAAGGCAAGACTATTTGGCAATTCACGCGCGTAACTTAATAGATGGTGTTGAAGTACTGGCGTACACCGGCTGTCCAATACATTAATATTGCTCCTTCTGTTAGGTGTCTCGTCTCCCCCACCTCTTCACACCACGTTCAGCAGTTCACGTTCAAATTCACAGTTGCTTTAGCCGGACAAAATCTCTGCACTCCTATCGTCCTTCCTGACAACTTGCCGTTAACCTGATATGATCGCTAGCATGTCAAACGAGAACAACGAGCTGCACAATATCCAGAAAGCACTTACGTTGTCATACTGACAGATCACTCTTGGGTGCTCGTCACGCACGTCACTGTAACTGCCGGCCTATCAGATACTTTTTCAAAGAAGATATGTGAGTGCAACGCACTGGCAATACATGGCCAGGGCGTCTGGGAAGATAGCGGATAGTTGAACGCCGTTCACTTTGGCTGGGCACAGTACACACGCATTGGCGCTAGCGATGAAGCTGAGCAGCGCAAAGATGATGGAGCGGGAAGTAAACATGATGGAGTTTGTGGAAGGGAATGAAACAAAGCCATAGTACTAAGCAGGTGTTTTATAGGCTGAAATTCCTAGTGTGAACGCAAAGGCGTTGCTCGCTTTGCTGTTGAGATGCCCTACTTTAGGAGACTTTAGGCCAAAACAGTTGAGCCAAAATGCAGGATAATCTCTGCAGACTCGAGAAGAACTGTGAATGTCATGAGAAATTTATGTGGCAAGTACTTAAAGGGAGATGTGCGGCGCGATGGGGTCGTAGGGGCACAGTTCCTGCCAGGCGGCTTCGCGTTCGCATTGCTCGTCAGCTATGTAGCTGAAGAAATGAAGATGCATTGTCATGATGAGTCTCATTCTCCGCTACATATTGACTTTGCTGCCCGTTTCTCTTCCTCTTCCATGAGATCCGTGCTGTCTCCCGATCCGTGCTCTTGTCGGTCCGGCCTTGTATTAGTGAACACAAAGTTCAGCAGCGCACTTTCAATGCCCGAAGTCTGCGCGCTCGGTAATGTTTTGAAAGATGGTGGACGGTAGCACGGATCACTTTCACGGTCAGTTGGGAAATCGGGTGGGTGCGATACTAATCCCATATCAGATCTTAGCGGCGCCAATCCCCGACTCGTGCTTTTTCCACGTTATATTTCGGTACCCGATGACTGGCTATTGGCAAGACTTGAACTGACCCGTACTTATCATACTGCGATTGAGAACAGACGACACAAACCAACCCAGCAGTCTAGAGCGTTCCTTGGAAGTAGTCCTTTATACACGAGAAACAGACTTCACGACTCACCGGCTGTGGCCATTCCGAAACCACATGAGCGTTTTACTCTTAGTCCGCCACATAATTTTTGATTTTCACGTTTTCACATTTTTTGTTGGCAAAGTTTTGCAGAAGAGAGTGAGCCCATCCTACATTACCTCGCACGAGAAACAGCAATCAAAACAAGACAAGAGGAAATTAGATCGCGAGCTGAGAGTGAGATCAAATGAAGTGCCAACGTGAAGAATAAACCAACATCGCCAAGAGACAACAACACGCGAGTAAAGTTGCGTATGAGCTCCAACAACGCCTGCGCGTAAGCCTTCTTTGAACGGCCAGAGACTGAAGGGACGCAATCCAGATGAAACTTTCCCAGTGCCGCACGAAGCTGCAAGGTAGATAATTTAGACAACCTGTTGACCAGCAAAACAGAAGCCTATCCGAATCCAACCAAGGCAAAGCGGAATCGGCATCTTCTGCACCAACAGATACATTGCGAACACGAATGGCAGCCATCATCTCCTCTTCGCAAAGGACATTGAAGTGCTTGTTGATGGAAATCAGGCGAGAACGACAGCAACAATCCTCAGCCACAGGAGAAGGCGACTCGGACAACAGCGCCTCGAGCTCCTCTTCAGTCAGAGCATAGACATGGGTGACCTGTTTGTTTTAAAAAAAATTGGCGATACAATCCAGTCAGCTTTGCAAGTACCGTTCGAACGAATACGCGAACGTCAGATACACGCTCGCAGCTGGACAAGAGTGAGTAAAAAACACGCGCAAAATCACTGGCAGTCCAGGAAAACCACAAGGGATCACCAGCAATAACTTCAGACAAGCCGTTCATAACACAAGCGAGTTCAAAAAACTCGAAAAATATGATCCGAGGCGTCGTCGTGAGCGGAAGCGTCAACGAAGAAAGCGAACGGTGCGTCATTCACTTACCAATGATTAATCAACCCCTCCACCACATCTAAAGATCACGATCTAAAAAAGACCCTCCGACTCCAAAAACTGATCGAAAATTTCACATATGGATAAAGAAAGCGTATCCGATCCCGAACGGACTCCCACGTTTCGACCCCGATCAACCCCAGTCGGGAATACAACAACGTATCGTGTTCGTCGAACATCGTGTACGTGAGTAATTCACTGTTAATCAAAAAAAGAGACTGAAGCATATATGATGAAATATAACGCCTTGTATAAGCCTCACAAGGTCTTATATGCTTCGGGCTCTTTTGTCAATGCGGCCTAATATCCATTATGTGATAGGCGATGGAGCGATGTCAGTCCATGCGGAATCTGGATGAGAACATGAACGTCCTTCATCATTGACTCTTATCCATTTTTTTGGTGTTCCTCACACCAAGAAGACTCACCTGTGACCTCACTTGACTTGGTAAGTTCCGTTACCGCCGTCTGTAAACTCATGCCGTCGGCTGACAATCGTCAAACCATGTAAGTCAGGACGCTAAGGAGACACTGGAACAACTGGTTATCTTGTGGCACGTTTGCTGAACCGGTTCAACCTCCCTACTCGCTTTATACAGTGATAGGGCAAGCGTTTTTTTTCTTACGGATTCCGTACTCGGTTTTCTCATTGCGAGGTTCTCAGAATCAACCTACTTTGACTCTCCGGGTCTTCAGAACCTCCTGTCCTCTACTAGTACACCATCCATCATACTCCGAGATCACCTAAGCGATCATGATAGCCATCTTCAACCTGGTACCCCTTGCTATGTCCTCGGCAGAGAGCCTGGCACATCCACGATCGAAATCAGCCTTATTTATGATCCTGTTCCTGCCCTCCGTGACTGTAGCCAGGCCTATGTTTTGCAGCTATGAAGTTGTCCAGACAGCGGAGACGGCCCTGCACGACTACAATTTTTCACAATTTCCAACAGGGCAAATTACGGAGCGACTTTCTAACGGTGCTATAAACAGTGAACAACCGGAATATTTAACATCCGTGAATAAGTATTGACTTTCAAGCGTACCCTACGAAATTCCGTGTTGTTCACCACGAAGCTTCTGCGTAAGACCTCAACTCAAACGCTGCGCAGGAGTTTTGGCATCTATGAGGCAGCCGTGTTGAGCTTCATCGATTTAAACGGAGAGAATTATTTGGGAAGTCACAACGTGCGATGAACGTGCACATATCTGACGATCACCGCGAAGCCAAGACCGCCCAGGAACCGGAGATTCATTCGTGCCCCGCGATCCCATCGTGCCGCACATCTCTCTTTGAGTACTTCCCGCACCTACTTCTCATCACGTTCACAGTTCTTCTGCATTTTGGCTCAACTGTTTTGGCCTAAAGTAGGGCATTTCAGCAGCAAATCGAGCAACGCCTCTATGTTTACACTGGAAGTTTCAGCCTTACAACACATACCTACTACAGTAGCTTTGCCTCATTCACTTCCACAAACTCCATCATGTTTACTTCCCGTTCCATCATCTTTGTGCTGCTCAGCTTTCTCGCTGGCGCCAATGCGTGTATACGGTGCCCGGCCAAAGTGGATGGCATTAAACTATCCTCTACCGTCCCAGACGACTGGGAACATGTCACAGTTTGCTAGTGCGTCGCACCCACACATCTTCATCGAACAAAGTAACTGATAGGCCGGCAGTTACAAGGGCAAAGGCGTAACAGCGTTCTGCCAGTATTACACCGTAAGTGCTTTCTGGACATTGTGCAGCTCATTGTTCTCGGCTGACATGCTAGCGATGGCATCAGATAAACGGCGAGTCTTTGGATTTGTCTCCGACTTGTCCGCGTAAAGCGACTGTGATAAAGGACTGCTGAACGTGATGTGAAGAGGCGGGGGAGACGAGACACTCAACAGGAGGAGCAATGTTCGTCTGCAAACACCTGTTACGAGAATTGCTAAATAATCTTGTCTTGCCTCGGCCAGTTGTATCATTCCAACTCCCTATTAGGGTACTCCCGATGATAAGTACTTACAATCATCCCGGAAATCAGTATCAATGTCATGGTAAACAATGCTGTTCCTGATACTCCTCCTTGATGGATCCGAGGATGTTACGACTGGGCTCGGGACAGCACATTGTCACCTCATTCGACAGCTCTCCTTCGTCAGCTAAACGCGCACTCGATCCAACGCTTCCGTCCTTCCTACGCGGACGGGGAAGGTCGCAATCCAAAGCTCAAACGCAAACGCAAACGCCAGTCAGATGAACCGACGGAGTTCACAAACCGCATCCACACAGCGAATCTGATAGTCTGAGGAGGAGTGTGAGACTGACTGTAGGGAAGTTGGTTCGGTTCGATTCCTTGATCAATTGACAATGTTAGCCAAGGCCGCGTTAATACACCGTCGTGTCGTGGCGATCAAGACATCATTGAGACAGCATTCCGTGCTGGATGAGACTGTATGACGGTGAGATGGTCAAAAGTGGTGAGAGGTACACAAAGAGACGTGTAATGGCACTCAGGTGGTTCACCTCAATATTGCGAAGGAATCGGACAAGTCGAATCAGATTGGTGGGTAGTATGTGCGTGTCCAACGGATCATGATGCAACAGATGTCTGGGGGGGTCGACCCAACATGAGCCTGCAAGGCCATGGCCTCCATTGACAAGCTAACCGATACGCCTGCTCCAAGTTCCTCGTCCATCACTCTGTATTGAACAAGTGACTGGAGAACAAAGTCAACGGCGTTCAACCCAATATCAGCATGACGACTTCATACTGCTTGATATTTGAAATTGGAGGATATAGTAGGTTCTTAGGGAACTTATATTTCCCGCAATTGCAAGAATCAAGAGTGTGCATTCGCGTAAACGCTTGACCTAGACTAATTATTTTTTGGTCTCATCCCATATCAGATCTGGGACCGCCAAGCGGATCCGCAGGGTGCAAGGCATCAGGAAGCAATTTGACAGGCGACGTAATCAGCGGGGCTCGGAGAGACGGGAGGACTGGTCTTGAGCTTTGGAGAATTTGGCAACCGGTGAGTATTGTTTGAAAAGTGGGCATGCGTCTGATTTGTGACGTCGGAAAAGCTACCCATTCTGGTGGGTGGAGAAAACTCAAGAGGAGGCGAAAATTGAGGAATTCTTGTACGACGATACGACGATGCAGCAGGCAACTTCGCCAGAGAAATTTCAGACGGCCGTTGACAAGACTGTAAGATGCAACAGAGGGAAGGGTTGAAAAGGTTTCCGGGATCTTGAATGAGATCTAGATAACTGTAGAGAGTCGCGAGTCCCGGTGAGGGGTGACAAAACATAAGACGAAGGCGGAAATGCAGACAAGAACGAGTACGGGACGACGGTCATGTTGGTAGCGCCAACAAGCCTTAGAGACGGGCCAAGATTGATACCAGAGGTCGTCCGATTGCTTTGAGTACACAAGTTACGAGCGCAGAAGCTACTGCCACTAGCGTTGCACTTCTCACAGAAGTCACTTAGCTGTCCATAAATTGGGATACCTTCTGCACTATGCTCGCTGGAGAAACTGAACAAAGGCCATAGAGCAAGTAAGCTGCGCTTGGAATGGAGGTGCCTGAGCAGTCGAACTCTTACCCGAACGAGGAACCGCAGAATAAGAATTTGAAGAACACTGCTTGAACTGTCGATGCAGTTCAACTGCAGCCAGCAGTTGGTGCATGGATGATGCAGCTCGGCATTGCCTTGCCGAGTTGAAGTCGAAGTCAGATTTGTCTCCCATACAGGAGATCCAAGACATCCGACTAGAATCTGCGGCAAGAAATGGTAGAATGAGTTGCCTTCAGATGAGCAGCTTTGAGAGAAAGAAGGCCAAGAGTTCGGTGAAACATCATGAGGGGAAGTTGCCTAGGAATTTAGCGAGCCAGAAACAAGTTTCACTGCAAGAACTCGAGCCAGCAAAACTAGCAAGGTGATCAGGTACAGCGGCTCGTGAGACCGTGAGACTATTAACAAGTCGACTATGATCCTTGTTCCTAAGTTTTAACGCTGTTAGCAAACATGCAGGCAATCGAGGAGACAACAGCAAATTAAAAAGCAAATTTCTCCCCGGTCTCGGACATGATGCATGATTGGTGCACTGAAAAACATCGTAAGTAACTGCCCACCTTTATAGACACTCTCGTCTACTTGTAGTGATGTTCATTCGCTTCATCGCAGGTGCAAGTGACCGTATGTCCGTCCCCATATATTTATCAGATGCTTATTTTATCTGATGATGTGACCAGATTCCGAATCTTGAAACCCCGTGCTCTAGGTTCCCCAATACCGATCAGTCTACCAGTCATAAAGGCCAGCCTAGCCTTATTAGATTAGCGCCATCATCAATGAGCGCCAGCAGCAATTGGATGCAGTTTTGCACAAGATCTCAGGTCTGGAAACTATGATGAATGGTCTAAAGAATCTTCATCAATAACTGGTCGGAATTTGGGAAGAAGGACAAGGGACTCGGATCGGCTCTCTGGCGCTTTCCAACCGAAGTCCTGTCCCACATTTTCGTTTACTGTCTCCTGGAAGCTAAATACTTGTCGCCCGCATCGGAGATGGCCCCTATCATGCTGCTGACCAGAATATGCCGATGATGGAAGGAGGTTGCTGCGGGTATGCCCAGTTTATGGTGCCGGATGTGCAGGGAATGCGACGTCAACGACAGTGACTGGTAGTGGGCAGCTGTCTGCTACGACTCATGGCTCAAGCGATCGCGAGGGTGTCCGTTCTCGTTTGAACTCTGAACTCTATACGCAGATGCCTCGACCAAGCTACGAAGCCTTCTTCAGTCTTACGTTAATCAAATCTCTATCCATTTTTCCGTAGCAGCGGCCTACTCTGAGCTTTTGTCAAAAGCCTTCCCAGCACTTCAGGAGCTGACCATACCGAGGACCCATCATGATATGCCACCTGCACAATATATCTCGCGACTGCCGTCCACTCTGCGTGCGCAATCTCAATGTTATGGGGTGGTCGTTCGGTGACGTCGAGGATTTATCCTCTTTCAATCCCGTATGGGCCCACCTGACAAATGTCGAGACTGACATGCATTGCCCGAGTGCATTCCTCCACCTACTCCGGCTGCGTCCCAACCTCTCCTCGTTAACGGTTAGTGCAAAAATTTACCAACTACCAACCTTAGAACCATTCACGCACACCAAAATTCACTCCATACGCATCAATCATCTCTCTTCGGTCACACACCCTTTATCTGGCCTGTTCGGTGCTCTATCATTCACCACTTTACGAGTCTTCAAAGCTTGCTCCAGACACACGTGGCCTCATGGGGAGTTCAAGACATTCATTGGATAGCCTGATTTTCAGTGGTTCGATTAGTGATGACGCAGCGTGCGGAATATGTTATCCTTCTCTCGAAGTAATATTCGATCCCAATCGTACATCCTTTGCATAAGACGCAGTCTACAATTCGCGAGATGATGATAATGGGCTGGCAGTAGATCGCATTGCATGTAGACACGGCACTACCCAAGGCACGTTTGATGATGATCCAAGTCGATTTCTTTTGATACTGCAAAGTCGATGACCAGCCAGGGAGTAACCGTTCGTATGACTGTCTTTGTTGTGGCGTATGCAGACTACCATAATGCCCCCTGGCGGTTTACAAGGTTTGACTTTGTTTAAATAAGTTGCAGTGCGTGTACTAAATACTGAACAGCACTCGTCGTGTTTGCATCCTGCTTCACAGCTGCTCAGTGGGTTGGGAACTGGCCGAGGCAAGGCAAGACTATTTGTGATTTCTCGTGACAGACACGACGGTGACCCGTCTAAAAACAAGCGGTGGTTCGATAACTATCACTAGCATGTTAACCGAGAATAACGAGCTGCACGATATCCAGAAAGCACTTACGGCGGAATAATCACATTCAATTGATGAGCCGGCGTTGCTATTCTGCCCAAGGTACCTGCCGGCCTACCAGTTACTTTGTTCAATGAAGATGTATGGGTGCGACGCGCCTGTAAAATAAGATCAGATCATCTACATCTGACCTGGTACTGTTGGAGTGGGCTATGCCCGAAGACTCTGCTATCGAATGACAACGAAGACCTAAGACCTGCTACTGCCCCCGACGACTCTGACAACGCTACGCTCGGCTAACTCCGACCCAAACACCGCCAAACTCTCTCTTCCTCTCACCCTCTGCCTAGGGGTCCCCTACTCCATGTGCCCCCCTTTAAAACAGCGACGACCACGTCGACATTGGAACTCCTCTGGTGTCTCATTCATTGCACTCTGTGTTTCCTTCGTCCTCCTCTTCTATGTCTCTTTCTTCCTCCTCTTCGTCTCCTTTTCTTCTGCCGTTCTCTTCGTCTTCTTCTCGTCTTCTTCATCCGCGTCTTCTAGATCGTTTTCTTGGTTTTCTTCGTCCGGTTCTTCATCTGTTTGTTCTTTTCCTATCTCTTCTTCCTGGTTTTTCTGTGCTTCTCTCTCTCTCTGCTCATTTGCCAGCTCCATGCCTTCTCTTGGTATAAACACTCTTAATCTTCTCGCGTGGAATTCTCCAGGCATTGGTTCCCCTTGGGTCGTTTCTAGACAGTACGAGTTCCTTAGTTGTTCAGTGATGCGATGCAGTGGTGACCATTTGGGGAGTATCTTTCTTCTTGCTTCAAGCGTGTTATGTGCACCACTGTAGAAAAATTGAACGAGCTGTCCTTTTTCAAAGATCACTTCCCTTGGCGAGCGTGCTAGTACGTGTTTATTGAACACTGCTTTTTGCTTGATGGTGTGTTGCACTGTGGCTTCGTACCCGTCTAGATGTTGTTGTGCAATGTATGCCATGTGTACGTTGGCGTCTGACAATCGTGTCACTGATGTGCTGTTAGCCAAGTCTGTTTTAGGCATATTGATTACCATTCCCAATAGCAGTTCCTTCGGCGAGAATTTCAAGGTGGGTAATATCTGATA